TGACCAAAACTCTCGCTCGGATAGCAGCGAAGCAAACCTCGACCTCCAATATATTGTCGGAATTAGCTCCCCGGTCCCAGTTACAGAGTTCAGCACAGGTGGCCGCGCCCCCTTAGTGCCCGACCTGGACCAACCCGACGTAAACAACAATAACAACGAGCCATATCTTGACTTTTTGCAGAACGTCGTCAAAATGTCCGACGAAGATCTGCCCCAGGTTATCTCGACCTCCTACGGAGAAGACGAACAATCCGTCCCGGAGAAATACGCTCGCTCCGTCTGCAACCTCTACGCCCAACTTGGTTCCCGGGGCGTGTCCGTCCTCTTCTCATCCGGCGACTCAGGCGTCGGAGCAGCTTGCTTGACAAATGATGGAAAGAACACAACCCATTTCCCGCCCCAGTTCCCAGCCGCTTGCCCGTGGGTTACATCCGTCGGCGCAACAACAGGAAACGGGCCCGAGAAAGCAGTCTACTTCTCATCCGGAGGATTCTCCGATCTCTGGGATCGTCCCGCGTACCAGGACTCCGCTGTCTCTACATACCTACAGAACCTCGGAACCAAGCAAGCCGGCCTCTTCAACGCCAAGGGCCGTGCATTCCCCGACGTCGCAGCCCAAGGCCAGAACTACGCTATCTATGAGAAAGGAGCCCTCACCAGGGTAGATGGAACATCCTGTGCGTCGCCCGCGTTCGCAGGAATCGTCGCTCTTCTCAACGACGCGCGCATCAACGCCGGACAACCAAGCATGGGATTCTTGAACCCGTGGCTTTACGGTGATGGTCTCGCCGGATTGAACGATATTATCTACGGTGGAAGTACCGGATGTGATGGAAAATCTCGATTCGGTGGTTCTGCAAATGGGGGTCCCGTTGTGCCGTATGCTAGTTGGAATGCCACGGCTGGGTGGGATCCTGTGACGGGATTGGGAACTCCCAACTTTGCGACCTTGAAGAAGATTGCTCTTGGCAATTAGGGTTGTGCCCAGGTGGGCAGGTGTGCATAGAGTTATGTCTATAATGATATACAGTAGTTTTTGAAATCAAATATACCTCCACAATGGTACAATGTGATTTTTTGATGGAACAAATCGTTGATACTGTTGTGTTCAGACGGGTGTATTGTAATATAATCAGTGGGGTGCTGTCGCGTCTGCCATCGCTGAGTGGCCTTCACCTCCTGCAGCCAATCTGCGTGAGTGATATCGAACAGAGACCTGACCCTCAGTTAGTGGAGGAAATGCAACGACTAGGTTTACCGCAGCAGGATACCTTTGGTGCATGGCAAAGCAATCCTTGAGAATGAATAGGGAATCTATCCAATCATCCTTGAACACATTCGATCTACATTCGTAAGCAGTAGTCTTCATATTGAAATCACCACTTTTTATCTGACTGGCCATGTTTTGAGACTCGTCAGATTTCGCCGAGTATATGCAGACTGTTCCATGCACAACCTGAGCATGCACGAACTAGAGTATCTATCTGGCACACCTTTTTAGACTATCGAAATGGGTTATTACCCCGCTTTCCCTTCTAAATGTCTTTTTAGTTGTATCTTTTAGCATCTTTTGTTTTCGTCACTCTTGATTGCCCTGGAGTGGCTCTTCTTATCAACATGCCATCCAATAAATCCTTCACCGCTATATTACACGTGCGCGATTTCGTCGAACATTTTGAACCAGATCCTACGCATCCAGGAAAAGCACTGTCGATGCAGTTACGTGTTTCACTGAACGTCCCGTTCAAAGATATTGAATCAGACGATGTTTAATCAAATGAGATCCCTACTCTCATTAGATTCTTCAACGAGGGTAATCAGTCTGATAGTCATCAACCCAATGCTTTTATATATTCATCTGGGACTTTTTTTGACTACCTCATCTGAAGATGATGGTTTCCACATTATACTGCATGCTCATAACTTGGACCGGTCGGTACACGTGTAACATATCAGTCCAAACACTTTACTAACACCATGTAGCCATCCGGGTAACCAAGAAGATATAGATTCATATTTCATGCATCGTCCCAGTGCTGCCCAGCCCATAGTCACTTTCCTCGGCCTTGTCCTGGAACGAAGAGGACAATTGAACGACGGACGGAATTTACTTCAGTATCGTCTTGAAACGACCGTTTACAACCCATCAACCCGTACCCCAAATATTTTCCCCATCACCGCGTTCTTTAAGAATGGGCAGCGCTGGGCAAATTTTCCACCACTCAATGTGAACGCTCATGTGTTTTTAACCGGTCGTATCTTTGGCCTCACAAAGGAGGCTCGCCAGTTGGCTGTCGTGACGGGACGATATACATTTCCTGCAAATGTCAACAACTAGTCTTCCGCCAACCCCTTCTTCTGCAACCGGGAAAAGGAAACGTGTTGACCGCTGGTCCCAGAGGGCTGGACCAACAACACCGTCCAAATCCACATCGCAATCCCATGATGCCCAGCTCTCAAAGCCCGTCAGAGTGAATACCCCTGTTCACGATGATGAGAAGAGCACTCAGATTACATGGGCTGACACACTGGATGACGCCGAGAGCTCACCACAAGCAAGTACACCAACTCCGGAGAGGCGCTCACAAAGACCAAGAAAGACTTCATACGCCGATATACTTACACTGTCCAAATAAAGTTGCGGCTGGGCATACGAAAGCTAATGTCATCTCTCGTGTTGCGGGTATTAGTCATCTGAAGGCTCTTCTCGATTGACTGGTTTCGATTTCAGTCCCATTGACGTTCCATTTAAAACAACGTCGATTTTTTCTTCCAATTCCTTCCCCCCTATCTTTCGTTTCAGGGCATCGGCGTGCAAAGCGCGCGTCACCAGTATTTTGGCTGTTGTTAGCCAAATCATGACTTCTCATTAGCTACATCGATCCACAGCATTTCTCTGATTCGCTACCTTTTCATTCCACGCTCTCTTCTGATTGCTGTTCGGGCAATGTCCAGGTCAGTTTAGTGTTGGCAGGTTTTATCCTTGATCATTGGTTCTTTCTACTATAGCCCTAATAGCTGACTCTCTAACCCTGGTATCTGTGCCTTGTGCTTCCTATTCATTCGTTATATCTTCATGCTCTTTACGTGCATGGTTTTGCTACGCACTCAGTGAAATGCGGCACTGCTGTGCTTCCAGGGGTCGGTGCATGTTGACCCCCTCAAATGTATCCACTAAGTGTACAATAGCCCCCAATGTTCCCGCATCAATAAGCGACTCCTCCTTGACAAAATTTCCGACTCCCTATCCGACGATGAGGTCCATTATCTTGGACCTTCAGGACATCGAGAATGGCCTTCATTGCCCGGTTGTACTTAATTATGATATTGAGGAAAATCAAGGCATGAAATGTTGGTTACGTCCAGGCAACGTTGTTGGTGCTTCCGGCACCCCCCGTGAAAGTCAGGTGATTAAGAGAGTGTGATCCGCCAAGATTTGCCGCTGTGACTGAAATGGCAAGATGGCGGTGAATACACCTCTCTCATTGGGCCCTCGAGCCTCATTGGTACTCTAGCACTATGTATACCGAGGAAAAGTGGAACCCTTAGCAATTCGCTTGAGTCATGGGAATTGATAGGGGCACTCCCACTTTTGTTCAGGACACTACTAATTCTCATTATCGTGCACAATACAGTATGAATCTTCCACAACTGCGACCGTTATTTAGGAAAGTCAAATCTCCCCAACCTCCCAAGACTGTCGTCAATTTACTAGAGATTGCAAGCAAATACAATGCGAGCCATTCTGAGATACTACATTCCATATGATCAGAAGGGACCTGGTTTTGTGCCCCAAACATAGAGAGATATGTGCTAAGCCTGCCACTAAGAATATATCGGAGCCAAGCCATAAACCTTCTACGGTAATGGGAGGGTATTATAATGTGGTATTTTCAGTCTGCAATACTCGCACTTGAAACCTCTAGACTCGCCATCTATTTAATATGGTTACAACGCTAGCCGGAGCACCGATTCATTGGCCGGGTGCTTGGACCGCGGCACTTGGCACACCGACCTCGATGCTTGTAAGCAGAGATCGACCGTCCGCCTACCTCTCCAATTTCTGATGTGACAATCCTTCACTCTCGATCTGAATGTATCAGGCCATCCTTTATACCTAGGTAGTCTCTTACTGCGTTTGAAGAAGTGTAACGTAACCGGTTCTGATCTTGGGGCCAAGTAGTCTACAGTGTTGTATACGAGGAGCTGAACCGCTACGTATGCGGCTCGTGTGTCCACAACTAAGTCCGAAGCCAGACGCAGGGGTAACCATCCGTGGTTGTCGTGATTTCCTTGATTAATGTCGAGAGTGTACCCTTGTCTGTTTGTAACTTTATCGGGATTCAGCCCCCACCTACCTGGCCACTACCACTTTTAAACAACTGCAATCCCGTGGGCAGCTAGTTGCAAGGTTGCAAAAAAAATCCCGTCCGCGCTGCAGATCCCACCATATCCGAACTATGTCCGACAAAAATGATACGAGTCGCCAGGGTGCCTGTGACCGTTGCCGGGGTCAGAAGCTGTGCTGCATAGGAGTAGGAAAGCCGATTTCAAACTCGACTAGTCGGTTCCTGAGGAATACGATCCCCTGTGATCGATGCCGAAGAGCAAAGGTGGAATGTTATTCGGTTCGGCCCGCCCCGCGGAGGACCCAAACAAACACGTTAAACCTAACCCCGCCGTCCTCTGAACGCTCTTTGTCGTCTTATGCTTCGCGAGCCTCTTCTATCTTTTCGCGACCCCCGAGTGACGCTGCGAGTGCTTCATCACCAAACGTCCAGCATGAAGGTCTTTTGTTTCCAGGCGGGGACCTACACAACGATCGCCTCTCGAGATTTCAATCGCCCATGTACGCCGATTGGATCACATATCTCCACGATGAGAAACTCAGAGAAGAGGAAAATCTGGGTACAGGGACACCACACTTGATCGACAAATCTAATCCCGATATATATTAGGATGCAGACCCAATCAATATTAATGACCACAATCATCACACCATGCTTAACCTCATAAACTCGACTGCTCCACATGACTGGAACCCCGATCAAATCGACGTAGGTACGTACCTCAGTTCCAATAGCGAGCCTCAGCTCAGCTCAGCGCTATCAAATATCCACAAAAGAACCACACTGGTGGAAGGAAACGACCACCGCCCCAGGTCGCAAACCATGCGATCATATTCAGGCTCATCACATACTACCACGAAGTTATCTATCGACGATCTCGCTAAACTTCACGAAAGGCTAGTCCAGCAAGGTTTTAGCCACAAATCGAACTTGACCCACTTGCCGGACGGGCCCGAATGTACCCCCGGTCAGCGCTCCATCGGTCAAACCCTTGAACACTGCCAACGATTCGTCTCAATCCTAAAGCGGATCAAATACCAGCGGCCAGGAAGCGATAGCGAGATTGTCTTGGATGGTGTCCGGACCCGGGGGCATGTACCTAACGGTATTCGCAGCACTCATAGTGTGACTACAACTACAGAGACGACTACATCAGCCCTCGAGCTCCCAATACTCTTCTCCATCCTCTTCTGCTACACATCTATTCTGGCTTCCTACGAAGAAATTTTTCTTTCGATAGTCAAGGCCGTCAAAGGACCGACACCTATAATTCCGCCAACGCTTAGCAGCCTACGGATTGACGGATTTGAGCTTAACGGGCATAACACGTTACAACTGGAGTGTTTGCTTAACGTGAGTTATACGCTTTTAGAAAAGGTAGAGGGGCTCTTATTTGGGTCTGGGGCTGCTCAGGAGGGTGATGGTAATGGTAGTGGTATTATCCCAGAGAAACTGGCTACAGGACTGCGCGATGCGCTGCTTGAGGCTGGCAACCGCGATGAGAATGATTTCGCTAATGGCTGTGGGAGTGGGAACAGCGAGGCGCGGGTAAAGCGGTTGATAAGGAAAATTAAGACGGTCTTGGATGGGATAGATCTCTGAGCGTGGTCATGGCATGATACAGTGATGTCGGTTGAGAGCACACGATAAAAAAAAAAAAAAAGTCTTTTTGCTGAGCAGAGCAGCTCTATATCAGAGCTTTGCCCTCTCCAAGCTCATAGACTCCTGCAAAAGCTCCCTTAGGAATTACCAAAGCTGATTGTTAATTGGGCATTTCTTCACGCGAGGGAAGTGGAGGGGAGGTCGCACGCCCAAACACGCCTGATCCGACGATGACGAAGGAGTTTGGAAAAGACATTTCAATGTGTGGGGTGAAGTATGACACTGGACGATGAAAAAGTGTCTATCACCTCCATATTTTTGATATATGGATTGCTTTATACGATTGGTCCGTAAAGAGGAGCTAATACGGACCATGACTAAAATCATACAATCCACCGGACATACGACCACTTGTAACACTAGGCAGGACAGATCGGGATGGCACCGAAATATGGAGACCGAATCTGACGGTCTCGCACTAGCACGACTCCGAAAGCTGTCGGGGGGCTGGCATAGCTCCCGACGTGAAGTCAACGAATCTGAAGCCCACCTAATGTAGCCAACTCTCTAAGCAGGTCTAGCTATTGTTAACTTAGATCTACACTAGATATCTATTGGATTCCGGCATATAGTTTTCAGGGGAGCATGGAGGGTTAGACTAACTCACTAAGGGCAGCACAACAGCACACACAGTATCTCGCGAATATGATAGGTTTGTCAGCTTGTAGAAGGCTTCCCTAATCAAACAACCGAATCTACAATTTCGATCCTGTTCTCGGATCGGGGGGCACCGTAAGCGCCGAGTGATATTTCTTTCTCCAGTAGAGTGTTTATCAACTAAGACACCGCTGGCTACTTCCAATATTCACCTGTGTAGGAAGCCAAAGACTCCCACTAGCACTCCCCCGATCTAGACTCGTCGCACTCACATTCCAATGGCAAGATAAATTCAAACGACTCGTCCAAGCCCGATGGCCTATCTGATCTAGGGCCTGGGATAAGGTCATGCCTATGATTACACCGATGTATCGAAAGGTCTCTAGGTCATCGACATTCGTCGCCAGAAAGCACCCACTAGTCTGGTCCCCTCAATCCTCACAGGACTTCGAAGCAAGGAACGCGAGTTACCAGGCCTTCTGCTCTGGAATGATCGTGGCTTATCCCTTTTCGATGCTGTCCTGGAGTCGTCGGATTACTATCTCACTAGAAGGGAGTGGTCGTTGCTCTCTACGGTCGTGCATGAGATTGTCTCGTCGATCCAGTCTGGAGATAGATTGATTGAGCTAGGTGCTGGGTAAGTCACTTGACAGTCTGAAAGGAGAAAAGAGGATCCTCACTGGAACTTCCAGCTGGCAAGTGAATCCAGAAACATGAAGAAGACTGTCCTCATCCTTCGCGCACTCCAGTCCTAACGAAAGAGCATTACCTATATAGCCTGCGACGTGATGAGATCGGATTGGGATGCTGCAGGTGAGAAGGCACTTGAACGACTGTGATAAGGTTTCTTTAGCTTGCAATACACATATATGATTGAACTAGATGATGTACGAAACAAAAAATGTCTAAAGGAGTAGAGTCCGAAGTTAGAATGAGCTTTCGGACCGAATTCGGGGTTTGAAATCCGAAGTCCGAATACCCCTCTTTGTTCTCTTTGTTGGAGCATTACCTATAGATCTTGAGGACCTCGGCCTTTCCTTGATTGATGACTAGCTCATCGGAGTAAAGTCATGTGGTATCAGGTGATAAGACACGAGACACAACTGGAACTTGTCGCCTTGGGGAGTCTGCATTCCTGATCCATCATATATCGCTTCACAATGCCAACCTCACACAGAATCCAAGTCCGGTCAAACCAAGGTGAGGTTCAGCTATGGATCAAAGCCTGAAATGGATCCTGCTAACCCTTCACAGATGTTATCCGAGATTATTCCGGGTCTCTTCTCGATTGTCCCACCACAGAGCGAACCTGGCAGTCTATCAACCTGTTGCTATGGGAGGAAAATGCGTCTCAAATATCTGATCTTCCCGCAACCCCGGGCGATCTTCACATCTATCAGGTACACCACGATCAAGCCCAGGTGGAGCTCACGGCGTCCTCTCTGAACTCTGAAGCAGCACTGCAGTTTCTCTGGGACACTCTGCGCGCAGCAACCGCGTCAGGGAAGCGCGCCGTGAAACTGATTGTCCCGCTACACAGCGGATATATCATCAGCTCAAATATTATTCCATTGCGATTCCGTGACTCGCAGCACATCGAGTCAGCCATTTCCTTCGCCCAGCCGCTACAGACCTATAACGGCCAGCCTGTTTCCGACCCGAGATCCGCGGACTTAACAACCCTCATTTCTGCTGCCACTGCCGGGCTGATTCTCTATCCTGACGTGGTACCGGGAAGTGACGCGGTCGAGTCAGATCTAGACAACAGACTCTCTTTCCCTTGGGTCCAACCTGGCACGCCTCAATGCAAGACCCTGGCGCTAGTCGACGCCAACAGCGCCCATCCCGATGACGGTCTAGGCTTCTACCGCGCTGCACGTGAGCTCGGCATCAACGTTGTCGTGCTCGAAAACGCAGGACACTGGCTTGAGGACCCGGCACAGTCTCACTGGCGGGAGGCATTCATTCCGACGCGCCTAACGAACCCGCCTGAACCTGATATGGGGAGACATATCCTTTCATCGCTACGAGCGTACGGGAAGCCTGTCGACGGGATTTTGACATTCGCCGATTCCTTCTGGTACTACATTGCGCAGATCACACCGGAACTTGGGCTGCAGACGGCACCGCCGGATTCGCTCCGCATCGCGACGAATAAGTTCCTCACAAGCAAGTACGTTGGCCACGAGGCATACTCTGCAAACAGTCTCGATGAAGCGCTGGCCCTTGCAGAAAAGGTGGATCTTCCCTACCCCCTTATCGTCAAGCCATGTGACGGCTGGAGCTCCGAGGGTGTATCCCGAGTCGACACACCCGGTGCGCTCCCGGCCGCGATAAAGTCCATCGACACCTCGCGCCATGGCACTGAGTTTGTCATGGAGCAGTACTGCTCCGGCCCCGAAGTAGATGTGAACCTTGTCCTCCTCGATGGTAAAATTATCTTCGCCGAGATCTGCGATGACCTTCCCAAGTCCGCGGACGTTAACGGGCCGACTGTGGGTTCACTGATGAACTTCCACGAGCTGAATAGTGTCTACCCATCTGCGCTTCCGAAGAAAGAATTGGACCTCCTCATTACCAGCTTTGCGGACACGCTCTTGTCCCTGGGGATCAGGAACGGGGTCATGCACCTGGAAGGCAGAGTTAAGAACTCAATAATGGACTACAGTGAAGCCCACGGCATCATTGATCTACACCCACATAACGACATCTCCCTCTCGAATTCACCCTCAGCATGGCTGATCGAAATCAACCCCCGGCCCCTAGGCATGACAGGCTCTCACATCATTGAATCAACCTACGGCATCGACTACTGGGCTCTGGCTGCCATCCTCGGCGTAAACGACAAACCCCGCGCCCGTGCCCTCTCAATCCCCTACAAGTCTGGTCCCCAATACACAGCGATAATGGTCTTCATCCCGGCCGACTTCCCCGCAGAATGCGACGGTATCTTCGATAGCGACGATATCTGCGCGGACCTGATTGCGCGACGGCCTGATTTGGGGAGGAACGTTAGTCGCTGTGCGACCCTTGTGAAGCGTGGAGAGAAGGTGAAGCACCCTAGTACGGGCAAGCATACGTTTTTGGCATATTTCAATGTGTTTTCGCGCGTTGGACGGGCGGAGGCGTTAAGCTTGGCGAGGGAGGTGAGGGAGGAGGTTAGGTATGCTTTTGTGTAACAAGTAAATAACGACTGTTTGGGAACAAGAGAGCCGTCAACACGGATGTATTCGATTATGATTGAGCTTTCTGGTATTCGTTGAGAACGGCAACTTTTGACCTACTATCCTTGCTGAATTACGCAAAAAGATCCGGGAAAAGACTCTTTGGCCAGATCGTCGACCAAACATTGTTATCGGCACTGAGCAAGGTTCTCTTTGTCTTGAGGGTGCTATTTGGTTCGGAAAAGATGGGGACGATTTCTTATACAAGGATGGGCAGAATCTATTTCACGACCCTCTTCGTAGAATAGGAAAAAAGGGGTTCGGAAGAATCAAGGACGTATTTGATCCTTATATTTAGTTAGTTGTATCGCATCTATTCAAATTCTTTAGCATAGAACCTAGTAGTATGTTGTTTGTTTTTCATCCTTGGAGAGCCTAAGTCAATACCTCACAGACTGCCACCTACCTTATAGTAAAGTCCCACCTTGATACAGTCAATGAAGGCTCTTTGTTCTTTAATGAAGGCTTGGAAAGCAGTGTCGGTGTAGTCGGAGTTCGGAGTGAGTATGTGTAAAGTTAAGGCCGACGTTATATTCGGCCCGTGACCCGAAATATTTAATTTAGTCCCCGTTAATCGTACCAACTGAATAGGGAAGTAGGGCCGAGTAACCGGAGTAAACTAATAACATCGAACTCTTTATAGATTTAGTTTTCATTATATACGCACTCCGATCCTGGAAGAGCAGATACCTTAAGCATTATCAGCTCCTGCCCTGGACAGGAAACAGATGAAACCTCAATTTCCCCGCTCTCCATCATTCCTGCTGTCCATCTGTGTCCGACATGTCCTCCATAACCTCCCAGCAGGACGAGGCGAGGCGTGAGCACCAGCGCGCCATCCTCGACCACTAGCTCCACGGTCTAGATAATGGATTATTGCCCAAAAAGAACGTTTTGACCTACGCCGCCCTCTCAGACTGAATCATTCTATCCGTAAGTTCAATCTGTGCGATCCTAGCAGGAGCCCTGAATCCGCTCGCCCCAGTCATCTACGGTCTTCTGGTCAGCGTCTTTAATGGCTTCGAAAACGGCACAGTCGAGGCGTCAGAGCTCCGTTCCAAGGTCGCCACGTTCTCGCTGTACTATGTCTATCTTAGTATCGCGCTGTTTGTTTTCACCTACGTCGCGACGGTCGGCTTCTACTATTCCGGTGACCGTATTGCCCGAGCCCTCCGGACAGCATATCTCTCTGCCATCCTGTGGCAGAACATGGCATTCTTTGATACCCAGGCCCAGGAGAGATCAGGAGTCGGATCATGTCGGACATGGGGACCGTGCAGTAGGCGGTTACGAGTAAACTGGCGGTGATGCTAACCGCGCTCGCGACGTTCTGCGCGGCGTTTGTGGTCGCCTTCATCATGTACTGGAAGACGGCGTTGATCATCAGTCCATTCTTCGTGGTTATGATTGTCACGGGGAGTCTCGGGGGTGCGTATATGGTCAAGCACCATAAGCGGGCGATGGAGCTGTATACCCAGGTGGCAGGGGTGGCTGAGGAGGCCGTTGGTGCGATAAAACATGTCACGGCGTTCGGCATTCAGTCTCTGCTGTCTATTCGGTATTTGGATGTTCTGAGTCAGGCCGGGAAGGCAGACCGCAAGACCGAGAGTATGGTTGCAGTGATGATTGCGTGGACGAACGCGATGCCGAATCTCATCTATGCGCTTGCGTTCTGGGCTGGCTCGATTTATTTGGTTCGCGGGGAGATGACCATTGCCGAAGTGAGCTCCACGACTCTGGACGGGCCCGTGTGTTATCTATTGGTTGTTGTTGTCCAGTCTGCGTTGCCAGACAGCCATCGAGCCATCCCCATTTCAGTATGTAAATAAAACTGTTTCTCAACAGACGACTAACAAAAATAGACATCTCGATGCCCATCATGGACGGCTTTGAAGCCACTCAGGAAATTCGCCGGTTTGAAAGGGAATATTGGTCTAACAATGCTTCATCAAAACCGCCTCCCTGGCACTCGGCAACCATTGCGGCATTGACTGGACTGGATAGTGCTGTTGCTCAGCAAGAGATCTTTTCAAGTGGAATCGATATATTCATCACTAAACCAATCAAAAGGCAAGGTATACGTCCAATATTGCAAAGAGTCAACGGATGAAGGTCCTCTCTGTGTGTGTTTGTATACTGCGTAACATGTGTGAAATATAATGCGAATTCTCAAATACGTTATGTAAATTACAATTCATTCCTGGAAGTGAGGGATCGACAGCTACAACGAAATTAGGATCCATATTGAATACAAAGCGGGCGCCCTGTGTCTATGACACGGTCAAACAGAAATCTGAGGTGCAAGAGAAGACAAGAATACACGTATCACAACTCCCTGTGCCTTCTGTCTCTCTTATATACCCTCCGAGCTAGCCCACAGCCCTCGGGGAGCGGGCGGAGACTGCCCGTAAGATGAGATGAAGGATAACCTCTTTCGAGTTGGGCAAGGAGAAAACAAAAGGAATTTGGGAGCGAACTACCGGGTATCTATACAGTAGAGCCTTCACGAGACGGTGGGTTAAGCTATGTACTACAAAGTTTCGAGTTCACTGGCATCTCGATTCAATTGGGTTTGGCGTCCCCGAAGGATGGGCGCTCTAGCTGGTCTCCGAGTTAACGCCGATGCTTAAAGTGCCACAGCTTATGTCTGAATTACCACATTTGGATGTGAATGCTATATTGGCACCGTGTTCCATAACTGTAATAATTTCATCATGTCATTGGTGTGCTGGTTGACTCTGGAGCCAGCTTTACAGGTTACCATTGATATGGGTGCTGACCGTGCTACCATGGCACCTTTAAATATTGCGACTACTACTGGACACGTGACGGCAGCAGGTAGATGCTACCGAGAATGACTCACAGCATAATAGACTATCCGAAGACAAAGGTAGCAACAAAAAGTATCATGCATTATGCAAAACCACCCAGCGGACATTCTACCCAAAAACACGCATTCCAACAATATCAGGGGCGTAAGTTTGGCTCACATCCACAGCGGCATCATTCCCGAGAACCAGCGTATTGTTCCCATTCTTCCATCCTGGCAAGAGCAATCCCAGAGTGGCAGGATCCCACCAACCGAGTCCTGGTCCATAGAGCTCACTATGCCGACCAGAAAGAGGGACCTCAAGACGAACTGGGTCTCCACTGTTGAGGGAGATAGTCAGGTTTCTCGAGTTGGATCCGTATCCCCATGAAGTAGACAGGGCAATGTCGTTGTTGATGTAGTCAACCTCCACATATTTTGCTATAGACTTGCCAGAGGCATTGGATGGTATACTGACCGGGACGGTAATTGAGGCTGTGTTATTGATGTTGAGATAGCCAATCTTTGAGCGCACTGGCTTGCAGTAACCATCCCCACAGGTTGTGAGACTGGTGGATCCTGACAGGGCAAATTCTGGAGCGCCGTAGTACGTTCCGGTTGGGGACTGGATCTGGATTGATTCAATTGGAATGGTTGAATCCAGAAGAATACCGTTTGCGGTGCCTGCAGTCAAAAATATGCTTGCTTGTACTGTTTCGCTTGAAGCCGGTACCCGAATTGTCCGAGGTGCATGGCTGACAGGGGATCTAAGGGTGATGCTGGTAGCTGAGCCTGAAGCCCGAGAGAAAGCGATGGAAATGGTGTACTTTGAGCTGGTGGTGTTGGCGTAGATGTTGCTGAACGTCAGCTTGTTTCTAGCCAGAATGAGTTAGCGATGAGACTGAGCAACCCAAGAAGGGACGACAACAGTGATGGCGTGGGGTAGAATAGGATGCTAGAAACGAGGCAAAGATACGACAGGTGAACATACCCGCTCTTCGTCGCAAAGCGCTCTGCTGAATAGGTACCAGCTTGCGTCGTGTTGCTCAGCTCCAACAAAATAACCCCATGAGGCGCGACAGTTGAGGTATAACTCGTCTGAACACCCTCAACAACCTTGTCCGCCCAAACATCCTTGACCGTGCCAGCATACTGAACCCCAACATCAGGCAAATCTAAGGTCAACTCGCGCTCGACATCATTCCAATTGATCAACGCAGCGACAATCCTCCTACCCTCAAGCTCTCCACTCCAAACCTCATACCCCTCCTCCGTCCACCGTCTCCTCAAAACCGCACTCACCCCCAGCGCATCCTGATTAAACCCAATGGCAGCCTTATTCTTCAGCACCGCAAGCGATCCTTCGCCAATACTCGTCACTTCATCCTTCAACGCCCCGCCAATAGTAAGTGGACTTTTCAAAATAGCCCACATGCTAAAATGCGTCTGCTCCTCCGCGATAGTCAGGACATTCGTCCCAACCTCCAACATATCCAGATCAGGCCATTGTCCAGCCCCCGCGAACGGCGTATTCGGTACAGCCTGATTCAATGTTCTAAAGATAGCTCTCCACGCAGGAATGATATCATTGCCAATCCGCCATGTGTGGCCTAGCGATGGAGCCCAGAGAGCGGGGAAGTCTACACCCCATTCGCAGATTTGGAAAAGGACGGCCCTGTGCTCGGATAATGCATTTGTCATGTTGGCGTATCGGGCTCGAGGGGATGTACTCGGTGTATACTCCACATTCGGATACCCAGTCGCAGCGTCAGAGAAGCAGTTATCATCTACCACGTCAGTATTCATTCGACATTGCAAGAATGGGAGTAATACATTTCAGAGCATCGACACCCCATGAGGCAAAAGTATCCGCATCTTGGACTTCATGATCTGCATTCGAAAGTAAGCTCATGGCATCGTTAGACCTCATTGTGAAACATACACAGACTCCCCACCTGTTCAATATCTACCTGACATGTGCGAATCCCCGCGTCTTCATAGACTCCAAAGAGAAGACCCAGGTCATGAATATATTCTCCCAACGCAGCAAATCCGCTCGGGAAGATTGTTTCGTTCCATGTCAATGAGCCATTCGCTGTTCTGTCTGCAACCGTCCACCCGCAGTCAGTTGTCACATAACGGTATCCCAAATCAGCGAGGCCGAGGTCGACGAGTGCTTTTGCGTTAGAATGGACAATCGACTCGTTAGGGGAGCATGAGTAGTGATTATACGTATTCCAGCTGCAAAATGTCAGAGAAACCCCCTTGGAAAGTCTCAATGTGCAATGGAAGTCAAATAATACCCCATTGGCGGCGTCTGGGCAACGCCATCCTGGACCCTCCGATCTAGCGTCGCACGGACTAAAGGCAAAAGCTGAAGAACAACCCAAACGAGCAACATTGGAAGTTGAGAACAATGGACTGTACAACATCTCACATGGAGGTACATATGATCTCATTTATATCTGGCCCTCCACATGGGGTTCCGTTACATACAACGGAAAATTACCCGTTCGGGCCTTGCATGTTGACTAAAGCGACGATCCGGAGAAATCCACGATCCACGATTCGCGAGAACGTTTCAAGATCGACATTGCTTACTAGAATCATCAATGTAAGCGTGTAAATAGGAAATGCAAGATTAAACGCTATGTAGCTAAAGATACTTTTACATTCAAAAGGAAAGACCCCAAGCCCGAGTCACCCCCTGCAACTTGAAACACGCCGTCCCACCATAAGATAAAAATTCCCATCAATCGTTTCAAAGAATTTCAGAGCTCGCCCTTAAGCAAAAAGCCCCATAACCCCTGAGCAGAACAAGACAGCAAGAACACCCAACCCCCCCTTACTAACACCATTCACACCCGCAGCGTTGGTGCTCGTACTAGTACCAGTCCCGGAATGCGTGTTCGTGCTCGTGGAGGTAGTCTTCGTAGTAGTCGCAGCAACAGTGGCAGTAGCATTCTGCTTGCCCTGGCAGAACACATCACGGTAGTTGTTTGACTTGCTCTGCAGGCAGTCGGTGAGTTCGGCGACGGTTTGTTCTTGTGCGAGACAATAGATGCCGCAGTCGGAGTCGTATTTGACCGGGCTGTCGCCTTTGCAGCAGGTGTCGAAGACGGAGGTCATGTTGCCGGAGATTTTGGCCGCGCAGGCTGCGTCGGTCATGGGGATCTGGTAGACGGATGCGCCGCAGGCGGTCGCCGTGGCGAGGACAGAGGTTGTTGTTGTGGTCATTTTGGTGATTTGGTGGGGTGTGGGGTATAGGTGTAGTGGAAGTAGATGGGAGATCCGAGATTTCAGAGTTGTAGAGGAGAGAGAAAATATGAGTTGGAAAAGATGCGAAAGTCAAGGCAGGTGAATTAATTTATGTGGTTCAGGGTAAGACAAGGCACCGATTTTGTGACTAGTCTCAGCCCGAGACCCAATTTTACACCGGTTTTTGTGGGGGGAGATCCACCTGATCTAATTATACATGATCCATCACATGTGGTACGATGCAGAAGGGAATAGTTACAAGCCATACAGGCCACATGGGGAAGAATCAAGATCCTTGCGTTTGATCATCTGGGTACAATACAGGCTACCTCTCCTTGCTCACTGCATCTTTGTCTCCACAAACTCCTCAGTGTGCGCGGTGTCGAGCTTCTTCTCATTCGGGCCCTCCACACCGACCAGTTCCAAAAGGCCAATCTGGCTCTCGATGCGGTGCTTGCGCTCGGCGTCCGCTGCAGCCAGACCGGACGATCCGAACAACTCGTCCATTTCCTCCAGGGTACGGCCCATGGTCTCGGGAACCATGAAGTAGACATACGCGATGCCGACGACAGTGACACAACCGAAGAAGATGAACGTTCCGTAGGCGGACTTTGAGATGAACGGGGATGTAGAAGTTCCGACCGCGAAGTTGTTCAACTAGAAAGAGTTAGAAAGGAAATGGCGTAGAGCAAGACTGTGGACGACATACCCAGTTACTGCTACCACCGATACTGACTCCCTTGGCACGCATGCTGAGAGGGAAGACCTCGGAGGTGACGATCCATGCGACAGGGCCCCAGGAGTAGGCAAAGTTAATCACGAAGATCCACACGAACACAATAGCGACCCAACCGGCTGCGCGGTGTTCATCGAATGTACCCTGGTAGGATCCGATGATACCCGCGACGATGAAGTGGCAGGTAGCCATGCCTACAGCACCGGCGATCAAAATCTTCTTACGACCGATCTGATCGACCCAGAGTACGGCGGGGATGGTGAAGAGGAACTCGACGATACCGACGACTCCGGTCGCGAGGAGGGTAGTTGTGTTTCCGGGGAGGTCCATGTTTTTGAAGATGAAGGGGCTGTGGGATGTCAGTCTTTGTGTGAGGGGGTCGAGAGGGTTGTGGAAAGGTCCTTACGCGTAGTAGTTGATTGCGTTGATGCCGTTCCATTGTTGGAAGACCATGATCATGCACTGGAGTTGTTAGTGATTGATTTCGACCATAGAGGAAGTGATTCATACAGCAACGCTGGTACGCTTGAACAACGACTTGTTGGTAATAAGCGACAGGTAATCAAGACATCCGATCTTGAAATTGCTCTTGAACGAGCCATCCTGGAGGTGCGGGTACTTCTCGGCAGCAGTCTCGACTTCGAACATGTGCAGACTCTTGATCTCGAGGAACTCGATGCGAACCAGGAGGTCATCAGTCGAAGTACCACGTAGACGGGCAAGTACCTGTAAGCACTCCTCGTCGCGGCCAGTATTCATGAGATGGCGAGGCGACTGCGGCATGAACATCATCATACCGGCTGCGAGAACAACAGCAGGCAAGATCTGGATGCAGATAGGGACCAGCCAAGCCGCGTTTGACTGAGTGACTCCTGTCCCGCCGATATAGTTTGTTCCGTATCCAATCTACAGCTGTCAGTACTCATCTGTGAACCTCGTGAGGAGACATACCCAGAATGAAATCATGATACCAAAGGTAATGGCCAACTGCTGTACAGCAACCAGCGAACCACGAATCTCAGGCGGCGCCAGCTCTGCATTATACAGGGGCACAATCATGGACAAACTACCCACACCAAGACCAGTGACGAATCGTCCTCCAAAGACAAAATCCTTGTTAGTTGTGCAGGCCTGCACAATGACACCAATACAGAACACCACCACAGCGACCAGAACTGTAAGACGACGACCGAGGCGATCGGCGAGATAACCATTGATGAGGGTTCCGACCCAAGCACCGAGCTCGAGAATGGAGGTCAACATGCCCTGCTTGATACCGGTATTCTCGGCGTATCCGTTCGTCTAATCGGGTCAGCGACAGCCCGCGAGAAGATTGGGGATATACATACAGCAACGACGAAAGAGTGCATAGTCAAGACCTGGGCGAACATTCCCTGGTTATAACCATACACCAACCCACCCAGCGACGCGAACAGGCCGATGGCGAAAGTCTTCTTATTACTGATCAAACCATAGATACCAGCTTTACCAGCAAGCTCGGCACGCTTGGCCGAAATGGCCGTCTCACCAGCCAGAGGAGCCATGATGAGTATTTGCAAAAGTTAGCGATGATTCAAGAGCTGGGGATCGTCGCTCCTTTTTATCAGCGTAAATCGCCCAGCAACAGGGAAAATACCCCGGGCCTTTATCCCCACGGGGCACTGGACCCGGACTCTCCATTCGTACCCGTCTCCACAGTCACCGTGTTAGCCGGTCGGCTGCCAGGAATCGGAAAGATCGGTACAGCCCGTGCGCGGGATGGCTATTTACCCGGACTAAGATGAACGCTGGGTAAATTAGGGAATCGGGATCATCGTTTGGGGCTAGGCGGAGGCTTAGATGGTGGTTGACGCCGCGGCTTGAGGTTCAACGCCAACGATCGGACATGACTATTCAGTTTGACATGATGATAAGAAATTTGATTCTGTTCTGGCTTCAATCTAATGACTCTAGCAGAGGACAACGTGGAGAAAGCTCGGATTTAAAGGAACGGGACCACCCACATCTCCACAATCCGGGGGGTAAACCCCGCGTTCCCACGCTGTTACTGTAATCTTCCAGACCACGCGTCCGACCAGGCTTTATCCCAATTAAATCCTGTATTTCAACATAGCCAATGATATTATCCAAAATAGAGACTTGTCAAGACCGCACAGACAAAGGTAGAGGCTGAACGCGCCATCAAATGTAATGCCACATGGACTAAACCCAAAATGGCCTCCACCCTTTCCTCGAGCGAATTGCGGGTAAGTCCCAATTTAGCCTGATATCCTCCGACACGCCCAGCCCGCCTTCCACGCCTTTCCCGTTACCAATAGCTTATGCTGCTTACTGGTGAACGAATCGGCTTCGGGCGGAGCGAGAAGATGTTGGATGGACCGGTAACCCCCCGGACTGAAAAAACACTCAGGCTTTGCCCTCAAGCATTGTCCGGGTTGGACTCGGGTAAAGTAAGTTATCTGGGGTATTACCCGGAATATGGCCTGGTACGTTCTCCAGGTTAGAGAGCCGGAGCCGGAAAGAAACGTGGACTGACTCGGCATCTACCTCGGCTTGGACTTGGACTGGGACTGTCCGGTCGGGGGTTATTCACGCCAAGACAATACATCGGGAGGGGAAGGCTGGAGGGACGACGCTAGGCATGCATCATTGAAAGGATATTTTAGTCGATGGTTCTTTATGAGAGATCGGTGTTGCACAGCAAATCTTGCTTTGGTATTTTTATCTTAATACAAAAAAGAAAAAAAAGGGTTCAAAGAAACTCTACCAAAGGAATATATCAATTTGTATTTAAGATCTCACCATAAAGGAAATCTAGAAGAAATCTAACTTGAACACAGGTCGAACCAAGAAGATACCGTTAGAAAAAGGCCGAACCAAAGAAGTATTCTATACATCTGCTCATTAAATAGAAAAACCTTAAAGCGCATGTCGATAGACATCATCGAAAGGTCAATGTCCGGCCGGGGTCGAAATCTGCTTAATGCGATGAGTGCCTCTAGCATACCCACCCAGCGTAGCGAAAGTAACTAGCCTACCAATCGGCGACAGGAGTACATAAAGTAGCATCGTACTCGACTGTGCCAAACTCACACGTATGAGGGACGAGCTCACCCCACGTCGCGCCAACATCCTCATAGACCTGATCTCTGGTTAAATCCTTAGTCTGCGATATCACAATGAAATCCAGAAAGAATCAAGCCCTTGCTCTGCTCATTTCTTGGCCTCATATTTTGCATTCTTCCTATCCATGAATTCAAGTCTTTTGTCTCACCCACACGGTCAAGAAAATTGTCCGAGAAGCCCGGCATGCGCCCCTTTACTGTATTCTGTCTCGGACTTGTCTAGACCTATTTGAGTCAGTATGCATTTTGCCCAATTGCTCCTCATGGGTATTTTCTGACATCAACACATCCTATAATAACATACAATATTCTGCACAGTACTTATATAATCTTTAGCGGCAGCATCTATAAGAATTAAAGTTAAGTGTCCCACCGCGAAAGTGGTTTCATATTGAGATACTTATGCCTGACTCTCATTCTGAGTTTAGAAACCTGAGTTGACGGCTGCGAAGACTAAAATCACTACGATCGACTCTGCACCATCTTTCCAGGGAAACATCCTGGTGAGTGTTAATGGAACAATGGATGTAAGTGACCCGTTTATTATTCCGACTTCGACAATAATTGATGCCTAATCGGGAGCGAAACAGATCAAAGGGGCGTATGATCACCCACTAAATTTCACGTCAACTTTCGTTCTGGTACCTATCAATACAATCAATAGATATTAGATCCATAGTCACATCTCCAGACTGACTATGTGATGCAATTTAAGTACTTCTCTTCTGTTTATGGCTAAATAGACGAAAGTGACTATCAGTCCTCAAGTTAGAATTCAAGTCACTTTATACAATACTACATGCATTGTACAGCCTTATTGGCTTATGGTTAGCTTGAAACCCGTGTTTTTCAAACCATGTCGGTCTGAAATTGGATATTAGCTGGCCATCCGTAGAGTGGTGCGAACTGATTACCGCAGGTTGTCATCCGATCGAGACTGCCAAGAAGTCTCAGGGTTCCCACAACTAGGTACCTAGGCATAGATATGGTATTTGAGGGTAGTCAGGTCTATTAATTCCAGCGTCGACTTGTTTCAAACATGTCGATTACTCTTGAGAGACCTTGTAATGTTAAAGTGGTACTCGGACGCACAGGCATGTACATACATGGACTAGAATTTCAAGATCCGCGTACTAGAAAACAGAATCCGTTCCGTTCCATTATGATCTCCGCAGTAAAATACCATTCATACCGTCTTGCAGAAAATCAAAACCACCTCCATGTTGATCTAGTAGCCTGAAAATTATGGAGCAAGCTGGCACGCCCATCACTCAGGATCGGTACCGTGCTCAGACGAAGGCAAATAATCAGGCTGTACAGCCATGGCTCGCTCAGGTGAAGGAGCATTCACATTAGTATCTACAGGCGACCACGACGAAAAAGATGGCTGCACATCAGCCCTCTTCGGGGTATCATGAAGCAAACCCCTCATCGAATTCCTTGATGCAAGTCTTCCATGAAGCTCAGTAAAATCATTCTGCGGACTGAAGACCTGGTCTGGACTTCTATCGCTCACGTCGGCAAGTTTGGTCTTAGCTTTATCAAGCTGGAAGAGCATCCTCCGCTCCTCTCGCTGCTCAATCTGCCAGGGTGTCGAGTAGTGTTTCACCTCCCAGTAAAGCGTATCTCTTGCCCTAGCATCCTGCGTATCCATCGTTTTATTCAGAAACATCGGAAGCACACGCAGTGATTGCGCATGGTCATCGGCGAAGAAGATGAATTCGAGATCATTATCGAGAGCCCAGCGAACGACGAACCGAAGAAGCGCAAGACCGATGCCATGGCCTCGATATTGTCGCTTGATGGTCCATGCCCGGATACAAACTTTCTTTCGATGATACGTATTCATCAGGTAACTCATAGGATGTCTGCGTTTAAGGTCTCGACCAAGTTCAAAGCCCGGGTCCGTATCCCGCTCCCAAGTATCGATAATGCGCAATACGACGGCGCCGATGATATCTTTGCCGAGACGGGTTATGAATACATAGTCATCCCTCTCGTCCCGTGAGTACCGTCCGGCTTTCTCGGCACGACACAGATTGCCCAGTCGGGTTTTAATCCAGCGGTGGCCGTAGAGCCAGCTCCAGCGTCCGACCTTCTCGGCTTCGTCGAGGTATCGGCGTACAATGATTTTGATAACTGTCATGACTGTCGTCATGATGCAGGCAATTTTAATGAGAATAACGAGCCAATCTGAGGAATCGTGGGCTCGTTCGACAATGAGATATGGGATGCTGGCGATAATGGGCAGCCAGCATACTGGGTGCAGGAGGAGGGATCGAGCGGCGAGTTGACGCTGTTGGGCGACAGAGTCAGAGATGAGGCGGAGTGCTGGGATGAGGTCTTCGTCGGTGCGGGCGATGTAGGTTGTTGTTTCGTTAGGATCAGTAGAAGGTAGTGGGTCAGTCCATTTGGCCGCGACGAAGTTTTGGGCTCCATCAGGGGTCCATGCCTCTGGATGGTTACTCTCATCCTCGCTTCTCCAAAACTTTGTGACGGGTTCTGGAAGTTGAGCCTGGGTTGAGGCATCGGTGGACTTTCGTAGAGTCGGCTCAGGCCGAGTATCTCGAACGGCCGTCGCGACAGTGCAACCCTGTGAGGGTGGTATCACCGCCTCGCGCGCCATCTTTTTTGGAAACCTAGATGTGTAGTATATTTGTGTTGGATCAAGAATGGGTGGATGGGTAAGAAAACTTAAGGTCGGAGATGTAGGCGCGAGGGGAGACGATGAAATGAGGTCACGAACTCAATAATAGGCAGCACTTGGAACAACACTGAGCTTCTAGGCAGACATCTCACTCAGACTGAACTGTGGCTCAAAGAGAGACTGTGAGACCGGGTTAGGACTGGTAGGTTGACATTTCACCAGCCACATCCCATGAAATGTAAGTGTAATGAACCTTGTCTACCTCTCCAGGTACCCAACCCCTTCCATATGGTACAAGCAATCTTTCTGCTTTGGCTGGACTCGAACTGAGTTAAGGCCACTTAATCTTGTGTGGCTAATCCCTACCATTGGATCTTTTTGGAGCAGCGATGCCCAAACTTAGCAACTACATATTGAGATTCCTCTAATTGGAAATACAAAGATAGCGCATATGATCCCGGAGGTGTGCCTCGTGGTCTAACGCAGGTAGCATCATCGCGTGGTACACACGCCCTTGTGCAACCCCAATAGCCCACCTGGGTAGTGTCCCGAGTGTCTCGTAGCTCCAGGCCTGCATATCTCTATCAGACTCGAACTAAACCTCCTTTTCTACATAATACGAATACAAGAACACTTTCAAACGAGACTTTCATTAGCAATTATTCTGAGCTACATAAACGTAGCTGGGACGTATCAGAGCCCAATGAGGTAAAGATTAAGTAAGAAAGTGAGATCACGCGAAATTTCTCCCGTCAGCTCTTTGAAAACCCAAAAAAAGGAAAGTTGAACCCTGCTCAGACCCAGCAGTGCATGTTGTTACATAGGGTTTCAGTTGACGTTACTCTGTGAATGAGCGTAAGCACCGTTGCCCTGTGTGTCACTGCCTTGGATGGAGGTCAGGGTGGGGTCCTTGGGGCGAGTGTAGTCTTCCAGCTCGTCCGGGTTGGTCGTGTTCATCTCAACGGAAGGACTATTGTGAAATTTCTCACCACTGAGCTCCTCTAGGGTCTTGCGCTTCGTCTCGGGTATCAACAGGGTGGTGAAGACACCGCATAGCATGAACAGAGCGAAGATCTGCATCACATGGTTGAGCCAGGGCGAGTCGGAGCTGTCCTTCTTTCCACCGCGGTGAACCAGGGGGCCGAACACGCACTGAGCGATGATGGCACCGACCTTTCCGGACGCTGCACTGATACCGTGCGAGGTCGAGCGGTAGCGAGTTGGGAAACACTCGCCGGGGACAATAAACGTAGTCGCGTTGGGCCCGAAGTTGAAGAAGAACTGGGCCAGGATGTACATTGCCAAAAGACTGTTGTGGGATTTTTTCAGAGGCTCGAAGGCAAAACCGATGATGATGAACAGAAGGGTCAAAATGATGAATCCGGCTAGTTGGATCGGCTTGCGGCCGATGGTATCAACAGCAGCAACTGTGACCCAGTAACCAGGGATGGCACCAGCGCAGATCAAGATAAGATTTCCAACGGCGTTGCGGTAGAAGGTCTCGTACACATTCATTCCACCAGTCCAGCCGATTGCACTCAAGATAATGGAGTTGTTGAGACCAAGGCCGTAGAAAGCTGGAAGACTGATTAGCATTAATTCTAGTTTACAGGGGAGGGAGCCAACCTACCAACATCGAGGAAAAACCAGGAACCAGCAGTGCCGAGAAGAACCTTTCCATGTTTCCATTTGCTGTAGTAATTGACAAAGTCTTTCCAGCTGGCCTTGGGGGCGAGATACTCAATGCTCTTATTGCGAAGGATCATGATGCGCTGGATGTCATCGGGGTGGCCCTCAGGGTGGCCCTTGATGTAGGCGCTGATGTCCTCGTCGGCCTTGACAATGTCGCGGTTGACGTCGAATGTGTAGCGAGGGGTCTCAGGAATGGTCAAGCGGTAGTACAGAGCGGCACAAGCAGGCACTGCTCCAAAACCGATCACAATACGCCACATCTTGTCAACTGCAAGCTGGCAAACACCGGAGCAGTGGGCCACATCCTTGGCGCTCTCCAGAGACTTGCGGAAACCCACAGTCACAATGAGTGCCATTATTGCTGCGACAAACTGACCAATCCCCTGCATAGCAAAAACGGAGCCCATCATCGCACCGCGCCATTTGGTGGATGCGAACCTGGTGTTACGAGTCAGTTCCGTCCCACGGCATGTCAGATGAACTATTGGGGGATGTCAAACTTACTCCGAGGTGATGATAGACGAGAGGGGGTAATCACCGCCGATGCCAATGCCCATGATGACACGCCAGAAGATAAGAAGACCTGTAATAGGGATTGCGCGAGAGCTGGAAGAGAGAGCCTGGGCGAGAGTAGCCATGATGATGATCATCAACTCGATTCCGTACATGCGCTTACGACCAATGCGGTCCGCAAGCCAGCCGAAGAAGAGCTGGCCGATGACAGTTCCACCAGAGGTTGCAACCTTGATGGCGGTATCCGAGTTGATGGGGAGCTTGCCTGGGCTGGTCTTTGCATCCTGCCAGTAGACAGCACCAATCATGGAGACAGTCAGATTAATGGCAAAGATGTCGTAGGAGTCTGTAAAGAAACCCACGCCGGCAACAACAACAGCACGAACATGGTGCCAACCGAAAGGGGCGTTGTCAATCCTGGCCAAAGCTAGACGACGGCGCTCGAAGGGATCAGAGATACTCGAGGCATCCTCAAGAGACATCCCAGCTTCCTCGTTGTGATTCATCGTGTAAGCTGATTTTCTTTCTCTGGAAAGCACTTCGGTATTGTCGAAGTTTCAGCTTTTAAGCTGCGGGAACAATAGATAATTCGATTGAAATGAGAGCACGGGAGGTTGAAGGAAGGAGAGAGAAGAGAGAAGAGAAGAAGGAGATGAAAGAGAAAGAGCGAGGCCGGGGGGTATCCACGCGAAATATGACGGTTACACCATATTTTCCATGTCGAGAGACGGAGGTAGCATCATGGTACCTGTTGATAGTATTAAATGCAGCTATAATAGCGGGTACCTGGGTGTCAGGGCTGATTTCAATTTTGGGGAGAGAGGGCTCCGTTCTGGCTGGGCCAATGGGAGACCCAAAATCGGGCACATGGGTTGAACGAGTGGACGTCGGATATGCATTCAGATCGGATCTTCCCCAGACATGGCTCCTGCCAGACGAAGCTTAAACAGGCCACACACGGCATCTTGTTGCGAGTTGGCGAGTTGGCGAGTTGGCGAGGAGGATGATTTATGAGGTTCTGGGAGTTCTCATGTTTTCTGTTCTCATGTTCTCATGTTCTCATGTTCTCATGTTCTCCGACTTGATCACGGGGGGAGTCCACATCTTCTTTCCTTTGTTCCTTCCCTTTTGAGAATTACACTCTTCCCACGCCGTTGATGACCCTGTTTCTCTAGTTCTTTATTTGATGAACCATCCTAGAGCAGCTCATCATATCCGAGATACCCTGCCAATGGGTGCTACGTCCTCGTTTCAACGCCCAAATCGCCCAATGGCTCGATCAGCATATACTAGATCATTTCAACGCCGCACGGGCCCCAGAAAGGTCTAGTACCTCATCTCAAGCTTTCAAAACACCACCTCGTAACCTCGAACCCTTGCCAATGTTCGTATCCACGGAACCAACCCCACCCAAGATCGTGCTGTCATCACCACATCACAGCGGCCAAGCCATTCTCAGCCACAGGTGGCGTATCCGCTCCCTACTTATACTCCACCCTCAACGAGCTTACGAGGACCAGACGAGAATCTAGCGGTCATTCAACAAATCATCAAAAGTCCTACCGATCTCCTTGCAGAGAGCCGGTCATTAGAAACTGAAAAGATTGCACCATTCCGCTGCTTCAAAGTCAAATCCAGTCTAATCTAGGCCCATCGACGGGACCAAGCGAGAACACGGAGAAGCTGCCCGGATACGAAGCGCACGTTATATATTATATACCCCAGCACAACTCCGAATACCGAGCTGATTCCACAGAGAGCCTCAAACGAGGAGACCTCGACGGAGCCAGTCATGCGTGAGCTGGCAGTAGGACGCCCACTCTCTATACGACAAACTGTGATTCTAAAATACAGGCTATCGTGGTATTCCAACTATCCGTGTTGTTTTGCAAGTAGTCTAGCGTTTATCCTCGTGTTCGATCTATATACAGCATTAATTAACTTTTAAGGCCTCACCCAGCCACACATCTCTCCAAAGAATTTTAAATCCCCCTTCTCATCTTCCAACGCATAATAAACGTCGCAACCGGATAGAACGCCAATGAAACCACAATCCAAATAAACAACACAGCGAAATCCAACCCGATCCTCGAATGCGTTCCGAACAGAATCGTCCGTAGAGCCTCGACAACTAAACTCAGTCAGTAAACCATCCAAATCAAAAGGTAGAAACTCAAACTCACTCCGATGCAAAGGCCAAGCGTACCCCCAACGATAAAACACGGGCGCCAAATCAATAGCATAAAAGCCCGTTGCAACATTCGTAATAACCCAAAAGATAAGAAAGAACGAAGACCACGGCATTCCCAGAATCATAGCCATATTCTCACACGGGAATCCAAGCGCGGCCATGCCCACCCAATTCAACATCCAAAAGACAACAAACGAGCCCTGCCCATAAGCATTTGCACTCTCGGCGGAGATAACATCCGACGCTGGCTCGTTACTGAACGGGATCTGAAACGCCAACGAAACAAGAGAGTAGAAGAATGAAAGGAAGAAATACGCCACGATGTTTGAGACGATGCGCCAGAGTAACCAGTGCGGAACTTTGAGAGGCGGGTGATCTTTTGAATTCATGAATTGAGCGTGAATAGGTATGAGGAAAGGGAAATTGAAGAATGCGATAATAATAAGGTAAATCAGACCGATAGAAACGGCCGGTGCCGTGACGGCGGGCGCGAATGGTCGGAGGTCGATATTCGTGAAACCGATTCCTGGGTTTATGGCTTGTGGGGGTACGGAGGAGAGGTCCGTGTTTCCGGAGACTAGTTCCCGGGCCCACAGTGGGCCGAAGGCTGCGATGATGGAAGCTTGGAGGATTGTTAGATCCGGGAGGATGTAATTGTAGTAGGTCGCTTCATCACGGGCGGAGATGATGACAGTTTCAATGGCGCCGGTTGGGTCGTAGGATTGGTTATTATTGGAGATGGCGGAGCGAAGGAGGGTGGTTGCATTGGGGTTGATGATTACGGCGGCGTAGGCATGTTCGTCGTAGATTGCTTGGCGGACGGACCAGGGGTCATTGTTGAATTGTTCCGGGGAGCGAATCTCGTAACCTATATGGAGGCTTGAGGAGGAGAGGATTTGGTTGGTGACATTTTTGACGACCGGTCCGATTAGTGTGTTGGAGGAGTCATATGGTGTTTGGCCGTCGAAGTCGACGACCCAGACTGTTAACGCAGTGTAGTTCTTTTCTACTGCGAATTGGGAACCCCAGAAGATTGATAATACTCCTAGCACAAAGACGCAGAGGATTGAGACGGTGCGGGTCCATTGAATGAACACGTTCCGTCGGGTGCTCTTCAGCACAGGATCGAAGAATCCGACGGGCGCTGGAGGAGGATCGATGGCTTCATCACCTGAATGAACGAGCTTTTCGGACATTTTTGAGCAGCTTTGCGATGCTGCTGATGATGGACAAGGATCACTTCTATGTCTCTGTTTCGTGAGGTCGCGAGGTTGCGGTAGCATTCGCTTCCGGATAGCTCGGCATTTAGCCGTTTTGGGAAGCTCCCTGACTTGTCTCCGTGAAGATCCAGACTTTGCTTCAACTTTAGTGCAACTCTAACTCTCGAGGACTTTATTGACACTTGGGATAATCTCAGTCCCGGTGGATAAGGAATCGGCAGTTCATGGTTCATCACCGCTCCGACCTATCGGGTCAAAGAACATATATCCGTGTAATCCCGTGTGCTTGGTTGATTGATCCGTTCATGTTCAGATACCAGCGCGGTCGCATCAGTTCAACCATCTCGTTGAACATGTACACTATTGAAGAAGATGACTTCCAGAGGGCCTCATTCTGATATGCGCAAAGTTACCGACGTGAATTAACTTGTAAATCCGAGAACCTCTGGAAGCCGGGCTTAGCAACGCGTCTGGAGGTGGACTTGGAACGACCCAGCAGTCTGTTTGAACAGATAGACAACACCTGTGAAATTCTGAGCAGTCACCAGAGTCCTCATACCTGGAGTGGAAATCGGTGTCCGATCGGAATGATCCAGCAGGCCTTGCCCTGGCCGAGGACACTACGAAATGAGGTCACAAGGGAGCCTCAAGCAATTTCACCGATACAGATCTCAGCTAAGCCTTGCCAAGGGTGTACTTCGATCAGGACAACTCGGACAGACAGGGGTGACCTTCCAGGGAGTTGCCACCGGATGTATCAGATAGAAGTCATTTGCAAGTCTCGCATAGATTAAGCACGTCCTCGTACGTACATAGGAACGCTGGCTGCAGGTCCCTCCTTAATAGACGCCGTACCTGTATACATGGATCACGATTGAATGATCTCAAACTTCCCCATTGGCACGTCAAATTAAACCATCAAAGCGCACTGCACGGGGTCCGTCGTATTCCCGCACATCTCGGCCCCTTGCAACCCGCCTCTTTAAAGGGTTTGATGTTCAGGATCGACAGGATCTTCAGGATCGCAGGATCGCAGGATCGCAGGATCGTAGGATCGGGGGGACTCCAATCAGGAAAGTGGTATACATGGAGCACAGGCACACGAAACACGAAACTCGAAACAGTTGCAACGAAAGGCGTCGCCACCATCCTGGTCGATGGTGAAGCCGTTATTGGCCGCTTGACCTCCTGCACGGCCACTAACTCTCCACGAATCAGAGGCCCGAATAAGCCCATGCTCCAATGAAAATTGCAAGTAGGATTCATCAGTTCATTTAATCTATGGGTATATCATAATCTATCGCGAATTCTGTCCAGGGGCAGCCGTCCACACGGACTGCCAGCAAAAAGAAGCACTGCAAACATCCAAACTCCAAACCGGGTCCAGCCCGACTTTAATCTTTCCCTTCAGATAGAATCCAAATCTACTCCTCATCACAAGTAACCTGGTAAGATCCATAACGGTGTCCAGACGCAGGAACGCGACAAGTCTCCGAGGTAGTCAAAGGTCCTGCAATAACCGACATCTCAGACTCATCGCACATGGTGTTATCGAAGAACTGGACCCGGCAGCCTTCAGCGATGGTATTCAGTCTGTATGCTGCGGCCTCGGTGGGTAGGTTCGCGCGGCAGCCAGTACTTCCTGACCCAGTGTGCACGTCGGCGGTGCCATTGCATCGCACGGTCGGGAAGAGGTCGAAGTTCCATTCTGTTGCGTCGCGAACGTGGAGTAGAGGGAAGGCAGATGCGTTGATGAGGAGGGTTGCGGAGAGGATGATGCGGAGGAGGGACGGCATGGTGGAGATGAACGAGTGTCTTTGTTTTGTTAGACGTGATTGTGGACAAGTCAAGGGAGGAAGCATACCAGCCGTATTGTAGCCGGAAATGTCACAAAGGTCCTGTTCCTGGAGACCAAAAAAAAATGGACAAGAGAAGGGTTTAATATGAAATTGAACCAAGGCCGGGCCCCGCCAACGCCACTTGGGGCCTTGTTTCACGGTGCGCAGATCTCACCAGCCAAGAGATGGCGCCGTTCCTGCAGAGTGTACGTATACTTGATCTTGGCGATCAGCTGTCGGAACTCGGAGCTCTTTTACCCTGGCGAGAAACTTGGACACGCTAGATAGTATATTTTCCTTGAAAAGATGTGTGGCGGAGGAGTCCGATCAATATTGAAAGCCATTTGAATGAAGTCATGGCGATCTTTTACTGAAGTTGAGGGCGTGGGGCGTGGCAGGCGCTCCGCTCCCGTTACGTAGAAGCGTACGTAGACTCTGCCCGCTTTGGAATGTATAGAGGCGATCGTGGCACAGGGTCCTGTCGCTTGATTTCTCCGGTCTATTCTTGTCCGTGGGGATTGCATACTGTACAGCAGCTTGCTCAGGCTTTGATTTTGGTTCGCATTTTATTTGTGGCTGACTTCCGCTGTGGACTGCTGATCTACTTTATCTAAGACTGTGTCACGTAGATAAGAAAATATTAGACTGCCACAACGGCCATGTAAAGATAGGTGCTCTTTCACTTTATGATACTTTGAATTAAGACATATTCTCTTAGAGTCATTAAGATGTTCAAAACGTTCAAATGATTCCTCTCACGTCTTCCGATGGTGGGGAGGCGGGGCCAATGGGCGTGCAGTATGCACTCATGCGGTCGCCGAAAACACGGAACCGCAGATGATGCAGGCGATAAACAAGAGCCTAGAAGCCGAATACCATTGAATGCCCCTCCCTATCTTAGTATCATTGACGGCGAACATGATCGAGATGCTTTAGTCTCATTCCATCCCACAAAACGCCCAAATCACTAAAATAGAGGAGTTGTTAGGCCCTGTGGGATACTGTTCGGCAGGCTCGGAGTCCGACATGAACATCACTCTAGTCCTTACTCTGTAGTGCTGGGAGACGGTCGGCAATCGTTGTCAATCGATCCCCAACCTCTTGATCTGCAAACGCAAGCCCATGCAGGACGGCCATTGACATGGCAACACTCCGCTTGGTACCCCACTCGTCGATCTTCGCGTGGCTGGCACCAGCCCATCTGCAGTCATGACTTGATTCAATATAGTCGAGGCTGGAGATTGCCATAGAAATCAAGATTGGAGTAGCGGGGTACAATGTTTACCTACATCCGGGATTTCCTCTGCCACTCTTGGCTTTCCTGTTCCGCTTTAGTGCTCACCCCTCGCCGCTTTTTGCTCACTGAGTAAAATTGAGCCCGCTTCTGAGCGGCCGGAGCTGTACAGTATTATGTAACCAAACCGAGCAGTCCACTGAGCCTGACCTAAGCGAAGGCCATAGTGAGTGTACCTTAACAATACGCGATTTCTATTCACGTACGATCTTTTTACTCTAGTTTATACCTGCTGCCTTATATAAAAAGGACCGCCATTGTTATTGTGTCTATCGGCCCTAATCATCTGCTCTGCTAAGGCGTTGCTGGGGTAGTCAGATTCATGTAGTAAGCTAAGTACTTTGTGATTGAGGGCCATATACCCGTAAGATCATTCTGACTACTAGCCCTAAAGCCCCCTATCTAGACTCTATAGTACTACAGTGTCGAGGGCGATCGTTGTATCTTTTTGAGTATCCACGTTGCCCCCCAAAAGGGAGATTTATCCCTTTGGTTCGTGGGTAGGTCATAACAAATTCCCAGAAATGCCTGGGAGATCGTCATTGTTAAAAGTGCGTATGTTTAGACGGAGCTAATACGTTACATTTCCACTTTGTTCAAGTTCCCAGACGAATGGCCTCTTGTGCCTCTAGCAGCTGAAGGTAAATACCCGCCACATCCCACCGCATATCGATCGCCAGAAAGCCCTCACGCAGACTCTTCACCACTTCGGTTCCTTGTTGGGATTTTTCGCTTGATCGCATGTGCGCTCCACAGATCTGGTAGGCAAAGTACAGACCCCACGGGGTCATGTCCTCCGGGTCTCGACCTGAGAAGCATTGACGTTCGATGAGGTTCGCGCTGATTCGGTCCGTTATCTGTTGCAGCACGGCTCTTGCTCGCCAAGAGTAATCGCTTTCGGCTTTCTCGCCCTCGTTAGAGGATAGCCAGGGCGTATATAGAGCAATTAAGGCGCTAGACCATTAGAGCAGGTACAAAATAGGTCTGAAACCAGCTTACTAACCTATAGATAAACGTGATTTGATCATAGTCCGGGCTGTCGATATTTAAAGCAGCAGTGAGCATCGAATGTAGAGTGCGATCGAGTTGCATCCAGACATCATTCTGCCCAGCGACATGATTCGAGAGGTAGTTGAGAACTTGGCCTAATAGCCGGGCAGCCTGACACACTAGGGCGAATTTACTCATATGCCCCGTCATCGGAGACGACAGGGTCGCGAAGCTATCGGGCCTGACGATCTAATATAGACTTCAACACCTGTATAACGGATAGACAGGAACAAACATTAACAGAACGTACCCCTTCGTCCCACGCGGCATCATCAGCTGGTAACAAATCATCGAGTTTTGAATCAGCGGTGGCAAACGGCCGCCCCGGACAGCCAATGCTCACGAAGCTTTTCCGTCATTAGCATCCGAAACAAGGTCCAGGTAGACAGGTGACGAACCGGTCCAAAACAACGAGAGCCCACCAGATCCTCCGTCGTTCCTCGACTTCCACCAGAGTGAGTACTCCCCTAGTGGGTACCGTCCCACTGACATTGATACCCAGAGCATGTGCATACCTCGCACACGCTCCAATTGACAGATATGCAGCAGGATAGATTCCGTGTCCTAGCTCATACAATGCCATCAAAAGCCCCGCTTGCAAGACTAAGATGGAGAAGGAGCCTTGGACCGCCAGATAGAAATGTTTAGTTGCATGATACAGAGCGGCGCGAGGACCATTCGTATCATCCCGTGGGAAGGTCGTGATAAGCTTCATCGCCAGTAAAAGCAGGACTACGTCGGAATGGGAGTGAAATGAGGGCCGCAGGTACAGATCGTAGAATCGTTTTTTTGAGATAAAGGGCATCCACCGGTGGATGTGCCCGAAAAACCTCTCCGCAGTGACACGGATCTCATCGAAGTCGCCCAGTAGATGCAGAATATGCGGCGGGACGGATGGTACGGCACGAACCGTCTCCACTTGGACATGTTGCAGCAGCCCTGGGTCGAGGAACAAGATGGTCGAGAAATCAACCGTCTGGACATTAGGGTAGACGTCATCCGAAGGAGATGGAAGCCATTCTCGCTCTGGAGTGGATGCGGTTGCTGAGCGACCAGTTACCGCTGGCCTCCAATATTTGCATGGCTGATCTCGTCTGTGTTGCGATCGAGAGTCAGCTTTACTGCGGCTGAAGCTACAGCAGTTTATGCGGCCGTTCTTACTTGGTGCAGTAGGCGCATCTAGGAAGTGCCTTGTCGCATTTCCTCTTGCGTGACCTGCAGGATTGACAAGCCTGCGGGGCCGATTCCAGGCTGGACTCAGCACTCGGAGTTTGCATGGTAAAGGGACACAGTGGTTGGGACTAGCGAGATATACGGAATTAGCTGCCCTATTCAGACCGATCAGACCCTGACAGACGCAATAAAACCAAGCCAGCAGGGGGAAGGCGGCCGCATGACTTACGGATGACATAGTATGACAGGCGGAGGCGCGGCGGAGGCGGCGGAAATAAGGCGGCCGCCCTTTCGGCCAGCGACGGACGGAGCGTCGGGAGCGGGCTCTAAATGTGTCAGCCGCAACCTAGGGAGGAAACTCGCGATGCCAAATATTACAAATCGACGCGATCACGTAGAGCTAGTGATAGAATTCGCCTTAGGAACAGAATCAACAGCAAACACGAGACATAAGTAGCTGACACGACTCGCCATGAAACTCACCGTGACAGAAGCCATTTCAAGATACTACTACCAACGCCACCGTCCCTCAAGATAGCTCAGCTATCTTTGGTTCAATCTGTCTATATCCATCTGCATTCATCACACGGAAACACGATAATTCCCATGATGGGTTCGCCGAGTCCCTACGCCGATGCGCATCAGGATCCCCAGGGAGCCGGAGACGCCCGACCAACTGCCCTCCAGATCATCAAAGATGAAGGTGTCGAAGGCAAGCTGGCCGGCAAGGTCATAGTCATTTTGGGCGGCACATCAGGCATCGGTATCGAGACGGCCCGCGCCTTATCGGCTACCGGAGCCACTCTGTTACTCACGGCTCGTAACCTGGAAAAGGCCAACAAGACCCTCGCAGGAATTCTAGAGCCGGGGAGAGTCTCTCTGGTCCCCTTGGACCTAGACTCATTCAAAAGCATCCGAGCTGGAGCGCAACAGATCCTCTCCACCTCGAAAGGCCAAATCAACCTGCTTATCAATAGTGCCGGGGTTATGGGTGTCCCAGAACGCACGCTCACTGAAGATGGGATCGAGTCCCAATTCTCGAGTAACTACTTGGGTTTCTTTCTTCTCTTCCAGCTACTGAAACAAGCTCTGCTGGCCAGTGTGACTCCCGACTTTAGTTCCCGGGTGGTCATCGTGGCTTCATCGGCCCACCGAGCTGGTACCCTCCCAGCAAGCGACGATTACAGCTTCGAAAGGACCAGATACAGTCCTGAGGCTGCCTACAATAAGTCCAAGCTGGCGGCCGTGTATCAGGCCAACATGATCGAGCATGAATATGGCGGCCAGGGACTACATGCCACCAGTCTCCACCCCGGCGCCATCAATACGGAGATTTCCCGCAATTTGTCTAAGGAAGTTCTTGAAGCGATTATGAGCAACCCGTACGTCCTCAAGGTCCTAAAGTCTTCGGAACAAGGTGCGGCTACGACAGTATGGGCGGCAGTGAGCAAGGAGTGGGAGAAGAAGGGTGGCAGGTATCTCGAGGATTGCGAGGAAGCGGAGCGTGGCGAGGACGATGGTCAGACATTTGGAGTTGGATGGGTCAAGCAAACCTATAACTTCAAGGAGGAGAGTCGTCTCTGGGAGGACTCACTCAGGCTAGTTCGGTTGGAGGGTCAGTGAGGCTTGATGGCTTTATGACAAGATGGGTGAAGCTTATTTTGTAGATATGAAGACATTTGGCGAGTGGAAATTGTGACCTTCTTCTACATTTACTTACTGCTCATTATTGGGAAATCTGCCAAGGTTGTTCCAACTTCATCTAATATGTAGACTTATCTAGTACCCAGACTTGTGGGTATAGACGAAAGTTTCAGATAGGGCTGCTGTAAGATTTTGGCCTTCTGCGGACCGATTGAGAACAGTCGCCAGGGTTGGTAGTACTTTTAAGCTGTATCGTGCTGGCATCAAGCTGAACGACCTGTGATGGAGACTGTACCGACTAGTGAAAAGCGTGGGAAGGTGGGAGATGAAGGGGTGCTAGTGCAGCAAATTAATTGATTGTTCCTAGCAGTTGCATTGAAACCTTATAAACCCTCATGAACTAGCGTTGAAACGGATTTCTTTTAGACCTTTCCTCGGTGTGTTTTTTACCAAGGCCGCTGTGGGTGATACCTCGCTCTGCACAGATACAGAGGAATAGCTATTATATGGGAGCACAAATACTGCGTACGTTTTGAGTAGCAAACGGACATGATAAACCTCTAACTAGCGTATATGACTTAGAAGCCCTAGCCCAGTATAATTTCAATATTAATAATTTCCTAGATATATTATGTAAATAGGATCTCTAGGACACCCCGATATGCTGTAAATACAATGCCACGGCTAAAAATCAAATGTCCTAGCCGTATGCCGCTTCCACTCCAGAGGCCCTCACATCCGTGGTTATGCATAATGTTTCCGAGGGCGGTTCCCACGCCTATCCCTATTAAACTCTGGGAGCGGGCCTTGATCGAGCCAAAAGGTCGTGCAGTGTACACAATGATTCTCCTGTCATTTAAGCACAGTGAAAACAGCTCCCACAACGCCTATCATCATCACACCTCCTGTCATATAGGCAACTTCCCTCCCAGCCCACCAAAAGAGGGAGCAGAAAAGAAATGGACCGACTGCTCTACCCACCTGCCCCCAGCTGCGTAGACGGCCCAGAATTATACCCCGTTCGCCCTCGGGTGCTCCTAAGCTACCTAGACTATTAATGCTTGTCACCACCGTTGCTGAGGTGACAGCCAGAAAGATGCCTGCGACATAGACACCGCTCATCGAATCAACACGAGCAAGCAGAAAAAATGAGATCGTGCAAGCAACCACACCGAGGCGTATGTTCACAATCGGCGGTAGACGGCGAACAATAGTACCCTGGAGCAAAGAAGCAATGAGGCCCATTAGGGAAAGAAGACGCCCATTCAAGGCAGAGGGGCTCAAAGTACTCGTTTGGCTGGCAGAAGGGCCCATGGCACTTGCTTGATCGGCATACAGCGTCGCCGTGAGAAATGGGAGCGAGAACTCAAGACCTGAGAATGGGAGCAGAAAGAAGAGATGGACTAATTTCAAGGCAGACTCGTTGCGCATTCTCACCTTGATGTCTCGGTTCCGAGGAGCATTTGAAGACGATTTGTCGCCATTCACCGAGGCCTTTGATGCATCACCGTTAACCACCGTTGGTACCCTGGGCCGGGACTTGTCTTTATCGACTAGTGTGGCAGCAGGAGGACCAGGGTCGTGGAACCGGCTTAATCGCGGGTGTGTCTCCGGGAGAGAAAAGTAGACATAAATTGTCTCTAAGGCGATCAGAAAAAGGGAGACACCAGCAGCCATGGCAAACTTGTTTGAAGCAGTCGTGGGTATATTTGCGAGCGTTGCACCCAGAACCGGACCGCAGATAAACGCGAGGCTAAAGCATGCGCCAACGAGAGCCATAGCCGATCCCCGTTGCTTTTCATCACTGATATCTGTGATAATTGAATTGGCTATTTGCACGTTGCCCTCGCTCAGTCCACCAACGACGCGGCTCGCGATGAATACCCGAAAATCTGTCGCGCCGACCCAGAGCCCGACGCTCAGAATGTTGCCAGCCAAGGAACACAACAAAGCTTTGCGCCGGCCATGCTGGTCCGAAAGCCGTCCGATAACAGGAGAGGCTACAGCCTGTAAGAGAGAGAACAGCGAGCCGAATGCGCCGCCAAGTAGGACAATGTCATAGCTCGAATCGATGGGTTTCGCGAACCAATTCTTGTACACATTCAAGTAGTGGAACACACGGTTGAGTGTGCTCGTAGGTGAGGTCTCTTTCGCGTGATAGTAGCCGAGCACGGATGGGAAGAGAGGGAGAATCAAGGTGAATGAGATCTAGACGCAGCATTAAATAAAGGTAATTGAATATGTCTTATCCCTTTGTTCAGGAGCAAATTAGAACTGACCAAATCTAGCAGCAGAGAAATCGTCAGAGTTGTGAGGATCCGCCTTCTCTGAGATGCGGACGCAGGGGTAGATTTCACTGTCGTTGAGGCCCGAGAAGGAGACAATCGTGAGTTCTTTCCATTTTTGGCCATCCTTTCTATCTAGCCCATGAACAGGAAATCTTCTCTGGACAAGTGAAGCACAATTTCAAGGGATATAGGATGCTCTTTGTCAAAGAAACCATAGTGCCTTTTACTAATTTATCCGGTGGTAGATCTCACAGGTCTCATCTCGCATGTAAATTCCAATTCCAATGTTTACTAAGAGCAACCCATGGAATAGGCCACTTCTGACTGATTCAGAGTAAGCTAATTTGCCCGACCGAGTGCGAGAGCGAGAACGGGGTTATTTCCCAGCAAGAACGGGGCTATTTCTCAGCGAGACTATGAACAATCATTATTTCTCCAGGTACGTTCTCTGACCATACCATGTCAAGTACGGTTCCAGCGGTAATTACTCAAAGAGCTTTGGGAGAAAAAAATAAGGTTCCGATGGCGCTCTATCATTGACTTCTGCTGGCCAAATCGGAGAGGAGAACGAGCGAGAACGATTGCGACCGAGTGCACGGCCGGTGTTTGGTCGTAGTTCGTGAACCCCGCAATAGAAAAATGTGCTTGACTCGCCTGTAGGCACCGTCCAATTTCTAATCAACCCCATTTGAACTTTGATGATTCGCCGGGATCCGCTTGTTCCTGGGCCGCCTTTCTCAACCATTCTGGCGCTCGGGCTTTGTATTCTGAAGCCACATGAACACCCATTTCTAGACGATCGCGATTTAGTTTTAGAGTCTGTGCGACATGTCCAATAGGAGGTGCTGGGTTAGAAATGATGACAGCATCTTTTAATTACATAGACTGTATGGTGGACTGCGCTGTTCCTACGTCACCTCACAAACTAAGGAATGCGAATTAAGGAAAATTAATGCTTTGCTTGAGCTGAAATTGGTCAAAGCATTGTAATGAGGAAACTGCAGTACAAGATTGCATGTCACTGCCTTCGTGTAGGCCAGTTCAAGAAGGATAATACTATAAACTAATATGTCAAGGAGAAATTCAATCTTTCAATGCCTCTTTCATGGAACTTTGGAGAGAGCAAATCAAAGGGCAAAGAAAGCCAGGACTGCCGAGAGCACGGGAATCAGTCCAGCTTGATACTGAACGGCACCACTAGTTGCCATAGGAGAGCTAGATCCAGAAACAGAGGTAGAGGTAGAAGTAGCGCCAGTACCAGAGGCCGAGGCAGACCCAGAGGTGCGACCCTCACCAGCGGCGAGAGTCTTGTTCGCGACGAGAGGCTCGAGCATAACCGGCTGAGCTGCACAAGTAGAGTTCATGGCTAGCATGCACTTCTCATCAGTACAGATGCTCTGGTATTGCGGGCCCTGTGCCTTGATAGCGGTGGTCTTGGGTGCGCAGCGAGAGTCAAACAGGGTCTCAAGGGCTGTGGCGACGGCGTTGATGTCCGACTTTGCAACACCGAAAGAAGCAGCAGCCATGCCGACCTGCTCAATGAAGTAGCCCACCTCGTTGGGGTCGAGAACCATAAACCTGCCCAAGATGTGAGTACGTGCAGCACTAGGTGATGATCAGAACTTACTTGTGAACCTCGTACATGCTACCCTGTCCAGCATAAGCAGAGAAGCCGGTCATGCCCACACCGGAGCAGCCAAGCAAGCTTCCAAAGAACTGATAGAGGTGAGTCATCAGCTTACTGATCAAGGAGATCTGATGTTAGCTCATATTTTTGGTATTGGGTCACGGTAGAAGAGATTGACTTACTATTGGTTTGATGACATGTCGTTGGCAGGCATGTTCTTCATGAGAGGGGCAGCGGCACCTCCATCCAAGAAGTTCTTCGCAACACCCATCTTTCCTCCGTTGTTGCTGGAAGCGAGGCCACCATCGAAGTACGGCATCAGGTTGACTTTGGTGCCGTTGTACATGCCATCCGCGCTCAAGATACCGGGGACACTAACACCAACATTTGGCTGAGTGTAGTTACCGATGACGACAGTGTTGACAAGCAGGGTCAGGAGGGTATACTGGTTGGTGGCATTGTTGGTTTTCAGCAATGCTGTCGTATAGTAGTCGCAGATGGATTCATTACTTGGGCGCTGGGCAACAGCTGCACCAACCGTGGCCAACGCAACGACGATGGATTTGAAAAGCATGATTGCTGTACAGTCGAAGCTAGGCAATAAGAATTGGAAAGTGCTGGATGAAAACAAAATTCAGAGAGAAAAAGGTTCCAAGTTGAGAAAAAGCCGGGCTTAAGAAGAGCCAGGCGCCTTCTCCCCCTTCTTCTTCGCTAACAGCTTTAGCCGGGTTGCCTACCTAGCAATGAAATAGCCCATTCTACATTGGGCAGCCGTACGGCTTCTCATACTTTTACTTTTCCCAGATACCTATTTAGGGAGGTGGGTCGGACCCTGCTTTACGAACAGATACGTACATATCTCAATAGTTAGCTTGAACAGGCTAGTCTAATTTAGCCATTCCGTGGCAACCCCTGCCGAACTGTATTGTACTCACTGGTAATAGTGGACGAGTCAGTATTATAATACCGTAATAAGCCTTAAGATTTGATTGATCTTTGAAGCAATCGACAGAACAAGGAAAACCCCTTAATTTTTTTTGGACGCCCAGATGACTCCCTGGCGAGCGGAAGGAGGAATACCGCGATTGTATTATGGACAAGATCATGGCTTCTGCTTTGGAGGATCAGGCCAAAAAGTGTGCTGAATGCGGTTTGAAGGATCCGAACAAATTTGTGAAGACACTGAAGGAGAATAACAAGTCTGAGACTGTCTTTCACCCGGCAATGTAGAAGGATTGTTATTTATCGATTAGCAAACTAGCAAATCGGCTTTAATACTTTTTTGAGTTCTTCATTTATTGGTTTCAGGCAATGTTCGTAGTTGAGGAATCGGGAGATTAACATGGCTACCGCATTGTCCTCGGGTGGGCACACGGAACGGACAACATCTTGTGCTTCCTAGCCCCACAAACAGAATACGAAGTTTCATTAAAGAATATGCCATAACATCAAAAACATCAAAAATGGCACATACACGTGGAGGGATTCACAAATGTAGTTCTTTCAGACAAAGAAAGCTCGATGCTCCAAGACCGTCAAAGTTGGATTATCCCGATTGGCATCCCCGCTATCGGATTACGTTATGGCGGACTTCTGGCCGCGGGGTGGATCTTGACTCATGAAATATGATCGCGAAAAGGCGCGAACCTCGCCTTACCAACTCATCCAAACACAGAATGTCCACAGAACAATGTCCGGAGCCTGGGTCTTTCGGTATCCATGGCTTCTCCCACTCGAGCGATGACTGTCCGTGCGTCCGCTGTGATTGAAGGGTTATGCTGACTGGGGCAGTTACATTCGCACTAGACGACATTGATCTTGATCTGCAAGGTTTCAATGACCAGGGTCTAGATGCACATATCAAAAATGATGTCTTGAACCTCTCAACTCGATCCAGGCATCTCGCCTCCGCGCCTGATCTAACAAATGAATTCTCGGAATCATTTCCTTCAATCGAGACATCTGCAAACCGCAATACTTTTTCAGTGCAAGGCTCATGGAGCAGTCAAAATGATGTTCAAAATAATTTTCTAAATGATATCCAAAATGAATTTCCTCCGGGCGCTATATCAAGAGGCTCGTCGTGGGCCTCGACTCCGGACTTTGACACCATCGAGCCAGCGGCACTTTTCGAATCTGCTCCAATTACGGAAAACGCACCGGGTTTCCCCATAGCTTTCTCGCAATTTCCAAATACCACTCAGGGCAGAAGGACTCTTCCCCGTCGGAGAAGTCGATATCACATCTCCCGATCAGAGCAAAATTCGACTACGACATACATTCCCATGCCATCCGCCTTGGATCCGATGCAGCGATGGCAGGAATCTCCACCCGAAGATGAACCTGCATCCCTGACTGCCATTATGAATGCAATGGGCGATATCCCGCCAAGTGCAAATGCCGATGCCCAAATTCACCCTAGGTCTTCGAACGCATTTCGACACCATCGTCGTGCCCCATCCACGACCAGCGCCGGATCAAGCCCGTCCTCTACAGACTCAGCCTGGTCATCAGCAGGTGGTTCAACATCTCGACATGGCCGAAACCGAAGATCCCGTGTGACAAAGGTTAAAGCGAATGACGGCAAACCTCGTATCTTCTGCTGCACTTTTTGCTGCGACCGCTTCAGAACGCGATACGAATGGGTCCGCCACGAAAAGTCGCTCCATCTAAATCTAGAAACATGGTATTGCGCACCCCTTGGATCATCAGTCTTCTCCCCGATCACCGGAAGACAACACTGCGCCTATTGCAACGCCCTAGACCCATCGCCAGCTCATCTCACCGAACACCACCACGAAGAATGTCAAACGCTCTCAAAGGAACTCCGCTCTTTTAACCGCAAAGACCACCTCGTCCAACATCTCCGCCACTTCCATCACGTCCAAACAACCCCCCTAATAGACGATTGGAAAATTGAAACAAAGAATATAACCTCGCGATGCGGATTCTGCTCTGAAACAATGCCCAACTGGGACGAAAGAACAGACCATCTCGCCAAACATTTCCGGCGCGGATTCACGATGAAAGACTGGAAAGGCGAACACGAATTCCCACCATCCATAGCAGCACATCTCAAAAACGCATACCCGCCCTACCTTCTCGGCTGGGAATCCGAGAGTATCGTCCCCTTCTCCGCAACGAGCACGGATGTCCGCCATCAGTACGCACAAGTATCTTCCCGAGTCTTCGCAGCCGAGAGAGAAGAAGCAGGATCTGATCCCAGCCTCGGGTTCCCTGATCCGAATAAATCCGAATTCGATAACTTTCTGAACGTCTTCACTCGCCACCTTGGACGGTATGCGCGCGGACAGATGAAACAGGGTATCTTTCCGACAGATGAGATGTTCCAGAAAGAGTCGAGGAGAGTTCTTTTTGATGGTGAGGATGCATGGGATCAGACTATTGCCGATAATCCAGACTGGTTATCTGCATTTCGACAATTACACTGTGAACCCATTGAGCAAAGAGAGTGATTAAGTCGAAGTAACGAGATCTATGAATAATGCCCTATTCTGTCCCCGTTCAATACGGCAAAATCTATCCCTCATTAGCAACCCACAATTCCAAACAATCCAGATGGAAAAATAAAACATGTAACATACCATATCAAACCACCCACCGCCCGCAAAGCCAACCTGACTAACCCCCAAATTCTTAAACCCACAGCTCTCATAAAATCCAATCAAGTGATCATGTGCAATAAGCGCAAGTCTCTCCCCATCAATATTCCCTTTGATATAATCGACATAATCTCTAACGAATGCCTTTCCAATCCCCCCGCCCTGAAACTCAGGCGTCATGACAACAGAATGGACAGCAACCGTCTTACCCAACGGATCATTCCCGATAAGCTGGCCGCCTAATGTCCATGGCTTACCAGGTGGTAGAGAGCGCCAATTCTCGGGCATCAGCATTGAGCCGTCAGTTATAACGGGTGTGGAACTGCGCATGCCGATTATGTGACCGATTAGGCGGTCGGAGTGGGAGTGATCTCTAAGGAAGAGGCCGATACTTAGGGTAGGTATTTGGTTTAGGCGGTAGAGGAACTGATGTTCGAATTCGTCAGATGGATTTCTAGGGCTGGTAGCGTATTTTCATTTCATTGGTAAGGGGTACCTTTTCTTCTGAACACCGTTCATGTTCAGGGAATGCGCTCTCAACAATAACGCAGGACTTCACGTCTGCGACGGATAGAGGGCGGAGGTAAAAGTCCAACCCTGAGAGGGCTGGGCATCGTGATAGGTGTTTGGTAGGAGCCATTTTAAATTCCGATTTAGTTATTACCATACTACTATTGTGTCCGTGGTTTCTTCTTTTATAGAATTATCGAGATTGGAGGTGGTTACACCTTACACCCTACGCCCGATACGCGACCCACTTTTCGCACCCTACAGGTTGGGGTTGAGGGGCTGGGTTATGGGTTCTTCTACTGTATGTGGCTTGTGCAGTGTGATCCGTCGGTCTCCGCTAATTCGGTGGAGGGAATGCGATGCTTTCATTGGAGTAAGTTTGCTAGACTTCGTCTTATAGACAGTAATCTCGGAAACCGGTTTCACCACCGGCGCATAAGGGTAGGAAATACTAATCGGCGGAATGCTTGCGGAGGTTGGATGTTGTCAGATTCATTTAGATAAGAGGCCAAAAAAGTATTTCTCCATGTATGAATCCGACGCGGATAGAGAGGGGCAATATGAGGTTTATTATGCTCTGAATGTGCGTGACTAGCGCATTTTACCAGCGTGGAATACTGACTGTGCAGAGCTAGGATTGTGCACAGCCACTCTACCTCCTAGGTTCCCGACCTTGAAATTCTAAGCCTCCAATCGGGGCTATACAATGCAGTGACCAATAATAAACTTCATATCTTGTTGGCTAACGGCGGCAACGAAACCAATGTTGATAAAGTCGTTGGAGTGTTGGGAGGCTATTAAATTGCTGATATAGACTTACCAACACAACCTAATGGGGCGGAATGTGATACACCTGAGAAGAGCGTAAGGCGCGTTAGTGAGGCTGAGCAGTCATCAGGCAATGCCTTTCACCACGATGAGGCTCAAAAATGAACAATGGCCGTCATATTTAACGCCCGTCTTATCTTGAGGAGGTGTACACACCTAATCTGCAACCACTTTCTATACATTATTCACCTTTCGGTTATAGCAGTACAAAATGAACTCTGATTCCAATGTGGACGATCTGAGCACAGAAATGGCAAGCGCTAGCTTGGACGATGGAGGCACAGATCCTGAGCAGCTGCTGTTTAAGCCTCCCCTTGACAGCAAAGCCTACAAGTCTCTGGACGACATCCCTCGTTACCTGTATCGCGTTTTTGTCCCTTCCTCCGACGCGAAGACGGACAGTATATGGGTGCGTTCAAAATCAGTTTTACAAGGGCGCAGCTCTTCTACCAAGGACATTTTCGACTACGAAAATCAACAGAGTATAGCCTATCAGCTCAATATGCACCTTAGATGGCGGAGAAACGGCTATGCTGAGAACAATTTCGTATCTTGGACCAGCTCATTACTCTTCGCAATCCAGTACATCTACTACAGACGCTTCAAAGACCATGACAAGCCGAGTTTGAACGATATTGAGTTGCATGTCATAGACACGACATCATTCCCGACAGGCACATTCATGCGCGACTTGGATTTGATGGACTTTTTCGGTGAATACGACTATGATAGACATCCTCACTATTACCCACCCAACTACAACCTGCCCAATTTAAGGACATTTCGCAATGAGCACCTTGAAGGCTATTATTTTGGCGAATATCTCTCGCAAGGGTCACTGAAGATTGAGAGTAACTTTCAAATGATAACTGCGAACGTTCTTTTCGACAATGATCGCCTACATCGTCTACAGCCTGCTTTCGCCGCTCTCTATAGGGACCCAGAAGATGGAGTTCCAAAGTGGGCAGACGCAGTTATAGATCTTCGTAAGGCTATCTGGCCCCAAACCACCCGACTACTTTCTTCGGCGGAAATTAATCGCCGGTTGCAAGCTGTCAAAGAGATCGTGGACAATTCTGCACCTAGCTATAGGTTCCCTCTTGGAATCTACCTTGCAGCACTTACCGGCACCGAGTCAACAACAGAAGACCAAGGTACCGCGGATGACAATGTTATCTTCCAATTCTTTCGACTCGGGACCTGGGACGGTAGGTTACGAGCCACTCTCACCCCAAGGAGAAGACACGTTTACTGACCATCCACCGTGCAGGTCAAGAACATTCCGGATTTCAACCTTTCAATTTTGATGTGATCGCTCCGGACACAATGCCTGAGCTAAAGCATGTTCAAACACTTGTTCGCGAAACACATAAACACTTCTTGTTGACACAGGCACTAAGTCAGTTGATGCCCACAGTCTCCTATCCCCCCATCTAACACGGTAACATAGATTCCCTCAGAGAGGCCCAAACAAATATTCGGAACTTACAAGTGATGACCGTACCTTCAGGAAATGCCGTTGGCGCCATTATTATGAGCGATCCGAATCGGGCATTAGAACGTGTTGGCCGGAAGGTCCAGTTGAAGCTCCGCATAGTACAAGGGCTCTGCGGTAGAACTGTATCCGCAAACGCATAGACCCTGGTGTAGGTAGTGATATCATTTGGCTTATTTCTCTTCTACACACATCGATAGCTACATCAACTACAGTTCTCTGAACCTCTGAACCCTGTGATGAATTACATACACAATTATTTCATCTAATATTCTGAACTAGTGATCTTTTATACGAAATATCACATTACACTCGTGTTCACGTGAGATTATTTAGGTAGATGCATAGCCTATGGTTGTTATATCGAGAAAAAGGGTTTGTGGGGAGCGGACTATGGCTCGGGGAAACTACCTAATCTACAGAGGGAGTATAATGATAGACGATAAATTTTAATGCATTCGTCTCCAAACTCTATGGCATAAACACAGTCATCACCCGGCCAAGCCGGTCATGGTCTAATTTAAACGAAGACCTTAGCATCACCCTCCTTGATCTTACCAGCCTCAACGAGACGCTTAGCCTCAGCAGTATAAGCAGCCTTAACAGCAGCGCCATCCTTGCCGGCAATAGAAAGCTTCTCAGCCAAAGCAGCAAGCTCATCAACATCAATCTTGCCCATGATAAGCTCAACATCACCAAGCACAGAGTCAACCTGTCCAGCAGACGCCTCGCCATCGGCAAAGTAGTTAACGTCCTTGACAGAGCCCTTGAGAACACGCTTGTTCTTCTTAGCAGCGTTCTTGGCGGCCTCCTTGTTCTTCTTGTTCTTCTCACGCTCAGCCTTGGCGGTTTCCTCGGCCTCCTTCGCGGCCTTCTCCTCGGCTTCCTTAGCGGCCTTCTTCTCGTCGGCGATACGCTTAATCTCGTCCTCCTTGGCCTTGCGCTTGGCATCCTTGCCGGCACGGGCCTGCTGGCGGAACTTCTTGATACGCTCGTCGAGAGCGAGGACCTCATCGACCATCTCGCGGAGGCGGGCGTTGTCCTCAGCCTTGCGCTTGCTGCGGGCGTTGGCATTCTTCTTCTCGGTTTGACGCTTCTGGTGGCGGCCTTCGCCGTCATCGGGGATATCCTCATCGAGGTACTCGAATGAGCGCCACGAGTCGAAGTTGTACCAAAAGTTGTAGAAGCTCTCGACATCCTGCTGGGTGCTGTTGTCGTCACCGAACAAGGGAACGGGCTGCTTGTTGGAGAAACGGCCCTCGGCGACAAATGTGGGGCCCCAGGCCTTGTAGAGACCCTTTTTGGCGATGGTGCTCTTGCTGGGGGAGTCGACATCGGCGGCCTCGTCGACGGAGTCGAATTGGCGGCGGCGGGTGGGGTCCAGGAGGAGCTCGGTGGCCTTCTGGATACACTTGAAGAAGCGGTCATCCTCGTCGGACTGGCCCATGGCGGCCTTCTTGTCGGGGTGGTGGCGGAGAACCTTCTTGCGGTGGGCACGCTTGATCATGTCGGGGGTTGCGCGCCAGCGGTACTTGGACAGACCGAGAACGGCGTAGTGGTCCTGGCCCTGCTAGTTGTTAGAACAATCATATGGAGAGAGCTGATTCTAGACCGACCTTCCAGTCCTTAGCCTCACGCTGAAGCATCATGGGGTCCTCGTTATCGGAGAAGTCATCTTCATCTTCCTCCTCGGTCTTCTTGACAGTCTTCTCAGCCTGGATGCGCTCATCCTCGGAGAAAGTGCGGTTGTGACGCTTCTATAAGGGGGTCAGTAATGAAACGAAAGGTTGCCCGCAGATAAGAACGTACACGGCGGGCGTAGGCAAGGAAGTGCGGGCCCACGGGCTCGATAGTGCGCTGAGTGGCAGGAGACAAGCTACCGACGGCCTTGAAGTCCTTGTCGGCAGTCCAGCCCGAAGGCAGAGACGGGAGAGAAACGTTGACAACCTGCACAGAAGCCATTGCGTTGGATTGTGATGACGGACAAAGCGTTGTGGGAGAAGTGGATTTTTTTGCGTACCTTTTTTTTCTGCCTCGAATGTCCGCCCGCCAATCACAACTCGGATGATCGGGACTTGCGCTACTTCTCTGCATTTAACGTTGTCGGATCTTGATTTTCGAGGTCTTTTTGATTTCATTCTACTCTTCGACTATTCCTCAGTGCTTTCGGTCCTCCTTGTGGTTTTAGCGACACATCCGGCGGTTCATTTACCACCTGGTCTCCCCAGTCACTATTTGCCTCATCCCGATACAATCACTAGGAATCTTCTTAGCCTCCAATCTTTCACAATGGCTACTCCCAGTCTTCCTGCGCTGAGCGCATATCGCCAAATTCTGCGTGCTACCCGCATCGCCTTCCACAGTTCGTTTCACTGCCGTGCTACGCTTGCACTGCGTCGCCAGTCTGCATGAGACCTAGGGATCAAACGACTAACATACTTCCAGATGACAACCGAGTCCTCCTAGCCGCTCGCGCAGAGGCCCGCCGCAACTTCGACGAGAACCGCCGCGTCGGTATCGACACCGGCCTGCAGATCAACAATGCCATCGAGGTTGCGACCATTCTGCGCCACAACATCGTGCAAGGTTCTCGTGAAAATGGAAACGAGGAGGCTAAGTGGCGTATGTGCTATGGCCCCGTTGCAACGGAAGAGACCGGGTGCCAGATTACATACTAACAGCTGGACTACAGAATTGAACATTCACGACCAAATCGAGCGCGGCGACAATGACAGCATCAAGATTGGTAACCAGGACGTCAAGATTCACAAGGCCTGCTCTTCTTCTTCTTAATCGTCTTATGATCCGTGACCCATTCTTTGCATACATGACAGTTACAAACAGTCGTGAGAAATTCCAGCGCTGCTGGATGTATTATACTATACCCAACTCTTTTATTACATTTGGCGTCCCCGGGGTATTTTTGAGATGGATACTGCATAGAATCATCCTAAGACAAACATGAACCAAGCCAACGCCCGCTGTGTGTAAACCATGCAACTTCCTTATAACTTGACCGTTTAATCGCCGTTCATACTGGCGTACTGGACATCGCCGGAGCCAGGTGGCGGTGCCACGGCATAGCTCTGTGCCCTCTGTTGGGTAGTAGCGTCTCCAGCGGCCGTAATGGCCTTCCTATCAGAGCCCTTAGCCGGGGCACCGACGGCGGATCTGCCCTCGCGAGCATTCTTGATACGCTCTTCGCGGTCCAGATTATCGAGAGGCTTGGGCTTACCCCAGCGCACGCGCAATGGGCAGCCCTGGATAATGGCCTTGCCTTGACACTTCTCAGCGGCGGCTTCGGCTTCGGCGCGGTTGACAAAGTTGACGAAAGCGCAGTGGGAGCGGTGAGAGCAGACGAGCGAGCGGAGCTGGCCGAACTCTGAGAAGAATGATCGCAGAGCGTGTTCGGGCAGGTCGTCTTCCACGCCGGTCACGAAGAGGGAGGTAATATTGGGGTCGGATGGGGGTATGATGTCTGTAGCTGATGGCGGGAGTTGCACAGTACCTGGGAACCCACGGCCGCCCCGAGCACCGCCGCGTCCACCACGTCCGGGCAGCTTATTACCCAGTCGGCCTTCACTGGTACGCGTCGGACCAGGTCCATTTCCATATCGGCTGTGTGTGCGCGGTTGATCCTTCGAGCTCGACTCCTCCGCCTCAGCTCCCTCGGACGGCCCTTCGATCCGGCGCGGCTTCCGGTAGTAAGGTTCACTCTTGGCTAAACGTCGGAGAAGCTCGCGCGCCTTGTCATCGGTCTTCTCATATTCCTCGGTCGCGCCGAGACCCTCCTCGATTTCCTTCTCGTGGTTCTGCGCATAGTATTCACGATTGATAGAGCTCTCGGGACCGGGAGCGACCATCTTCAACGCGGCATCGCGGACCACGATCGGCAAGCCGAAGGACAGATCCAGCATGCAGCATTGGCAGCAGTTCTTCAGACGAGCGCAGGTAAGGCAAATGGTGGTGCGCTTCTGGCGCGAGGTTCGGTCGGCTTTCCAGCGGAAGATGGTGAAAGGGCGGGTACACTGGTCATGTTAACTCTGTGTCAAGCTTCAGTGGATGAGTAAAAACTTACAATCTTGCATTCTGCACCATGGTCTTCCTTGATCATCTGCACGTAAGGGTTTTCGGGAAGACAGTTCTCACAGACGGATGGGAAGTCAGTAGACTCCCAACCGGAGCGGTTGAGGTCGTGCTTGATCTGTGGTGCAGCCATGGTGTGTGGAGAGCAAGACTTGACATCTCATAAAGAAGTTGATACTGCGGTGGCGCGCGTGGCTGGTGCATCACGTGACGCTGTCAGGATCCCGCTTTCCTTACGATGTCGATTCTTTCGTGTGTTGGTGTGTTTCGATAAGAAGGACTCCAATTAGGGATTGATGACCATCAGAAGCCTCTCATTTGATCCGAGAACCCCCTTTATCATAGTCTAGTCCTCTAGCTTACCCCAGATGCCATCGTCCAACATCAGGTCACCCCAGGCAAATTCCGGAGGGGCCAGCTACCGACGCCGCCACAACACGGAAGTCGTCGACTCCGCTGCTCCAATCTCGACTCGGCCTAGTTTAGGGGGCTCCGTGATTGGCCTGCAGAAAAAAGTGTCTTCTATTTATCTCCTTTCGCAACCTCCTTAATTCTTTTCATTCACTTCCAATTCTCTTGTAATTCCCTTCTTCGCACCGTTGGGTCCTCAATTGCCACTTTTTTCGCTCTCCTTCCGCGACCCGGTGTTCTCTTTTTCTCCGTTGAATTCTTCTCCCCCCTTTCAATCCCCACCTTTTCTCCAACCCCTTCAAAATGGCTCCCGCTGCTCTTGAACGCGAGGATTTGGCGCGCGATGCTGCCTTCAAGCAGGCTCTCCACGGAAAGTCTGCTAAGGCCCGTGGTGGTCTGACTGCCATGCGTGGCAAGGACGCTGCTGCCCAGAAGGCTGCCGTCGACGAGTACTTCAAGCACTGGGACAACAAGGGCCATGCTGATGAGACCGACGCTGACCGTGAGGTATGGCTTTTTGCGCTAACTCTGCCATTGGCACTGCTAACATGATTTTTGCGCAGGCTCGCCGAAAGGAATATGCTACCCTGACCCGACAGTACGTGATCCCCTTTGTGCAACCCACTGCACCACGGTACTAACATCTCTCCAGCTACTACAACTTGGCCACCGATTTCTACGAGTACGGCTGGGGCTCTTCCTTCCACTTCTGTCGTTTCGCCTTCGGCGAGCCCTTCTACCAGGCCATCGCCCGCCACGAGCACTACCTCGCCATGCAGACTGGTATCACCGAGGACATGAAGGTTCTGGACGTCGGCTGCGGTGTCGGTGGACCTGCCCGTGAGATCGTCAAGTTCACCGGTGCCCACGTCACCGGCCTCAACAACAACGACTACCAGATCGATCGCGCCACTCACTACGCCGAGAAGCAGGGTCTCTCTGACAAGATGGCCTTCGTCAAGGGCGACTTCATGCAGATGAAGTTCCCCGACAACAGCTTTGACGCTGTCTACGCCATTGAGGCCACCGTGCACGCCCCCGAGCTGGTCGGTGTCTACTCTGAGATTTTCCGTGTCCTCAAGCCCGGCGGCACCTTCGGTGTCTACGAGTGGTTGATGACCGACGAGTACGACAACGACAACCCCGAGCACCGCCGCATCCGTCTCGGTATTGAGCAGGGTGACGGTATCTCCAACATGGTCCGCATCTCCGAGGGTGTCCAGGCCATGAAGGACGCCGGCTTCGAACTCAAGCACCACGAGGATCTCGCTGCCCGCCCCGACGCTACCCCCTGGTACTACCCGCTGGCCGGTTCCTTTAAGCACATGGGTTCCCTCTGGGACTTCGTCACCATTGCCCGCATGACCTGGTGGGGCCGTGGTCTTGCTCACCGTTTCGTCGGTGCCGGTGAGACCATCGGTCTCTTTCCCAAGGGATCCCAGAAGACCGCCGACTCGCTCGCTCTGGCTGGTGACTGCCTGGTCGAGGGTGCGCAGAAGAACCTGTTCACTCCCATGTACCTGATGGTCGGCAAGAAGCCCGAGTAAGAAAAAAGGAGTTTTCTTTGTTCCTGTCCCGCGGCTTTTTGTCCCAATTTCCAAGATGGTTTCGCTTCTGCTGTTCATTATTTTTGCCCTATGCCTCTAGGAGACTCCCTTTGGCGTTCTCACCGCCCGCTGGTGTTGGTGATGATTTCTCTTATTTCCCTTTTCTTTGGTCTTAGATATGTAATAGTTATTGAGGCAAGATTCATGAGCCAATAATCGCATTTTCCATGGTTGGAATTATACATTTGAGTGTAGATGGCTATTATGTAGTTTTCTCCTAGACTTCATATATATTGAGGGCTCCACGTTGACCGGAACTGCGAAGGTCCGGGGCCCGGGGCAACGCTAGGCCTAACTCGAATAACTATGGACAAGGATCTAAAACAGATCACCAATGTTGGAAGCACTGGCCACCGGTTCAATTCCTTGAGTTTATATTCTGTGGAAATATTTGTTAAAAGCACGGAATACGAATCGAATGATACATATTATGACTTCCAATATCGAGAATCAGTGTTTGGAAACTGAGGTAAATATATACATCTTGTTCTAATATACTTCGGCCCTGTGCACGCTTCTGCTTATCTTCTATCCGAATACTCGTCACATATGACAAGCTCGCTCTCGACCAGTGTCTCCCCCGTGCCGATGTCAGTAACCGTGAGCGCAAGAAGTGGCCGGCGCAACCACTCAGCAATAGCCTCTATCCTATGTTATCCAGTGTTGTCCTTGGGGATACTCGATGCTGACATACTGACAGTGTAAGTCTTGCCAACTCCTGGAGGACCTGTAAGGACATTAGTCACAGGTAGCTATTTTTAGGCTACTGCACTTATCTAGATAGGAGACGGGAAAAGTATATAGCTACCTCCGCCCTTTGCCTCCCTATCGCACGTGGATATGCCTGCTCCCCGCTTCAAATTGATTACGCCTCATATGACAACTACAAAAGGAATGTTAGAGTCAAACAAAGCACCTGACATGGCACTGCAAGTATTCCTGTCCAAATTTAGTCGTTTCCGCAGTTGCCAGAGCTTGTGCGACCGGAACTAAGTGTCCATTACCAGATCAGATATGAGAAATCCAAAACAGAAATCAACAATCTTAAGCTGTCTCTCTGCTGCTGATATACAGTCATCTCTAATTAACAGGCGAAGTTAAAACTTGGGCTTCGGCCAGCCATCGATATCTCCATACCAGCGCGATCGGTAGATCTCATCGCCGATATTGATCTTGCGTCGCTTTCCGTTGACCACCAAGCTGGTATGGAAGCCACGGAACTTTTTCCACAAAGACTGCACATAAATGAAGCTTCCATCAGACGCGAGACTGAAACTCTTCAAGTCCGACTGCGGCAGCTCCTGCCACTCTCCGTCGCTGTTATAACCGTAGCGATCGTCGGTGGTGCACTCAAATCCTTGCATATATCTATCGGTGACGTTCTCATAATGCTCGGTAAACTGGCCGAGCTCGATATCGAAAGCATGCAGACCGCGGTCTTCCGAAACTAGGAACTTGCGCTGATTGGGGACGGGCACGAGATCGTGTAAACCGGCCCACCAGGGATACCCTTGACCCCATTCGGTCATGAGGTGGTACGCCTCCGGTATTTTATAGATTTTTCGATTATCCTTATTTAGTAGGCCAGTTGTAGCATTCCAAGGATAGCCAACGATAGTCCCGTATGCTGAAATTAGATCGGATCCGTCCGCGGCGGCATCTGTTCCAGCCGCCCATAACATCTGGCCTTGTTCGTCCCAGATCATGCCGTGAATAGCGCGTAGGCCAGTGATGTTTTGAATAATAGGAGGGTCGTCAGTAAGTGCATTGCCGGCGCTAGCGTTATACACGAGGATACCGTCCCAGGGTCGTTGGCCGGTGGTCGCGATAGCGAATCGCTGTCCCGGCAATGGCTCTACCGTATGCGCATTTCGAAGGAGCACAGTATCTAGACAGACAGCAAAGGTAATAAGTTTGTCGGTTCCCGGGTTGTCTGGGGTATAGTTGATGACGAGAGCCAGGTCACTGTAGATAGCACCGACACTAGTGCCATTATTCATCCATTTAACTTCGGTCGCATCGTTTGCATTGCTATAGAGACATTTCTGTAGTCCCGGGGGCAGATTCTGGGTGACGTCCTTGCGCGTGAAGCTCCATTTCACGTCCCCGTCGCGGTCATGGATCTTCAAGAGAGGAGGGACGCCGTATAGACCAGTGATGATATCCTGCCACGGCCGGTGGTCGGGCCGCAAACGCTCCTGCGGTTGAATGAGGGGGATATACCAAGTTTCAAAACCGAAGAGGAGGAGAACCCATCCTATTAATCGACCCAGCATAGCGACATGAGCCAGGGGGAGAGCTAGCCAGAGTTTCCTCCCTATTACCAAGCCGTCCGCAAGTTGAGACAGGAGCAGGACCAAAAATTGGGCCTAGCAGACCAATGCAGACTAAAGCCGAACCCCACGAGGGTCGCGGACCCTTTCGGACTCCGCACGTTGGACAAATCGAACACACCTTAGGCCTCGAGTCTGGATTTGGCAACTGGAAGTATTTGACTGATCGGGAAATGAGGCGTCAAAACATAAGCGAAGACTGTTGACTGCTTGCAGAGAACGCCAGCTTCGGCGGACAACGATTTTCTCAACGGTTCATTAAGAGAATCTCAGTAGATTGTATCATTTGTGTCCTACAGCGCTTGAGATTTGTGTGCGGAGTCGATAATGTTTTTTTTCCCTACGGGACCTAGCCAGCAATAAGGGCGGAGGTCGCACGCGGCTGAACCGCATTTTGTCAAGTCATAGACGGGGCGCCGAATGTTCCTTTCATTCACAAATCCTTTCGGCTATAGACGTGCTGGAGAGAATGCTCCTTGAAGTATTTAATCACCCCTGAATTCACCACGTCAGTTTCCGGAGCAAAATGACTTCATTCTTTGTGTAAACTATTAAAACTAACGAAAACTCCTTCTGTAGATGCAAAGATGCAAACAAGCACGACTAAGAGTCGGACTTGGTCTTGGTATACTCGCTGTCCAAGAATCCAGGCCACTCACTCGGCACTTCCTCTACTATAAATCTAAACAAGACAGCATTGACCTCTTTGGGCTTTTCAAAGTGCACAAAATGCGCAGCATCGATGGTGGCCTCTGTCAAGTTTGAGCAAGCCTCTTTCATGGGTTCTATGAGCCGCGAGCTCTTTGTGTCGCACACCAGATCCTTTATACCATGGATAAACAGTGCGGGCTGCTTTAACTTCCTCTCTCGACTTCCATTATATTCAGCATTCCGCTTATGGTGCAAATAATAGGCAGAGCCGCTCCAAAAACCAGTCTTCTGCATATCCCTGGCGAATGATTCGAAAACGTCATCAGGAAGCATTGACGGGCCGGTCATTTCCACGCTGGGTGGTTTCGGAAGGCCGTTCAGCCACCCGTTCTTGCGCACCGTAGCCATCATTACAGGGGTATGGCGATCTGGCAGCGCAGCTGGTTTGTTTGTGATTGCTTTGCAGAAACCGACAGCATCACTATCAAACCACTCGATGGCTTTTTCGAAATTTTCCTCGTAATGCTTCATGTAATCCCATTGTCCAAACTCGTATTCACCCGCCGGGTAGATTTCACGATTCACCAACGGAAGAAAGCCGTCCCAGCCAAGCTCGATAGTCGAGTATGGCACAGAGATACTAACGAGAGCTTTCACGGTTTCCGGATGTTGGATCGCGACCGAGGAAGTCACACCAGAGCCCCAGTCATGCCCCACCCATACAGCAGCCTTGCGGCCAGTGTCGGCTAGCAGGGCCATCATCCCCTCCACGAGAGCTTCTTGGCAGTAGTCATCAACGACACGCCGGGCGGTCGACTGCCCGTAGCCGGGCATATCGGGCGCGATAGCTCGGAAGCCTACTGCGGCAAAGGCATCGAGCTGGGCTTTCCAGGTGATGCCGGTGCTAGGCCATCCATGGATGAAGAGGATCAGAGGACCATCGACTGGGCCCGCTGCCAAGTAATGAATCTTCTTGTCGCCAGCATATGTGACGTCGTGGTGTGTGAGGGTAGCCATGATAGCAATTGTATGACCCAGCAACGAGTCTAGAAATGATCGGTGCTATTTATCTCACCAGGTGAGGGGTAAAGTGAGTGACTTATCTTGGCGAAAGAGCTGACTAGAAACCCACAACCCTACAGGGGTCAAGATGGGCGCGACAAGGCTGTCAAATGGATTTTGAACACTAACCGGACGTAGCATGATCCGTTCTCGTCATAGACGCCTTAAAGATGAAATGAGATTTTTGAGGCTTTGAAACCCTGTGCGCCCAGACCTTCCTGTATGGAACAAAAGCTTTGATCACAGACGTTCGCAGTTTCAAATAAAATAGTTACAGCATGTTCCCCACTTCGATGGTATAAACCCGGATTGTACGAGTCCAGAGTCTGGTTCAGCCTTTGAACCATCATCATCATTTTCGTTCAGATTTCCATCAGCCGGCCGTCGGGTTTTTACATGGTCTCACGTCAGCTGTGCACCTTCACATATCCGGCAACTCGCGCGGTTGCTAGAGTCTTATGGCTCTGAGGCAACATTCTTACGCTTTGAGCAACTAGTAGTCCTTGTCTGGAAACGAGAATGCTGTGACTATCGACCCTTCTACCAGATCGTACAATCTTTTTAGGACGTTCTCGAGGATATTGAGAGGGGCAGGTATCGCAATATTTCGACATTTAAGGAGGCTTATTCGCTCCTTTCGGGTACAGGCGGAGAGATAAGGTGAGAGTGTGAATAATAAAAGTTTTCGAGCTCTGCTATATTCAAAGAAAATGATATTGAATTGCAGCTATCTATCATATGGTCATCTGATCTGCCAAAAGAAGAAACACAGAAAGAAGATAGAAATAACTAAAACATTCCAATAAATGCATCAACGAACAATCGAGCGTGGTACAATATCGAAACATATGTAGATTCGATCTTTCGTCCATATCTCGGAAGACCGAGCCCAGATGCTATTGATCTGCCAGGTAGTATCGAACGCTCCTAGTAACGTAAAAGTCACATATTTACCGGCAATTGTGCCCAAGGATGCTTCATACTCTGCAGATCCAAACCTTTACTGGCACAGATTAGTATCAGGCCAAGAAAGGCCGTTGTCGCTCGAGTAGATTCATGTGATAATAAGCTCTCCAGTCTCCGATTCCTCGACATTTTGGAAATTCACATACTTCAAGTGCTTGATGTCAAAGTCTCTCTCATAGACAGTGCGGGTAATTTCCGAGCGCCGCGAACTTATTACAGCCGCACCGTGAGGGGAGGGCGGCCCAACATCATAAACGGCAGCTAGGCCACAACAGGTCTTAGCCGGTAAGGCCCGAAGTTCACCGTTCAGGAAGTTTGGACCAATCACCGTGGAACACAGAAGCTTGCCTTGAAACGAAGGAATGGAGTGATTTACCACCGTAGGGCTGCGTGAGGCTTCGGGTTAAGGCTGCGAAGACCGCTACGAGCACACAGCCAGATTTTGCACCAAGCCTTCCTCTCACTGGCGACTGGTTGGATTCCTGACAATGTGCTCTTTCATCTCTCTTGGCTGTCATGTCCCTCTCTCACACATTTGGCCTTGTCTCTGTGATTCTCTCGTCCTGCCTCCCTGCCTTATCTACGAGGATCATCATAGTGTATTGCATATTGCTTCAAATGCCCTTCCTATTTAATATTACAACCATTTGTCTATACCCGTATCGCCTTCTTGCCCTGTTTTCTATCTGCTGTGCTCTTGCTATTCGTCGGTTCCTTATTCCCACCCTTGTCGCTCTGACTCTTCGTACCCCGAGAGGCTCATTAATCTCCGATTGCCTACTTTATATTATATTCTCCCAGAACCCGCTTGCCATACACTGTATTTTCCTTCTGGTTTTACTCTCTGCAGATTTACTTTCTTTCATTTCCAATTTTCTTCTACCCTATGGCCTCGTCTTATGTGCACAGCTTGCAATGCTCGTTATGCAAGCGAACCTGGCAGCCGCACCATACAAAACGTGCGATGCTTTTCTCCAGAATGGCCCCCGCGAGTAGGACCACCATAGTCCTTTTGCGGCTGCTGATGGTCTAAGCTCCCCTTCTATAGAATTCCCTGCTATATGCACCAATCCCAAAAAAGTGCTGCACCAGCCACCATTGCCATTGAGATTTCGAAAGCCGCAACTTGGACCCAATTTCCTCCAGCCCGGTACATTACAAATGCAGCCACCAGACGAGAAGGCACTGAAGAGGCCATAATGACACTATTCCGCTGGTAAGTCGAAATCAGATAGTATGTTCCCAAAGCAAAGGAGGTTAGACTGTGAAGTTGGTACTATTAGTTATCAACTTCCGTTGGGGATTTCAGTTATCAACTTCCGTTGGGGATTTTGTATTAATGGCATACCCAATGCACTGAACAGCACCGTCGGGGGTTCCGCTTAGCGAAGAGCCTGGGAAATTTGATGCGGAGGAGGGATAGAGGATGGTGTAGAAGGCGTTCCCCAAGAGGAAAACGCCTTGGGCGGCGAATACGGCACTTGAAGCGCCACCCATGCGCAGACCGATGTTGTTGAGGGACATCATTCTATAGGTTTTTTCGTATGGTAAAGATGTAGGGACGTAGGGACTTCGAGCTTTTTATGCGCGATTCGTGACTTTAATGTAGCCTGCGGCTCCGATGTGCGTCGGCTCCGATGTTTGGGATAGGCTCCACATTAAGCGGCCAATAAGCTAGGGCTAGAAGTGTGAAGATTATATAATCAATGCCCAACACATGAGATGCTGCACACATTGGGGATGTGCAACATCATTTGGATGGATGCCCGGGGGGTTGCTCAAGAGAGTCGACTGTAGCTCATGATTATATATGCCTTATATGATATGAATAGTTGCAATCTCCTTCCGAGAATCACATCTTCCAATCTCAATAGTTCTGGCACGGTGGTTACGGCCTTGCTACAGTCTAGTATGCTATGTGCCTGTATTCCACCAGCCGACCTAGTTCTCCCGCAAGGCAAGGACTTCGCATGCTAACTTATTCCCTGTAAGCTCTCGCCACCCTTTAGCCCCAAACTGATGATCAACTGTTTCAAAAATCCTGACAGCGGGAGAATTATCGCAGACACAATCTTTCAACACTTGTCAAAAAGGATTTCTATGCCTCTAGACTTAGACTGTGCAGATATGATTGTTCCGAGAGAAGTGGAATTGGACGCGGATTTAGATTGTGTTGGCCATCGTGCCTTTCGCCATGTCTGTTGTTTGGAAGTTTGTGGGGAATGATAAGGCAGGATATTGAGGGAGCCTTCGGAGTGGTGGGTTGGTGGATGGCAGGAGCAAAGATTGTGGCCGGGATCATTGGGGCATATGGAGAAATGTCCAATGAGCGATGAACAAGATTAGTCACAGAAAATACTTCAATAAATATACTATTGTGATCTGTTTACGTGAAAGATTCCACCAAATTTCAAAGCAAATTACGGTAACTATTATAGCAATTACTCATCCATTGTTACTAAAAAGTAGCTAAGATCAGATTAGCGTGTTCAAGCTAGACTTTAGGAGTAAAAGTCTAGGAGTGTAGAGGTACTTCTGATTTCGAATATTAGTCACTGTAAATTAAATATTCTTGTTGAATGCTTTGTGTTGCGTGATGAAGTGTGATAACGCAAAAATATCCGGAATTATATATTGTGTGGGGATTTCGTGAACGTGGTTTCGGAAATGGCGTGCATTGAGATTTACTCGAGCTATGCTGTTCCTTCGATCGTAGAGAGGCCAAGAAAAATAACCAACTCGAACCTCTTCAACAAGTAATTAAAGGGAGCCGGATTTGTATCAATGAAAAGGTTTGTTTGACATGAATCGGAGTCGAAGCTCGACAATGAACTTGGAAGAAGACATGTTAATCCTAGCACGTTTTACCACAGGCTTCCTTAATTTGCTAAGCGAGCTTCCAGGATAGTTCTCGAACAAGTTCCAGGCTTGCAGTCTGCAGCCGTGTGCATCCAGCCCGCCATCAAGCCCAATGGACTAGGCGGGCAAAGCATCAGCCACGGGGCGCACGTTGGCCATGACAACGCTTGGCAAAGCTTGGCAGAATTGTTTTTATACGCGGCCTTGTCAGTCTAGTTCGAAACTAATCAAGAAGAGATTCTTGCAGGTTTCTCGATGTATAGAAGCGAACCCAGTCACGGACCGCAGGGAGAAACGTGGCCAGGCACATCGGACCCACTGGAGCATCCGACCCAATCGCGCGTGAGGATTTCGCTGTTTAGCGTCAACAACTGCGGAGTCGGCTTCTTCAACGAGCGTCCATTCATTCACGCCCGACCGGGCCACGTGCATCACCTAGAAATGTGAGATCGTGCCTGGTCCTTGATGGCTTGATCAACTCTCTAAGCGATGCGGGACGGGATCGCAACGTCGGATTCCTCCGCATCAGGGACGCGTCTCCTCCGGGTATAAGATCGCGTGCATTCCTGGACGGATCGTCCTTTTTTCGTACCACATCGACCGTTCAAAAGGCACAATGTTCACCAAGAAGTCTCTCGCTGTCTTCATCGGAGCTCTCGCTCTGGCTGCGGCCAAGACCACCACCGTTGAGTACCCCACTGATGCGGAGGTGGAGGCTGCCGCCGCTACCGTGGTTCCCTTGTCTCCTACTTCCCACGTCAAGGGTCTTGCCTTCGACCGCTTTGTCAACATCTGGATCGAAAACACTGTATGTAGAGCTCAATTGGTCTACGGGACTATCACTGACTGAAATTCAGGACTTCGATACCACTGCTGGCGATGCGAACTTTGTCAAGCTCGCCAAGGAGGGCATCCTGTTGACCAACTACTTTGCCACCACTCACCCTTCGGAGCCCAACTACGCTGCCTCCGCCTGTGGTGATGACTTTGGTATGGACAACGACGACTTCCACCAGATCCCCGCCAATGTCTCCACCATTGCCGATCTGTTCGACACCAAGGGTGTCTCCTGGGGCGAGTACCAGCAGAACATGCCCTACGCCGGCTACCAGGGCTACCGCTGGCCCGAGACCGGGTCGAACGAGTATGTTCGCAAGCACAACCCGCTTGTTCTCTTCAACTCCGTCACCGACTCGGACATCCGCCCTCGCCAAATCAAGAACTTCACCGGCTTCTACGAGGATGTCAAGCACGAGCGCCTGCCCCAGCACATGTTCATCACCCCCAACATGACTAACGACGCTCACGACTCGGACATCACCGTCGCCGGCGATTTCCTCGGTGACTTCCTTCCCCCGCTCCTCAAGAACGAGTACTTCTCCAAGGACACCCTTGTCCTCGTCACCTTTGACGAAACCTCCACCTACGCCGAACCCAACCGCGTCTACTCCATCCTCCTTGGCGGTGCCGTGCCCTCCCATTTGAAGGGAACCAAGGACGACACCTTCTACACCCACTACTCTATCATCGCTTCCCTCTCCGCAAACTGGGGTCTTCCCTCCCTTGGCCGTTGGGACTGCGGTGCCAACCTTCTCGAGCTCGTCGCCAAAAAGGCCGGCTACACCAACTGGAAGGTCGACAACATGGACAAGGTCTTCCTGAACGAGACCTACCCTGGTCCTCTCTCTGATAATGACTACTCCACTTACTCCTCTGCCTGGCCTATCCCTGCTACCCGAGGCTCTTGCTCTGCTGGTCACGGTATTCTGGATACCGTTAAGAAGACCTACAACGGCAAGGCTGCTTCGCACGACTACACTTCTCCTGTTCCTTACGATAAGGCCAGCGGTATCAATGTCGGTATCAAGTTCAGCCGTACTAAGAAGGGCAAGAAGGAGACCCGCATAACTGAGTAAGCGTTTCTCGCGGGCCCGATCAAGGTGTTTTGTTTTGATAAATTTGAAATTGATAAATTTAATGTGTATACAAAATGAATAATAGCTCTTTGCATTATGATGATTACAGTCATGTTTGAAATCGGTTTTAACTCCACAGTCACAGCCAAACTATTCTAAGGCTGTTCCCATTGTCTGAATAGTAGGAGGGAAGAGTATGCAACCAGCACCCGCCAACCTATATCCATTACCGTATAGAGTGGCGGGTGGCAGTCAACAATCGTGTTAAAAACATATGGGTTGCGTGAATACCTCTATTTTGGTCGCTGCCCAGGGGTATAATTTTTGAGTTATTTGAAATTCCCCACAGCCCGTTCCCTGAGAACCCGACCAAAGCGATAGAAAATGACCGGCATTGGAATAAGAGCAAGAGTCACAAACCCCAACAGGGAATTCCCCCAGCCATAACCAAGGGCTCGATACATATATGGACCAGCTAGCGGCAACAATGCTCCAAAGAGAGATCGACTGACGGTTATAGCCGCAAGTCCAGACGCAGCATACCGTGGATAACTATCAATGACATAGGTCTGCAGTCCCACAAAAATGCCGATCATGCCCACTCCAAATGGGAACAGGCCAATGATTGGTACAATCCAGTGTGTGTGGGCCTGGACAGACCAGCCGTACCAGAAGAATGAGATGGGCACGAAAAAGGCGAACGGAATGCAAATTAGTAGGCGCATTTCCGGTTCGAAGATGTCGTTTTTGCGTGCTTTGAGTCGCATCATAACCTTATCACTCGTGAATCCCAAGAAGGTTTGGCCGGTGATAAAACCGAGGCCAAGACCGATGTAGGATAGTCCGCTGACGGAAACGCTCCAGTGATAGGTAGTCTGGAACACATCGGTGACTGTTGTGAAGAGGAGGTAGAGGCAACCGTAAACAATTGCAATATACAGGGCAACGATTGAAATGATGGGCGAGCGGAACAGAAGCTGGAGAGGAGTACTTAAGCGGCTTAAAAGAAAGCCAGCTTTGTTGGCCTTTGAGCTTTCCTCCTTCTCATAGCAGCTTCGAAGCTCAGGTCGCCCAAGCTCTTCTCGTAGCCTCTGTGTCTTGTGCTCCATCAAGATGACTGGGTTTGTCTCGCGATTGAAGACGATAACGAATGCGGTGAAGGTACCACCCACGATGACAAGTACCCAGAAGACCTATGCGAGTTAGTGTTTGCCCGATAACTTTGATGGAATGATACTAACCCATCGCCACCCAGCACCTTGTGCAATGAAGCCACCGCATATAGGCCCAAGAACAGGCCCGAATAGTGGTCCAAAAGAGAAAACAGACATAGCAAGGCCGCGTTGCTCTGCTTTAAACAAGTCTGACACAACACCGCCGCCAATAGTTAAACAAGCAGATCCACCCATGCCGGTAAGAGTCCTGAAGACAATAAGAGCAGGAATATTTGGTGCAAGGGCGCATCCAATCTGAAACAAAACAAAAATTGTTGTCGCCGCGTTAAGAACGATTCTGCGTCCATATATCTCGCTTAAAGGTGATAGGAACAGTGGCCCCGCCTAGAACTTGTCAATTTTAGGTTTCTTCGGAGGATCGAACATACTTACAGTGTAGCCAAACAAATAACTTGTTACAGCTAAGGTCCCCAACAATGATGAGGTGTCGTTAAAATCTCGCTCGGCGTATACAGCAGCGGGGGCAAAAACAGAAGATGCGAATGGGCTTGTAGAAAGTCAGACATGACGCTTCCTACCTTTCCAGGATGGCCATACCTTATCAATGTGACAATACTGATAATAGCTAAAAGACCCCATTTCAAAGAAGAAGCGTAATTCCTGAAGAATGATTAGACCTAAATATCTCATGGTTTTGTGTATCTCACTGACTTTGGATTTTGAGGATCTTGTTGACCTTCCCAACCCACAATTCCTTTTGATAGGTCCATCAAGAATTTCCCCTTTCACCATGTAAGCGAGAGCCTCATAAAATTTAGATTGGCCCATGCAAGGACTGGCGTTACTCACCTCGTCGCTGTTTTTTTCATCCTGAAGGGCCATTTCGGAATGAGTAAGTTGATGACAACAATATGTAATGCAATGCCAATGGTAATAAAATAGATGTAGATACTCTGCTTGGGTTGCAAAGGAGCAGCAGCTTTAGCTGTGCTTTTAAACCAGTGACTTACAACACCATATTGAGGATAAAGCAAATGACCCGTTGTTTTGGTTAGCGTGATAAGATATCACGACCCACTGGAGGCCATTTAATTGGATAATTCCCATATCTGACGTAGATCATTTCCTCATATTCGGATCTCGGCGCCGCTAACCACCGCTTTTGAAGTTAGCGCGGAAAATTTTAGGTCCCTGACTAAGGGATCCTGTCGAATATAGCAAGCGGTCACCGTAATCAGTGGTATTGAAAACTCTGGTATTCTCTAATACTTGAATCGGCAATTTTAGAGGAATAGACATGCAAACAATATGAACACAAAAGAATAACACTTTTCCTGGTATCCAGGGAATATCCATGCCGATAGGTCCTGCGGTTCGGGAAAGATGGCCCCCGGAGGATGTAGCCTTGTAAGAGGTTGAAATACGTTCAAGATGCGTTTCATGTTGTGATAATTATGTGTATTCGATTTTGTATGCGATCAGGTAGTTCTAGGGAAATGGGAGATCCGTTATAGCCAGTTTTGAAGGTCTAAAAATTCATCAAGATTTCCAAAGTCCATTTCACCAGCTTCCAGCGGCATACCCATAGAGCCATGATTGACTCCAGGCTCACCGCTGCTACCCAAAAAGAAGTCATCGATGTTGTCAAATTGTGAGCTGGCAATGGAAGCCTCTCGTGCATTGTCGGCTGGTTTTGGAATTATCCTCAATGATGGTGATCGGCAGCCATCTCGTTGAGGACAGTCGTGACCGAGAGTTTCGAGAAGGTGAGGTGCTAACCATTTCATTTTGTCTGCAGCTGAACTATCACTGCCCAAAAGATTCATGGTTTGCTTCCCCAATGAAGCAGTGTAGGTATCATCCGGTACTCTCAGCTCCGTTTGATACAAAGCCAAGTCTGGAATCTTGTGTTCTAAGCCAAGAAGCCTCTCTTGAATGTGGCGAGCGCAGCTTGGGAGAGTTGCGATCATAACCTTGCATATTATTAGCAACGCGCAGGTCTTTTGGAAAGAATGACTCTACAACTTACCTTCATCATAACTTTCCATCGATGGCCGGGGACGCTGCGCTTTGCAATACGATCTGCCACCTTTCTTCCCAATGCCAAACATCTGAGAATGGATCGTGTCTGAAGAGTATCACTGAACGTCAGAACAACGTAGAAAAGCGTCAAGGTGGAGTTAAAAAGCGCGCGAGAAACGAGCCAATTGCCGCCGCTCAATAACCCTCGTCTATACATGTCATCGCATAGCATGATGATGTTCTCGCATGCCTGGATGCATATCGTGGCAAGCCATTTGGCGTTTGTGTTCTCTGGCAGATTTGGATCACCCGCACACGTCATGAGATGTTGTAGAAAAGGGCGATAAAGATAGATCTGGGCTTGTGCATACGTTATGCAGAGCGTGAATCTAACTCTGGGATTTATATCAGATTTGCTATCTTTCTGCTGGTGAAGTGATGGAACTTACGCTGTTAATTGAGAGTTTTCGATATTGTTCCCTAGCGCGTAAAGATCAGGCATCCCTCGAGCCCATTGGTGAAACTCTTCTTCAATTCCTTTTAATTTGTCCATGCTGACAGAACAACACACCGTACTCCCTGGCTGGAACACGTTGAAGCGTTTCTCGGAATAGATGTGCTTGATAATCCCTTGAAAAATCATATGAAGTCGTCGATAGACATTTGCAATAGCCACAAGACAGACTTCACCTTCTGGTTGCTGCCGGATCTGTCCCAGCTCGATATAAGAGTCGTTAGTTTCTATCGGGGATTCCTGATCAATCTCCTCGCGACTAAGAAGATTTGGGAGGCCGCAAAGGGCGGCGACTTCATTGGCCAGGATCCATAGAGCCCAAAACACTCGTTTGCCGATTTCTCGCGAGATCAGATCTTGATGGTTTATGAAGGATCGATGGAGTCCCATCCGTAAAGCCACCGATAATGCAGCGGTTATATAGGTGTAGCAAGTGAAGACTCGAGTAGTTGCAAGAAGAAAAAGAATCTTGAAAACGATAGCCTGAAGGGATACAAGATCTTTACAATCAGCGATGTCCTGGAGTCTTATGCTCTTCTCGTAATAAAAAGACCTGCTGCATTGTCAGAAACCCATGTATAGAACCTTTTTCTTGGTGAGAGATACGCTTGCGAGAGTGCATCGTGTTCTTGGTCTTCACACAAGTCGACAAATAGGCTGCCATAGGCAAGAACGGCGTAGAAAAGAGCCAAAAAACGCCATTCCTGGATACTGTAATTTGTTTGGTCGAGGGAATAGATGAGATTGATCAGATTATTGAAAGATGGGCGGTGGATGACGCAAAACAGAATCTGAGCGTCCAGAGCCGCTTCAACCAATTTATTTGCCACTTCTCTAGGTGGAAGGATGACATCAACCGGCGGTTTCCTGGAAGTGTCAAAAAGTCCAGGGACTGAGAAGACAGTTGAGAGTCGTGTATGTGATGAATCATATGCCCAATCTCCCAATCCATGCTTGAAACCTTCAATGAAGGTGCGATCTGCGGAGTAGCCTTGGAACTCAAGGTCTCCTTTATCAACGGAGTGGTAAATTTTTGCGTAGGGGTCGGCTGCTAATGGCATGCCGCTTGCAATAGATGAAGAGACCTCAGATGTATCCTGGTTCCGTGTCTGAAGGCCTGGAGAAATGAGGTTTGTGTTGCTCACCTCTGTAGCAGCCCGAGGCGCTGAACCAGAATGGGCAGATGCTTCCATGGCTTTTATTCTCTTCTCAAGCAATTCAATCTTTTCATCCGATGCCTTTTTTCTCTTCTTGTGGACTGGCTTGGGATATGTGCAATCTGTCAAGTTAGTATTCGAGTCTTTCTCTTCTTGTGATGGGCAGAGTAGTCCACGGTACCATAAAATGATAATGCGCATTGACCACAAGGCAGATTTTTGTCGCATTTGATTTTTCTTCGGCGGCAAGACTCGCAGGATACTCTCTTGGGCGTTTCATTGTGTTGTCGTTGGTGGTTTTTTGCGTCGACTGAACCGCCGGTGGTGTTCATTACAACAAATCGGACTTCGTTTGCCATATCTAAACCCCTTCTTCCGAGTCCACATTTATCGGAACGTTGCAGAACTTAGAGGTAGAGCTAGGTAGGTAATATTAGCAGCATGAGGTCGCTTGCTCAATCACCCAACCTCCCTCACAGAGCGGCGTGATGCTTGAACCGGCGTCGTGACGAAGGCTGGAGGTCGTGCCTAGGTCACGTTGGCTGTATCAGGTTTCGGTATAGTGGGATTTCGTAAGTTTGAAACAATGATTTTACCGCCTTTTTTCTGCCGCGCTTTCTGCCATCACGGAGGTACTACATGTATTACATGAAGTGAAAAACATAAGGCCGGGTCCCATTCGCGTCATCTAAATACTACGTCTATTCTTGGTAATTGGGGATCGATGTAAATTGAGGTACCTCGAGTTAGGGTTCTGGAGTTAAGTCGCAAGAGTGTGGAGTTAAAATGGATTTCGAATACGACTGTACCTGTCTACTGGTTTATAAACCGCCAGATTATAAGGAGCCATGGAGATGGAACGACTCAACGTAATAGTCAGCAAAGCATGCCAACCCGCGTGGATAGTAGGCCCAGGGCTATTGCTTCGTTAAGTCTTCAGCTCGCCTAGGCAGTAATTATGAGCAAAGGATATTAAAGAATAAAAACTTTCGGTATTGAACCACATGGTATAAACATTACTCATAATCTAATGCAAATGCAAATGCAACACACCACAATATCACCCGACAGTCTGCCACCATCAGACTTATCCAGCGGCATAGGTACTCTTCTTCCTCAAAGCCTCCCCATACTTCCACAAGAAAATCGGCGCCGGAATGCCAAAGCCCAGCGCAATAAACGCAAGCACACTATTGCCCCACCCATAATGCAACTTGTCATACATGTACGGCGCAAATAGCGGAAACCCGAATCCCGCCACCGATCTCAAAAACGAACCCGCAGCCAACGCACTCGCCGCGAACCTCGTATACGTATCAACCATATACGTCTGCATGCACTGAAACGAAACAATAGTTCCCATTCCGAGGAGGAACGCACCGATATTAGGAGCTATCCAATGACAATGTTCCTGCGCAGTCCAGCCGTAGATGAACAATCCCGTAGGAATGAGGACCGCGCCAACTATGAGGAGTGGGACTCTGAATTCAGGCCTGCCGACGTTATCATTTCGGGCTTTAAGGCCGCGATAGATTCTGTCGTTGAGCGGGGCACAAATTTGGGAACCGGCCCAGAAACCGAGACCAAGGGAGATGTAGTTCAGTCCGCCTATGCCGATGGATTCATTGTAGTATTCTGGTGAGGTCCAGAGGGTTGGAAAGGTTGATAGGACGAGGTACATGATTCCGTAGAGGTAAGCCATGTAGCATGCGAGACACTGGACAATAGGTTGGGTGAGGAGGAGGCGGAATGGTCGGACTAGGGCAGTGCGGAGGACTTGGATGAGGGTTTTCTTTTGCAGTTCTGCTTCGGTTTGGTAGGATTCGTCTCCAGTTTCTTTGCGGAGTCGCACAGCACGGTTTTTCAGGAGTCGGGGGGCGTATGTTTCGCGGAGGAAGAATAGGCCCATGAGTTGGATGAGGCCGTCTGTGATTGAGGTGGCGTAAAAGACCCAGCGCCAGGTGGTGTTTTCAGCGATGAAGCCGCCTGCGATGGGACCTAGTGCTGGGCCTAGGAGCGGGGCGAGAGAGTAGATTGCGATTGATTTGCCTCGTTCTTCGGGACGGAAGCAGTCTGATAAGACGCCACCTCCTACGGCTAGGGGTGCGGAACCGCCCAGGCCAGCGAAGAAGCGGCAGACGATCATTTGGGTTGATGTTTGGGAAACGCCACAGCCAATGTTGAAGACGAGGAAGAAGAGGTTAGCTAGTTGGAGGACGATTACGCGGCCATAGATCTCGGAAAGAGGTCCTAGGATTAGAGGGCCGACGGCGTAGGCGAGGACGAAGATTGAGAGGGTGAGTTGGGAGAGGACTTTGTCTGTTATGTTGAGGTCTGCTGCGATTGAGGTGAGGGCGGGGGCGACCATTGAGGAGGAGACAGGTGAGATAAAAGTGAATAGGGAGACGGTGACTGTTGCTGCCCACTTCTTCTTGTTGGGCCAGTTCTTGGGGTTTTCTGGGTCGTCAGGGCCATCCCAGTCGACTAATTTGGAGTCCAGTCGTGAGCGAGCTGAGCGAGCTGAGCGTGCAGATTTGGACTTTTTGAGTTCCATTTGATTTCGCTCTAGATCAACGTCTCGCTCGTTGACGATGCCGTTTCGGATTTCTTGGACGGTCTCAGTCTTTTCCGTGTAGGATTCTCCAGAGTCACCACCTTCATCGCTGTCAATGTTGTGGTCACTGTGATATGTGGAGTTGTCGTCTAAGTGCTTTGCAGAGTGCACACGATCAAGGTGAGGCGCAGTGGCGGTGACGGATGAGGATCTTTGTCGAGACGCCATAGATCCTGCAACACCTTGGTGATGTTCAGAGCCGGAGTCCAAGGAAGACGGTGAACGAGACCTGCCCGCATCGGAGCGGTGGTCCTGTTCCTTCGACATGGTTATTGTCATGCACGTGCAGATATAAGCAGTACCGAAGTTGAAAAGGCTCAAATAAGTAGGCAAGATAGTAGGATTGGATATCTTAGTAGTCTAAAGACTATGTACACGCGACACTGAAACCAAGGAAAAATAGCGGGGAAGCTGCTCTTATACGCGGTAGCTAGCATCACGGAGCAAAAAATTACCGACACGGAGCGCATAACATGCTCGAAGGCAATGCACACGGTGATAGCACATTAACACCGGGTGGGCCGCTCCAACACTGACATTTTTACAGTGATAATTGGCTCGTTTGAAAGCTTGAAAGGGGAATGGCTCTGGCCCAGGTTCTTCAAGCCCCGCTCTGGGTCAAAAAATTGGTATTAGCGGCGGCCTGAACCGGCATTCCCAGGGCAGATTTCCGCCTTGGTCGTGTGTTGCACCGTGAAAACGGTGTGAAACGGGGAGAAAACATGGTCGAAAGTGGAGCAGAAGCGGACTCCGTGCGCCGGTTCAGGCATCATGACTCAGCATTTCGGCTCTTCGGCACGCACGTGACTACATAGAAAATACGTAGCGGAGTTAATGTAAAGCTACCTCTTTAAATTTTGCTGATTGTAGGGTTTTTTACTATAATTAGAATGATGCGTCTGGTTAATGATCATGGTCCGGGTCTAACACCCTTGGGGTTGGGAGTTTATCTTTGAGTTTCAATATATAATGCTTAGGTACTAGTCTACCCCTACTTATCTGCCTGCGCTAGCATGTTAGATGGTCAATATTTCCTTCTACCTTCATATATAGCATCTATATATGCCGGAAACTAAACTCACAAGCCAGAAAATGACACTCTATAAGCATCGAACTAGAGCATAAGGTCAATCGGCAAAGTCCTTGTCAATAAGGATGTCGACTTGAACTTGATAGTAACCTTGGAATCCTTGCCGTTTTTGCCCTTGACAATAAGAATTCTCTTCCGAGATACTTAAAAAGATCTCAGGGCAAAGCTTGGTGTACTGTCTTATTCTTAAGAGATATAATTAATTCAGACCTTAAATTGGAGTTTTTGCAGCTTCCCCCTACCATGAAAGGTAGCATTCATGAACTTTCATGGTCGCATTCTCCGGGTCAATGTCTATGCCAAGCTCTCGATATCAACAACAAGCCCAGGCAGCAGCTCAAATCGTCCAGTCTTAGATCCATGAAAAACCAGCTTAATGGCAGCCTCCCCAGTAGAGAGAGAGAATGCACGCTTGCCAGCTGTTGATCCGGATGGAACATCATAGCTCCACTCTCCACCAAAGATCGCATCGTATGCTCCCTTCAGATTAAACGCTCCCTCGTCGGGATCCCGGATGGACACTGACAACAGCCCCTTTACACCATTGGGGTGTTGAGTGAGATGCGACTCCGCCTCATAAGGGACGCGTCTAGCTCGAGGCGTTCTATCCAGACACCAGAATGGCATAGATCCGGGAGCCACAGCATTCCCCTGTCTGTCTTTGGGCGTGCAAACAGCCCATTCTAAAACGGTCCCATCCGGCTTCGTGCGACCGCCCGGGATAGGATCCGTATAGGAAGCGCTGGTATCAGCATTCTGGAATCGTTGTTGAACGGCGGCAAAGTCGCTTTCCGAGGGCAAGGTAAAAGCCCAGTCAATGACGGTTCCTTCTGTCTCTTTTCCCCAGCGATGGTTGCGTCGTCTTTCGGGGTCCACGTCATCGAAAAATGCAATGAACTCGAGATAAACACCATCAGAGAGCAGGATTAGCTTGTTTGTCGTGAGTCCATCAGCGTGGTTACCGCCTGGTGCCAGAGTGAGATGCCCCTCGATGTGTGAGGAGATTCCAAGAAGATCTTTATGAGAAACAAGGATGACGATGTGGTCCAGGATGGGGATTTGCATAGCTTGGCTAGACATATTGAAAATGTCTACAAGCTCACATCCAGAAAATGGCAGTAAAGTTCAATTGAACGATGTCTCAGGCGCTGCAGAGAAGATGCAAAGAGATTCTCGGAGCAGGATCGCGCGCGACAGTTCCCCGCATCTTGGCGCGCGATTACAACACACAACATCTCTCAGAAGGAAGTGTTGGCATGGTAGATGACGAGGGCAGGACTGAACTTTCTATCCCCTAGAAGAACGATAAATAGAAGCCCCCTTAGAAACTAAATAGTCGGCATACTCTGTATCTATTAAAGCTCCGCCTGTGGATGCTGACTAGGGTCCCGGATAATACTCTAAGCAGTTATCGATGTCGCCATGCAGGGCGATGTTTAGATCTTTGGCGTAATGATCACGAGGCTGCCAGGGTTCCCAATCAGCCCTTTGGTACCATATGCTCAGCGATGGTAAGATACGTCGAATTAAGGTCAAATAGACGGCGCTCGCAGAGCGATGAAGAATCATTCAGTGTGTAACATTATATTAATAATTCAAGGGGTTTAAATAAGAGTCTGCTTTCCTTCTTCATAGAGTAGGCTTTGGGCTGCGAAAAAGTAAGTCTTTACCTTGAATAGCATTACTACGTAGGTACGGCTCAGGGTCTGTCGGAGTCAATGTCCACAAACCATCACCATGCCGCTACACGTGCATGGAAGGGCATCTATCAGCAAGATTTCTCAGCGCAGATAACCCCGGTTTGAGAGGCCATCATATAAGCCAAGGTTTATATGAGGTGTCTTCGGTGAATGTCCCAACGTCATTGATCATGACACGGCGGGCATTAATGGCCGTTTGAATATCACACCAATCGACATAATCGACAATGACCCTGTCAGTGTCAAGACTGTTCTGCCACCACCGAGCAAACATTGTGTTGTGATAAGTACCCCGAACAACACAAAGGGTTTCGATAGAGCCCATTCTCTTTCGAGATCGAGAGTTTATGAGACGGACATATCGGTCCACATTTCTTTCATAGACGGCCATCTGTCGCAAATAGGTCCTTCCATCCCGAGCCTCTTCGGCGAGACATCAGAGAGCAGGTTTTTCACGAATTGATCACATTTAGCCCCCAACCCCTTGCACCTTGTCTGCCAGGTGACGATCTGGATAATTTAGGGGATTTTTTTCTCACTATGCTCTTCTCTTCAATTCACCTGATTTCCTACATGCTTTGAGTCTTTTGTCTTCCCAAAAAACTAATTGAGCGTTTACCACTTCCTAGGCGGTCTAAAATGCGTCTCAAAATAGGTGTGGAGCGTTCAGCGTGTGAGTGGGGCGGCTGATGACGTTCTGTTTACTATTTCATGGATTATTTCCCCGCCTTTTTCTCTGCTACTTTCTTGCGATTTCTGCCAATATCATCCTTTGAAGACAATCAGCAATGGCGCATGGCGGTATCCATATGTAGTTGGTCATCCTCGTACAGTTGGAAAGTAATTTACTCATCTACGCCTGTCCGAATTCCACGGCAGCGACCAGGAATCTGCGAACACGACCCTCCACCTGATCTCCCTTGATGAGGTGTGCCGACTCCGCAACGGGGGATGCCGTCAAAAATGTTGAGCCGCGAGTCTTACCGTGTGGGATGGATATGTCTTTTGGAGGTGGAACAGATTGCGGCAATGGAGATGCTAGACGATGAGCACCCGCCTCTTCCGCAGCCGAGCGCGGACACAAACGTTTACAATCTCGGCAGCATCAACAACCATAACGTTGTTATCGCCGGTCTTCCTCGGGCGGGAAATTACTCCGCAGCCACAGTCGTTACCCAAATGAGAACGACATTCCCAAACCTCAAATACGGCCTACTGGTAGGGATTGGGGGTGGTGTACCGATAAAGACAGATCATGGGATGATCCGTCTAGGACATGTGGTGGTTAGTGAACCCACAGGCATACACTCTAGAGCAATACAGTATGACCACGGAAAGGCAAAGGCGGATCATTTTGAACGTAAAGGTGCACTCGCACCTCCACCAACAGCCCTTCTTAACGCTGCACGGGAAGTGGCTGTCCGGCGCTAAAGAATGAGCTATGATCCAATTTGGAAGAATATGGAAGCATTGCAATTGAGCCGCCTTCGAACATTTCGTCGCTTTAAGTTTCCTAGTACCGCGAATGACTATCTCTACCCATCACATTATACACATAAGCAGGACGGTGTATCATGTGCAGATGGTGGCTGTGACCCGAAGCAGCGCATCGAGCGACCGAATGACGAGGAAGGTGAACCGTTCATCATTGTCCACCGAGGCACAATAGCGTCTGGAGAGTTAGTGATCAAGGATGCCAAGCAGAGGGATGATTTGGCGCAGGAGCATGGGGTGTTATGCTTCGAAATGGAGGCAGCGGGAGCCCTTGCAGATTTGCCATGTATGGTAATTCGAGGTATCTCCGACTACTGCGACTCGCATAAGAACGACCAGTGGCATGGCTACGCAGCGGCGGTAGCAGCCGCTTATGCACGGCAGTTATTCTTCCATATGGCCATTGAAGAGGTACAAAGGTAAATTCCTCACTGTTCTGATACATCGAAGACGGAGAGTTATTTTCGTAGCTGATTGACGCATCATTCAGAACTCCAAATCCAACGCCTACCGCTTTCGAGCTCCCGCTTAATCTGTCCGAGATATCCGAAGTGACCCATTTCGTTGCACGAGAGGATCAGCTCAAGAAAATACAAGAGATCCTCGGCGCAACTGTGGGACGCTGTACTGCCGTCGTGCATGGATTAGGTGGTATTGGCAAGACGCAATTAGCGATTGCATACATCAAGCGACATCGGTCTGATTATTCGGCTGAGATATGGCCAAATGCAAGAGATGAAACATCGTTGAAGCAAAGCTTTGCTCGCGCAGCTAAGTGGATTTTACGCCATCACCCGTCTATCACATACATTGCAGGTGCTTTGGAGAGCCGAGACCTAGATAAGACGGTGAAAGCGGTAAACCGATGGTTGAACGATGCGAGTAACAATCGCTGGTTGCTCGTCTATGACAACTATGATAATCTTTTAATGGGCACCCATACGGGGAAATTCTCAACCTATACTTCCTCCCCTGGGGCAGCTACATACAGCGGTGACGATAGAGATCTTGCAAAGGCTTTTGATCTTCAGTCATTCTTGCCCGAGGCCGACCATGGTGCTATTGTTGTGACTACACGGTCATCTATGGTAAAAATTGGCCGGACTATTCACTTGAGAAAGCTAGAGGATATCAATGATAGTCTCGAAGTTCTAACTTCCGTTTCTGGCCGAAAAGATTTGAAACAAGGTGATTTTATAGCATATAGTCCAGTTGAAAGTACTAATATCGAGCAGACCCCGTAGCTGCTGATCTTGCAAGGCAGCTCGATGGACTACCGCTGGCTCTTGCGACTGCCGGCGCATACTTAGAGCAAACTTCAATAAGCTGCACTGAGTATCTTCAGCTATACCGTGAATCTTGGCAGCAATTCCATAAAGAGACGCCGCAGCTGCCAGCATACGATCAAACTCTGCACTCAACATGGAATCTCTCATATGGCTACATTCAGCAGCATAGTCCAACTGCAGCTATGCTTCTCCGACAATGGGCCTACTTTTCCAGCGAAGACTTGTGGTATGAGTTGCTGAAATATTGCGATCCGGAAACCCCGGAATGGCTAGGAGCACTGACAGAGAATAAGCTCACATTTCATGCGAATTTAAGACTCTTATGCAGCCACGGGCTCGTGGAAGCTGATCAGCCTGCTATGTCAAAGCATGTGGAGTCACGAGGGTATAGTGTGCACGCATGCGTTCATTCGTGAATGATTCATGTATTGAATCGGGGGCTTATCAAGAAGATGGCCTGGACAGCAGTGAAATGTGTAGCAGCGCGTGTGCCCAGGAGAGAGGAAAGCGAATTCTGGCTTATACAGCGGCGGCTCACAGCACACGCGGACAGATGTCTGAAGACAATAAGAATGATGGAAATTGAAGATAAGGCTCTGGGGACTCTACTTCCTTTGGGCTGGCTCTACAAGGATCAACGCCGGCTCCAAGATGCAGAAGCAGTGTATGAGCGAGCACTAGAAGGCTATGAGAAAATCTCACCCGCGAACTCAATTACAACCCGTATCCCTGCTTTGGGAGCGGTCGTCAACCTAGGCTGTCTATGTGAGAAGCAGGGAAATGTTTTCGACGCCCTGTTGTACTCTCAGCGGGCGCTGGATAGCACTGACATCATTTATGGAAGGCAAAGCCAGACATATGCAATGCTGTCTAGCCAAATCAGTTCTCTGCAGCGTGCTAGGTCCGAAAAAATCGATAAGCAAGACTTCATATTTCAAAAATGAAAGGAAAAACGAGAAGAAATCGATGTATTGGAGGTACGTTCTATCTAAGGCCAGAGGTCAATAGCGGTCAGACTAAATACATTCAAATTAGGACGTCAACTCTGGCAATATGGAATAAAGTGAGAACGAAGCTCTCGGTCATGTACAAGTCTAGATAAGCCATGCAAACGTGCAAATATCATTCCCCCCTTGTTCCTAGTCTCTCTTACCAGATTATTCATCTTCGGATGGGTTTGAGAAGTTCGTGAACTCAAGTTCAACTGGAATATTGCCATTCTGTTCAGACGGAGGCTTTAACCATTTGAGTGAAGTATTATTGGCACATTTACAGAGAAATATCGTCCTATTTGAATACCTATGATTCGAAGCTTGGCTACAAGCCTGTTTCTGCTGACCGGCAACTGTCGTGTCTCAACGTGAGGCATCGATTAATCAACATCGCGCTCTGGTGAACTGTCCCTATCCCAGCACATTTTTGCGATGCCGAAAGATACTCGCGGTCACGATAAAGTTCGTACTGATCATCGGAAACCTTCGCGACGCCAACGCCCTCGGACCGCGCGGTGGGGCTAAGCGCGCGCTCACGAAGCGGGATAATCATCAGCCCCAATGCATAAAGCAACTCAGTAAGGAGTCTACCGTCGCAAAGCAATTGCTCATCATCAAACAAGCCCGAATTCGGCAAAATGACACGTCCCCTTCGCATCGCTGTCCTTGAATGCGACACGCCGATCCCGCCCGTGCAGGCCAAGTTTGGTGGCTACGGAGACATTTTCGAGGGTCTTCTGAAGAAGGGTCTAGAGGCGAGCAGCTCCACCGCTGAGATCGAGGTTAGCAAGTGGCATGTTGTGGAGAACCCCATCTACCCCGACCCCAACAAGTGTGATGCGTTGCTCCTCACTGGTAGCAGTATGGTTGTCTTTTCTAGTACGTCAGGGCGCGGCTAATGTTGGTAGAACATGATGCTTTCGGTGATGATTGTTGGATTCTTACGTTGACTGAGTATATTCGGGATGTTGTGAAATCTCATAAGAAGCCTGTCGTTGGGATTTGTTTTGGTCATCAGATTCTTGCTAGGGCATTGGGCGCACGAGTTGGTCGTGGAGATGGGTGGGAGATCTCTTCTTCTGGGATCGATTTGACTGATGCTGGAAAGGAGCTTTTTGGACAGGATCAACTGGTTAGTAATTTGACAGGTGGGATGAAACATGTTCTAACCAGGGATAGCATCTGCATCAAATGCACCGCGATATTGTCTACGAGGTGCCAGAGGGGTGCATCAATCTCGGATATAGCGGCCCTTGCGCAATTCAAGGTCTTTACATTCCCAATCGCCTATTGACTGTCCAAGCGCACCCTGAGTTCAACGAGTACATCATGTCGCATCTCGTGAAAGCAAGACATGATAGCGGTGTGTTGAACGATGAGTTGGCCGAAGACGGGGCGGCGCGAGCAGGAAACCACCACGACGGAGCCCTAGTGGCGAAGAAAGTCATAGAATTTATTATTAGCTCAGTAGTATAAAGAATCGGAAATGAAAAATGAAAAATGAAGCCCCAAAATAGCTATAATGCACGGAGCGCGACGAAGTTCATAGTTGATACGGGGAACGCGGAACGGCGATAAGCGGGGATTGACATCACTCACCTTATAAAACCCGATTTGCCCCTCCATAGGAACCGCGCTCTTGAACCACTGAGGCATTGCACAAATTTCACTCATAATGTCGAACCAGATCCGCACTATCAACCCTGCTACACATGAGGTGATCTTCGATCAGCCTGGCACCTCGCTCGAGGATGCTGGCAAGATCGCCAAGGCGTCCAAGGTGGCCTTCGAGTCTTATCGCAAGCTGAGCTTGGAGGAGCGGAAGGACATTGTCAAGCGCGCTCTTGCCATTCTTGCTACCAAGTACGATGAGCTGGCTAAGGAGCTCACTACCCAGATGGGTCGACCGATCAGGTAATTTGTTCTCTTCGAGTACGTCTGTGGGGTGAACTGACTTGTCGCAGATACTGTGTCGGAGAGATCAAGACTGCGGCGCTTCGCTCAGAGCACTTGCTCCAGATCGCCGGAGAGGCACTGGCTGATCTTCCTGGCCAGCCTCAAGCCGGTTTCAAGCGCATGGTCAAGCACGCTCCTCTCGGTCCTATTCTGATCGCCGGCGCTTGGAACGTAAGTAACAAAACTGACCCGGTCGCAAACTATACTAACAAGCCAACAGTACCCCTACCTGACCACCGTCAACGCTCTGATCCCTGCCCTGGTGGCAGGAAACAGCGTCCTCCTTCGCCCCTCCCCTCAGACCCCTCTCTTCGGAAACAGACTCCTCGAGATCTTCACCGAAGCAGGACTCCCTTCCAACGTCCTCCAGATCGTTCACATTGGTAGCCTGGATGTGCTTGACCAAGTCGCCCAGCTTCCCGAAATCCAGTCTATTTCATTCACAGGTTCTACCGCGGGCGGTATCCGCCTCCGCGAAGCAACTGCTAAGCAGGTCAAGCCCGTGCACCTCGAGCTAGGCGGAAACGACCCTGCCTACGTCCGTGCCGATGCGGACGCGAAAAGTGTCGCTGAGAACCTGGTCGACGGTGCAGTTTTCAACTCTGGTCAGAGCTGCTGTTCTATTGAGCGTGTTTACGTGCACGAGAAGATTTATGATGAATTCGTGCGCTGTGTGCAGGAGGAGCTGGCCACGTGAGTTCTCTGTGCTCGATGATACATTCATACCTAATTCCTATACAGGTACAAACTCGGCGATCCCCAAGATAGCACCACAACCACCGGCCCCGTGGTCTCCGCACCGGCCAAGGTCAAGATTCAATCTCACATCGACGACGCCCTCAGCAAGGGCGCAGTGGACTCAACCCCGGAGAACGCCACTTTTGCCCTGGCCAAAACATCCCAGACGGGCAACTTTATGGCTCCTGTCGTCCTGACGAACGTCAACCACACCATGATCACCATGAAAGAAGAGACCTTTGGCCCTGTCATGCCCATTATGAAGGTTTCCAGCGACGAGGAAGCCGTTGCCTTGATGAATGACAGTGACTATGGTCTGACTGCGAGTGTCTGGACTAAGGATATTGCTCGTGGAGAGGAGTTGATTGATGACATTGAGGCTGGCACTGTGTTCATCAACCGTTGCGATTATCCCGCTCCGGTAAGTTCTCTCCTAGCGCCCTCGGAGCTTGATTCAGGCTAACATACTTTCACAGGACCTGGCTTGGACTGGTTGGAAGAACTCTGGTCTAGGATGTACATTGGGTCCTCGTGCTTATGACGGCTTCACTAAGTTGAAGAGTTACCACATTAAGTATGCTTCTTAGATTATCACTATAGAGTTAGATATTCCCAAGTCAAAAATTCATCTATCAACCTTCCAAACAAGAGCTATACTACAGCTTCACAGATACGAGAGCATCACTTTGATCAAATTAAACGCTACCCAACTCAGTTCCAGTCTGCATGCTTCTTAGCGCCTCCGCACCCCAGCCCCACTCCGCGGTCCCGGACCGCGCTGCAGCGATCCGCAGCGCGGCAACCACCCCATTCGTCCAACACATAACCACATCCCATGAGATGCATTTTGGTTATCTCAAACCCCAGACCGCCACTCAAACACCCCTCGTGCCCCGCATCAACCAGAGTACCGCGCCGCCGGATTGATACTAGATACTCGATACCCAGGCGCGCGATAGAGGATCCCCTAGAGCGCGGGGTTACACATACCGAAATGCAGGGATCCATCGCCATCGTAGTTATCGCGCGTGTTAAAGTAGTAAGATCTGAGTAAGATTAAGGTCATGAGATATTGCGAGGGTAGCTACCCATAATATAAATTCAGATCCTGCATACATCCCAGACTCCTCAACATCCTACCATCCTACCATCCTACCATCCATTCCCACTTTGAATCTCCTTCCCAAAGTCCCATACAAATCAACGCCATGGTCAACCGCCTCCAAGGGAAAAACGCCATCATAACCGGCGCCGCCGGCGGCATCGGTCTCGAAACCACAATTCTCATGCTCCAAGAAGGCGCCTCTGTCCTAATGGCCGACATCTCCCAACCCGCCCTCTCCTCTGCCTTGACAAAAGTTCAATCCCTCTGCCCAGGAACACACGTCGAAACAATCCAAGTCGACGTATCCTCCGAGTCCTCCGTGAAAGCCATGGTCGAGAAAGTCGATTCCTGGGGTGGGGTTGATATCATGTTCAACAATGCTGGAATCATGCACGCGGATGATGCGGACGCGATTGCCACACCAGAGAAGATCTGGGATTTGACGCAGAACATTAATGTCAAGGGGGTTTGGTTCGGGTGTAAGTATGCTGTTGAGAGTTTTAGGAGGAATGGGAAGGTCAAGGGCAGTGTTATTAATACGGCGAGTATGGTTGCTCTTGTTGGGGCGGCGACGCCGCAGTTGGCGTATACAGCTAGTAAGGGAGCTGTTCTGGCGATGACGAGGGAGTTGGGAATTGTTCATGCGCGTGAGGGTAAGAATTATTGTTGTTGTTCTTTGGGATTGAGGAACTTTGCTAATGGGTCTTGGTACAGGATTCCGGTTTAACTCTCTTTGCCCTGCTCCTCTGAAGTATGCTCTTTCTATTTCTTATCTGTTGGTTGAGTCTTGCTAATGCTTGTTTAGCACACCGCTCCTTCAGGACTGGCTTGGCGATGACAAGGAGAAGCGTTACCGTCGCGAAGTCCACTTCCCAAGCGGCCGTTTCGGCGAAGCTATTGAGCAGGCCCATGCTGTGATCTTCCTGGCAAGTGACGAATCGTCCTTTGTCAACGCAACTGACTTTGTCGTCGATGGAGGATTAACAAAGGCCTATGTGACGCCCGAGGGGCCAGCGGCTGCTGCCCCGAAGAACCAGGCTTCATAGAATAATGGGTGTTGTTTAAATGATGGAAATAAAGTAATTCCATGTTCAAATTGTTCAAACATTTAAGCAAAAGATATCCAAATTTGGTTCTGCTGCATCGTTCGACATATATTCCAAGGGCCTGCCTCGGATGGGGGTAATAACCACATTGCTTCTAGAAGTTGCAGAGTCCGGTGCATGTTTCCAAGACCAAAATGGCATGACATGTCGATTAATCGGGTTCGTAGGGTTTCTTTCTGCGTTGGGGCTGAGAGGCAAGAGCCTACTACCGCGATCGGCCAGCACAGGCCTGAGTTGATTCGTGCCTGTGGTGATAATTCGTCCAGGTAGCCCATTGCTTCTGTCACGGCGTTTTCAACCAGGCCTTTGTATATCCCGTCGGGCGCGTATTGATACCCGCCCAGAGACGTGTAGAGATAGATCAGCATGGCCTGCTGGAAGATCGAACCTGCTAGGTAGACTTCAGGGATAACTGTTGGATAAGGCGACCAGCGCAGAATTTGGGCTTGGATGGAGGCGAACATTGCGATATCGTCCGCGGTCGGGGGAATAGCCTGTGCGTCGTCCATCATCCATTGTCGGCCGAGATCGAAGATGCAGGGGATTAGGAGGAGAAGTTCTAGCCAGCAGCCGCAGAGATTGCCGACGTATTGCGTGGTCAAGAGTTCGCGTGCTCTTTGCTCCAGGTCGAAATTTAAGAATAGTTGCCCGCTTAGACGGGCGTCAATGGAGACCATGCTCACGGTCGCGGTATAGGTGTAGTATTCAATGACGAAGTTCTTTAGTTCTCTTGGAACTGCAGTGTCGCTCTGTTCTAGCAGTTTGACAAGAAGGGAGTTGGCAGCTGACAAGTGGTCGAATATCGTGCCAGTCATGTCTCCTTTGGCGGTCTGCGGTTGTCAGTTTGTTTCCATGTGAGCCTATGGGGCGATCGCAAGGTACCTCTGTGAAGCACATCAGGAGAGCGCCGACCAGCAACATCAGCGGGTTATGCTCCTTTCCCTCGATGAAATCGGTGACTCCAAGTCGGAATAGCTGGATCGCCTTTGTGTAGTGGGAATGAGCGATTGCGTCAGACTCATCGCGACGTCGAAACGCCCGGTGGGCCGCACTTTGTGTGATGACAAGTTGTAGTAACAAATCACTGGAGAACGCCAACGGCACAATTTGCACCAAAAATGGGTTGAGAGGTGTAGAGCCGTTAGCCATACAGTCGGCCGTTGTGCTCAAGTAATGACTGAGAAGTTGGTAGCTATCAGCATCGTAACCAGGCAGCATCGACATGGTCCTAGGCACTAGAGTACCAAAGGGTATTGTCGCCAGGGAGTTATCAATGCTCCCAACCGATGTTCTGCGGTCAACAATCTCCTCTTGCATATCTTGCATAGCATCGTCCAGGCCCTTGTCAGCGATGACCGATTGCCCCCCGCTCGAGGTAGAAGAATGTCTCGAGGCCGGGCTCGTGGGCATTTGCATTCCATCGAGATCGGCAACTCCGAGGCTTGACCGTCGTTCACCCACCCTCTTCACATCGTTCACATCATTAAGATCCTGTGCGATGGAATTACTCCTCTCAGGCACACTGGCTGGCCAGGAACACCCCAAATCATTCCGTAGACACCCCCCACAGATCGGCCGTGTCTCATCACACTTCTTCTTGCGTCGTCTGCACGTCCAACACCCCGTGCGGACGCGCACTATTCGGGTTGTTCGCTGTCGATCCGGCATGTTGCGGAGAGAAGAAGCGCTAGGGAATGGCGAACGAGAAACGGGGACCGGAGAACGGTGAATGGGGCGCAACTGATAACAAGACCGCGGTATGTGTGGGGTAAAACTCTATTCTGCAACAAATCATCGCTTGGCATTTCCGGATAACGTGGTTTCCTCCGGATTAGGCTCAGATTCGCGATCGACCCCGAGTAAATAGGTTTGTATGCTTTCCTCCCGACCGTTTGGCCCGTCACGCGACCGGGCATTTTTGGGTCCAGAATAAGGAATACAACATATAGAGTAACAGATATCATATTATGTTCAAAGGTCCAGTAGAGAGAACAGGGAAGAACCTTCTTAGATATCATAGGAAACATGAGTGAAGTCTGTGAAGACACCACTTAGGACTTGGACTCATTAAGATACAACTCCATCGGTGATTCCTCTGAAGATTCGTAAGTGAAATCTGTCGAAGGTAAAGTAGCTACACCGCCGAAGGAGTGTGAATGGCAGCACTTGAATTCAAAGTAGGATCCGATCCGTAGACTAAATCAATGTCCAATGTACTGTCAGTAAAGGTGCACATCAGATGATGATTGACGGGTTGGACACCATTTTCGTAATAGCCATAGTACGAGAGGGTATATGTTTCTCCATTGACGGGGTCAACTCTCTGCGAAATGCTACCACTGGCTAGATCAACTGAAACGGTGTATGTGCCGAAGGCATGAGTCGAGTCATCGCCCTCGGCGTATTTAATGAAAATGGAAGTTGGAAGTTGAGCCAGGGCACCATTGAGAGACTGAACGGAGTTGCTTCTTGGTAGGTGGGTCGTCCTGGTCGGCAGCAATTGCCAAAGAAAAGGAAAACCATACGCCTCGGCTCCTCCGAACCACAACGCCACGATCCGCCACCGCCAGCTGAGCTTCTGGACTATATTTACCTGTCATCTCGTCGGATCGGCATTTTCATTTCTTGCAAGGTTGGATAACACCAGTCGTGCTTCCCTTGCTTTAATATCTTCGAAACGTCGAAAGCCAACCCCAGAAAGTTGACAATCATGACCACCCTCCTGCTTGCTCCTTATAATGCTTCAATGCGCATGGGCCAGGGGTATAACTCGTTCCTTCAGATTTCATGCCTGGACGATGCGGTCAGAATTACAGAGTCGTCGCTCAAACCCCAGCCCGTCCGTGCGCGCAACAAGTCGAACGTCTCCCAGACAGTTTCGTATAGCTCTCGCTTTGTCGAAAGAATCTCCGAATTCACAGGCAATATGAATATCAGTGCGGCTTCTTCGATCAAAACCGGTATTATTGAAGTTCTCGGCAACTCTATCAGTCTAGACCAGGCCAAGTTTTTCGCTAGTGATCTCAACGTGGAGGTCGGGGTCAAGGTGGTCAATCGTAAGTCACACTATTTATTTCGTCTCACCATCTCCATGTTCTGACCAAGCTTCATCCAGAAGCCTTGAGCGCGGGTGAACATCAAGCTTTGTAAGTCACGGAGAGGAAATCGCTGGATCTGGATATTGACGAAGGTACCTTCAGTCAGGCGCCCGTCGAGATGATGAACAGCAACCAATTTTTCGACCTCTATGGAGACTGCTATATATCAGGCAAGACATTTTCGATTCTCATAGGAAATAAGCATCGCTAACTTGCCCCAGGTTTCCTGGAAGGTGGTGATTTACATGCAATCGTCTCTATCAAGATCTTGGATGCTACCAAGAAGTCGGAAATTGAGTCTACGTCAGTTCTCAGAGACCGTAATGCCAGTTAGAAAAGATTAAACTAATTATTCGTAGTCTCAAGGGCCATATAGATGGTATGACGAGTGATTTCGCCATAAACGACAGCCTCAGAGCGGCGTTGAGTCAGACCGAGACCACACTCAATGTCAGCTGGTGTGGTGGGGGACAAATCAAACCAGGTAAAGATTTAATCATGCCATTTATTTCCAGGACACGCATAGATTGACATAATACAGATGGTGAAGGTTGGACATTGGAGTTGCTTATGCGAGCATCTGCTTCTTTCCCATCTCGCGTTGCCGAATGTCCACAGCGCACATGGGCCCTTCTCACTCCCTACCGTAACCATCCGGGCTTCTTGAAGTGGGCCAGTGATAACGAGATTGAGCTCCCAGATTTTTCAAAAGTCCAGCCGTTTGTGGAGAATTTACTTGACAACTACATGGAGTTCAAGAACAATATTACAATAATTCAAGCAGTCCTAGCCGATCCAGATAAGTTTCAAATGAGCCCTTTCCCAGATGCAGTGAAACTTGACATCTGGAATCTTGTCAAAGAGCGGAAGTTGTTGAAGGAGGAGATGCAAAAGATTGTCACAATCATTGATACATTGTGGGTTTGACAAATGAAGATTCTTTTTCTTTCCCAGCGCTGATATCGTCACTTAGGAACTCGGATCCATTGACAAAGGATGTGGCCAATGTCAAATCTGCCAAAGATTGGACTGCGCGACTTCCGGTTAGTCATTCATTCACCTTTTTACCGATCTGCCCATCATTCGTCCCTGTTCCTAACCTATAAAAAAAAGGTTCCGAATGAATCTGCCCTCGAAAATTAGACCTTTGCGCCACTCATGAAGTGGGAGATACCTTAAGCAGAGGCAGTCTTATGTACAAGTGCATGAAGAATGGAGAATGGAAATTCCAAACACCCTCAGAACAGGTAAAGGAGCCAACACAGATCGGGATCACGATTTTCTAACAGGAGTGAACAATGCACTTGTAGGGAAAAAGAAATGAAGGAATCTGAATATGTATAAAGCCCATTTTCTATGTACTATATCCCATTAAGCCTTGAGGTACCTTCTTTACGAAGCACATGCCAGGGTCCTGCCGTCGGGATGCCGAGGTATTATAATCATCGGCTTCGGATCCAAGCGTCGGAAATTATCACGCAAAGTACCTTAATCCCGCCGGCCATTTGCTTATAAAGAATTGAATCTTTATCCTCGCTCTTATCTGCGTTTTGGCCAATTAATTGGTTTTCTCGCATTTGAGAAGTTCTAATGGCGAATTTAACGCTCGATTCACCGATGATCTTGGCCATCCTGGTGACCCTTCTACTGTCATACAAAAACTTACCTGGAGTATGGCATGTAAGTATCACTTCAGCTAATATGAAACCCAAATTCAAAACTAATGTCTACGCAAAGTTCCGATTCTTCCGAGCCATATTGACCCGATTTTTCATCTCCCCCACAACTATTGACCAGCTTAGTCCAGAATGCTTATTCCTCCCGGCAATCCACCGCACAAGATCCCCAATAAGCGAATGCGACTACAACATCCACAAGTCAAACTCAACTTATTTCACAGACATTGATGTTTCGCGGGGCAATCTCTGTCTTGTCCTCTTTAGCCAACGACTATCATTTCGCCCGAAGCATAATACTGCTTCTATGGCTTTAGGTGGTGTGCAATGTGTTTTTAGAAGAGAGATCAAGCCATACCAGCCTTATGAGGTGTGGTCTCGCGTTCTGAGCTGGGATGAGAAGTGGATCTATATCGTCACTCATTTTATTGCCCGAGGTGCCCATCAACCTGCCAGGTTTCGCGTGCAAGACCAACGGAACAGTGAAGCCCCAGCTCGAGGAAGAGAAAGTTGCCAGAGCGGAAAAGAAAAGGGAAAAACAGTCTTTGCGTCGACAGTGTCTCGGATCGTGTTCAAGCAAGGGAGGAAGACGGTTCCGCCGGAGAAGATGCTCGTGGAATGTGGGCTTCTCCCTTCTGCAAAGGCGGAGCTTGATAACGAAGCCTCTGCAAATGACACAAATGGTGTTTTTCAGTCCAAATGGAGATTAATTGAAGAACGACGCAAAAGGGATTTGGAAATTGCGCAACTGAAATTAGGGTGGGATGCTGTCTACGACACGTTTGAAGGTGATGTCTCCATGGCACTGGGAAGATATACGGACCTCTTGTGGAGGTGAGCTGAAATTTGTTTTGGCCCGATCCCTTGTAATGCACTGAACGTTGACGGGATTTCAAAACGAATCCCGCCGACTCAGGCATTGGATGTTGCCGAGGTTGGTGATTAGGACAACAATAATATAGGAGAAGAACATAGATAAATATAACGTAGAACCGTCAAAAGCAAAATTAGAATGAACGCTTTAAAATCGCACCTTCCCCTAACCTTGGAGGAAAAATAGTCTATTCATCCCAAGTGGTAAATTGAGAGTTTCCTTCTAGCGCTGTTTATCACTGCTATCAATAGTATTCATCTAGCAATTCTTTATCTAGCCATGAATGCCCTTTGATTTCATCATTAGTCAGTTTGGCCGAGTGGTTAAGGCGATGCACTAGAATTATCTACTAGACTGATCACAGTCCGGAAATGCATTGGGTTCGCCCGCACATGTTCGAATCATGTAGCTGACGTTAAATTTTTTTTGCTTCTTGTGTAGGTTGGTGGTGGGTCCGCAAACTTGGGTATGCGGCATTCTATCCAATCAGAATGTGGACAAATATCCGCCGCAATTGAGCAGGAGTTTCTCCAATGGTGGTGATGATGATGATGGAAAAGGGTTGAAAGGAGACCATTCTCCTCTTGATTGACCAATATTGTTTTTGGTATGGTCTTACTATTGAATGGTTGGACTATGGGAGCGTTTAAGCGTGCCTAGTCGAGAATCGAACAATCAACGAGATGGACTTAAATTACCCACCGTAAGCAAATGAGATCTGATGTTCTCTGACTCTACATACAACAGCCTAGAAGTGATATTCAGAAATAAATGTAGAACGTCCTTGTCCGGAAAATCAAATGACGGTAGGTAACTTGTATCAGAGCGCCGCAACTACCAAACATAAACTCAATCGATCATTTTAATTTGGAGTATTCAGGGTATAAAGCAAGCGAAGAGAAGATAAGAAATTTATCTCAAGGCTCCACGAGGCGTAAGATCATGGACCCACTGTCTCACTCACCCATATTCATCATTATCATAGTACCTGACGGCAGATTAAAATATGCGAGGCACACCGTAGGCTGAAGGCAAGCGTTGTTTAGCGGCGGCCGGAGAAGACGGACGCGACAAGGGTGCCAATGCAGGCGATGCAAGCTAGAAACATGAATGTAGTATTGGCCTCTGCGGAAACACATCGACTGTGAAGGTGGGATTCATCCCAGTAGGAGATCGTATCGCCTTTGTTGTCGGACCAGGATCCTCCATCAATGAGTTTATTCTGATAGGTTGTCCAGGCGTTACTGCAGTGGACACCTTTGAGGGTAACAGCATAGACCTGGTAGATAGCTAGTTAGAAAACCTGGCGACTCGAGTATAATTTGGTGACTCGAAGACACGTACAATCCCACCGGCGAGGAGTGTAAGAGACGCAACGCCGTCGATCAGCCAGGTGATTACACCGTCTAAACTATACATAAAAAGTGCAATAATTCCAAGGAGAGCCGCGATGATCCCGAATGCACCAGTAAAGGCGGCATAGCCAGATTCTGCTGGTGCCTTGCCTGTACCCTGTCCCCTGGCTAGTGTGACAGAGAGACCGAGGACGACGACGCTGAACAAGAGCTGGAGAATGATTAATGTGAGTCGGACTTTTAGACCATGGCACACCTTACCTGAGCCGATCGGGCAATAGCGATAACATATCTTCATATTGAAGGCTTCGGAAGATTTCGCTAAAAAACTTTCACAAATGTTTTGCAGAAGCAAAATCCCTTGGAGGAGACAACAGCTGATTTATTCACCAGCAATAACATAATTAGTGGGGGAAGACGGCACAGAAACCCTTTTCGGCATAATGTAGGAGACAGCCTTGTCTGCCGGAGCCGCACAGTGCAGAGGGTTTGACCCTGGCGGTAAGAGTTGGGGGCCGTCTGTTGCATGCAATAAGGCTATGGCCCCTCAGCTGGGAAATATGATTTGACGAGCACTCATAGTGTGCGACAAGTGTTAAAGTGATTTGCGTGGGGTTAGAGCAAATGACCTGGTCTACTTTACTACCTTTACATGAATCCCTTCGAATGATGGATATTTGCTTTATCCTATCCCGCCGTATTCATAACACTTGCGTATTTGAAGCCAGCGGTAGGGATCATCACACTCTTCAGGGGAATTGCCAGTCTATAACAAATGGATAACCTTAATTTACGACAAGTCAACTAATTAAGGTGCTCACTTAGACCCGAACGGCCGAAAAACAGCCTGAACCCCCGAACAGCATGGCAGCCTAAAGCGGCCCCAATCTGAAGCCCGCCTTCCGTATCGGGGAGGGGCTGCGATGCTCTACATAAGGGTACTGTATTTGACTAATAATAGGGTTTCAAGTCAGCCTTGCGATCGTATCGTCCCGTTCTTGGTTGCCAGAATAATCAGGCGGCTAAACGCAGAAATGTCCGACCGCGCCCTGGCTCGTGCGTTAATTTCGGAGGTGAGATTCATGACACGAGTCTGACTCACCCAATTAAAAAGCTTAGTTACGGCCTAGTGTATGGTGTTGTATGATTCAATGACTTAACTGTTGCCCTTTACAGGGTAGCTTATCATCGCTAGACTAGAATGATGTGAGGTCGTGGTCGGAGTCCGGGACGGGCCTAGGGTGAAATGGGTCAATAAATGGCAGCCTTCTCGCCAGTTCCAACTCTGACTCACAACCTGAAGAATTATTTGTTCCCTGATCGCTTGAGCAATCCTCTCCAGTACCAAAATCATTTTATAATAAAGCAAATCCACCATGGCGGCGCCAAGAATTGATTTCAAGATCCTACCCGCAACCGAGGAAGACGCCTTTACGCTCGCCCAGGTGGAAGCCGTCTCCAATGACGAAGCGAACGAAGCCAGAGGAGAGAGCAACCTTTCTCATGTAATCTTTGGTCCTCCCAGCAATGCGAGGCAGGAATTCCGAGCTAAGGGACTTGTCGACAAAATGAAGAACGATACGTACGCGCGAAATTATAAAGCAGTTGTTGAAGAAGACGGCCAAGAAAAGATTGTGGGCTGGGCGAACTGGTTCTTCTATACCGAGCCTCAGCCCATTGAATTTAAGGATATCGATTGGCCCGCTGGAACGAATTCAAAGGCTTGCAATGAGTTCATTCAGACACTGACGGCCGTGCGAGCGAAGCACCAGACTGGCAAGAAATTTGGCTGTAAGAGAATGTCCACACCTGCTTGAGTATGAATATAAAAATACTAACTGTGGGTAGACCTCCAAGTGCTCGCAACGCTACCTCAATATCGTGGGCAGGGAATCGGCTCCAGCCTCCTCAAGGTCGGTCTTGCCGAGGCTCGCGAGCTCGGCCTGACTGAATTTTTCCTTGAGGCATCTGATGATGGCCACGATCTTTACGCGAAGTTCGGCTTCGTCGACGTTGAGCGTGTCATGATAGATCTTGTTCCCTATGGAGGAAATTGTGAGTCTCAAGTGAGAGCTATGAGCATTCTCCCGAACTAAGGGTCATCATATGAACGGAGCTTCAGTTATTTCGTGTCACAATATTATGAGACAATTAAATGTTCTATACTAGTCTGTAATTATCGTGAGATGTTGCAATTAATGGCTATTATCTCCATTATCTCGGAATGTGATACCATAGATTTTATGCAATAGCTCGGGGTGAAGAATGAGTGATCTCTGTCCAACAACGTCGCAGAGCAGCACCTTCCATTAGCCCGAGTTAAGGTTGCATCAAAGCATCTGCACGGACAAGCACCGACATGCAAGGCACAGGACACATCCCCGCAACTCCCGCAACTCCTGTTACCCCCACGGTCTATTATCTATCGATAAATGACGCCCCACTGCGGCTTCCAGATAAATACCCGACCCCCCTGGAGTTCCGACCGTGACTCTTCAAAGACAGAATGGACTATTCACTCCAGAACCATGCGTCCTACATTGGGCGTCCAATCGCAGAACTTCCGACGCCTTCTCTTCTCCTGAGCAAGCCCGTGTTGGAACGCAATACCACGGCCCTGCTTGAGGATGTCAAGAAGCTGGGGATTTCGTTTCGGCCTCATGTGAAGACGATGAAGGTATGCATCAATTGAGATATTTACTGCACCCATCAATTCACACCATATTAAATCAATTGAATCTGCAGTGCACGGAGGTTACTCGAATGATGCTGGGCGATGGACTTCATCGGAAGATCGTTGCATCAACCCTTTGTGAGATTCGGGGCGCCTTGGATTTGGTTCGCGAGGGGAAGCTTGACGAGGTGCGTACATTTGCTATCCACTGGTATAGGAAACAAGTTTTGAGGAAGTCTACACAGTGTCTTTACGGTTTACCGGTCTTTCCCGGCGCTCTCCAACATCTTCATGATTTATCGCAATCTCTCAAAATCCAGCTCATGATCGACAATGAGCAACAAGTTGATGTTCTGGAAGCTTATCTAGAGAAGGCATCTTCAAAGCCCGCCCCATGGTCCGTTTTCGTTAAGATCGACGTTGGCTCTCGCCGGGCTGGTCTGGCGACCGAGTCGCCTTCGCTGCCGAAGCTAATCGAACGAATTGAGTCATCGTCAGCCGCGACTATTCATGGGTTCTATTGCCATGCTGGTCATTCATACGCAACTCGCACGGAAGAGGCTGCAACTGCAGTACTCCAGGAAGAGGTCGAGGGTGTGGTGAAGGCGGCAAAGTTCTTGATTGATGCGAGGCCGGATCGTAGGATTGTCGTTTCAGTCGGATCAACCCCCACGGCACATGTTGTGAGCAGACTTAAGGCTACGTTGCCCGAGGGAATGGAACTTGAGCTACACGCTGGTTGCTATCCATCCAACGATCTGCAACAGGTGGCTACCTCCCTCGTAACCCCCAATCAACAAGCAATCCGAATCCTAGCAGATGTCTGCAGCGTCTACCCCGAGCGCAACGAAGCATTGATTAATGCGGGAACGGTCGCCCTATCGAAGGAAGCCAGCGAGTTTCCGGGCTACGGTACCGTGATTGATCGACCTCAGTGGTGCGTTGTGCGCATGTCCCAGGAACATGGTATTCTGGGCTGGGCAGAGTCGGAGCAGACAACCAGACTCATGCAGCATACGGGATCGAAATCAGGAACCGGAGAGAAAATTGAAGATTCTTTCAGGGTTGGCGATAAGGTTCTTCTGTACGTTCAGCATGCTTGCATCACATCGGCGCAGCACTTTGTCTACTACGTTGTGGATGAGCATGATGTCGTGCGTGAGACATGGGTTCCGTGGAAGGGCTGGTGATTCAACCTGCGCTTTGGTATATCAAGCTTGTAGTTGATCTAGATAAGAAAATCAATCCGAAGCAGCCTAATTTAATGACCTTGGTAGTGAGGACGTGTTTTTCGTGGATGAGAGCAGCGTGTATTCGTAAAAAGACGCGGATATGATAATTTGTGACGATGGTTGGTCGACTTGAAAAGTCTCCCAAGTGTCAGTTTCTGATCATCACCTCACATCACACACCCTGTTCTACCTCTTTATGTCTATCTCGAGCTGTTGAATAACCATCATGTCAAACCTGTGGCACCCAACCCCACTTGACTCAAACGGCTTCGTGACTTATGTACAGTAGAATTCGAAAACAGATTACCCCTCAAACACACACGCTTTCTTTCCCAGCGCCCGGCTTTCTTTTCTCTAGGTATTTCTGGTAGATCATCAAAAGTATCCGTATATACAGTTTCCGGCATTGACAGACCATACTTGCCGAAACGCCCCATTGCCATACAGTAAAATTCAAAAACAGTTTACCCAACCCCCCAACACTCGCGCTTAGTTTCTCAATTTGCGACGGAAACCATACTAATATATGCCTGGATAGGACGTAATAGAATATGTTCTTACGAATAGATCCTATTCAAATCTTAAACGCAGACTTCGAGTAAGTTAACATATTTTACAGTAAACGTCCATACACTCACGTCCCTGCCCCTCCATCCTTGGCGTCTCTCCTCTACCTTCTGATTGCCAGAGTATTTGCAAATCATATTAATTATGAGAGTTATGTACACATTATTATAAACCATGAAGCCAGTCATCTTTAGAAAAGATCGACGCGGTATTTATATGAATCGACGACCGTACCCAATTTACACGAATCAATGAACCCTGGACAAAGATGTGTTATCTCTTCATCATTTTTGTTGAGACCAGGAAGACAGTATCTGAGATCGCGTATATAACAGCATAGTGCGAGTATAATCCTGCAGAGTTAGGCAGCTGGGAGAGCTAGGGCCTTGATGGTGTAGCACACCGGTGGCGGGAACATTACCACAGTCGCTGCTGCTAGTTCCATTTGTTTCATTCAGACCAGGAAGAGACATTATCTGGATTTGGGTGTATGCTAGCATGTCGTTATTATACTCTCGTAGGAGTGGGTTGTAGGTTGAGCTGGCTATCTGCATGTCGTTATGAAATAGAGATCCTAACAATGTAATTGATATAAGATGGGCACTGTGAGCTGTAACGGTTGTGTTGCGCTGCTCTGCGTGTTTCAGGCGAAATTGTTTAGCGATACTGTAGGGAGAGTATAACGGTAATGTTGTGGATATGAACTTTGTCACAGAGCACATAAGCAAAGCTAGATATGGTGTTTGATAACGTGATAGCGTGTAGAACTTAGGTTACGATTCGATGAAGGGAGGGGGATAATTTTTCAGCTCATAGGACTTGGGGCCCATGACGTCAGTGGTGTTGCCAGAGGACACGTGATACGGTATGCGTTATTTACCCCTCAGACACACACGCTTTCTTTCCCAGCGCCCCACTCGGATCGCGCCAAGCCAGATTCGGCCATGGAAACTCCCCACCTGGGAATTGTATTGCAGTATTTAATAGTTACGCTATCGTAAAATTCAGTAAACATCCGTAGAATGTTCTGCCTAAAGTTTTTTTTGAAAAAAAAAAAAGGGGCGGGAGAAGTCTCGCCCTTACTTGCTCGAAGGCTAGGCCCATTATTGTAAGAGGCGCATTCCCAGGGGCGAAGACTTTTCTTTTTTTCCCTTCCGCTCGCCTTTGATCCCTATGACCACCGCTTCTATTTAATCCGTCTTTATTGGTGTTAATTTAAGCTAATCAACCTCTGCCACTGACAAGCATGAAGTGACTATGTTAACGAATGGCATAAAGACGCTTCGTATTTTTAGGGATAACCCACTTTTTAGAACATATCGAACACAGTGATTAATATGTCGCGGATTTTATAGTTATAGACCGGTCCAGCCAATAGCTGCTTTGATTTGACATTTGAAAACGAGATTGAACGCCCCGAAACCTCCCGTCCACTTTCTGCAAATTCATCATATTTGTTTGCCAGCAAGCAACCGAATATGATTGATTCAGACCCTCCATTGGATATAGGTTTCGACCAAGAAGACCCAGACCTCACACCGACAGCGGCTAATTCGCGAGTATTGTGGGCCCAGGAAAGTGAAGTTTCATTGGTCGCTGATACACATTCCAAGATACTGCAACGACGTTCGTTTGATGATCCATGGGAAATTTTTGACGGATACTAACTATGAAAGCCCTGTGCGTTTACTTCCGCCCGTACAAAGAAGCAGGATATCTAGGGAACGACGATTTGTATTATGCCATCTATCTCAGGGAGCGGACTACCGAAGACCTCATTAGGCAAATTTGCCACAAGTTATCGATTGACGACACAAAAGAGTAGTGCGCCGACGTACTGTACAAGTGAAAAGGGGTTTCGTATAATATACAGACTTGTACGTAATTCCTTCGTTCTAGAAATGGAAAAGCGTCGGTTCCGAGGACAAAGTTTTTTACCTCTTAGCCTGATACAAATTAATGTTGTTTCGGGTACGGGCCGAGAAACAAAGCGCGAGCGTCGACGGGGAATCTGTTTTCGAAATCAACTGTAACTATTAACTCATTGAAATGAAAAGAAAAGAACAGAATAGACGAGTTCGATATCATCCTCAATTAACAAGATTCAAGACCACCCAACTACTCGTCTCCTTCATCCTCAACAGTAGCTGATCGATCACCGTTCTCCACCGTCGGCTTAGTCGACTCAGACTCATTCCCATTCTCCGCCTTCGGCTTAGTTGACTCAGTCTCAGTCTCATCCCCATCCTCCTCTTCGGGCTTGGCCTCTGTCTCTTCGGGCTTGTCCTCTGCCTTCTCGGGCTTGGCCTCTGTCTCCTTGGGCTTGGCCTCTGACTTCTTCGTCCCAGTCCTACTCGGCGCAGGACGGTTCTCCAAAACAGTCTTCCCATTCGTATCCTTCTTCCCGGGCAGATTATTCTCGGCCGCAGACTCATCCGCCAGAGAAGCAGTCGAGCTCTTGCCCTTACGTGCCCGAGCATTCGCACGACGAATAAGTCGGTTGTGGTAGTCTTCCTGCTCGACCTCGGGGTCTTCGTACAGGATTCGACGTGCAGCTTCGCGGCCGACGACGGGGAGTCTATCGACACCCTGGACCGAACCTGGAACGAGCTTTGGATCGAGAAGACCGGTCTGAACGAGGACGCTCGCTTGGTCCCAGTATGTGTGCTCGGAGTAGAGGCGGCCACCGCGCATGCTCACGATACTGACTAGTATGACCTCGACACGTTTGTTTGTTGGAGGAACGCCGGGGAGCATCCAGGGAATTTCCTGGCTGTGTTCGAATGAGATATACAATTCATCGACGACACGGTCCGGTCCGGCTGTTCGTGACAGAAGGCGGATGCGCATTGAGGGCGGCAGGCGGCCTAGGAAGTAGTGTTCGTAGAAACGGCGAAGGGCTGGCGTGCCAATACCGCCGCTAAGTGTCGGGCCGTATGTGACGCTCGGCGTCCTTTCCTTGGTATATCCTTCCATGGCCTTGGAGAGGTTCGTTCCAAAGTATTTTCCTAACACGAATCAGCGCACGTACTCCAGAGAATACCCAATAACCTACCTTCTTGGTGCTCCTCCCAGCGTCGTTCCAGATCCACCTCGCGACAGAATCCTTTACGCAAAGTTTGAACGGTCCGCGTCCAAGCGATATCCGCGGCAAGGTGATCGTACTCCTCCATATCGTGCTCCGCGAACCCAGGTTGCGCATGATCATAGGTAAATGCCGGATATGCCAAGTCCATGCGCTCGCCGGTTCCAATACCAGGGTTAAGGGGCTTGGTCTTGCGACGTCTCTTGCCCTGCAGCCCAGCGACCTGGGGCTGAGTGGTGACATCCACGGACGGTCCAGCCAGATGCACCAACACCTTCAGGGACAGTGGGAATCGCTGGCGAGTATCGGGAATAACGCTAGGATAGTATGCGACAAGGGCGCAAAGTCGACTCGATTTCATAGGGTTCATGTAGTAGTCCAAGCAGTAGTCTGCGGCCTCACCGTACGCTGTTTCGGGTCAGTATGTGCTCTCTTTTTGCTGCGAACCACGTACCAATTACCGCATAGTTTTCTCCGACACCACATCCTTCTTTGACACCCATCAGCCGACTCGCATAGTCCTTTCCACCGCCGTTGAATGGAAGGTACACCACGTCAAATCCTTCATCCTGCCAGGCCTTGATCGTCTCCATGTCGAATTCGTTGGTCTCCGAGGTAACACAGACCCGCGCGTTGTTATCGCCATTGTTGTATAGAAGGCCACTGCTGAGGCCTGGGGCGTTAATTGAAACGAGAGCCATTTCGTATGCGACCGCGGAAATTCGTTACGCGTTGTGTTTACTTGTCGCTATTTCGTCTCTTCGCACCGAGTGTCACCGTCTCGAGGGTATAGCAGGCTATAGTGATAAACAAGATAAGAAAAACCCAATATCAAGCTGATAAAGCATCAAGCTTCAATAATAGAAGAGGAAAAGTGTTGGGGTGTCATTCATGACGGCTAACGGGCGCTACGTCATCGGCGCTGCCATGTTCCCCCCGACGTCATGGCAGTCGCAAGCCATGGAACAGACCAGGTCCAATCTATTAATTGGACACGGTAATTAAATTTTGGACGGAGCAGGGGTTAAGCGGGTAAATTTGGCCCAGGGGGCTATATTGAGAAAGGCGGGACTATGAAATATGATCTTGTCGATCGCGTTCTAGTCTAAGATCTTCCCACGCGGGCGCTTTCTGTCGTGGACACTTTCTGGCGTGGAGTATTTGTAAATGTGTAATGTTCAATCGAGTATTGGTCTAGAGGGGCCGTCTGGTAGCACTGGAGAGCTTTGTAAATTTTCGGTCGCGTCCTGCACATATGTGTGTATGAGGTAGACGCATGTCCTGCTTACTCATGAGAATATGTTCAGCAGGCATTGCCAACGATTGGACATATGATGGAAGCAAATTCAAGCTTTTATGCATTTCAGAAGGCAATGACTGGACATGTGGCTTCTAATATATGTATATTGTGCAAATATTTGAAACAAGGGTTGCCACGCTAGCACTCCGTGAGACTTATCAGTCGTACCATGTTCCCGGGCTCCACTCCCAGCTATTGATTGGCGTCCAACTAGAGTTTGACAGCATGGGGTTAGGGCCAGGAATAAACTGTCATAGCTTGGTGGCTTTAGTCTAAACAGAGCTTTAATTAGCCCCAGCGATACAGAGCACAAATTTCAACGATATCGGCCTTCGAGAAAGTTCAAGAATAAGGACTTGACTCTCTGCGCTAGGACCACCTGAGATTAGGGAAAACCCCATGTGAAGAAGCTTCTCGATAAGGTCGCATCTTCCCCCTCTTTCCGCACCCAATTACCCAACACAACTGTTCAACACAGTGCGATGTCTCTGGTTCAGCACGTCTCTGCTCTCGAAGGTGTTGATTTCGAGCCAGATCCCGATGTCGATGAGGACTTCGTCCCGATTGCCCGGAAGATAAGCTACGATGTGCTGCATCCGACGTACGCTGCTTCCATCGTCGAGGCTGCTCCACCTGCAACGCCTGCATACAAGCACTCGACTGTGAAACGAGGAGGTACGTGTTATGTCCCTGGCGTATCCCTGCTGTGAGGAAGCTGCTAATTCTGTGTAGTGCAAGTTGCGTTCACCATTTTCGCGTGCTGGGTCGCGTCGGGCATTGTGTTTGGATTCGCTGCGCTCAAGCCTGTGCTCGTGGAGGAGGGCGTTTACCACGAGAAATGTTCCAAGAGTGAGCTTCGCGACGGCATCGAATTGTGCGTGAAGCAGGACCTCGGTCTGAATTTTTTCTTCACCGTCGCGTCGATCACGGCAAATGTTTCAGCTCTCCCGGTTGGAACAATCCTTGACCGGTATGGGTCGCGTCTCTGCGGTCTGATCGGATGTTTACTTCTGGCCATTGGAAGCGTGTTGATGATTCTTTCTTTTCATCTACCTGGGTTTCAGGGGTTCATTGCGGGCAACTTCTTCCTCGCGCTCGCGGGTACATTTATCTTTGTGCCATCCTTCCAAATCGCCAACGCGTTCCCAAGGCATGCGGGTAAAATCGTCGCCCTTGTGACTGGTGCTTTTGACGCGTCGGCTGCGGTTTTCCTCTTCTACCGATACGCGTACGAGGGATCAGGCAGAACTTTCACTCCTGACAAATTTTTCATGGGATACCTGGCTGTTCCGGTCATCCTTCTTCTCGCATTGGTGACCTTCATGCCAAAGCGCGATTACCAAACGACCTTCCAACTCGAAAGCAAAATTGAGCAAGCCGAAGACCCCGCCCAGGATGTACACTCGTCGGATGACGAAATCGAGAATGCTCGAGAGCTAATTCGTGTCCGGAGCAAGCGTGCCGATCTTCGAAAGAAGAAGATCCACCAACTTAATGAAATTCTCGGTGATGCAGATGTCCGACAACAGCGCGCGGACAGGGAGGAGGATCGTCAACAGAAGAGTCAGGTTTGGGGTGTGTTGCATGGTCTGCCAGCTCATAAGCAGATGGCGACGCCGTGGTTTATACTGATCACTCTCTTGACTGTGCTGCAGATGGTGCGTATGAACTATTTCATCGCCACCATCCGGTCGCAATACGAGTACATGCTTGGCTCAGAGGAACTTGCCGACAGAATCAACGAGTTTTTCAATGTCGCTCTGCCTGTTGGCGGTGTTCTGTTTACTCCCTTCATTGGATATCTCCTCGATCGACTGAGCGTGCCGGCAATGCTGGGTCTGATTGTCGCGTTTACCACGATCATCGGCATTCTCAACTCCATTCCTGCACTGTGGGCGGGATACATGACAGTTTTTCTGTTTGTGCTGCTGCGACCGCTTTACTATTCCGCAATGAGGTATTTTCTCCCATATCAAACCTCAATCCAAGCTATGGCTAACTTTGAATCAGTGACTATGCCACCAAGGTCTTCGGCTTCGCTACATTCGGTCGCGTTTACGGCTCCATTATCTGCTTGTCAGGACTCGCCAACTTCTCCCAGTACGGATTGGACGCTCTTACTCACGGGCCGTTCCACGAAAATCCAATCCCCATCAATGCGACTTTGGCAATCGCGGGGTTTGTAGTCGGCATCGCCCTCGTGACTTATGTGTCCATCGCAAGCAGAAACCACACCCCTTTCGACGAACACGAGGATGAAAGAGAGCCTCTAATCCAGGAAGAAGATGAAAGTGACGATGAGTTGTCATTTGGGACCTTTAGAAGATAGTACCTGAACCTGTAAGTCTGTGTGTGAGAGATATGTGGTTATCCTTATGTAGACTAGATTGCGTTTCTACCGAACTCGAGTCCAGAGAAGAGATTGATGAACCCGCGACAAGCCTCTGGAGAAATTGATCAACAATTTATTATATGCCGTCAGCCTTACACCGTCTATGTACATCTACACCCCACGTGGGGTTATCACCTCTTTAACCAGCTATCCCTGTCATATCCTGGTTGCCCTACTCTAATTACCGGTCCACACACTATGATTCGCTATGCAACTTTAAATCGGCTATATAGAATATTCATATTGCAGAGATGAGGTCATGCTACATGGCCTGTCGGCATTTTCAGACAGCCAAGATGGGGCTCATGCATCATGCGATCTGGGCACAGTGAGGGGGTGATAGATATCTGCCTAGATATCGAGCCATTATTTCTGGGCTCCATTCAGCTTGTTTACCTAGACGGCTCTTTAAAGAATAAGGTTCCCCCTCGTATACACAACCTAGGTCGGGAACTAGCCCTTCTTTAAACTGTCTTCCAAAGAAACCTTACCAGCTACCTCCCCGGTCCATTTGGACAGGTGACAGGGGATTCTAGATGATGTTGATCAAGGTGTAAGACATCCCGTATCCAATCAACGTCCCATAATATGGGAACAGTGCCTTATCGAGGCAAGGCCGTTGTCCCATCCCCATAACCGACGGAAACAACAACATCCGGGGTAAACCCCCAAGATAACCTGAACAAGTCCAGAAACTCCACAGCTGACGTTTCTGACCGACTCGCAACCAAACAAACCCCTTTACCGACCGGATATCTCACATTCCATTCAGCGCCAAGCTGCCAAGCTCTCCCCCGCATCTTTGCTATCCAATTCCCCAGATCAGCACCCCGCCACCAGCAAAAGCTCCCACTGACTCGTACTTCCAAGATGTGGGGTGAGTGCCCCTCGTCTCCTCACTTGCGGCCAGGCTCGCGGTGTACTTGCCAATATAGAAAAGCACCGAGGCACGTCTGTTCAGCGTCGGCTAATGTGGTCTCGGTTCGGAGAGAGAGGGCTGGGCATTCCTGGGCAATGGGCTTGGAGAGGACTAGATGAACTCAATCAGGCTGGTTGGGTGGTTGAAATTACTGTCTAGGGTAAGGCCGGTTTTTGGAGTCTAGCTTGGATTGTCGACGCTGTGTGACGAGGAGGAATAAATGGAGTCTGTCTCTCTGCTCGTAGAATTCTCACTCTTTCGTCTTTTTTTGTCTTCACTCTATCGTCACATTTTTCCCGTTTATCTGATTGATTTGTACTTGCTTCCCTATCGCTCAGCTACAGTCCCTCGACAGAGACTGGTGCAATGTCGTACCCTGACGAGAAACCACCCGGCGTGGAAGGTATCGAGGATATCGCCGAGCGCGTCAGCACCGAAGATGAAGAATTCACTCCGGAGGAGCAGAAGAAGATCATTCGCCGTGTCGACCTGCGCCTGGTCACAATGACCGGTCTCGCATACTGCATTTCGCTCATGGATCGGACGAATCTGAGCATGGCTGCCATTGCTGGGTATGAACTATCGCCGCTTGATGTCTAACAGCAAGCTGACCATATCAGTCTGAAGACAGAATTGGGCTTGAATATCGGCAACCGCTATGTATGTCCCAAACTCTTGATTCCAGGCTGTCACTTACACAGTTAGTCAATCGTGGTCATGATGTTCTTCGTTCCCTACGTTATCTTCCAACCTCCCATGACAATCATCATCCGGAAAGTCGGCCCAACCCTCTTCCTCGGAACAATCGTTATGACCTGGGCCGTAATCATGATAGTAAGATCCCACCACTACCAATACCCGAAGGTCAATGTCGAAGCCAAATCACTAACCCCACGCAGGGCACAGGATTCGTGAAAAACTGGGGCCAACTAGTCGGCCTCCGCGTCCTACTCGGCGTCCTAGAAGCAGGCTATTTCCCAGGCTGTGTTTACCTCCTCTCATGCTGGTACACCCGCTGTAAGCCACGTCCACCTACCCTATAGGCCATCACAATAACTAACAGCACCAGATGACGTCCAAAAACGCTTCTCAATCTTCTACCTTATCGGTTGTGTTGCCTCCGCTCTCGCGGGAATCCTAGCCTTCGGCCTAATGCAACTCAACGGCACTAACGGTCTAACTGGCTGGCGCTGGATCTTCATTCTCGAAGGCGTGATAACCGGATTCATTGGAATCCTCTGCTTCATCTTCCTAGTCGACTTCCCTGACCGAGCATCCAAATCCTGGAGATTCCTGTCAGAGCGCGAATGCGCCTTCATCGTCCGACGAATTAACGATGACCGCAAAGACGGGAACCTGGAAGCATTCTCTATGCGCAAATTCCTGCGACCAGCACTCGATGCGAAAATTTGGGGCTTTGCTATGATCTTCTTCTGTCTTACGACTGTTACATATGCGATTGCATATTTCTTACCGATAATCTTGATGGAGGGCATGGGGTTCGGTGTGGGCGAGGCTCAGTGTCTTATTGCGCCGCCTTATGCGTTTGCGGGCATTGTGATGTACTGCGCTGCATGGGTTGGAGATCGGTATCGTGTGCGCGGAGTGATTCTTGTGGGCAATGCGCTGCTTTGTATTATTGGGTTGCCGATGATGGGATTCGCGACGGGCAGTGCGACGCGGTATGCGGGTGTTTTCTTCACCGTTGCGGGTGCGAATGCGAACATTCCGAGTTGTATGGCTTATCAGGCGAATAACGTTCGTGGGCAGTGGACTAGGGCATTTAGTTCGGCGACGCTTGTGGGCTTTGGTGGGATTGGGGGCATTGTTAGCAGTCTTGTGTTCCGGGAGCAGGATGCGCCTGGGTATCGGCCAGGGATGTATGCCGCGCTCGCGTGAGTGGTCTCCCTTCCCTTGATGCTTGTATTGTCACGTGTATGGTTCCGACGGCTAATTGTGACACAGGTGCAACATTTTGATTATTATCATCGTTGGGGTGCTGAGTTTGTGGTTCTGGTTCTGCAATCGGCAGGCTGAGAAGGGGGAGCGGGTTATTGAGGATGAGCCGAGCTTCCGATATACTATCTAGTGCTATAGCGGGGCACGGGTATCGCGATGGCACCGGCCATGACGATGGTAATGAGGTAACTTGGGGAGGCAATATGAATTTCGATCTTTCAATTCGTTCTTGGATATTGTAATTGAGCGGAAGTGTCCTCGTAGGTGTCCTCGTAGGTAGGGATTGAATTCCCTAGGAAGGTTGTAGGTAGCTCGTAGCTTGAAGCTCCGATGCCCCTCGGCCACGAGCATAGGAGGCCTCCGCTTGTGGGGAAACCCTTTGATAAGTTTCCCGACGGAAAACACGGGGAAAGTCGTCCGATCGCGCTTGCAGCAGTGGCGGTGGACCTTGGAGCCCCAATAAAGAAGTCCTATTGGTACGATAAGGCCTTATCAAAGACAGCGCAAGTTTCCCGTTGCCCGCCCCTCGGACTTCTTCTTGAACTGTGGAAAAACGATTATGGAATGCCTGTTAATTATTTATTAAATTTCTCCGGTAGAACTTATTTTCTTCTTCATCCCACTCTCTCATTGCTAGTCACGTTCTGTGTGTTGAGGTGCTCAATTCCCTCCTCTACGTCACTAGCTTCATCAATGGCGGCCTCTTGGTTTGCCGTGCGCGGCGGCCGCCAGCTTGCCCTGCGCTCGCGTGTGCGTGCTACTCCCTCAGTCGCCCGGACAGCTTCGCTTTCGCCCTTGAACGCCTCTAGACGGTTCTTGACTACTTCGACTCCTCCGGTGACTCGACGTGGTGTCTACACCAGCTCCGTCAATGCCCATGGCGATCCCCATCCCCAGGATGTCTTCCAGCCCCTCGATACCTTCCCCCGTCGTCACATTGGCCCCTCTCCCGATGCCGCTTCGGAAATGTTGGCCGTGCTGGATCCCCCGGCGGCCTCTCTGGATGAATTTGTCAAGCAGGTCCTCCCCGAGGACATTTTGTCCAAGAAGGACATGAAGGTTACTGAACCCAGTGCCGAGATCAGCCTGTATCGCTCCTCCGTACAGGGCGGTTTGGGCGAGACCGACATGCTGAAGCTCCTGGATACCTATCGCAAGCAGATTGATGTCTCGGGCAAGACCTACATTGGTACCGGTTACTACCCGACCATTGTTCCACCCGTTATCCTGCGCAATGTCTTGGAGAACCCTGCCTGGTACACCAGCTACACTCCCTATCAGCCCGAGATCTCCCAGGGTCGTCTGGAGTCCCTGCTGAACTTCCAGACCCTGACTGCCGATCTGACCGGTCTACCCTTCGCCAATGCCTCCGTTCTGGATGAGGCCACCGCCGCCGCCGAGGCCATGACCATGTCTTTCGCCACCATGCCCCTCTCCAAGCAGAAGAAGGCCAACAAGTCATTTGTTGTGTCCCACCTCTGCCACCCCCAGACCATTGCCGTGATGCAGTCGCGTGCCGAGGGATTCGGAATTAACTTGGTTATTGGCGATATTCTGGCCGACGACTTCAAGATCGTCAAGGACCAGGGTGACCACCTGATCGGTGTTCTTGCTCAGTACCCCGACACTGAGGGTGGTGTCTTCGACTTCCAGTCGCTCAGTGACTCCATTCACGGCCAGGGCGGTACTTTCAGCGTTGCCACCGATCTCCTCGCCTTGACCGTCCTCAAGGCTCCTGGTGAGTTCGGTGCCGATATTGCTTTCGGTAGCGCTCAGCGATTGGGTGTTCCCATGGGCTTCGGTGGCCCCCACGCCGCTTTCTTCGCTTGCGCCGACAAGTACAAGCGTAAGGTGCCCGGCCGTGTCGTCGGTGTCTCCAAGGATCGCCTTGGTAACCGTGCTCTGCGTCTGGCTCTGCAGACCCGTGAGCAGCACATTCGTCGTGAGAAGGCTACTTCCAACATTTGCACTGCTCAGGCTCTGCTCGCCAACATGACTGCCATGTACGCTATCTACCACGGTCCCGTCGGTCTCAAGTCCATTGCTCAGCGCATCATGTCCATGACCTCTCTCCTTCGCGAGAAGCTGGCGTCCCTCGGCTACGACGTCCCCATCCGTTCCAACACCGAGGGCGGTGCCGTTTTCGACACTTTGGCTATTGAGCTCGGCAGTGCTTCCGAAGCTGATGAGCTTGTTGCCAAGGCCCGCGATGCTTCCATCTACCTTCGCCGTCTCACTGGCAACAAGGTCGGTCTTTCTCTCGATGAGACTGTTGGCCGTGATGAGGTCAAGGGCATCTTGGATGTCTTTGCTGCCCACAAGAACGTCGCCTCCGTCGAGGTTGATGGCTCTCTTGGTGTCACTCCGGTTCCCGCCAGCCTTGAGCGTACCTCGTCTTACATGACCCACCCCGTTTTCAACACCCACCACTCCGAGACTGAGATGCTGCGTTACATCCATCACCTCGAGTCCAAGGATCTGTCTCTGGCTCACTCCATGATTCCCCTCGGATCTTGCACCATGAAGCTCAACGCTACCACGGAAATGATCCCCGTCTCCTGGCCCGAGTTCTCCCAGGTCCACCCCTTCATGCCTGCAAAGGAGTCTAAGGGTTATATTCAGATGATTGATGATCTGGAGCAGCAGCTTGCCGATATCACCGGCATGGCCGAGGTCACCGTTCAGCCCAACTCTGGTGCTCAGGGTGAGTTCGCTGGCCTGCGTGTTATCAAGAAGTACCAGGAGGCCCAGGGTGGCTCTAAGCGCAACGTCTGCCTGATCCCCGTCTCTGCTCACGGTACCAACCCCGCCAGTGCTGCCATGGCTGGCATGAGCGTTGTCACCATCAAGTGCGACATGAAGACCGGTAACCTCGATCTTGACGACCTGAAGGCCAAGTGTGAGAAGCACAAGGACGACCTCGCCGCCTTCATGATTACTTACCCTAGCACCTTCGGTGTCTTCGAGCCCGGTGCCAAGGAAGCCATCCGTCTCGTCCACGAGCACGGCGGCCAAGTGTACATGGACGGCGCGAACATGAACGCCCAGATCGGCCTCTGCTCTCCGGGTGAGATCGGTGCCGATGTCTGCCACCTGAACCTGCACAAGACCTTCTGCATTCCCCACGGTGGTGGCGGCCCCGGCGTCGGTCCCATCGGTGTCGCTGAGCACCTGCGTCCCTTCCTCCCCTCGCACCCCACAAGCGAGCACCTCCAAGCCAAGCGCGGCAACAACTCCTCCCCGCCCATCTCCGCCGCCCCCTGGGGTTCCGCCTCCATTCTGCCCATCACATTCAACTACATCAACATGATGGGCGACCGCGGCCTCACCCACGCCACCAAGATCACTTTGCTTAACGCAAACTACATCCTTTCCCGCCTTAAGCCCCACTACCCGATCCTATACACGAACGAAAACGGCCGCTGCGCACACGAGTTCATTCTCGACGTCCGCGGCTTCAAGGAAACATGCGGTGTTGAGGCTATCGATATCGCCAAGCGTCTCCAGGACTACGGTTTCCACGCGCCTACCATGTCCTGGCCCGTCGCCAACACCCTTATGATCGAGCCCACCGAGTCCGAGAACAAGGCCGAGCTGGACCGTTTCTGTGATGCCCTCATCTCTATCCGTCAGGAGATCGCTGACGTTGAGGCTGGCAAGCAGCCGCGTGAGGGTAACGTTCTCAAGAACTCCCCTCACACTCAGCGTGATCTGCTTGGCGCGGAGTGGAACCGCCCTTACACCCGTGAGGAGGCTGCCTACCCCCTGTCTTACCTTTTGGAGAAGAAGTTCTGGCCTACCGTGACTCGTGTTGATGATGGTAAGCACACCTCCCCCCTTAACCAGCCTTCTTGAACAAATGCTAACAACGCTACAGCCTTCGGTGACCAGAACCTGTTCTGCACATGTGGCCCCGTCGAGGACTCCGAATAGATATGATACCCATGCTTTACAGGCCCTTTAACACTACGGTCTGGCTTTTATCTTCTTTGTGTATACATTCAACATTTTTTTCTTTGTCCGGTACCGCTGGTGCTGGTGCTGGTGCTGGTGCTGGTGCTGGTGCTGGTGCTGGTGCTGGTGCTGGTGCTGGTGCTGGTGCTGGTGCTGGTGCTGGTGCTGGTGCTGTGATGATCACGATTTTACTATAGAATAATTTCAACATAATATTTCCAAAAAAGTAAACAACTTGTATTCAGATCATTGTTCAGTCTCGTAAAAGTGCAGAAGCAACAACTCCAAAGTCACGAATTGCACGAACTCGAACAAACTTTCCATCCCATCAATGAAGCAAATGTGAACGACAATCTAGTATCCACGCTGGTTTCCAATTCCCTGACCCTGCTGCTGCTCATTCACACCCTGTCCAAGTTTATTCAGATTACCCTGTCCACCAGGCTGTCTCCCCATGTTATCACCCTGGGTATAGCTGCTGCCACCCGCAGCACCTCCACCGAATTGCGGTCCCATCTGACCACCCATTTGACCACCCATTTGACTACCCATCTGGCCACCCATCTGAGGATCCTGACAAGGAGCAGTATGACTAGTCATCGAGTGAGACTTATGTTCCTGCGAGGAACTGGAATAGTTCTCTTCATTTTTGATGTGATTGTCCGTGAGGGGCTGTTGTCCCATGGAGCCTGTGTTGCTCATATTACTCGCGCCGCCAATAGAAGGTGCGCCTTGGGAACTCTGGAGGCCCTGGGAGCCCTGAAGACCCTGGGAACCCTGAAGACCCTGGGAACCCTGAAGACCTTGGGAATCCTGGAAGCCCTGGGAACCCTGGGAACCCTGACTGGGCTGAGATTGGAATGGGTTTGTGTGTTTGTTGACGTTAGCCCGGTTATCTAGTTTAATTTCATGGATTAGCCATGTGTTCACGATACAGACACGACCTTGTGACAGGGTGTGAGTGAGCTGTATGTACCTAGGTCACTATCGACGCGCGGATCCATCTTATTAGCGGTTTTCGACTCGTGTGGACCGGCATTGATATTGCCTGAACCGCCACTACCGCGCATGGAATTCGATCCGTATGAATCGCCACCATAGCCCGAGTCATTGTCGAAATTGCCTCGGTTATCTAATTTGGTTTGGTTAGATATCTCTCTAAAATTCAACCGTTAAGGAACAAGTCAACTTACCCTGGTCACTATCAACGCGTGGATCCATTTTGTTTCCGAACTTAGAATCGTGAGGTCCGGCGTTGAAATTTCCTGAACCACTACCGCGCGTAGTGTTTGATCCGTATGAATCAGAGCCCATGCCAGGGTTGGTGTTGGATGAACGGGTGTTCCGAGTATCCATACCGGAAGAGTTGAATGGCTTTGAGGTTTGGTTTTGGCTCGCGGTGTTGGAGCCGTAGGTATTGTGGGGTTCTCTGTCGTCGCGGTCGGTCACGGCGTCTTTGACTTTGTGCATGAAGTTGGACATTGTCGGATATAGTTTAATAAGAATAATATGAACTGATCTTGATGTTTGATATTTATTGAATTGCTGAGCTTTGATAATTTCGACCTGTTGTGATAGAACTGGTTGGATCGCTTCCTTACTCCTGGCTATCTATACGCTTATATGCTTCTCAGCCACTTTGAATCCTGGAAAAAACGATGACATACTCGTTCCTTGGAAGGCTCTGTGACGCCATAGCGTGAGGCGCCACCTGGATACAAGCAATAGATTCAATGGATGAGAACCTATCAATCATGTCGGTCTTCATCGTCATGACGTGTCCAGCAGGCTCAGACATCCAGATGTGGTGACAGGCTGCAAACGAATGACACTCGTCGTCATGTCCCGGATATTCAAAGACTGAAATAGGATATCGAGGAAATACGATTAGCGGGGATATAATGTCATGCTTTTGAGAAACTGGAGATCGTGGGGTCCTTACCACGGATTCTCGGGTGGATTCCATGGTTCACTCGTTCGGTGGTTCTATATTCAGGTTTTGAGAAAAATTAGCCCGAATACAGGTGTCATGACTACCCAGATAATGAAAATAAATTGTTTTTTCTATTTTCTAATTTTTCAATGAGGTAGACCGAGTTAGGGCTGTGCTGTGTTTCGAACCTTGACTAGGAGACTGGAATGGAGATTTTCAGAAGAAGCCATACAATAATGATTGGTGAATTAAGTGGGACCTTTAGCCGTGGTACAATAGAACGCGGCGAGGCTATTATAACTTGTTCGCGTCGATGCTAGCGTGATTGGTTGATGGCAGTCTGAAAAGGGACCGTATGTGACTGGTATTCGTCGGCATTCAGGCAGCTTCTGCAACTTCCCACCCAGAATTTAATTCATGCGCTTACTAAAGGTATTTCAGGCTATGTCTTGAATGTTGTATCAACCTAGTTGTGAAGTGTTGCCGGACTTATTCAATCAGTGCGAAGACCTATAAGTATACATTGTCTACGGAACTCCCCTACTGCAGTGATCAGCACCATGGTGCACTTCCTTCACCTTCTCTAATATTACATCCGACGTACTCACGAGGTTGGGTGGTAAGTGACCATCGTTGTGGTGGGCGAGTCTCATGTGGAATTCAATTCGGTAATGAAAATAATCGCGCGGCCTAGCCGTACACAACGATTGCCTTCATATTCTGACTGAATGTTATCTGTCTGGTAGTTTTACTGCCTCGGAGAGAGTGAAAACCAAGGTCAAATACTATATCAGCCGTCGCGGTCACTCAGCTTCGCACCATCGGCAGCGCAACTCTAGATAGAGACCTCACGATGCTGGCTAGGCTATAGAGGAACTAGAGGAATTTGTGTGGGATATGTGTTGAAGGGAAAGTTTTGTTGTGAAGAACTTTACTCTTTTGCATGATTTATGATGTGACGTGAAAAACAGAACTAGTACAATGGATGAATTTCAAGAAAGGAAGAGCCTTCCCTCCACCATGGAATGAAGTGAGAAACGAAGATTTATGCCCTACAGCATGCTTCGGAAGTGAAGATGTCTCTTTCGCTGGCGAACCTGTATAACCATCTGTAGTGTTTAGCTACTCTACCTTTAATATTCAAAACTGAATCATATCATAATTTGAGACGCGGTCTTTCTAAGCAAATACCATGAAATTTCCCGCTTAACGGCGGGAGACAACTAGTGCCCTCCCCCGCTCAGCGACTGACTTCAACCTTCGATTCTTCGATATCCTTCTTCTTGGAATTGACATCTAAATCGTGTTCTTCATATGCTGCGATAATTTCCTTCCTAACAAGTTCGGCAGCACTTGGAGGACTGGGCTTTTTACAGCACTGCTTCACCTCGCGTGTATACAAAAGCAAGCCAAACTTGCTCAAGATCCGATAAAATCGATCGTTGATATTCTGATTCCGGGAACTCTCGTTAAATAAGATGGGTTCTTCAGTAGACCAATACACCCGTGCTTTGGTGTATGCCAAGAATTGAACCTGATGACTGAAGAGTAAAAGCTCGAAGAGCCTTTCCATCCGAAGACCATCGTTTCCGAATTCTTGTGTCTCCTTAGCCGCCTAAGTACCGCATATTAGCCACCCAAGACTTTGAATTCAGATTATCGCGTGGGTTGGAAACTAACCGGGATACTAGAGCTTCTGGCGCTATCGCCGCCCTTTCCGTGGCGAATATGAAAAAGCCCAACATCCGAGGCAGGAGGCTGTTGGACTAGCATCTTGCGCCAACTTGCGTCCTTTCGTACGAATTGAGCCATGGTTGTGGCGTCTTTGGTCATGGTCAAGTCGGAGAAGTTGAACTCATAATGCTTCGTTCTGTCCCAGGCGGGAAAGAAAGAAGGAAAAGTCTCCTTCAATAGCGGATTAAGTATTCTTTCTTCCACTCCCCATTTGGAGTTCTTGATTGGAGTGAAGAAAAGGGCTTTTTGGATAGACGGTGACTTGCTGATCAGTTTCGCCCAGTCGTGACAGACTCGTTGGGCGGATGTGAGAAGCGTGCGCATATCCATCCGAGCCAGGATCAACTCCAGGATTTCAGGAATATCCAAACCTTTTTTAGTTGCTGATTTTGTCCTAATCTCAGTTTGCCACCGGGTGACAGCTCCATATACTGGACCTTCCTCAACGCGACTTGCCATATTTTCTGGTTGGGATCTCGGCATTTCTGAGTCATGATTCACTCTAAAGACGAACAATGGGAGCTCTTGACCTGTCCTTTGGGTGCGCCCTTCATGAAGGCCTAGCTGTGTTTTTTCGTCGTCAGCGGTTTATGAACTTTGTTTTGTGAATTGGCGTGACTAGGAATGTTGCTGTGTAATAATAAAATATCATGTTCACTCGCTTACGTGTATCGTTCGCTTACCCCTCGAGGTAATCAAGGCGGCCCCTTCAATTAATGATCTGCGCTAAAGCCTTGGCGTTGGGTCCAGAAAACAGTGTCAAGTGTTTTGGTGAAGCCAATCCCGAGCATAACTCGTCCTTCTCGAAGCCGGCTTGACCAAGACATTCATAGTAAGTCTTTACTGGCCTCCTCCACGTTATTTCCACATTTGTTCTTTTCATTCTAGCTAGGGCTTTTGTTTAGATCTTAAAGTGTCGTCAAATGAAGTCTGCTCCTCGTCTTCGTGTGCTTCATTTGCGTTTACACGCTGGCGAGTCAACCAAGTCGGAGGCTCGAAATTCTTATCCGCCCTAGTTGATATGACCAATACTGCATCTTATGCATACTGCTATGTGTGCCACATCCTGGTTTGTAGGCATCTCTGCCCACGGATCTGTGCAGTATAGCACCGAGACTACCTACCCTACCCACCTTTAAAGCTATGTATCATTCGTAATATAATATAGAGCCGGTTACTAACCATATTTTGTATGGCCGAAGCAAGTAAATGCTAGAGATCGCCGAGCTATAATCACGGCTTTCTGGAGGAGACCGTCGAGAAGAACCAGGATAGGGACTAGGGAGATAGCAGCTTTTTCACTACTTTTTATTTTTTTTCAATTCCGTGGGAATCATACAAATGATAACGGTGTGCGACCATCTTTGTCTTTGGAATCAGCTTCCCACTCGCGGAGGCCTTGAAGCCCATAATGCTAGAGGTTTTAAGGCATTCATATTGATCAACCTTACACCACTGCTACCTTAGAGTCAAAAAGGGGTTTCTGAGATCAAAATTGAACCGGATAGTGAGATCGCAATAGAACGAGCGGAGGTCGTACGTGTCTACTTCGAATATTATCATATGATCAGTTACGTCGGGGCGCCGAGGCCACCTAGGCGTAACAACCGTGACGTTCCTGTGAGGCACCTAAGCCGTGGCCATGAAAAGGTGGAAAGCAGATCAGCTCAAGCAAGTCAATTAGCTAGGCCCACACGTTCCAATCCTCTGAAACATACAGTATTGTTCTCTCCGTCCTTGGCACCAATCAATAACGAACCTAAGAGACCCACCCTTTTGTCCCAATTGCGTCTTTGGTATTCGAGGCTCATTTTACTATGAAAAGTCACGCTATCTTCGAAATACTATGAATACTTTGCTGGAAGCGCTAGATTGATTTAAGGCGTTCGACAACTCTCAGAACTTAAACAAAATCGAGTAACGAGACACGGTAAGTTCTGTGGCAACAACCAGGAGGCACATTAGGAGGCACATTACTTCTATAAGCATTTTTCAAACATATTTATAGGTGACGAATGCTACTACGCCCTAATGAAAACTTACTATAAACGGCCTTTGAAAGTCCACGTCCTATGTACGTTATCTCCCGTTGTATGGAATTCTTATCAATGCCCCTCTTACAATACCTTACAAAAAACCCGCACCCACCCGCAGAAGCTACCCGCATTTACCGCTCTGTCCCCCACGTATTCAGGTAAAATACACGTCCTCCAGCGGAGACAGCCGATCGCCGTCTTTTGCGCCGCGCGAACTTCAGGTCCATCTGATTTCAAGACCTGCAACGCTGCGAGGTCACTGATCATTGTGCGATACTACGCATACAAAACAAGAAGGAACAGCCTTGTTAATCTCCCCGTGCTGCGCCTGCCCTTTCTGGCGTCGAGCCTTCTCAAGGGAGCCGTTCATATATCAATCTGCCTCCCTGCTGTCGACGTAGAGTGATTTTCCACAGTGGACCCAGATCTGTGCGGTGCTTTTCGTCCTTTTAGAACTGTCCCAGTCTTGAAATAACTAGATTTGCACTTACTGGACGCATCATGGCCGAATCTTATGAGTTTACTGTTTATCGGGGCACTTTCATCCAGCTGCCCCGCGGGGACTCTAGCCGAAAGCCGGAACTTGTTCGCAATTGCGGTACCCTATGGGTATCCTCTACCGATGGCCGGATCAAGGGGTTTGACTGGCAGGCCCGGGACGATGCGACTTTTCAGGAATTGATGAGCCGCAATGGCTGGGTGGACGTTGATGCGGCTACCAACGGCAACGGCGTCAATGGTGCAACTGTCAATGTCAAGGTTGTGATTGCCAGTGAAGACAGAAATGAGTTCTTCTTCCCCGGATTTATTGGTATGTTCCTTTTCCCATTCACTCACTATCACCAGCTAACCATGACCAGATACCCATATCCACGCGCCTCAATTCCCAAATGTCGGGCTATTCGGCTCTTCCACTCTTTTGGACTGGTTGGAAACATACACTTTCCCCGTGGAATCAGGATTCGGATCTAAGTCAGATCCTAAAAACCAAGACAAGAATCCTAAAGATGCTCCGCCTTCTGCTCTTCGCATTTACGATCAAGTGGTTGCTCGAACACTTTCCCACGGTACTACATGCGCATCATACTTCGCAACAGTTCATGTCCCGGCAACAAATGCCCTCGCCGCACTCTGCCACTCACGTGGCCAGCGCGCTTTCATCGGTAGAACTTGCATGGACAACCCAGACTTCTGCCCCGAATACTACCGCGACCAATCCGCCGACGACTCCATTAGCGCAACAAGATCAACAATAGAGTACATCCACACTCTGGACCCAAAGGGAACTCTCGTCAAACCTATCGTCACACCCCGCTTCGTACCAACATGCACCCGCCCCGCCCTAGAAGGTCTGGGGAAATTAGTCGCAGAGTATAACCCACCCCTGCACATCCAAACGCATATCTCAGAAAACACAAACGAAGTCGCCCTCGTCAAGGACCTCTTTCCCGAATGTCCGAGCTACGCCTCTGTCTATGATACATACAATCTCCTCACATCGCGCACTATCCTCGCTCATGCAGTCCACCTGACAGCCGATGAGCGCGCATTGGTTCGCAAGCGCGATGCTAAGATCTCGCATTGTCCTGCGTCAAATGCTGCCCTCGGCTCTGGAATTGCCCCCATCCGCGTCATGCTCGATGAGGGTATCACCGTCGGTCTTGGAACTGATGTTAGCGGTGGATATAGTCCCAGTATTCTTGAAGCCGCACGCCAGGCTTGTCTCTCTTCTCGACTCCTGGGTCATACTACTGCTCACGCGGAATGCAAGCCGGTTAACGGATATGATAAGACGGAGGGACGGGAGAAGCTCTCTGTCGCTGAGGCCTTGTATCTCGCGACACGTGGCGGTGCCGCAGTCGTCGATATGGCAGATGAGATCGGTGGTTTCGAAGAGGGTATGATCTGGGATGCGCAGCTGATCGAGCTCGGAGGTGTCAGTGAACAGGGTGAATGCCCACTCGATGTCGTGTCGAATGGCAATGGAAGTCTTGTGAAGCCTGGCCCTGTGGGGAATGTCGATCTCTTTGGAGCTGAGACCTGGGAGGAGAAGATGCAGAAGTGGGTTTGGAGTGGTGATGATCGCAACACCAAGGCTGTTTGGGTCAGTGGGAGGTTAGTTCATCAGAGGGTTTAGACGGTATCCACCCGTAGATTATCTTTATGATTGTACGTGTTTATCTTTCGATTACTGTCTTGTGTATATATGGGGTTGTTAGAGCGGAATGTTGAGCCGTCAGGCACTTGTTACGATATAATAGATATGTCAATTTATTACTTGATGAACTACAGCTTGCAGCCACCTCCTGATGCATCCATAGTCTCACTGGAAGAGCTCGACGCAATCGAAGATCTAAGCAAACTCAATGTTAGGCCCAGGCTCAGGTGAAAGTTGACTGGATGAGAAGTATGTTAGACTCACAAAGTTAGGACTGAGATATGTATCTCCCGAGCTACCAGAGACAACAGAGATAGTAATCTAAAGCAATTAGTACACTGATTCAAAACCTGCAGTACGAATACCCTTACCGTGTTTGTCCCCGCGACAATAGTTCCCGCCGGGATCGAAACGTCATAAACCTCACCAAGACCACGGTACGCACCGCGGGTAACACCCCGCGAATTCAAATTCGTAGGAGCCGAGGGGATAGATCCCGTATAACTGTTAACCGTAGCTTGAGGCCGACCACCTGCAAATGAAAGAGTCGTCCCGATTCTCAATGTCGCAGCACCGGTTTGGGAAGAAGTCGCGGTAAAGCTGATTGTCAGTGGCGAGTTTACGGATTTGAAAATTGCCATAGGGAAGTCGCTTTCGGAGGAAGTGCCGACTTTATATGTACCCGGGCTCCATGAGGACATTCGGCTGTCGGAGGGGTGCATGCGGAGTTGGCTGGCGGCGTTACGGAAGCCGGTTGGTCTTTCTTATGTTAGCATGGAAGATAGAAACAGATAAAGGGGATTATTACTGTCCATCCCAATCACCAATTTTGAAGATTGTCGTTCCGGTAGTCACAGATCCAGAAATGCTCTTTGACGCGGTTGACCCAGCGGTGACTGTCACAGATGATGTGGCCACAACATATTCGCCTTGGTAGTAGACCATAGAATAGGTGCCAGGTTTCATGGCCGGCGAGGTGAAGCTTCCACTTGACGAGGTATATGTCCAGTATTGTGCATCATCGTTGTACCAGTGGATGACCCAGTCAAAGGAAGAGTCCGCTCCCGATGCAGTTCCTTTCACGTATCCCCTTCCAGAGGTAGCGACGTATCCCTCAATATCCAGGTCCGCGAAGAATGAGGTATCGATGTCGGTGCTGGGGGTACCGCTGCGGCTAAAGTACATCAGATATGGGCCGTGCAGACCCTGGCGGTAGGATTCGGTTTGGACGTGGCCCGAGTTCTATTTAGTCAACATTTGAGGGGAAGTTTGGGGGAGGCGGTTTCTTACCATGTACCAGTAAAGACCGGTATAGGTGCCGACGTTGTTCGTGTTTATGTCGCTTCGGGGTGTCAGTCAAGATACCACACTTCCGAAAAAAACAATAATATTTATTTTACCGATGGAAAGGTCCGCCAGCTGATGTCTCATACTGGTTGAGAATCATACAGACGCGATGGGCACTACCAGACACGCCTGTTCATTGTCAACTTCCGAATGCCATTGGTGAATACGGATACTTACAGTGTCTCAGGTCATCAATAAACCGCTGGCTAGAGTAGAACTTGCTTCGTGTTTCTCCATCGACGAGGAACTTGCCACCGTCAGCTTGTTTAAATCTTCGTCGTTCCAGTAACGACTCACCACATCAGATGCCTCGATGGCAGTACCGCCGTCAATGTTGGAGACATCGCCGAAAGGCTCCTCGTTGGGAAGGAGATCTGCGTTTAGTCGGGCAATGTATCGCAACTCTCCGATTGAAGGCTCTACAACCAAATCAGTATAATTCCCGATCTGCGCCCTTAGATACGAACCGGCAGTCGTATAAGTTGCCATGTAGATAATTGGGTCACCACTGTGCGCGATATAGTAATGAATCAAAGTATCGGTTTTACAAGTGATCTTGATATAATCGCCTACTTCAATCAGCTTCCTGTCCACGCATTGCAAAGACTCCACTCACCAGTCTCTGTCGCCGACACTGTCGCGGTGCCAAGACCGGATCCGATATGCGATCCAGTCGACTGATACTGCAGCTCTGAACCATAATAGTTTATCGAAGTGATATCACAATTATCGCGATCGACGGTAAATTTCAACGAGTTCGATGAGCCAGCATCAACCACGTATGAGCCGGTGTTAGTAGTGAGACCGAAAGCCGCGTTGGCAGCTTTACCCCAAAGAGCTAGTGATGCGACAAATAACGTAGAGGAAAACATCTTGCTGGATTTGTACGAAATTTTTATTCTCTTGTTTGAAAATACGCCGGCTGTCTGGTTTATAACGACAGCTGGTACTATGAATCTTCAGCTAAACCCTGCATCCTGAGCGGTGGAGATTTACCACTAGTCTATCCTCTATCCCTGCATGGCGTCCGGAGATCGTTCTGCATTTGACTTCGGTTCCACCAATGTGATAGAATGGTTGATAATTCAGAGAGGGGGATGAACCCCTTTAGCCACGGCTGTTATTGATTTTCACCGAGAATATTATATACTTAACCTTAAGTAATCCCAGCTTTATCCAGCACCTGAATACCGCTATTAATTCACCTTTGTGCATGTCTTGGCGTAGGCGGCTTGCCACGAGCCCCTTCAATTCCGGTAGAGTGATGGTGGTTTCAGCACGCCGGACGGGATGGAATGTGTTGGATAGTCCTCTCAACTTGGATGCCATATCTTCTTGGCTGAAACAGTAGCTTGAAATTCACAAAATAGCTCTGGTTTCTTTTTGCTTCACTTTACCGGTGAACAGTAGTAGGACTAGATCTCGGCTTATCCTGTAACGAAGACCGACGGCTCACACCACTCGCTGCTGCCAAGGAATGATTGCGCGGGGTATTTTTGGGCATAATTTGTCTGATTGGTGGATCGTTAAGAGAAAGAGATGCGTCCTTTACATGCGTACTGGATAATGTCTGGCAACTCTTGGCTTTCCCTTTCCGTTTTAGTGCTCACCCCTCGCCGCTTTTTGCTCGCTGAGTAAAATTGAGCTCGCCCCTGAGCAGCCTGAGTTGCTCAGTTAGTATTACGTACTCGTAAATTCCACTCACTGGGCCTGGCCTGAGTGTCCTGATTCGCTCACTGTGGTAGGCACGAAATCATTTCAAGCAACCATGGAAACATTGTGGCAATCATTCGCAACATGTATCGGCCGCCGAGTGCCCAGAGCGAGTAATTTATCTTGAATGAACAAGCTCCACCATAGACGCTTTCGAAATCCTCGATGGGTGACAGAAATATCCAGGTTCTCAGGGTCACAATGCAATCCAATCTTGAAAGCAATGGATAAGCCCACACCGATCCAGTGCCAGGTATATTTTGGATCATCTAACTTGGGGTTTCAAACCCCGGCTGAATCAAGTGTTCCGTCTGGACCGTGACGGCAGTCGGAAAATCGGCCACGTTAGCCCCGTCACGATATACGAATCAAGCTTCTCTATGAAAGGATGTGAATCCTCCATTGTACGGTAGTGAATTTGCTTCTCCCCATTCAACACGAGCACACTGTCAAAAAGCTCATAAACCGTTTCCAGCTCGGTAGAGAGTCACAATTGATGCAAGGTCAAGGACGTCTGTCATCGCTCGGATTGCCTTAACATACTCCAAAGCACTGCTAGCATTCAGCCCACGAGGGGATGTTGTTCCAGCAATAAACCCGAGCCTTTGGTGCCGAGATATTCAATAAGAGAAACGCGTTTTCGCTCTCCTCCGGACACCCCTCAAACAAATTCATTTCCAACCTTGTTGTCATGAGTATGTTCAATCGACATCGACTGAGGAAGGAAGTTCTTCATTTAACTTGGAATCGTTTCTTGTGCTCCGCGCCGTCCGGGAGCCGGGTGGAGAATTGTCAGGCAGGTTGCGAAATCGAGCGTCTGACCTACAGTCAGTCTTCTTCGGTATTCATAACAATCTGGCCCCGATATATGCTAGCATCGGAGGCTTTCATGGATCCATGCCAGACGTCACCCTCAATAGAGGAGTATCCGCGGCCTCGGTTGGATGGAATGTTGAGAAGCGTGGTACATCCTGCTTGATCCTCTGACAAGTGCTAGTATAGTTATTCATGTAGTTGTTGGTGCCTACCTTGGCTATTTTAACGACCAATATGAAGTATCAATACAATTTCGGAAACTAGAATATCAAGTTAAAACACAAAGTCCCGAGGTTGAGTGCGGAAGCTTCAAGCAGGTAGGCTAAGCCCCTTGGGCACCGACTCGCCGAGAGCCGAAGTCACGGGATCGGTATATGAACCGCGGTCAGCGCGTCTCGGGTAGTTATTTCGTGGGATTCTCTCGCGTCTCGGCTACAGGAAGAATGGTCCCATTGAGTGGAATATCTCGATAAATACAAAAAGGGGCTTCGGAGACCAAAGCACAGATCCAGGTTAGTGCTCGCTGCGCCAAAATTTACTCAGGAGTGAGCATCGCAAGAACATACAGCTCTACATCTCTAGGCTTTCTTGAGATATGAAAATTTTAGGAAGCAGTGTTTCACAGAGGTACATCCGTGCCCGAGCCCGGGACAGGAAGAGCTTCCGACCTTTAAACTCTCCGTTGGCATGATTTTGCTACAGGACGCCCGCCCCAGAGAATTTTGTGTTAGCCCCGGATAATTGCAGTTCAGCTTCAACGTTACAATTCCGGGCAGAAATTATCTTCCTCAGATATTTTTTCAAGTCCGGCTCATAACCGCACTGGGTGCTAGAGGAGAGGCCCTGTGTATAGAAAAACCAGCACAGGGCACTAGGAGTGGCAATTATATTTGGAAAACTGCTCGCACGCCACAGAAGTTTACCAGTTGTAGGCAGTCTTAGGGTGTTGCAAGCCAGCCAGATCGACGATATTTCTCATCTTGCAGGAGTCTGGAAGTGGGAAACTGGGGTAATCACATGACCTCACCGGCTAGGTCGGACAAGAGAGTCTAATCTCGTTCTTCCACCTGGGACATATCACCATTCCCGTTCTTAGCAAAATGCCTTCTGGAACTCAGCATACCAGATCCCACGAGCTAGACGGGCCGCGTAAACGGCATCGGACGGCCATTGCATGCGATGATTGTCGTGAGAGAAAACGCAAATGCGACGGAATCAAGCCCGTATGTGGCGCGTGTTCTAAACGGCCCTTCCCAGATTGTGTATGGAACGAGGAGCGGAACACCAAAGGACGGGACAGTAGGTAAGAGTGGTTTATGATAGTAGCATGGTCAATTGATATGCCCAAATTAGTATGGAGATCTGATGGATCGCAGCTACGTAAGGTCGTTAAGGTCGCGGGTCAAGGAGCTAGAGGAGGCGCAAGGGCGGCACCTTGCGACGGTCGGCAAGTCATTGGAATCTGTTGGCCAAGCGAATCTCGCGAACCGCACGGAGTACCAAAATCGACCTGCTCTCTGTGCCACTGATTCAACTACGACAGAAAATGCGGTCGAGACCCGGTTCGATTCGGCAGGAGACCATCACGTCTCTGAGGCTGATGCGATCGCAAGTCCAACCGATACTATTTTCCCAATGCATATTTCGAGAACAGAAAGGACGTCTGTTAGGAATGCTTCTCGTGAAACCCTCGATACCATCTGCGGGGACAACAGCACTGGAGTAGATGCTATGGGTGCCGCTTGCTCCTTGCCGAGAGACGAGACAGATGCGTGCCCCCAACATCGGCTGGAGTACTTTGGTCCCTCGAGCACTGTCAGCTTTCTCAGTAAGGCGCGTCAGGCAATGGGCCAAGATGGGCCGTCCAGCCGTAGCCACCATTTTGGCGCTATGCACCCAAATGAGGCTGATTTTGTAGGCGGCTTTCCTTCCTATAAATCGCGGTCTCTAGAGTCTATTGAATGCGGCAATGTTGACTCTATGCTTGGATTAAGTGTTCCTCCGCGGACTGAGGCAGATGCCTTGGTGGAGAGCTACTGGACGTGGTTCCATCCACTGTACCCTTTCATGCATCAACCGTCTTTTAATGAACGCTACTTGGCCGTTTGGGGATCTACCTCGACCAGATCGTCTAATCAGCTCTCGGAACACCCCAGGCCAACCAACTGCTACAGATATATCGGTGACAGACTCTTTCATTGTCTTTTAAATGCCATTTTTGCATTGGGAAGTCATTTCAACCCAGCAATTAAGGAGAGGAACCGTGATCATACAAGCCTTGTCTTCTTTGAACGGGCAAAACGACTCCTCGATTTCGATACGTTGGCAAATGGAAGCCTGGCTCTGGTTCAGACACTGCTTCTCATGGGGCAATTCCTCCAGAGCACCAATATGTCTAGTGCTTGTTGGAATATTGTTGGAATGGCGATCAGGGTCGCACAGGGGATTGGACTTCATCATGAACCAGATAGATACGACCAGTCATGTTGTTCCAAGGAACCGATAGGTCAAGCCGAGACGGAATTGCGCAGACGAGTTTGGGCAGGATGTGTTTTACTTGATCGGTAGCTATTGCCCTCTCTAGCCCCTATTATGAATGACTTGGCTAATATCTGCAACAGGATCCTATCCCTGGCTTACGGACGCCCACTGATGATCCATCCGATCTTGTCGCACAACAACTGCCTTCTGCCATCCGCTATTGATGATCAGTTCCTAACCCAGTGGCCAGAACCACCCGGCTCACAGCCAGAAAATGTCATCAGCGTAATAGAATGCTATGTTCAGGCCATCAAGCTGCAGGAAATCCTTGGCCGGGTGATTGCCACATTATACAACGAGAGCCGTGATATAGGGAAAGATGGCCGAGAGCCAGGTGTGGGTGCCAGGTATACGGCTAACTCCACGGTACCCAATGAGGCTAAAGACTATGATCTTCAAATGCTGCTAAACTTGGACAGTTTGCTAATTTCATGGCACAAGAGCTTGCCTGCTCATTTAAAAGTGTATACATACCAAACAAATAACGGTCCTGGCGGGTTCTCTCATGGAGAGCAGGGCTCTATGTTTCGCAGACAGGCGAATGCCCTGGAGACTAGGTATGCAACACCTTCTCTCGCTTCCTTAATAGCGTTGAAGCCAACTGAAACGAAGATACCTATACATCCGACTTATCATGCTCCGTCCTGCACTGTCCATTGTAAGTGGCTTGGCTAAAAGTCATACGAAACTGCCACTAGACCATGATGCAACCGACTCCACTATGGAATGGACGATGCTTCTCAAGGCGGCCAGCCTTTGCATCTCAGTTGCGCAGCAGCTGGTCTCTCTGGTTACAGATAATGCGGAGTCGGACACGAGTCTCCTTCCGCCCCCTTGGTATAGTGTTTTCTGTATGTCTCTCAGTTAACTGAAACCATGACTAGATGAAAGGGACTGCTCTATCTTTAACATCACGCTTATCGGTCAATGCAGATATTCATGGCTGTGCAATCGTCATTCTTATCGGCCGCCTTTGCTATAAAAACCAAAACCAGTCCCAGAACGGACCTTCACCCTTAGACAGCTGGAATAGATGCCTTTCCTTTCTCCGTGGCTACGAAGCCCACAGTCGATCAGCCCGACGCTGCTGTAGGGTCCTAGAATTAGCCCAAAGTGAGATATCCAACTATAAAAACAGTGTGCTATCCACCCCCAGTCAACTGCAAATATGACCATGATGCCTAACATGACGTTGATAGGCGAAAGTGAATTGAGTGATTCAAATACTACTTACCCAGAGACATACGAGACGGTATCAGGCAGGGATGCTAATGCAGGACCACCTAGGGCAGACTTTTCACGATTTGATGCTGGTTTTCTCTCCCAGAATTTTCAAGATGACTTTGCTTTTGATCAATTGGGTTCAGGCTGGGTGGGTGACTCAACAGATATGACCTGGCTTTCATACGCCCCATTTCTGGAGTAAGCATTGCCGACGAATGTCATTTAATATGATTAGTTTGGTATCCTTGGTTTCAAATAACCATATAAATCATAAGCAATTATCGAGCGGCGCATCTCATGCGTCTTGATTCGCGGCCATAATACGACTGTTTACAACCGCCATGCTTCCAAAATCGTTAAAAAATCGCTGAAAGCGCTCGGAGGGAAGTCAGACAGTCCGCAAAAGATGATATTAAGATTTGTTGAAGTTGACTCTTTGTGCCAACATGGATTAATGTAATATTACGCCAGGGACGGTGGGAGCGCGCCAAGGTCACTGTGGTAGGAAACCCAGGGACACCAGGCTACTCGATACCAGTGGGTTACAGTATCGGCTTTTTTCCACTTCAGGTAACTGCAAGAGTCTTCACGTTTCTAATCCGGGACTCTTGAATGTATTTTAATTGCTCGTTGTGCGATGAGGCTGAGCGAGTGTTAATTGCAGTAACTCCATCTTCGTAACAGCTTAATTGTCAGTGTTTGCGAAATCACACTCTTCTCTATTGTTTTTGTATTACACTTAGTTGTTTGAGAAGAAAAATGAAGTACCTTCTCCCCATTAGGCTTTCGTCTTTTTTCATCGACAATAAAATCTTCTTGAATACACATGTTTCGTCCCATCACAAGCAATCATGACTCTCTTGGAACGGAACAAAAACGCGGGTAAACGTATAACTACATACAAAAATGCAGCCTTTCCTGGATGATTATCTGCTGCATATCCATCATGGAAGTGCAGCGCCTCGCGGAATATCAACCTTTGCTGTACTCACAGTACACTTAGTACGCTTGTTTGCCATCGCCTGAAAAGAACTCTCATCGCTAGGGACTTTGTTCGTCACAAGAAACAGTGTCTGACCATCCTCACCGTCGAGGGTACATGCAGTTGCGCGCCCGTCCACCTTAATCTGGTGAGTAATGTTGCCTTGAGCATCTAGCCTGATAAATCGCTCGTAGGATAGCATGCTGAGCCACATGCCATCGTCTGCATCCATGCATCCAACCATCAATGGAGAAAGTACCTTTATTTTCGTCTAGTGGTGCTGCAGAAGGGGGTGACCATATTTTCTGGCGATTTTGCAGCTTGCCGTCATTTCCAATATCGAATTTGGTAAGCTAGTGTGCAAAAGTCTCCGCTAGAATCAAAGAATTGCCGCTGCTATTTATCATCAGGGCATTGGGAAAAATCACCTCCTCTGCAGCTACTTCACTATGCCATCGATTTCGATAATCAACAGACGGCCTGCTTTGGGTTGCTCTCCATGAAGAACTCGCGCTCCAACATCGTCCATGTACACCCGGCCGGTCCGGTCAATAACCATGTCACCGCAATAGCCAGTCATGACTCAGGATGTTTCCGCGTACAGCTCGGACTTGCCATCGCTGAATTGATACAGTTTGGCGTCGAACATGGACGAGTAGATCGGCGACCCGTCGGCAGCGAAGCACATGCCGTTGGGCTGGTTTTCAATCTCCAGCAAGACCTGCTTCTCGCCCGAGGACGTGTCGATGGTGTAGATTCGGCACCCTGTCATGTCGCTAACGTACAGCATTCCATTGTGAAAGCAAGAACTTTCACCGAAATACATGCCATCGGCGAGAAACTTATGGGGCAGTTGTTTCACGCCGAGAAACATTTGGTCGGTCGCCGAAGACATACTGGAATAGGACTGGTATACTGCACTGACAGGTATTTCTTTATTTTTTGAGATGATAAGACTGGTGACATTAAAACAAGAATGTCGTAAGGGGGGTACTTATAGGTACCAATTCCTTCCACTATCCGTTCGTCGGCCACACATCCCGCAACCCCCCGCATACCCATACTCCATATCTCTGTATCCAGGCCTGGGAATTATAGGAACCATTCCAGAAAGGTAGGGGGCAGCGAAGAGATCGGGTGATATCGCGAATACTAACAAATGCTAAAAGTCATTCAGCTAATCGACTTACATCCGGGAGGACATCCGCGTCCACAAAGATCTCTACCCGGAATCAGAACCGGAAACATTAGCCGACTGCGAACAGTGGAACCTGGCCCAAGCGCATACCACGGAAGTACGGTCCAGTGCATTGACACGCCCAGTTGAGGATGGTCGAAACCGCTTGTCTTTCGATTTGTTTTATTTTCTTTTCTTTCCCGCTTATCCACAGGGCCGACAAAGGTATAAAAAGGCAAGCAACAACGATGCGTGTGCTTAGCACATGGCTTAGTAGTCCTCGATTCGTGAAGATTCAAGAACATCGCAATGTATGTTTTGAGCTTTCTATGTATTTTTCTGGCGGGTGTAGTAACAAACGTGGGCCGTGCAGAGGACTGACTACCCGCTAATCTGGCAAGATCTGAGACACGATAGATATCCATCGCTTTGTGCCACCACCGGAGACGGACAAGCGCTAAGAGTGGACTTAGTTATAGAATATATAGTCTGGTAATATCTCTGGCTTGTAAACCGCAGCAGGCTTGGGTTTCTTGCTTTAGCGTTCTCGTTCTGAGTTTCAGCGGACTTCCGGCTAGCGTCTAGGATCTTTGTTACTAGGGTTTGGGAGTTACAGCGTAACTCACCCACAATTAATCTTAGGGTGGATGCTTACTTGAATGCCCTTCAGCACAAGCACAATTCAAACTAGTATTTATCTACGAACAACGTAGGGGCAAAGGTGTCCGCGACAAGTATATAGGTCATATTCTCCATTGAAAGTCATCTTACTCTATCTTTGTGAAAAGGGTCTCTGCGTTCTTGAAATAAATCTGGTCTCGCAGATCCTGATCCAGAGGGAAGCTGTCCAGAATCTGCTTGAATCCAAGGGTCTTATCGGGGGATGCGTAAGGGTAGTCAGATCCTGCACAATGTATTAGTGACAAGAATAGACAAAATGGAGCATGTGGAGCAGCTTGCCGTAAAGAAGGTGGTCATGGGGAATGATATCTAGAACTAGGTTGAGCACAGCCTTCGAGCTAGAAAGTGCCAGATCGAAGTAGAACGACCGAAAGTCCTCTAGAATTTCCTCGGAGGTCTTCCCATTAACTCGAGCCGTGGCGGCTGCTTCCCGGGACACAGTGGTAATGCGGGTGATCAAAAATGGGAGAGTGCCTCCGGCGTGGGAGAGGATAACCTTGCAATACGGGTAACTCCTCATTGTATTGGTGATAATCAGATCGACGGCCGTCCTCGTTGTCTCATGAGGGTAATCGATAACCGGTTGTGGAAGGAAGGGGTTGACCCGAGTCGTATCGGCGGGATGGGTGGGGTGGATAAAGATTACAGCCCTTCTGGAGTTCAACTCCTCCCAGATAGGCTTGAATTCTGCATGACCTAGATATTTGTTTTCAGGGCCATATCTGGTGAAAAAAGTGACACCTTCGGCTTTCAGCACATCAAGAGCGTATCTGATTTCTGCCAAGGTGCCCTCGGTATCAAGAAGGCTCGGTAAGGCTGCAAAGAAACCCCATCTCTTCGGGTCTTCGTCACGCTTAGAGGCAGCGTATTCGTTTGCCTTACGGGCCAATGCCCTTCTCTTTTCATCGGTAGGGGCGATGACTGCTCCAGGGGCAGTCAACGACAAAATTGCCTTGGTAGTGCCATTTCTTTCCATAGATGCAATAGAGCCCTCAGGCGACCAGGGAGGTGTTGGCCAGCCAGAGGGGTCACCCCCGGCTTCCTCAACAGCTGTGAGTGCTTCTTCAGTATCTGTTAATTACCGTGCAGTATATTTCAATTTACCTTGCGCATAGAAGTCGGGTACAAAGTGGTGGTGGGTATCAATTAGACTCATTTCGAAATAGTGCTGTTGATCAAATGGTATGACTTTATTTGGGATTCGAAAGAGGAAGGCAACTCATTAAAAGGGCCGCACTGGGTGCACCTCTGGCTCAATGCTGCGTCTCTGGACGCCGACTTACCCGAAAGTAGATTGCGGCAAGTGCGGATGGCACTTTGCTATTCACATCCGCACATCCGCCCATTTGCAGATGGCACTTTGCTATCCGCATCCGCACATCCGCCAATTTGCGGATGGATGGCTCACCTTCCGCCGGCGGGAGGAAGTTATTATATATCGCTTCCAGGTAGCTGATTGCCTTTAATGACATACGCTTAGTTAATGGCTCATATGCCGTATGGAGCTTCCTCGTTGGCCTTTTAATACGTTCGCTGGCGATCTAGAACTTGTTGTTAGCGTACTGGCGGTCGATCATAAGCTTGAAGTTATCCAGGACGGCTAGAATATCATTTGTAGAGACATAGAGATCTTGTTTCAGAAGCCAATGCGAAGCCTCGGTACGGGAGATCGCCGCCTCGCCTCGATAGAGATATTGGTCAGTGTAGAAGCGAAGGAAGTTCTTAGGGCAGCTATCAATCCATTCCTTCAAGATATAGGTAGAAATGTCAGCAAAGACAGGCGCCTCGTATCTTGTCTGAAAAGCTACCCATGTGGCATCAAAGTCAGCCTGAGATGATACATAGATAAGGCAGTTCCATCGCTTCATCATCTTAGTCCAGCCCTCTTCCTGGATAGCTAGTAAAGCCTCATGGACTGGCTTCTCACTGAGGCTGGATGCCGGCAAGGTAATCCAATTAATCTCAGTAAGATCCAGAAGCCCTTGAGGACCTGACTCTGACTGAATAATATATTGTCAATAGGTCCCACTCCGTTGGAGTGGTCATTAAATTGCGCCCAGATGGTCAAACGTCTCCAGCAAACTACAGTGCACTACGCGGCCATTTTATTGCTATACCACGGGACCCAAAATCTCTCCTTCAAATATTGCTGAGTCCAGAGTTGCAGTTCACTGAGCTCATCAAAGTATTCTGGCCCGGGAGTCGATCCCCCTACCGAATCTAATATGCAGCCAATTTTGAGTGTTCGTAAATACAAAGTGATTGTTGCTCTTCGCTATCTCGTGCGATATAATCCTTTGTACGGAGACATTGCGATAGATCATTGAGCTGTGGATCACTGGCCCGACGATTTCATACCTTCGGATTCATAGCGGTAGGTGATATGTTTGAACGACACGGATCACCACGAACGGGCGGCCTATATTATCAATTTGCAAAAAGGCAAATACGAAAACGACTGGCAAGCCGCAGAGGACCACCGTGACCATTTTACCGACGATAACCTTCCATTTACCGCTTCTGGCACCGTTGACTTGAATGGAGATCGCCAAAACCCTGACCTGCGTCTTTTTTGAACATGATATATACCCTTATCGACGACCCACCGCTCGACATACAACTTCTATATACCTTCATGAACCACGCGAACCATACTATTCGACTGGCTACCTCTCAGCAACTAAACTCTATGATTGAATATAGCATTTGAGGCTAGGCATCACTTCTAGATTATTGGCAGGATCCTCATTATCTTACATCTGCTTTCCCGACGCTTTTCCCAGTGGGTGTTAGAGGTCATCTGGACCGTCTATCCTATTGTATCTATTTCCCTTGTTGCTTTCCCGAATTGGGCACTTCGTCACTATAGTCGGAGGTAGACCTCGTTAAAAACATTTAGAGGGCGGACATGCGGAACCTCCGCCCGGCCCTCCGCCCTCTAAATGTTTTTAACGAGGTCTAATTGGTGATCTGCCACATTCCTGAACGTTGAGCATCCCAGGGGCCACCGCTCGCCGCATCCAGTGCAACATTCTTCAAAACAAACAAGGAATGGACATTGGAACACCGAATGCCTAAATAATTCGATTTGGGAAGACGAATGGCAAGTGAAGTAATGTTTGATTGCTTGGAGACTTGACTCAAGTCTATAACAATACTAAGCCTAAAACATTGTCTACCCCGAATCTTGTCCTCATATCGTGAATGGCCTATTGCTTCGGCCTCTAACAATATCTCGGCTCCCGAGATGATCACCGAGCCATTTAGATCCTGGTTTCGGGTCCTCCACCACCCGCACGATTCATTCGCGTGGTGCCTTTTTTTAGGCTGCCTTCCCAATTCGGACAACATCGACAAACACCACAGGCTCACTCCACACTGCAGCACTCGCTTTGGGTTGAATGTCTAAGCTTGGTAACCCTCATATTTGGGCCTACTGTGACCATGCCCCACACCCACCGACGGCCTCCGTAAAAGAAAACTCTATACGTCGCATGCACTACCCAAACACTAAAGCATGCAAAAGCAGGGTCCAGCACTCATCTGGAAGGAGATAAGAATCCGCCCCGCAGCCTTGTTCCCACACCGTTCCAGTCGTCCCTGAAACGTGATGCCAAGATGGGAGGTTGCATCAAACCGCACGCGACGATCAGGATCGGTCTCTGGTGTGTCTACCGGAGTCCCGCCGGTCCAGTTAGATCGTGAATCCACATGGGCAACTCCATCTGTGTATGCGTCTGCCTGCGATGCAAACAATCCTTGTTTTCATATTGTTCTGGTTTGGGGATTTGATTGTCCATTTGCATATATATCCACCGCGGATCATCATGTTTTCTCTCTACAACTCTGATCTTGCGTCGGGGGATCTAGTTGATTTGCGCGATATATTGACAAGATGCATTTCTTCGAGGTTGCTGCGGCGGTTGCCGTGTTTTCGGGGTCGGTTGATGCCATAGGGCTGACCTCGTCTGCGCGGGACCTCACACTGGCTTCGAGAATGGGAATTAACTCGGCGGAGTTACTGGGCCAGCGGAAGACGGTGCATGAAATTGCACTGGAGAGATCAGATTCTGTGTTGAATAGCCAATATGTTTCGGTATGGTATATTTTGGTGCTCTGCAGGTTCAATCTAACCTCTGCAGATTCCAATTGATCACAACGACACCTCTGTCGGCACCTACAATAATCGCTACTGGGTCAATGATGAACATTATCAAAAGGGAGGACCTGTCTTCATCTATGATGTGGGCGAGTCTGATGCCGAGTCATCGGCTCATTCGCTTCTGGGCAACTCGACTTCATTCCTCTCAGGTTTGCTGTCAGAGTTCGGTGCCATGGGAATTGTTTGGGAGCACAGGTTTGTTCAATGAAAGCTATGACCCATACTGCGCTAACAGTCGGCAGATATTACGGAGACTCTCTTCCTTACCCTGTAACTGTCGATACGCCTGCTGAGCACATGATTTATCTCTCGAACAAGCAGGCTCTGGCCGATATTCCATACTTTGCGGAGAACTTCACAGTCGAGGGCTACTCCGACGAAAATCTTACACCTTCTTCTACACCCTGGATCATGACCGGAGGCTCTTACTCCGGCATGCGATCGGCCTTTACTCGAGACCAATATCCGGACACCATCTTCGCCGCGTGGTCATCTTCGGCACCGGTCGAGGCCAAGGTCGATATGAGCATCTATTTCGAGCAGGTCTACGCTGGAATGGTTTCCAACGGATACTCAAACTGTACTAAGGATATCAAAGCGGGGCTAGAGTATATCGATGGTGAGCTGTCCAAGAATGCGTCCAGTGCGGCTGCTATCAAAAAGCTTGTCTTCGGTGAAGGCGCTGAGGCGAACAACAACGGAGACTTCACCGCAGCCCTCGCTGGTCTTTATGGCTTTTTCCAGGCCGAGGGTCTCGGCGGTGGGGCTGGAAGCCTGGAGAACTTCTGTCATCATCTAGAGACCGATCCAGTGACTCTCCAAACCGCTGGACCCCGTGGATACGCGCCCTATCTAGGCAAGGAGTACGTGGGCAAGCGGCTCGCATCGTGGCCAGCCTGGAAGGAACTGGCCAACCTGAACTACGACACCAACTGCGGCGGACTCGACGATTCCCAGCCCTTGTCCTGCAAGTTGAATCCGAAGTACACCGACGTCACCGATATCAGCTGGCTGTGGCAAGTCTGCACCGAATGGGGATACTACCAGAGCAACAACTTCGGCTCTCACTCACTTCTTTCCAAGTACCAGACCCTCAAGTACAACCAAGACCTCTGTACCCGACAGTTCCCCGAAGCCGTCAAGAAGGGCATCATCCCCGCCTCACCCGAGGTCGAACGGATGAACAAAGAGACCGGTGGCTGGGCAATGCGCCCGTCCAACGTCTACTGGAGCGGCGGCCAATTCGACCCCTGGCGGACCCTCTCCGTCCTCGCCACGGAAAGCTTCGCTCCAACGGGCGTAGCCTTCACCACGGAGATCCCCAAATGCAACGTGGCTACTGGCGAGGACTCCGTCTTCGGCTACATTATGCAGAACGCCGAGCACTGCTTCGATATGCGATCCGGGTTCGCTCCGGGCAAGATCTCACGTGGATACTTCAAACAGGCGCTGAGGGAGTGGCTGCCTTGTTTCCAGAAGAGGTAGATGATGTAGAAGTGGACGAGTCCGGGGTCCGGGGCCCAGGGGAAAGATCGACACGGGTGTGATCCGTGAATTGCCTAAACCCGATTGATACCAGCTTGCGAATTGTCATGTCGGGGTTATTCTCACGTGCGGATCAACCGAGGAAGTTGAAGTTCTTGCACGTTTCTTGCCAAATCGTAGCTCATGTATTTCAACTATTTCATTATATCCATTCTCACTATTTTCACTATTTTCACTATTTATCATTCAATGTCCTTAACTTCAATTTTCAATTTCACGTTACACTAGATCTCAGATACCCGAGATGTTAAGCCCGACCGTGCTAATAGTTGCCCTGTTCGCCTTCCTTGTTCTGCGTTACGTGGTGCAGTCGTATCACCATTATGTGCAGGCCAAATCTCTGCACTGCGAGGCACCCCCAGCTGGTGCTTCGGCCTTCTTCGGCATTCCGGCATTCTATCGCCTCACAAGAGCTGTCAAGGAGAAGCGCTGGATCGATTATCTCTGTGATCAATTCGCCATCAACGGAAATACTTTCCAGCAGCAGTTCCTGAATAGGAGGTTGTTGACTACCATTGAACCGGAGAACGTCAAAGCTATTCTGGCCACACAATTCCAGGATTTCTGTCTCGGTACCCGACATGAGCAGTTCTATCCACTGCTCGGAGATGGCATCTTCACCTTGGACGGTGCGGGCTGGTCGCATGCGCGAGGATTATTGCGACCGCAATTCACCAGAGATCAAGTCGCGGACCTGAGCATGCTCGACGCCCACATCAACCACCTGATCGCACTGATCCCCAAAGACCGAACCAGCTTCGACATTCAGCGTCTCTTCTTCCTTCTAACCCTAGACTCAGCCACGCATTTCCTCTTCGGTGAATCCGTAGGCTGCATGCTTCCCCCATCCGAAACAACCGGCGTCCTCGAGAAATCCGCCGTCCGCAGCGCCCAAGGTTTCGCCGACGCTTTCACAACCGCACAGGACTACCTCGCCGCCCGGTCGCGTGCGCAGGGTCTCTACTGGCTCGTGAACCCCAAAAAATTCCGCGAAGCCAACAGCCAAGTCCACGAAGTCGTCGACCACTACGTCAACGTCGCGCTTGAATCCAAGCGAAACCCTGATAAGAAACAAGATGATCGGTACATCTTCCTCCAAGCGCTAGCAGCAGATACCGATGACCCGAAAATGCTCCGCGATAACATGCTCAACATTCTCCTCGCCGGCCGCGACACCACAGCCAGCCTTCTCAGCTCAACGTTCTTCTACCTTTCTCGACACCCAGCTGTATTTACCCGTCTTCGACGCGAAATCGTCGAAGCATTCGGTGACAGCAAAACATCCATTGAAATAACACAAACAAAGCTAAAAGACATCCAATACCTCCGCTACGTTCTAAACGAAGGTTCGTCCCTTCTTCTAACAATCTTCAGACTGACAGTGAAAATCTAACAAAAATCAGTCCTCCGCCTCCAACCACCGGTCCCAGTAAACTTCCGCGTCGCCACCAAAGACACCTCCCTCCCCGTCGGAGGCGGCCCAGACAATCGCTCCCCGGTATACGTCCGCAAAGGCCAAATGGTCGCATACAACGTCTTCGCAATGCACCGCCGCACCGATCTATGGGGTCCCGATGCGCGCTCTTTCCGCCCCGAGCGCTGGGAGGAGAATGCGAAGCATGGATGGGAGTATTTGCCATTTAATGGAGGTCCGAGGATTTGTCTTGGTCGTGAGTTTTCCACCAAAGAAAGAGAAAAGGGAGTTTGAATACTAATGTGAGGTTTTCTGTAGAACAATATGCGCTTACGGAGGCGAGTTATACCGTTGTGAGGCTGATGCAACACTTCGATACTCTTGAGAATGTGGATCCGCATCCGAGGTCAGAACCGGTCAAACTGTCTAACTTGACTATGATGCATGATTTGGGGGTTCCGGTTAAGTTGTATTCTGCAGATGTGATTTAAATTATGATTAACGTGTCAACGGGCTCATGTTGTCCATGCATATATGGAGTGTGTCGTTGTTAGTGTATATAGCTCGAAGTTATTGCGTTCTGGATCCTGTAAAATTCCAGCATTGGGTGTGAAGACTTGTAAATGGAAAATCTGATTGAAATCGCACGCGCATAAATTACTTTCCTTTCATATCCAGGTGAACCTAACACCGGAGATCGAAACAACGCTTGAGTTAACCCCAACTAAGCGAGCTGAGAAAATTCCATATACAACCTGGAATCGGATAACCGGCTCCAGTCCTCTTCCTCGATTAAGATCTATGTATCATCTATTATCCTTCTAGAAAGTCCTGGCACTCTCCTTTATGGAGCCAGATTATCCACAAAAACTTCTAAACGATTGCAAGGAGACGTCTATCCTGCACGAGCCGAGCCGCTATAAGCAATATACCACCTAGAATAAGCGTAATTCCGGAGAAGAGTGACAGAGAAAGGTATCCAAATTTCTCAGCCAGCGCACCACTGATCGGAACATTTGCCATGGCCCTGCAAGACGGTTAGTAGTGAATGAAGAAGTGAATAATAATGATCTCACGATAGCGAAACGGAAGCCGACACAGCTCCAATGGCAAGGCCCATGGTAGACGGCGTAGCAACCTGGGCTGCGCATGCTTGTTGAAGTGAAATGATCCCCTGATTTGGTTAGTAAAGACAACATGGCCATGGATAATACAACATACTCCAGACGCAAAGCCGTAAGCGGCCGACCACACACCCAAGCCAGCTACCGAATCCACCTTGGTCCAGCACAATGCAATCAGACCAGCAAGCAAGGTAGACACGATAACACAGTTGAACTTCCCATATTTATCAGCCATAAATCCAGGGACGACTCGACCGAAGAAGGAAGCCCCATTGACGATGGAAACGGTGTAAAAGGCAAAGTTGGAAGGAAACCCCTTTGACACGGCGTATGAAGTCGTATAGAAGAACGGCGAGAACATCCCAAAGTATGTAATAAACATAGCCAACGACAGCAATTGCAAAGCCGGCTTCTTAAAAAGAGCCAAAGCCTCCGCCGTGCGATCGACTTTCTCGACTGATGCCGCAACATCCAGATTGTCTTCCTCTTCTCGCTCAACAGCTTTAGAAGCGACAGTCGGCGGCTCCTTCGCAACAAGACAAGCAAACCCAAAGCACGGAATCATAATGAACCCCACGATCCGCATCGTCCACGGGAATCCAACTCCACCCGCTTTCAACAACTTATCAATAGCAATCGGCCAAATCACACCACCTAGCGAAGAACCCGCAAGGACAATTCCAAGCGCAGCACCACGATTCTCCGCATTAATCCACTTCCCCACAAGCGCCAACATCGGCCATGTAACCAGCGCCATCGAGATACCAAGTAATATGCCCTGTGCAAGGAGGAACTGGTAGAATTCTTGACAGAGCGAAGTCATCATGATCGAGAATACGGTGCCGATTGCACCGGCCCAGCACATTATTTTCGGGCCGAATTTGTCGAGAATGATGCCTGATATGACAGATATTGAAAACAAGAAGAATATTGCTGTTGCGCCTAGCCAGGCGATTGTTGATTGGCTGTTTGTGGAGAGTTGGTCGGAGGCATAGTATTCTTCGAAGACGCCGAATGAGTTTAGGAAGCCGACTGTGCAGAAGAGAGAGGTGCTTGCGCCGGATATGACGAGCCAAGAGCGGGATTTTGGGCTGTAGAAGTTAGGGTTTATTTCAAGTAAATTTTCACGTTGACAGGGCTTACATATTGATTTGGGGTTCGTTCTTGGTGGACATCTTGTCGAGGTGATGGGTTTGTGGTGAGAATGTGAGCAATGCCCAGTGAGGGTGTTGATGGCAGAACAACCTTATAATCTAGATCGGGATATGAGTTTGGTGACCCGGAATTGTTAGTTTACATAAGAATGAGCCCCTGGTGAGCAGAAAATCTGTCTTCGCGGAGCCTCCGAGCTGTAGAGTATCTGCAAGCTGATTAGCCAATCGGAGCGCGTCACACCTGGACTGTCCGCGGACTCTCCGGCGACCATCAGCTCTTTGGAAACTCCGAACTACTGTCAACCATCACTCTACACAAGCATCAACATCGATACCTGGGACGCAGGAAGAAGATACCTCTCTGTCCCAGGCAGTCGCAACCATGAAACGTAGGTTGACAGCCACCCCCGGTCCAAGTCCCTCAAAGCAACCCCGACAGGACCCCGTATCCTGCGAGTCGTGTCGAAAGAAAAAGCTAAAGTGCGACCGGAATATTCCATGCGGCAGCTGTACCACGCGCAAGCTGCACTGTACCTTCGGAAGCCATGGTACTCTACCAACTAGTCACTCGGTCAAACAAGGGAGCCAAACGGCAGAGCGGCCCCCGTTGAACAACAAGGCTGTATCACGACCACAACAACAAGCGCCACACGCCGAGGCCCAGAGTAGCAATCGAGACGATCCTCTAGTTACAGCAGACTGGCTTGAGACTATTGTCATGGGGCATCGTGTTCCGAGTGCCATTCCCGCACCGCTGAGAGACGAGCTATCACAACACTCGCGAGTAGCCGTGTCCCAGCAGAACCCAAGCTCCGGAACGTTGCATTTTCTTTTTGGTAGTGGCCGCAGAGCGTCTTCTGAATCGCCTGCCAGTATTCAACTCCCACTCTTCTTGCCATCGAGAGCCGAGGCAATGGCTCTTTTTCATTTCTACTTCGATCATCTCGACTACCAGTACCACATCATCATCCCCAGTCGTACGAAGCGGGATATTGAAGTCATATATGACAGATCTCCTGGCGATGAACTCAACTTGCAGCACGTTGCTCTTCTTTTTGCCATAATCGCGACCGCCCTGTTCTACCAGCTTCTGTCGACTGACCCAGCCCGGCTTGCAGAGGCCTCCGGCTGTGAGGCAGCGTTCCTGGCAGGTGCGGCTTTGATCCAGAGCGATTATATTGCTTGTCCCAGTATTGAAGGTCTACAAGCGACGATGATCATCGGGCACCATCTGTCGATTGCTACTCTCAATCCCGCTGTCAGCTCGTTGTTTTTGCATGGGTCTCTAATCAGTCAGGCTAAGAGTCTTGGGCTTCATTTGGTGGATTCCCCGGTGTCAAAGAGGAATCCAAACGGGGGCGATAGAACTACAATTGAGCTCAAGCGGAGGCTTTGGTGGGACCTGGCTTCCTATGACTGGCAAGTCACCTAACTCTATTGGATATCGCATCTTTTATGACTAATATCTGGACAGGCTACTTGGATTCCTCAGCGGACCGCAGGAGTGGACATACACAATCAGTCCCCAGCAAATGAACGTAAAAAGACCATGGAACATCGAAGATGAAGACATCGAAAAAAGCGAAATGGAATTGCCACTCTCACAGCCAACCTGCATGTCCTACACACTCCACAGATTGCGATTAGCCGAAGTATGCCGCGAGATCGTGGACAGCACCGCATCCGACCACCTCCAAGGCGTCGAAATACCCTACGATAGAATCCTATCTCTAGATCGCAAACTCCATGACGCGTACGCCGGAATCCCCTCTTTCTTCAGATTCGACCAGTCATCCCAACGCAAATTCGCGTCACTTTATCGCGAAAGACCTTCAATTGCCTGGCAACGCGCCTTCATTCAGCAAGGATACCACTCTCGGCTCTGTCGCTTACATCGACAATACTTTGTCCGTGGAGCTAGAGACCCCCGGTACTCGTATTCACACGTCGTATCTCTTCAATCGGCTCGCAAGGTGCTAGAGGTAAAAAGGATCATGGATGAGGAAGAACCGCTCTTTGTGCCGAACAGCTCATTATTTTGGGCGGTGATGCATCATGTCTTCATGGCTGCAGTCATCCTGCTCATTGATGTCTGCTTCAATTGGGATGATATTCTTGCCGAGAAACGGAAGGAGGAAGTTCTTGCTGCTTGTCGCATGCTTAGTCGAGCGCAGCAGTCGTCTTCGGTTGCGAGAGAAGGGGTTAATGCTATGATGGGGATTTTGCGGAAGCATTGGAAACAAGAAAGAAGACCGCATGACTTGCAGTCTGATCCAACAGCTACTGGTCGCCACGATCAATCTTTTGAGCAGGTTCCTCAAACGAGAATCTCCCTGTCGAAGGATGCACAAACCGAAGTCCCCGGTATAGATTTCTCAGCATCTGACTTCGGCCAGATTCCGCTTGAGGATCTATGGTCTGAGATTCTAGACAGCAGCGGTGATGTGGGACTGGGAACGCCTGACTGGATGGACTTGCTGAATGAATTGACCAATGCAACTGCACCGCCTGAGTGATAGCAGCTTTCACAGTACCCTCTTCCAGGTCTAAGCTGAGTGTTTGGCCATCTGGTGCCTACTTGGTCGGGTGGCGAGGCAGCAGAATTGCGACCAAAGAGTCTGACACGTCCAAGACTGCCGATCAACGAGGCTCTGCAGAAGTAAACAACGCATCACATGATGTTTTGTTTCGTGTTTTCCTTGGGATCGTGTTTCGCATCAGCGTAGTAGCACCAACTCGCCTGGCTATATCACACATATTTCCCATAACCACAATGATCTCCAACCCACCAACCAAAACTTCCAATCTTGGATATCAAGTCCTCGCAGACCGCATCACAAATGGCCAAATTACGCGAATAGTCGTCCTAACTGGCGCTGGGATCAGTACCTCAGCCGGAATCCCCGATTTCCGCACGCCAGGAACAGGTCTTTACGATAAACTCGCACCACTGAATCTTCCTTACCCAGAAGCAATATTCTCGATCAGCTACTTCACGCACACGCCCGAGCCTTTCTACGCAATTGCACGGGCACGGCATCCGGGGAATCTCAAACCGACCATCTCCCACGCTTTCTTGGCGCTGCTGGCGAAGAAGAATCTTCTCCATTTTCTGTTTACGCAGAACATCGATGGCTTAGAGGAAGATGCGGGTGTTCCGGTTGACAAGTTGCTCTGGACACATGGAAATTGGAAAAGTCAGCATTGTCATAAGTGTCATGCTGAGTACCCAGATGATTTGATGAAAAACGCCATTAGGGCTGGTGAGGTGCCTTATTGTCTGAAAACGGAATGCGGGGCAGCAGTGAAGCCCGATGTTGTGTTCTTTGGGCAGTCTCTTCCTGCTGAGTTTGAAGATAGGCAGAAGATGGCTGCGGAAGCGGATCTCATGCTTGTCATGGGTACTAGTTTGAAGGTTGCGCCTTGCTCACAACTACCCCGGCTAGTGAAAGAGGGTGTTCCGAGGATTCTTATCAACATGGAGGGGGCTGGAGATATGGGCAATAGGGGCCAAGATTTGTGTATTCTTGGGACCTGTGACAACGGAGTACGCGAGCTTGCGGATGCCTTGGGATGGAGGGATGAGCTGGAAACTTTGTGGAAGGACGCTGTGGATGCCAAGGGCGATATTAAGGAGCTTGAAGATGGTCCGACCCTAGATGAGTGCATTGCAAAAATTGCGAGCACGATGAATGATAAGATGAAGATTTCTAATGGGCATAAGCGCATGCTGGAAAATCATCTCAGTAGCAAGTTTGCTCAGATGATGGCGAAGCCGCCTGCACAATCGTGACTCGATGATAGCTCTTCAAGTACTGAAATGATCACTGACCCCTTCAAGATGAACCATGATAGACCATTCAACGTGCGTCGGATAGAGCTCGCCACGTGGCGAGGACGGAAGTTTCCAGCGGGCTGGTTCGGCTTCGGCTTCGAATACCTCGCCGTGATGCCATCATGATGTGGTACTCAACCTGGCCTACAACCTATAGCCTCAAACGACTTCGATTTCCTTAGGTCGTAACTTCTTGTAAATTCTAGATCACTCAACATTCAGGCTCAAAAAATATCTCCAGATGACACCCGTCTCAAACAATGCCAACACACAAGGAGAACAATCTCCCCCACATCCACCGGTACATAACCACGCACAACACCGACGGCGAAGCAGTTTTTGTCTCCCACGCACAAATACCCGACTACATGCCCTCGAAGCCAGCCGGCGAAGATGGCGAGATAGCGCTCCTGTACGCGACAACGATCACGCCCACCAACGTTGACGACGAAGCTGATATCGCCATGTACGATGAATTCCTGCATCAGCCCCCCGGCATAACGACTGAGGCTGGTACTGTGTTCCGCATGGTAGATCTCCGTCCTGGGAAGGTTACGCCTATGCATCGGACTGTTAGTTTGGATTACGGGATCGTGTTGGATGGGGAGGTGGATTTGACATTAGATTCTGGGTCGAGTCGGATTTTATATCGAGGTGATGTTTGTGTGCAGAGGGGTACGGCCCATTCCTTTAGGAATAAAAGTACTACGGAGTGGTGTCGCTTACTTTTCGTGTTCTTGCCGATGCAGATGCTTACTATCAAGGGGCGGGATTTGGAAACGGAGGTTTACGATGCCCCTTATGTGGAGCCAGATGGGAAGAAAAGTAACTAGTTTCGAGCTGGTACTAATTGCAACAATCAAACTGTCATTTTGCTACATAATCATGACCTTGAAATCGATGAATCCATTCTTGAGCTTCCTAGTCGACTGTGACCTGGACCTTGGTCTTGTCTGAAGAGAAGTTAGTCATCATTCGAAAGAAAAGAGAAAGGCACAAACTCACAAAAGGCCACATGGTCCTTGATGTTCATCGCCTTCTCATAAGGCTCGGGGTAATACCATGCCGCATCCTTAACATCCTTATCTGATAAAGTCATCAGTACCTGCGACATCTAGGCTACAGAATTACTTACCCCCAAGTTTGATCGTGTAATATTGTGCATGGCCCTTCCAGGGACAGAAGGTGGTCGTGTCAGTTCCCACAAAGGTTGATTTGTCTTTGATAGCTGTTGGTGGGAACTTGGTTCATGAAATGTTAGTTGCAACTCGCTTGTTTGAGGAGCTTCTGCACGTACATAGACGTTCCCTTCGACGTTCTCCCAGACGTCTGTTTCCGCAAGCAGAACGTCGCCTATCTTTGCTTTAGCTGTAGGCATGGCTTGTTTGGCAATATTTGTTGGATTATGAGATTGGAATATGTTGTATGTAAGGGATGTCAGCACGATGGGTGGTGTCGTCACAGGGACTGGTGCGGGGAAGGCTCTCAATTTAACATGCAAATGTCGCCTTACTAATTCCACGTCAACTTTGGTTCCTGGTCTCTCGGTTTAATGAAATAAATTGAGGGATTTATAAGGCAAAAAGATTAAAGCTGAGATCGCCAATTTTGGAGTTTGAAGACCGCGGTTTTGTTATCCGTGCACTGTCTGCACCTCTATTCGACTCGAGGACATCATCTCAATCTCCTTCCATTCAACCTTCAAAATCTGCTCTTTAAATTTTGATTTCAAATACTAGGTAGAATGCGTCGGATCTTCGGGCTCGCGCACGGATTTACTGGTTTCGATCCTTTTCATTGCAATTTGTCAGCCAGAAATGGTCCCATCCCGGACCCTCCCTTTCAATTTTGAGACAAGAGGCTCCACCTACACTTTACCATCCAATCTCAATCAATGATATTGCTTCGGTGATAGGGAATGGCTTCTTCTCCACCTCCAATCACGTATCTAGCTTCGTACTTTGTCCAGTCCTTTGGCCCCAGGATTATCAATCTCAGATTATCAAGGCAAATGGAATCGCGTCGTTCATGTGTACTCTTTTCGGCGGTAAGACTGAACTAGCCATGAAAAACATGTATACTAGGATTTTCACGAACTATAAAATCCCAATCAGCTTGCTGACTATCATGAATATCACGAAATATCATCCCGTTGAACCTTCAACTAAACCATCAATATGGATACCCCCATCCGTCGCGTCATCACGGCCCATGACGCCCAGGGCAAAGCGTACTTCGCATCGGATGAAGTTTTGACTCCCTACGATCCCAATACTGCGCCTGAATTCACCACCCCAGGCCCAGACTCCGGCTTCGGTGTCATCCAAATCCATCGGTCCCGCGGCTTCCCAGTCGATAACATGCGTCCATTCGATGACCCGCATAAAACACTCGTCCCTCTGGCCGATACAAAGGGTCCCTCTTGTCGCATCATCGACCTACCGCCTGCTGAACAGGGATGGATGCACCGCACTTTGAGTCTCGACTACTTCGTTGTTCTCTCCGGTACCGTCGGTCTGATTACCGATGGCGGAGTTGAGAAGATTCTCAAACCGCATGATGTTGTTGTTTGCAGGGGTACAAACCATGAGTGGGTTAACCGCGGCAAAGATATTGCGAGGGTATTCGGTGTTGTCGTCCCGAGTAAAGAAATTGTTACCGCTGATGGAGTGAGATTGGAGAAGACGCCTGCCGGCCCTGTTTATGATCCTCCTGAGGAGTAGGATCCCGTGGTGTACTAGACTATTATTTTGCGATATAGAGCAGAACCTTCGATCGGCTCCGGGTATATGAAGATAGAACAACTTCTTCTCCCCCACACTGGAGCGTGGGGGACTCCACAACATCGGACTTCATCCGAACAGATAATAAACCCCAAGCTCACCCCACGCGGGGTTGTTTTCCATTCTACCTTCTTAATCCAACTATCTTCAAATGAGCGCACCAATGCCTTCGTAAGAACATTGAAGTGAGCTATGCATACATTAGCTGACGGTATCAGATACATTCTCGTCACTGGCGCCACAGGCTTCATTGGCGCCCATGTAGTCGACAACCTTCTGGCCCGCGGCTTTTCAGTTCGCGGGTCAACACGTTCCGCTTCCAAAGGCGAGCAAATGAAAGCCGCCCGGCCACAATACGCTTCGAAGCTGGACTTTGTTGTCATTGAAGACTTTACGCAGATTGGTGTGTTCGACAGTGTCATGGATGGAATCGACGCAGTGATCCACGTCGCAAGCGTACGCTCCAGTGCACCCAAAAAATTCATTTCAAGCTAACAATGCCAGCCATTCTTTTATGATACAACAAACAACGAGCAGCAACTCATTCTTCCCGCCATCAACGGCGTTAAATCCATTCTCTCCGCCTCAGCAAAGCCAACCAGCAAAGTCCAACGCATAGTCCTAACCTCCTCGTTCGCCGCCGTCGTCGACGTGGACACCACCCCTCCCCCGGGGTTCACATACAAAGCAGCCGACTGGAACCCACTTACCTACGAAGCTGCAATTTCTCCAGACGCAACCTCGGTAATCGCATACCGGGGATCGAAGAAATTCGCCGAACTAGCCGCGTGGGATTTCATCAAGAACGAGAAGCCGCAATTCGATCTCGTCACGCTCTGCCCGCCAATGGTATTCGGTCCCATCGTCCATCCCGTTCCTAGTCTCGATCAGCTAAATGAGTCGAACGCACAACTATGGACTGTTGCTGCGGGCGTGCACCCGCTTCCGGGTGCACGCGTGCCAGCATGGATTGATGCACGAGATCTTGCTGAAGCGCATGTCCAGGCTCTTGTTACGCCGGAGGCTAGTGGAAAGAGATTCATTCCTGCTGCGTCCGAGCCTTTCTCGTATGAGTATGCGGCTGATATTATGAAAGAGGCTTTCCCCTGGGCGAAGGAGTCTGTCACTAGCAATTATATGAGCGGGGTGAAGCCTAGAGCGGAGTATGGTGTTGATGGAGAGACAGTGGCGAGGGAGCTAGGTGTCAAGTATCGAAGCTTTAAGGAGACAGTTGTAGATTTGGCTGGGCAAGTTAAGGAGACACTTGTTTGATTTGGGATTTCATTTCGTGATGCGTCGTTGATATGTACATAGAAGGGGGTTACGGATCAATCATGCGCGCAGTGAAAATGAATGGAGGTAATGATTCTCGTGGGTGCACCCGTGGACTTCTGGAATTAAGGTTGATAGAGATGTGTGTTTTCTCTAATGATATTTATTTAACCCAATCCTCCCGGATCATCGCTGATCCTTTTTCTGCAATGGCGTATACTGTTGCTTGGATGTGTGCTCCGATCTGTAATGGCATGATACTTGCGTCGACGACTCGGAGACCGCGGACGCCGTAAACGCGGAGTCGCTCATCGACGACCCCATTATTTATACCTTCTTTGCCGCCCATGGCGCAGGTACCAATTGCTGTTTTATTGTTAGCATCTTTGCACGATTATATGAATGCAAAACTCACGATGCCAGTCTGTGACTGTGCAATTCGATACGAAGTCCTCATAGGCTTGCTCTTCACGCCCAAGCTCCGCAACCGGGGGCAAGACACGATTGACGATGATTTTTGACAGAGGTTCCGTGGAGCAGATCCGATCTGCCATTCTCTGGCCTAAGGCCATGATTTTCTTGTCGAATTCACCTTCGTCTAGGTAATATCGTGGATCAATAATAGGCTTATCGTCGATTGTTACTTCGGGATGATCCCTAGTAAGGGAAGGGATGTGGACCGATCCACGAGAAAATGGATACTGAAGCATCTGGAGCATAGTGGCGTAACTTTTGCCCGGCTCGGAGAGAAAATACGGGCTCCAATTTCCAACGTCAAATATGTACTCAATCTGGCCACGAGGAGATTTGAATTGTTGGGCGATGAGTCTATCGCGTGCGCAGCCGGTCTGTTGTGTGATTCTGTCAGCCTCACATGATATCTCAGCTAATTCCCATGGCGGTATTATCTGTGATAGTGAGCAGTATGCCACTGAACAAGGCATCACTGTCCATGGTCCTGTCTTCGAGGCATGGTAAGCACGGTCGGCCGCCTCAGTCAGAATTGGGTCGCCAATGATGCAGTCGCGAGACGACAGAGTGGGAAGAACTTCAAAAATGGTCGCAGTCACTGATTCAAGTCATTAGACTGCAATTGGTTCCAATATTGAGAGCTCGTACTCATATGGTCTTGCAGGTTCTCTCCCACGTTAGGGCTGTCAACCTTCATTCCAATGCCAGCAGCTTCGAGCACATCTTGTCGACCGATTCCCGAGAGTTCCAATATCTGAGGTGACTGTACGCTCCCAGCACTTATGATAACTTCGCGTACAGCTTTAATGTCGAGCACGACTCCGTCGTGTCGCGCTCTGACGCCAGTCGCGACCCACCCATCTTTCTGTTCAAGCAAGACTTTCAGAACGGTTGTCTCAGTGATAACATAAAGATTTGGCCGCGATGCTACTGGTAAATAGTAAGCGGGTGCAGCATAGCTTCGTTCCTGGGTATCAGGCTCTATCGTGCAGACCAGATTCCAAACCCCGCAGTTGGAGCCCGCGAGGCTGTCAGGATTGGAAGAGATACCCAGTTCATTGAGGGTCTGATGCCAGTACTGATGCGGCGGGCCATACTGCTTGATATGTGTCGTTTGCACAGGACCCTCTGTCCCATTAAACTCAGCCCGGTAAGAAGACTGATAGTGTTTCTGGTGAGCCGCACTGGGAGGATGGAATGTCTCGCTCCGGAGAAAGTAAGGGCTGCCATCTTTAGGATTGCATCATGAAATGAAGAGTTCAGCCATACGCACAGTAGATCTTCCCATCCCCACCCAGGGTTCCCCAGCTTCTCCCAAGCATCGTAGTCCTTGCGATGGCCGCGATTCCACGCCATGAAATTCAACGCGCTGGTGCCACCAAGAACGCGCCCCCGCGGCCATGGCAAAGATCGTCCGTTTAAACCTGGCTGGGGACTCGTCGTAAACTTCCAGTCGTAGTCAGATCCAATGGTTTCTCCATACCGACCGGGCACTGTGATCGCCCCATCATCGCTGTTCAGGGCGGACGGTCCCGCCTCGATGACCCCCACCTTGATCTGGGGATCTTCGCTGAGGCGTGCCGCTACAGCCAGACCGGCAGTACCACCACCCACGACGATGTAATCAAACGCTAAACTGGCGAAGTCCTCGATGGAATGAGCCATGTTATACTTGGCGGGTTGTTGAAGAGGGGAAGATGCGGAGTCAAGGGTCAATTGGACTTTTGAGTGAGACACCTGTCAAATCATCTCTTGTTAACCTGAGATGAATTTGTCGCTCATTTCTTCGGCTGCTAACGATGAATTCATGATGCAGCAAGGGCAATTTCCCAAAGGTTGGCGTCCGCTGATAGTCAACCCTGGACTCCATGAGCGGGATCAAAACATAACTCTCCCTCGTCATTGGTAGCCTTTATATCGCTTCTAAGTTATTGATGTTTGCAATCACCACATTGTAAACGGTCAGACGAGGCCCGTTGCCTGTCATATCACGCGGCGATCTGAGCGATTTGTTATGGCCCATAAGATCTCATCGGGCAATGAATACGGGAACGCACAAGGGAATTGTGCTAGTACTGAAAAGGAAATAATTTTTTATTGTCAACGTGAAAGCGTGGCGCTAGTTATGTAGATCGCGCTAACAAAATATCGCGATTGGACATCATCGTAAACAAATCGCTCAGCGGCCGAGGTGTGATATTTGCTGTATGGCAATCGTATTCGCATTTATTCTCGCATACGTGGCACCCCCCTTTTCAGTGCTAAATGTGAATCGCGTCTTCCGAGTTGGGTTTAGCAAGATTTTCTGCCGTCTGATAGCCCCGCCGCTTCTTTTTTTCCGGCAGAATCTCAGAACCCATTTTGAAAGGTGAGATTCTCTCTATTTTTAGAATGAAATCTCGCATGTTTCTTACTATGAGAATATCCAGAATTGTATGGTTAATACTTTCTGATAGCTATCACAGCAAGTTTGAAGAGTTTGTTGAAATAATAGCAACTTATCTGGCCACTGAAGCGAGAACTCAAGTTCAAGATTCCCATTCAAGATAGAAACCATCTAAACAAGCAAAACATACTCCATGTTTAGGCATTCCTCTCTTGTATACGTTCTTGATATCAAAAAACAAACATTTGAACGTCAACTTGTGATTTTGGAGAGAAAATAAAAACAACAAAATTGGCGGTGAACATTATCTTGGCGAATCTTGGCAAATTTGCCAAGAATAAGCCTAAGGAAGCAGGCGGTGGGCCACATAGGGGGTCGTTAGCATCAAAAGGGGCACGCGGGGATCAATCTCCTATTTAAAATTGTTTCGCACCAGGCTGCGCCCGTCGTATTTGATTCCTCTTTCAATCGAACCTTGGAATCCTGTTAGACTGCGGCACTCTGAAGACTGAGACAGTATAGACTTCTCAGTATGGTCACGGATGGGACTGGAGCGGGAGAAGACCTTCAAAATGACTTCTGTGAAAGCTCACAATTTGAGGAAGAAGAAACTTTGATCTCAAGATCTGAATCAATTCACAATTCCGGTAATAATACTTCACATCTTCCAATGGAGAGAATCAGTCGTTGAGTACACGCAAATTGTGCCGGCACGTGCATTTCCAGCTTAGGTATTCAGCTAACCTTGGAATGTGATCTTTTGTCAATTCAGAACACGCAACGGTCGCTCACGGCAATTCTCACCAGTTCAGGAAACTCTTTCCGAGCCCCAAGCCCTCGCAACAAAACTATGGCTGCAGAATCTGCCAAAAACCTTCTCTAGCGTTCAAACACCATGGCAAATCTCTAATTTCTTTCAAGAATTTACTCGGCTTCACATTTTCTGCTGTCGCCATTATCCTGTCGATTGCCGAGGCTCCAGCATTGTTCATCTTTATTTGGAACTTGATTGCCATTATACCATTGTCGATCACTCTTACTTTTGCGACAGAAAGAATTTCCAAAGATCTTGGCGAGACTTCCGGAGCCCTATTGAATATCACGATAGGTAACCTGGCCGAGCTTATTATATTGTGAGTGATGAATTATTTCCTAAAATTAAACATCTGTTTTGCTAACTCGTATCGTAGCATGTGAGAAGTATCCGACTCGCTAAGTCCGATTTAAAACTAACTTCCTTTAGCACTGCACTCATGAAAAACAACATCAAAGTTGTCCAAGCATCACTTCTCGGATCTGTTCTCGTCAATTTGCTCCTTGTCCTTGGATCTGCGATCATTGCTGGCAGTATCGTATCTCCGGACCAGTCATACAACAATGACGTAACTCAGTCTTTTGTTGTATTGTTGAACCTGGCAGTATCATCTCTGATGATTCCGGTATGTGTCTACCACGAATTCTTATAAATTCTGAGCCTGACCAGCGCATAGAGTGCCTTCTACGGGAGTGTAAAGAGCGTTGCTTCGGCAGACCATATGGCTCTTGCCTTTAGCAGAGGTGTCTCCGTCATCCTTCTCATCATCTACTTTCTATACCTCATTTTCCAGTTCAAGACTCATCCGCATCTTTTCCGGTCTCATGTGCCTCGGCTCCAGGAAGTGGTAGCCCGAAATCGGTCATCTTATGATCATCTCATGGAAATTGAGTCACATTATGACCCGGAGACAAATTCTATCAACGCCTCGATCCGTCCCGAGATGCAGCAGACTCATACGTCTTCAAGCTCAACATCAGTGCCGGTAATTACACTTTCGGAACCAGGTACACCCATGGTTCCCCTTGGCACAGGCGAGCAAGATGATGCAGACTACCAAATATGGCACGATCACAATGAAGAAACCCAAGAACCTCATCGCTGCAAACCCATGATCCTAGCAAACCGCGTCATCTCACTCTCACTCCTGGTCGCCTCCACAATTCTTATCGCGATATGCGCAGAATCATTCTCCACAAGTTTCTCCATCCTCAACGAGAAAGGAATCCTCGGCGAATCATTTGTTGGTCTAATCATCATTCCAGTCGCAGGAAATGTAGCCGAAAACGTCACTGCCGTGGTCGTCGCCACTAAAAGCCAAATGGACCTGGCAATCAGCGTCGCCCTCGGCTCGGCGATTCAAATCGGTCTGTTAGTCGCACCGGTGATTGTGCTCGTCGGGTGGGCCCTTAATAAGCCTATGACTCTGCATTTCGATTACTTCGGAATGGTTACCTTGGTTGGGTCTGTGCTGCTGGTCAGTTTCATTATTTTGAAGGGAAAGACGAACTGGTTGGAGGGCGCTATTCTTTGTGCTTGCTTCGCGGCTATCTCGTATGTTTTGATCTGCAAGATACTTTCAGGTTTCGAGAGCTGACTATCATAGGGTTGGGGCGTTCCTTTTGCCGATTACTTGATTCACAACTCGACACCGGTGTGGGTTATGAGAGGTGTGCTGGTCTACGTTGAGACTGCTGACCTGATCTATTCTTTCATTCATGAGAGCGAAAATTCAGCTCGTTCCATTTTGTTGATACATATTCACCTCCAATCGGCCACTGCCGACTTTCCCTTAAATCCCGCTTCATGTACATATTTATATAGAATCAAATGCCAATACTTGAACATTTAATAATATCTAGTGTCTCAATGAGAGTAGCTAGAATAAGTATGTAGTGAATGGTGTAGCTTAAGGTCAGGATAGATTACGATGCCGATAAACAGGTGGCTTTTCCGCACGTGCCGTGTCCCGCTCTCAAGCCCCGATTGCGCGGCGGTAAGTGGGTATCTGCACGGCACTCAAGCCACGTTCCGACTTCTGCACAAACTGTAAAAGGGGCATATTCCAAGTTCGAAGTAATACATGACGATTCGGCGATAGATTGAGATTCTATTTTCTTGAATGCTACCCAAAAGACCGCTAAGGTCATTTCTGGGCCGTATCCCGCGTATCCCGCGTATGGAGCCAATTTCGGCTGAAACAACGGTCCTTGCGAAGAATGCCGAAACCCCTGCATCATATTAAATACCCTGTCGGCATACTTCTGGTAGCCTCTGGTTATAATGTCAGCATTTTAAGCCAATCCTTGGCATCCCGGAGTCCATCTCGGAGCCCTAGACCCCTGACGTGTATTCGGAATGGTTGTCGGCAATTGTTGGTCATGTCGGTGATGATCATCGCTGTGGACCCGGGCAGACACAACCGAAGTTGAAACTTGACTCGGCATAAGCGAAATCCGTTCCGTGACGATTGTGTCGATCCGGAATTACCGAGATTCTCTCATTGTTCTAGTTCACCCGCGAGAGTATTTGCCCACGAGCGCTCCATGTCAGTGGAGAATAGTTAGCTAGTTGAGACTCCACACTAGCTAGTTTGTCCTTGATTAATGCTTCCCACTCAAAATGAGTCGGATGTCCCGGAAACCGTTTCCAGCATTCATATAGCCCATGCAGGGACGTTTTCTCAATCGGAACAGTGAATATACAGCCAAAATGTTGACTTCATCATTATTGTTGCTTGCCTCTCTCGGCGCTGGAATTGCCCAGGCGCAGACCCTCGAGGAGCTCTACCTTGAGAATGCGCCCTCTTCGCCGCGCCCCTACGTCATTCCTCACTATGCGAACTCGCATTCTGTGACTATTGGCAGCCAGCTGTACCGTTTCACCGTCACCGGTCCATCGTCTGACAATGCTTTCACTCTGATGAGCACCAACTCGCCCTCTAGTGGCGACCTTGGTGTCCTGCCTCATATCCACCGCAAGCACTATGAGAATTTTTTCGCGTACAAGGGCCGCTTCCAGCTCTGGGCTCAGAAGGGTGATGGTGAGCAGCAGGCCCGCCTCCTCACTCAGGGTGACTATGGCTCTGTCCCCAGAAACACCACCCACACTTTCCAGACGCTGGATCCCGATTGCGAGATGGTTGGAGTGATCTCTCCCGGAGGATTTGAGTAAGTTAATCTAAGGATCCCATCACCAATAATTTACTCACATGTGATATAGGGACCTCTTCTATGCCCTCGGCACTAACTATACCTCTGGCACCGACACTCCCTTCGTGCCCCAGGCTAGCAACGGCTCTTCGAGTCCCAGCGCCTCCGTCATCTCCTCTCTGCAGAAGTATGATGTCTACGCGCAGCTTTCCTTCGAACCCCGCCGCGATCTTGTTAATGGTACTGCTCCCGTTGATGACAGCGAGTGGCACACTGGCGCCAACGAGCTAGGTACCCCCGGTGAGCCCTACTTCATTGCCAACGGCTACGGGCCCAAGTACCTCAACTCCAAGTACGGCTACCAGATCGTCCAGCCTCTTGTCACTCCCAAGCAGTCTCAGGATACCAACTACACTCTCTCCACTATGATTCTCAGCCGCACTACTAAGGCCAGTCCCCCTGAGTGGACCCTGAACGGCGCTGCTGCTTTCGAGGTTCTGGAGGGTGTTCTTTCTATCAAGATCGGCGATTACCCTGAGGCTACTCTTTACAACGGTGATGTAGCTTTCATCCCTGCCAACACTGCTTTCACTTATTATACTTCCGTGGCGTTCACCACTGTGCTGTATGTTAGCAGTGGCTCTAAGGGTGTCGACACTCAGTTAATCAGGGGTGGAAAGAGCTGGGATTATACTACCTTCCCCAAGTACTGATTGATGTGATTTGGTGATCTTTTATTTTCTCGCCTATAGATTTATTGAGAATAGATTTAGAGGCTATGTTCCTCGCATGCTTTTACTTTGCTATTCCGATTTGGAAGTAACACCTCAAGTAGGACTAATTATATTCCACCATTGTTGCCTTTCCGACTTTTCCCTCTCGTTTGCTTCTCGGTAATTATACACAGGACCACTTAAGCACATCATTGAATGTCACAAACTCGAACCCGGATTTTCCTCCCTCAAAAAGAAAAACATACAACAGCAGGGATTCGCTGGTGGTCACCCACCCAACTACTAACCTGCCGGCGTGTGGCTTAAGTACGGCTGAGCGGACGGGAAGCCCTGTTCTCCACACCCTATGGTCGTATGTATTTCATTCCTTCCCACCCCTCAATACATTTGAGGAAATGCCAAATCAATGCTACCCTCAACCTCCTGGGGTCTAAACTCGAACCAATTTGAACTTCTCACTCTCGCTATCATCATATTCAGCAAGCTTCAGCTCCCCATTCTTAGCGATGCGCAAGAAGTAACCGCTCTCCTTTGCTTCACGCCCCTTTGCAACAAGCTGGTAGCAGTTGTCGTTCTGGTACTCGGGCAAGAAGAGCTCAGGCTTCTCCCCAGCAAAGCAGGTAGCTCCGTCTTCGTATTCACCGCAGTTGATGTATTCCCCACGGTCGTTTTGGATCTTGAAGTACCCATTCTCCATGGGAATGAAGTCCCAGATCTGGCCGGGCTTGTCATTCTTGGCTTCGAAGATGAGAGGCTTTCCTTGCGCATGCATTCTCTCTGTCAGGACTTGGGAGCCGGATGCAATGATGTAGCTTCCATCTCTCATGCAGTATGCGGACTGGCAGAGGGCCGCGAGGGTAAGGGCGAAAAAGGCTTTCATTTTGGTGGGTTTGTGGTTTTGTTGTAGAGAGAGAAAGATTGAAAGTACTCGGATTCTGGTTATCGTCAGATAATGTGGAGATGAACTTGATTGAATTCGAGTCAAGAGAGTAACAGTTGCCCAATATTTATAGATTTATGTGTCGACATAGAGGCTGAGCATCAACATCCTTTTGGAGAAATATTCTGATCATTGATAAAAACGTGCATAGATTATTGATATGCACATTTTGATATATGCACTCTCGATTCGTATCTTGCAGTTCATCCATGGTCCACATTATGCAGAGGGTTATACGAAGTGGATCTGTCAATGAAGGTGCTGAGGAATCTCACTAGGCTGAAAGGCAAACACATGCAACTGGGACGATCATGATATATCAATATTCATTCAATGAAACTGAGTGGTAAGGCCTCTATACCGGTGATTGACCTGGTCATTGAACGGTCAACTTCAAATGTTGTCGTTTCCTACGTAGCCCTGGACATTCACTGCTAGATGCCAGCAAAGTACGTAAATGATGTTCCAGGTTTCCGACACAGAGATGATTGGGACCATTCGATTACACATGTGTTGAAGCACATTCTTCTCAATTTAGATACGGGGGGCCATGCTTCACACCGGAGTCTCTTTTTCCTTTTTGTTCAGATGGAAATGTGAATTTGTAACTTTTTTTTCATAAATCAACGAAAGCATAGACTATTGAAACGCCCATGACGCTCTACACACAAACTATTTCTGAATTATCGAACTCTCGGGGTCCACATAATGCACGAGCGCCTTCTGCCGGGTCGGGACGAGGTAGATCACTTCATGAGGCTGAAACTCGTTGTAACACCGATCTCTGAAGAATGTGGTAATTGATTTCAAAGCTATCAAGCGTTCTTTCATGCTTGCACCCAGTTGCTTGATGGCAATCCGACCGTGGGAAGAAACTACGCACGACTGTGAATGGCTGAGAATAACTCTCAATAACAGCTCGACTCAAGCCATGCACGCCACAAAACTATCCCAAGTGGACTGATCTCAAGTATCAAACTTCTCTGTGAGAGCTCACTCAGCACTCTGTGCCCCTTTTTGACTCAGGCTAGAGATCTCCAATTTACAGAATCGAGGTTGTCAACTGATGTACATGAATAGCAACCTATCATTAATCACTGCGCGCTGTATTTATGATCAGCCTTATTGAGGATGCAGGTACGTATGAAACATTCAATAGCTTGAAGTTCCTGCAGATTCGTCTCAATAGAAGAAGTGTTTGCTTTTCTCGATCGGAGGCTGTGACCTCGGATCATTTTTGCACATGTTCAAGGCGCGGAGTAAAGCGCAAATCAATGAATTACAAAACAATCCTACCATTCCGGAGCCGCATGATTCAGCTCGGTAAATGATACCTCCGGCCACGTTTTCTTGCAGATTACCTGTGGCTAAGCAGGTTACATTGAACGCAACCCCCTGAGATTAGCGACCGCGGAGCCCCCACAATTCCCAGCTGAACTACGAAATCGATTTCACCACGATCTCGCACAGTTTCTTACACAATTCAGAGCCAAAATGACAGTCGGTACTGTGGTTGAGGAGAGCCCGTTAGCCCTAGAGCTAGCAACTCTAGAAGATGTCCCTGCCCTGACCAACCTATGGTACGAGGCATTCACTGACCCCGCTGTGCGACACATCTGGCCCGACACGCCAGGTGTGCGCAAGTGGTGGGACGATGCGAACCGGGAAGATATGACCAATAAGCCTTTTCAGCACTATGTCAAGGTCATCGACCCAAAGTCGAAAGATGTCAATGGCCGACCGCGGATAGTCGCGTATGCGAAGTGGGATCTGGCCATGCCCGAGGAGCGAGGACGTCGTTTTCCGCCTTGGCATGAGGATATGAACAAACAGAATTGCGATGAGTTCGTCAAGACGCTCGAAGCAAACAGACAGCGTGTCTTTGGTGATTCGAAGAATTATTGTAGGTCCTCAGTGTCTTGTCTGGTCTTGTCTTCAATGTCGATGAAATGTTAATTGTTCAGATCTGGACATGCTGGGTACACACCCCGATTACAGGAAATGCGGGGCTGGATCGATGCTGGTCAGATACGGCTGCGATCTGGCCGATGAGCATGGAGTTGGAGCTTATGTCGATGCTAGTAAGGCCGGGACGCCGTTATATGCTAAGTGGGGATTTATTGATGAGTCTGGACCTGATGGTGGTGATGTTACTGCGATGGCGAGACGATATGTCAAGGGCTGATGAGGCCGGAATGTTGGTCCTGAAGTTCACTTGAAATAGTATGAATAAACAAAATCAAGGCTAAGTAGATGTTTGTGGGCTCTAAATTTTTGGATCGCATCCATCTGTTTACGCGGCACAGCCCGTGATTTTTAAGAGTCAACCTAGGTCTATCTCAACGCGATCAACACTTCCCAGGATTCCCGTCCCCTTATCGGCATCGCCACCGTTTTGAATACGTGGAGAACCTATGATATGATACGTCAACTCAGGGGCAACAACCCCTCCCTGCCAAGAATCTCCGCTCGCTTCACTGTTGACTCCGCGCAATCTCACCAAGAAAAGGCGAGAAACACCACGCCCCCGTGCACAAAGCTTCCACGAGTCTAAATTTATCTCAATCTCCTCATTCCAAGACTCTGAAGAGTAATTGGTTTTTCGGCCATCACATCGCAGCGGCCAATCACGCACAATTAGCTCACCGATCCGCGACCGGCCGAGAGCCAAGGCCCGGCAAAACTGCGGAGAGAAAGTACTTGCTCGGAACAGGGAAGATGTGCACTGCAGGGGGGTTCGCGATGCAGTCGGTAAATTTGCGACTCAGTACCTTGCACCTAGGTGCCCGTGTTCCTGAAGAATAGCCAGTCAATGTAATGGTAGACGCGATCAATGTGAGACAATCCCTGTCTTCGAAATTGCAAAACATCAAGACCGCAACCCCCACCCACCAGAGATGCGACGTCATGCAGGCCGTTTGGCATCGACTGATTCCAAGGCAGATGCCAAGGCCATGTTTACAACGTGCGTTACTTGTATGGAACCATCCCATGCACATCACCCGTTGCTCCAGACGCTATTACCAAGCATCGCGGCCTCGACCACTCGCTTCGAAATCGATTCTCCCCGGTGAATAACCTTACAATTCCGCCAAGATAAGCCCACCCACCTAAGCACTTTTCTACTCATTTTCATTTGGCGATTGCGCCCAATTATGGGTTCTCCAAATTAAGACGGACCGCCGAGGTCTCGCAGACCTGAAGCTCGACCATCACTTTCCAGGCTCAGCCCATGTTTATGTGATCATGCAGCTCTAGCCTTAACTTACCTTCGGACCACTAATCTCATGGCTGACCGGTGCCAACGAATAACGATTTCCGGAAAAGCGCATTGTGTGACACGGTCTCTATGAGCAGCGAGGAGAGAGGGGGATCCACCTGTGTCACATAGTTCAAAACCTAGCCCCTGCTGCTTGTATAATCACATCGCCTTGGTTGGATGTCTAGCCCATACCCATGTGGTGCCTTTGGATCGCGGGTCAGACCGGCAATTGGCTGCAATTGACCCGGCGCATACATTTAAACGTAGCCTCGTGCCCGGGCTTTCCATTGTCGATCAATCGTTTTATTTTCCTCGCGTCGAGCTCTTTGCAATGCATGTGCTTGCACTTTTCGCGGGTCTCGCTGGCGTGGCCAGCGCGGCCTGTCCGTATATGACGGGTGATGCGTCTGCTCTGGAACGTCGTGACAGTGGCAATGCTGCTTCAGATACCGAGGAGTTCTTGTCCCAGTTTTATCTTAATGATAAAGATGCTTTCATGACCTCGGACGTCGGTGGTCCGATTGAAGATCAGAATAGTTTAAGTGCTGGTGAGCGTGGCCCGACACTGCTCGAGGATTTCATCTTCCGTCAGAAGATTCAGCGCTTCGATCATGAGCGGGTATGTGTTTGGAAGTGATTACCTCCTTTATCCTGGTTTATTGATGTAATACCGTCTAGGTCCCCGAACGCGCCGTCCACGCTCGCGGCGCCGGTGCTCACGGAGTCTTCACATCCTACGGAGACTGGTCAAACATCACCGCAGCTTCCTTCCTCTCCGCCGAAAATAAAGAAACTCCCATGTTTGTCCGAATCTCTACTGTCGCCGGCAGCCGCGGTAGTGCAGACACCGCCCGTGATGTACACGGGTTCGCGACTCGATTCTATACCGATGAAGGAAACTTTGGTATGTCCAATACCACCCACCATTAAGCTCTATCTAACACGGTCAGATATTGTCGGCAACAATATCCCCGTCTTCTTCATCCAAGACGCAATTCTCTTTCCGGACCTGATCCACGCCGTGAAGCCCCGTGGTGATAATGAAATTCCCCAAGCTGCCACTGCACATGACTCGGCCTGGGACTTTTTCAGTCAACAGCCCAGTTCCTTGCATACTCTTATGTGGGCGATGGCCGGACATGGTATTCCGAGATCAGTCCGTCATGTTGATGGCTTCGGGGTGCACACCTATCGCTTCGTCACTGATAATGGAACTTCAAAGCTTGTCAAGTTCCACTGGAAGACCTTGCAAGGTAAGGCTAGTCTTGTGTGGGAAGAGGCTCAGCAGACTGCTGGCAAGAATGCGGATTTCCTTCGTCAGGATCTGTTTGATTCTATTGAAGCTGGACGGTATCCCGAGTGGGAGGTAATGACCCTCCCATCCCGTTATATCCAGATCAACTGTCTAACAAGATTCAGCTCGGCGTCCAAATCATGGACGAAAATGACCAACTCCGCTTCGGCTTCGATCTCCTCGACCCAACCAAGATCGTCCCCGAAGAATTGGTTCCCATCACCCCCATCGGCAAAATGCAACTCAACCGCAACCCTCTTAACTACTTCGCCGAAACCGAACAAATCATGGTAGGCCACCTAAGCCCTCCGTTCACTACAACCTATTAATCATACGCATCCTACAGTTCCAACCAGGCCACATCGTCCGCGGTATCGATTTCACAGAAGATCCCCTCCTCCAAGGCCGCCTCTTCTCCTACCTAGACACACAACTAAACCGCCACTCCGGCCCAAACTTCGAACAACTCCCCATCAACCGTCCCCGCGTCCCAATCCACAACAACAACCGTGACGGCGCAGGACAAATGTTCATCCCATTGAACAAAGACGCCTATACACCCAACACAGAGAATGCCGGCTCCCCCAAGCAAGCAAACCAAACGGTCGGAAACGGATTCTTCACAGCTCCCAGCCGAAGCACAAGTGGAAAGCTAGTCCGGGGTGTCAGTCCCACATTCGCAGACGCCTGGTCTCAGCCGCGGTTATTCTGGAACTCGCTCGTTCCCGCAGAAAAGCAATTCGTCGTCGACGCGATGAGGTTTGAGAATTCGAACGTCGTTTCTCAAGTTGTTAGGGAGAATGTGATCATCCAGCTGAATCGGATCAGTAATGATCTTGCGAAACGCGTCGCAGAGGCTATTGGTGTTGATGCGCCGGCTCCGGATCCGACTTTCTATCATGATAACACGACTGCACATATCGGGGCCTTTGGACAGAAGTTGTTGAAGCTTGAAGGCTTGAAGGTTGGTGTTCTTGCTTCTGTTTCGAATGGTAGTTCTATCGAGCAGGGAGCGACACTTCAGGGTTTGCTTTCCTCGGTGGGGATTGATGTTGTTGTTGTTGGTGAGCGAATGGCAAATGGTGTGAACCAGACGTATTCGGCGTCGGATGCAACTAATTTTGATGCGGTGGTCATTGCCGATGGAGCGCAAGGGCTGTTTGGGTTGAGCTCTGAGGGTGCGAAGGGAGCTTCTTCTTTGTATCCTGCTGGGCGGCCTTTGGAGATTGTGACTGATGCGTTTAGGTTTGGGAAGGCTATTGGGGCAATTGGAAATGGGGAGAGTGTGTTGAGTGCGGCCAAGATTTCTTCTGAGAGGGAGGGTGTCTTTGTTGCGAAATCTGCTGGTGATGGATTTGGTGATGACTTGAAGGAAGGATTGCGGACCTTCAAGTTCTTGGATCGCTTTGCGCTGGATGCGTAAGTGACTTTGTCTATACTTAGCTTCTAGTCTGTGCCTTGACGGTTGCTCAAATGTACATCTCTTCATTGAATTTGAAACCGAATACTAAGATAAAACTCTTTAAATTTACAAATGAACAAGCACAGAATAGAGTATGTACACATCAACTAATCATTCTTTTCATCTTCAGGTCTGGGTCTTGGTCTTGGTCTTAATTCTGAGGCACGAATTGCCGACGGCGCTTCATGAAGGACCCTTGATCCGCCATAGTCGCAGCCACGCGAGCATTAATCCTTCTCTGAACATTCTGAGATGAGTTGGCCTGACTAGCCTGACTCTGTCCAATAATGCCCCACTCAGCAACAGTAGCACCTGTACCATTATTCGCTGCTAAATCAGCGGCACCAAGTCCCTGGTTGCCAAGAATCAGGAGTGATGCGTACTGAGCAGCGAACACAGGACTCGAAAGCGTAATGTTAGTGGTGTTGCTGGTAGGCATAGCGACCATGTCCAAGTTAGTGGTCTTCGGGTCATATGGGAGCGAGATCTGCACATCATTCATTGATGTCACAACCTGGAAGCTGGAGTTCTGAGTTGAGGACTGGTAGACCATGACGGGGTCGTTGATGGTTTGGTTGTGGAAGAGCACGGTCACGTTGACTGGGGGTGCTTGGGCCCAGTCAAAGTAGAACCCAGTGACCATAGAGCCGGCCTCATTGCCCAGCGAAATTGTCACGGCACTCATGTTCGCTGCCAATGAAGGTTGCCATTTTGTTGAGGTTGCACCGTCAACTATCGAGATCGGGAACTGGCCGGGTTCATAAGAGTCGGTTGACAGGACAGGTTTGCACTGCGCCAGGTTCCCGTTGATCGAGTTCACGGAAGAGATCTGGCGATTAGGAAGGACGATAGAACCCATTGTGGGAAGACTGTAGGTGGTGATGTTGTCTTCGCTGCCAGAGTTCACGGTGATAGTTGTGTTGGCAAAGCGTTGGTCCGCAGTGTTTAGAGGGGGCGTATCAATGGCCCGGCTGATTGTGGTGTGGGTGTAGTTGGACCAAGCTTCGATGGGCCATCCGCGCCAGAAGAAAGTGCGATACCTCAAGTACGGAATTTGAATAGGCAGGTTGGGATCCACGTGGAGGATATCATCGGGAGTCAGGCGGAGACCCAGGTACCCGAACAGAGCAACTTGGTTAGCACCACCATGACCAGTGAGGAATGGGAACGCAGGGTGAGTGCCCCCGTTGGTTGTGGCGTTGTCGATAAGCTGCTCGGACATCTGGAAGAAGGGAGGGCGAGCGTATGGAAGGTACGAGTACAGTCCGTAGGTGTAGGCCGAGCAGCCAGAGGGTGATACCTCATTCGCCACGATCGAAAAGATGGCCCAGGTCATGGCGGGTCCATCAGGTGATTGCTTATTTGCATACTTTAGGAGGAGTCAGTACTTTGATTCAGTCATGGATTTATCCTGCATCACTCACGTAGTCCAGGTCATTCAGCGAATCTTGAGTGCTATAGTTGGATGTGTAGTCCAGCGGGTAAGTGTTGAGAACGACATCAGCCTGCTTGACCACGGCACTTCCATTCATAGTCGTGAATTCCAGAGTCACGTCGTTCTCGCGAATAACCAGTACGTTATCTGCCATTTGGTCCCAGGTTGAGTTCTCCTCGAGGCCAAACTGCTGGCGGAAGGAATTGGTGTTCCGCAGAGTTTCAGCAATAAGCGGCATGGTGAAACCACCAGCATCGACCATGTTGGCGTACTCATCCTATAGATAGTCAGCTTCGTGTTCGGGGTAGAGCAAAATAGAGCGGAGTAAGAATACGCACGGGATCGGTCATGTTCGTCAAGGTCCACTTGGACCCATTCCGTACGAGCAAGTCTGCGTAAAGTGTAGCAACAGAGTCGTAAATCGAAAAATGGATGTCCTTGAAAGTCTGCGTATCACCACTTGTGACCCATCGGTTAATCAGAGAAAGCCCAATATCCCCGTTGATATGGTATTCATAGTCCCAGCAGGGACCGGTGGATGTGCAGTTGCCGAAACGACCACTTGTCCATGGATAAATGGCCGCGGACGAAGAAAACTGCGTCTTGTTCTGTGATCCTGCATAGTTGGTCTTGACGTTTTCCTGGGCCATAGCATACTTCTCTGCACGGAAGTTGGTGATTCGCTCCGCGGCTTGAGGGTGAGATGTAGTCAGACCGGGTTGCATCCAGACATCAGCATCCCAGAACACCAGTCCACCGTAGGAATCCGAGGTCAGGCCGCCAACGGAAATGCTGTCGACATTAACGGCCGCTCCGCCAGCTTGTTTGATGGCATTTTGACCAACAGTGTTTTGAAGCAAGTAGTAGGTGTTGGCTACCGCAATCACTGAAGAATCGATGATGTGGCTATCAGTCGGAAGACTACCATTCTCGGGGAACGCATAGCTATCGACGGAATTTTCGGGCATGACACTAGCCCACTCGAGAAGATGGGCCCGAAGAGACCTGAGATATCCATTGGTCATAGCAGATGTGACTGCCTGCTTGGCCACCTGCTGTGGATCGGCGAATGCATCGGTGGATGCTGCGCCAACGTACTTTGTGACGCGCACTGTCTTGCCTGCCTGGAAATTGACATTCACGGATTGGGCGATAGAAGACTGGTTGGTGCCAACATAAGGCTTGCCAGACACAACCTTGCGGGAGGACAGGTCGACATTCGCACTGCCCGTAAGGTTGGTATAAATAAAGGCCGTGACGTTGGCAATTCCGTTGGGTCGCACTGCCGTGAAGATCGCACTATCGTCTTCGCCGGAATCCACAAAGTCGGTTCGCACAGCAGACGTCCCGTCGATCACATTGACGATCGTTCCATTGGAATCAGCAGAGGGGATGACTTGCATATCTACCACGGCTTGGTTGATGTAGAGTTTGTTGTTGAACAGACGGTAGATAATCTGGAACGAGCCTTTGTCACCTGCGGGCGTCCAGGTATATGTCCAGACCAAGACACCAGCCTTGAAATCATAAGTCGAACTGAAGTTGGAGATAGTGCTGTTGTCGACCGTCGCATCCAAAAAGGTGTTATCCCCAAGATCCAAGACCAGTCCACTCCAGTGAGGAACACCACTAATAACACTTTCGCCTCCATATTGCCAAAGCCAATCCGCGTTACCTTCATCGGTTGTGGGCTGGTAGTCAAAGAAGCCAGCGATGGTCGCAAATGACTGGCGTCGGGAGAAGAGAGGCCAGCCGCTGATCACATCACCACCTTCCGCCTGCTGATCCATTTCAAAGAATGGGCCAACGCTTGCGACGTTGATTCCAAAGTAGCCATTAGCTACAGAGCCACGTGATTGCATGCGGCCCTGCTCGAGGTTGGTGGTGGTGAGAAGCCAGTTCTCCTCATCCCACGTCACGCCATCGAAGCCGGTCTGATAGACATTGCTGCTGAAGTTGCCAACGGGACCTGGGCCCCCATATCTTTTAATCGATTTCAGAACGCGACTTTTTGTGGAAGCTCCATCCACAAGCTCGCTTGAACACAAAAGCAAGGCCAAGGCTACCCAGACGAGAGGCTCCAGGCAGATTAGCCTTCAATGTTGCAGAAATGCTGGAGATAAGTACTCACTGCGAAGTGCATCTTGCTATGTTCTCACCCTGACGGGCGCTGCTATCTGAGGGGCGTGTCTGGCGAAGGGGGTTCTAGGGACACTATCTCTATTGATAGAATAAAAAAACGGTCAGAAAGTCTGCGAAACCTTGTGGGAAGGCAGACAGGTTAAATGAGAATATGGATGAAGACGCACGGATGGCAAGAGAAATTTAAGTGCATCCTTCAACCACAAAGCGAAAGGCAGTGCCGATCCAGGAACCACAGAGCCCGGGCGCAGCGTATATCCGTGACTTACGGTGTGGGGAAAGCAATCAAAGCTTACAGAGCCGGGTTGCACCTGCCCCGTTTGAGGAAGACTAAACGAGTCGGATTTGTGGAGCCGGGCATTCTTCACTCCAGATGGGTGGAAATGTCGTATGAGGCTGTCCATATTAAGGGTATGCGGTATACCGGGCGAACCGGCTGCGAGGAAGCGCAAGCCATGACTGCGCAGTGGCGCACTATTTGCCCGACGCCAAATCTGGGACCCGAACCATTAGTGGCCGAAGTTGGCGTTGGCATCGGCGTGCCGTGCATCGTCATCGTCATCGAGTCCAAACTGTGTGTCAAGGTTCGTGTGGGGAAGTCGCGAGAGCCCTGGTTGCCGCAGGGTCCCGCAATTGGCCCGACAAAAGGCCGTCCACCGTATATGGCAGGTGGCTCAGCTAGATACAAGGTTTTGCCATTTCTGGTTTAGATCCTGACATGTTGTTAGTGCTCACTCGTTATTTGGAAGGTCCTGGGACTGCAGGAACTACAGGAACTCGAAGGTCTTTTTGCCTTGGTGCCTTATGTGCCTGATTGCCTCAGTCACCAATTGTTCCAACGAATTATGGGATAACTACTCATTGGCTGCCACTCCTTTCACGTTGATCATGGCTATACAGTACATTCCTGTATTACAGCACGAAACTTGCTGCAATGAAACGAGATCTTTCAATCTATTCTCTTAACTTAGAAAGATGCCATCCGTGCCACAACAGTTCAACCAGCCCCCGACACGAGCATTGCTAGAACATTCAGCAGGACTTGCAATCTCTCATCAACTGATTGTAATCATATCATTTAGTATACCGCTTGTCTATTAATATCTTTATCAGATTTAATCGCCTAATCTATTGGGAAATCTGGGGTAGCATAGCTACCCTTCGCCATGCGAGATCCGAGCGAGACGCGACCCGAGAGCCGGCGCATTATCAACGCGGAGTCGACGCGGAGTTGACGCGGGGCATCCCAAGAAAAATAAATACATGAGCTCTGGCTCTTCATAACCTTTTGATTTCATGCTATTGTCAAGGCCGTCTACAAAATGGCACGCCCCAACTTCCTCATTATCGTGGCCGACGACCTCGGCTTCAGCGACACAAGCTGCTTCGGCTCCGAGATCCAAACACCCAACATCGACTCACTCGCAAATGCCTCTGGTGGAATGCGATTTACATCTTTTCACGTCGCAGCTGCGTGCTCGCCAACTCGCGCGATGCTCATGACGGGAACTGACCACCATTTGACGGGCCTTGGGCAGTTATCGGAGATGGTCCGTAATTCACCCGCCCATCAGGGCGCGCCAGGCCATGAGGGTTATTTGACTGATAAAGTGGTCGCTGTACCTGAGCTACTCGGTGAGGGTGGGTATCATACTGTCATGTCAGGGAAGTGGCATCTGGGTCTCAAGAAGGAGTATGGGCCTCACATGAGGGGATTTGAGAGATCTTTTGCTTTGTTGCCTGGATGTGCTAATCATTATGGTGAGCTCAGTCATATTAAATGAACATTGGAAAATAATGGTGGTGCTAATTTGGAGAAGGTTATGAGCCACAATATGAAAACGTCCTCGAAGAACCACCTCGCTTCTTCGAAACCGCCGTCACGGCCCTTCACTTGCAAGATTCGGAATATATCAGCAAACTGCCCGATAATTTCTACTCCTCCGATCACTACGCCACAAAATTGATCGACTTCCTGTCTGAAAGGGACGAGACTGACAAATCGAAGCCGTTCTTCGCGTATCTTCCCTTCTCTGCGCCTCACTGGCCTTTGCAAGCACCCAAGGAGTCCATGGATAAATACCGCGGCCAATACGACGAGGGCCCGGAAGCATTGCGACAGCGCCGACTAAATAGGTTGAAAGACCTAGGTATGGTTGCGCAAAACGTCGTGCCGCATGAAGTCGTCACGGTCGAGAAGGAGCCTATGGAGTGGGATAAAATGTCCCCTGGCGAGCGGGCTAAGTCAGCCCGTTCAATGGAGGCTTTTGCCGGAATGGTAGATCGAATGGATGAGAACATTGGCCGCGTTTTGCAGTACTTGAAAGATACTGGCGACTATGATAACACGTTTATTTGCTTTATGTCGGATAATGGGGCGGAGGGTGCGAGTTATGAGGCCACACCCCTTGTTGGCGACAGCGTTGTTGAGCATATACAGAAGTATTATGACAACTCGCTTGAGAATATCGGGCGTGCTGATTCGTTCGTCTGGTATGGGAGTCGGTGGGCGCAGGCTGCGACAGCTCCATCAAGGCTATACAAGATGTTCTCCACCGAAGGTGGCTGCCGAGTGCCATTGGTGGTGAAGCCTGTTGCGAATCAATCTCCTGGTGGCCGGATTGTTGATTCTTTCTGTACTGTGATGGACTTTGTTCCTACTATTCTTGATTATGCTGGACTGCAGCACCCTGGGAGCACATACAAGGGAAGAGAAATTGCTCGGGTCCGCGGTGTCAGCTGGAAGCCATTCCTGGATGCTATGGCAGCTCAGGGATCGTCGGAAAACCCCGGGGTCCAGGCAATTCATGCAGAAGACAAGGTCTTTGGTTGGGAGATTGCCGGTAGCGGTGCATTGCGCAAGGGCCGCTACAAGATCACATATGTACCTCTCCCGAGAGGTCCTCAGCGCTGGGAGTTGTTTGACATCATTGAAGATCCGGGTGAGACCAGTGACTTAAGCGAGAAGCTACCCGACGTTTTCAACGATATGCTTAGACATTGGGGTGTCTATGCTGCGGAGGTTGGGGTTGTTGGCCTTGCTGGTGAATGGAAGGGCCAACACCCCATTGAAGGTGTCCGTGATGAGTTCGAAGATACCGGTCGCTGGATCAGATTCATCGGAAAGAAGGACATTCCGGCAGAGGTTATTGATAAAATCCCACACTAGATAAGGCTTAAAATGTTCATGTAGATATAATTCCTGATTGTTTGATTGGATTTGTACAACATCTTTGCTTTGTTTCAAGCGATTCCAAAGTTCCAAGGATCCCACGTCAAGTAAGACGAGAATTCATCTGCCATTTGCAGATAGGAGTCGATATCAGGCATAAATGTATCGCCCATCGATGTTAAATCATTGATATCCAGAGAGTATTCGTCGGATGGCATTGCTGCAAGGGCAGGGTCCATCGACTTCTCTCTAGCGTAATCCTCAATAACTAGGAAATTAGTCGCTTGCGAGACTGGGATTTCGGTATTTCCATTGGCTTTTTGGGGCCATGAGATCTCTTTCCAGGTCATGCGATAGTTTGCTAGCGGGTGCAAATGATGTGTTTCTGGCGATGAGTCTTCGCGCGTATGAGAACCGGGGAAGCTGGAAACGTTAGAATGCAGGCCAACTGCAGTATTGGAAGCAGCTCACCTCATTTTGTTTCGTTCCAGCCACTGGTTAGCCAGCTCTAAAAATCCAAATTCTTGAAGCAGTTTTGATAGTGAGGAGAACTATTTCTCAAGAATTAACAATCTAACAGTTTGTAGTAGGAAAGGTTCAACTAACCAGCGCATCTCGCTTCTTACTTCGACCGAGAATGACATCCAGCGAGGCCAGGTTGATATCAATATTTTTGCTTACAGAAGTACTGTCTGACATTCTGCAAGTGCGTGCATAGATTACCTGTATCTTTGATGATTCGTAAGCGCATATAGCACACACTGAGTCGGTGAAGGCTTTGAGGCCGCGGTTCAACGCGCTTTGTAAGATCCCTGTCAGTTTTTGAGCGCGTCCCACGCATTCTGATTGAAGACTTCGCATGCTATCCGGTCGGCTTTTTATAAGGGCCGATGATAAAGGAAACCTGTAACCTGGAAGAGCTATGCGGTAAAGATCGCAGAAGCATTGGTTGTAGAGTAGATGGAGTGCGTAGAATGCCGAAAGCTGATGGTTCTCTTCATGGACATATGCATTCATCTCGTTGAGTTGCAGGTGCCTTGGGAAAGACTCGCCACATTTTTCCAAAGTGGAAACAAGCTTGTCAAACTCAGGCACGGCATCGTTTCCTTCTTTTCGAATCACGCTTAATCTGGTGAGCAGCAGACAAGAACCATTCCATAGGTATCTTACCTGAGAACCTGTTTGCGCAGGTACATAATGTAAACAAAATATGCCTCGAGACTCAAGCTCGTAGTTTTATTGAGTCCATCCAAGAATTCCGGTCCCTCTCGAAGCGTCCCTGTCTCACACTCAATCTGTAGATTAAATTCCCGACCTGAGCATGGAAGATGCGTCTTGGGTACCGAAGGCCAGCTGGATATAAGATCCACTCCAGAGCTTATATGCACGTCCAGATTGTAGCAAGACCAAACTAGCCGTCGTCGCGCTTCTTTTTCGGCCGTGACTAAGGCCATCGGTATTCCAGTCAGACTCTCAGGGGTGGGCTCAGAGTCTAGTCGCAGCAACTGAGCGAGGCGAGAGGCGATTCCGGAAATCGTAAACGCTGTGCTTTCCTGTCCAAAACGAATGTGCCATTCACATAAAAGAACCAGTGCCTATCAGTCATCAGATGGCTGTAATAAATATACCGGATCCAATCAACTGGCTTACCATCAGATTTGACACGCTTGGCTTTCCAAGTTTGATAAATGCAAGCTCCTGTGCCCTTTCGACCCAGCCTGTCCCGAGGTCCTGATTTCCTGTCTGTATTGCCGAGGCTGAAAAATTGTAATATCTGGACCCAAAGGCGCACATTATATAGAGAAGCGCCTCGCCAAATTCTTCCGTGGCTTCGCCATTGTCAATTGCGTGCATGAAAGATGGCTTGTGGATAAAACTTAAACAGCGAAGAGGATGGATGTGCATGAAGTAAGCCTCGACAAGTTGTCGTATTTTATTCGTATCATCTGGAAGGCTCAGAGAGGCCATCCTAATCAAATCAGCCTTTCGCATTTCATAGCTGGCTAGTCCACTCACCACTCATTTTCTCGAGTCACAGGTTGCAATTGCCACGGAGAGGAGGGTGATTTCTGTACCACCTCGCGATCCACCCGACGCCTTTTTACCCGGTCTCCGGAGTACACACAGCCAAGAGCCCTCGAGATACAGCTCTGGCAGCGAGGTTTCTCACGACTACATCGGATTTTGGCGACCTGGCATTCCTGACAAGCACCAACAACCCGTCTCCGACGGCCTGCATGCTGAAAGGCGTCATCGACGATTGAGTGAAGCTCTTGCGATGTCACCTCCTCATCGCCAAGGCCAGGACATTCTAGACGCATGCGACTGCACTGCATGCAGGGACCCTGGGCTTTGTCGCATCTTACCTAGAACGTGTGAGCTATCATAATGGAGTAAGAAAGCGTGAACAAGTCACGTACTTTGCGAGCTTTACATAGAAGGCAGCCTAGTTGAGTTAGAGTACATCCGGATTTCTTGGACAAGATATTTACTAACCTGGGCTCCCTCTTGTTGGTCCAGGCATATTGTGTAGAACGCAGGGTCCGGAGAGGGGGAAATCTGGGGAAATGAGAAGGTGGGACCCACTTGGAGACTGGAGCCAATCAAATCGATGAAACCCCGGGTTGCGATTGTGCCATGACTTGTTGGTATGAGTCTATCCGTCTTACATTATACTTGATCTGTGCAATTTTTAGAGAGGGGTAATGTTTTTATGCGTACTAAGAGAAATCAAACAATCCAGAGCGCTCTATTAGCAATACCGGTCTTTTATCAAGAGGCAGGACATCTATTAAAATGGAAGTCAAACATCATCCTTGTAGTAACTGTTAAAAGCACCCCAACAGGCCGTAACCTCATGGAAACATGCCAAGCATTCACTCAGATGAATACTCCAAAAAGCTCTTCAGAAGAGACTGCTTCATATCGCGATCCTGATCTGTCAACGGACCACTCTTCAGATCATAAACCTCGCCCCAAGCCTTCAGCCAAACAAGATCAACAAGTTCCCACTTAGAATATAGAGGAGGTCTAATGAATCCAAAATTCACAGGTGGCATCTCACGAGCCTCAATCAATTTCTCGCGAATCCCCGGGAGCAGAGCCAACAGATGGTCGAGGTCGTTGACCGCATCATGAAGCGCTGACCAATAGGCTTGGAAGTCAGAGCGGATAGTTCGTATGCGCTCATCGATAAGACATTGCCTAGACATGGTGAAGATGAGCTTCTTCCAGTGGATGAAGCCGCTGTTGGTTTGGTGGCGGTGGTCGCGAGCGAGTAGAAAAATCAGAGCTTCGGCGAGTGCCATAGGCTGAAGGATCTTGACTGGGTAAAGATTCTGCCAATCGACTGACCAGCTGTGATAGTCACTGATATCCATAATATCAGTGCACTTTGCGGAAGAATGGAGGGTGGAATCAGGGAGCCACCAGAGGGTCCTGGACTTGGCAAATAGGGAGATAGTGTCGATTTCAACCACATTTCTCGTGGTCGTTTTCTCAAGTGTGACCCATCCGAGAGTGAAAAGTCTCTGAAGAAATGGAGTGTGGAAATGGGCATCCGGGACTGGGAGGTCTTGATTGGGCTGAATCAATATACAGTTGGGGTCCACGCATACTTTGTGCTGATCGAAAGAATCAAGTTCTCGAACTGCTGTGTCGAGCGAATCGTCAGTAACGACGAATTCAATCGTCCGGGATTCAATTGCCAGGTGCTCCTCATCAATGAACATATCAACTGCCTGTTCTCCCCAGAGAATATTGGGAACTTGGGCACCGTCCAGGATGCTAGAGAAGAAGCCGGCGACTTTTGCTCGCAGGACTTGGCGTCGTCTATACCATGTACCATGAAAAGGAACATTTAAAGTAACAGTCATGGCGGGATAAGAAGAACCTTTAAAACAACTGTCGTATCCGAAAATTTCCTGGAATTAACAGCCCTGCTGCTCTATCTACAAAGTTGATTAAAGGTTGTTGTTGCAGAAAGTGATGTTACGATGCATTATTCGGCCTTTTATATTCGATTCCATGTTGCGTCTCATTCTCTTGCAGATGCCTATGCAAGACAGCCTCTTGTTTGTGTTTCGAGTATTTTTGAGATGCATTCAGGCATTGTTATAAAGTTCGAAGTCAACGAGCCTCCAAAATTTGCCTAAAATAAGAAGCTTTGTTGCGGAATGAACACAGTAAACTCCATGGGCGCGAACTCGGATACCGTTTCAGAAGCACAACGGAGTCGATATAAACAAAGGCTGGAAAGTTTGGTAGAAAGTTTGGTAGCGTACTCAGCTTTATGTGTGTTGAGAAACAAAGGCATTCCGGGTGATTGGGTCATTCTTCGAGGGTTTAATGAAGTCGATAACAAAGCGGGTCATGTCAAAGCCAGCTCTACAAATAGCTTCCGCACAATGGCGAAAGGTTTCCTTCAAATTGAATAAGAAAACCGTCAAGGAAGAAATTTGTAGGGAAGATAACCAGGTCACAGTATGGAACTGAAAGAACAAGAGGTCCTCACACAAGTAGGGAAGAACGAAAGGGCAAAAGGTGATAAGCACGTCCAAAGCTCCTTCAACCAGATTTAAACATTCATTCTTCTTCAAATAACAGCCCCATGGGATATTCACGCTTTCTGTGCGAAATACATGCTTCCGTTGCTTGTCATCGCCAGTAGACTGCATCTGCAGACTCACTGGAAGCTTTTGGCACTAGCTCTGGTCTAGATGCGAAGATTTAGAGAGAATGTCACCTCCCTCTTTAGATTTGAGGAAGTAGATGGTGCGAATAATAAATTTGGAAAGCATACCTGGAGTTGGGCGCACCTAAGCTATACAAGACCGAAAGTACCGTAGACGTGAGTTTGAAGATTACTGTAGTAAGTTTAGACTAAGAGATGGCAGAATATCGTATTTAAAGAATTATCGATGCGATCTTGCTCTAGTCTTTTGCTCGCTGTCCTCAGAAATCTACGTGGACTTCCTAATTAGGCATCCACGCCCATCATCTACAATAAGTAGAGGAAAGCGGGTTATTTTTGGAAATTTGATGGGTCTCTGGCATCCCATATCCAAGGGCCATGGTCAATCTGAGATGTTGCTCGGCGTGGACATTGGCTTTCCAAGTGTGAGGGTGAAAGCCTTTCAAAGCCGCATCGAGCAAGGACAATGCAGCAGATGCTTGAACGCACTGGCTGGATTTATCAATCAGATGCCCTTGGGAACCATCAAGGGGCAGATCATTCTTCAAGATATGACAACTTGGCATCGAGCCAAGCAATGTGCAGCGGCTGTACGTCGAGCCAAAAGTTTTTGACTTCAAGATTGCGGAGTATGCAATTTGAACTGCTCCTAGATTTCATCCCTCATCCTCCTCGCTTTCCTCATCAGAAGTCTCCATACGGCCATTTGGTGCACTTGAATGCAACTGGCTAGTCCGTGGAACATTGTTAGACTGTCTCCGACTCGCCGAGGTAACAGCTCTCTCGCCCACAAACTTATCTCCGGGCCAATCCTCTTTGCACACGGGGCATTTCTCAGCCTGTTGTACTCGGAAGAAGTTGTGCATGCAATGGTCGTGAAGTCGACCTAGGCAATCACGGTCAACACACCGTTGGCCCTGTAAATCGAAGTCAGCTTGTTTCTCAGTATCCTCCAGGCAAGCGATCCTTACCACTGTAATAATTTCCCTGCAAGCAGCACAAAACTTAATATGCTCCACTTTCCGCCCATTCTCTTTGACATAGTTGTATGTATCGCTCAGCCAGCTTCGCAGTTCCATAAGTGCACGGGGTGTCAAGCTGAAATAGTTCTTCTGGCTTTTCTCCAACCAGCCTTCTACAAGAAGGTTCTGCATCATTGTCTCGGCTTGTGTCATTGTCAAGGATTGTGCTGCTCCGCCTTGATTCTGTTGTGATTCGGCGTTTGTCGACCGGCGCAGGTTGGTGTCTGCAGAGGAAACCTTGGCTAAATGGGTAGCTTGGATCGGCGTGATCACCATTCCTTCAATGATCCTTGTATTATTCGTGACAAACATGAAATCAAGAACGCGTTTGACGAAGGCGATCTCGTCGGGGGAATAGGTGGTTGCAAGTTGGGTCAACGCATCGACGTGGACATTTACGAGAGCGTACACTCGCTCGGGTGGGTCTTCGGTTGTATCATGATTAGGATCTTTTGCAATTTGGCGCAGCGAGCTTCTGATTTCGAAGTTGAAGGGAGAGATGGCGGTGTTGGCGGAGGAGATGTAGGAAGAGAAGAGTTCTTGGGTGACATCTTCGGCGTCGACAGTGCGCCCTTCTGCGAGGATATAATGATCAGCATATATTCAAAAGGCTTAGCTGAGCTCCAGGTTAGAGAAACACACCATGCGCTGAAATAATGGCAGCCAGTACTGGCTGCGCTTCATCGAAGGTCATTGACGAGCGGGCCATGAAGGCCTGTAGGAAGGCACGATTGCAGTCATTATAGGTGGAGTTGTCCATGCTACTGATTTGAGGGTCAAGCAGCTTGACTAGGGTTTCCAAATTTGGGTGATATTGTCGAGTTGAGGCCGAGGATAAAGAAGTTGAAAGTGACGCGATTCGACGCGCCACGCGTGGGGCCAAGACTTACCCGCCAACCGAACTATGCGAGTTGAAGAGTCGCTTTCCACTTGGATACTATGCTGATTCAAAACTACAAAGGCCAAAAAATATAAATCATACAATCACAAATCCATTCATTCTACCTAGAGACTGTAAATTATTCTATCGACTCTAATACCTAGAAAATATATTGATATTCAATCTCCTCACGATTGTAGCTTCCTAGCCTTCATCATAATGATGCGCTGACGCGGCAAGGGTTTCCATCGGAAGAGACTTATGTTGACTATTTGGTCGAAGAAATGAAGGAGGATATCATCGCCGCTAACAATGCAGCTGGTCGAATCGGAGAGGAGACTATCGCTGCATTCGTTGCCGAGCCTGTCACGGCTGTTGGAGGGATATTGCTTCGACCGGCGACGTATTTCCCACGGATCAAGGCCACGCTGGACCGACAGGGCATCTTGCTCGTCACCTATTATGTGATCTGCGCGCTTGGGCGTCTCGGACACTGCTTTGGTTACAAGACTACAAACGTTCAGCCAGACACGGTCTCCTTGGCCAAGGGCCTGCAAGCGGGTACAAGCCTATGTCAGCGGTGTTGGTCGGCGAGCGTGTCTAGTCATATTTCGAGCGGCATGAGTCTCAAATTGGCGTCTTAGGCCATGGGTTCACTATGTCCTGACAGGTCATCCGGTAGCTACCGCAGCTGCATTGGCGGACATCGACTTCATCGGGAAGAATAGTCTCCTGGACAGGACCAGCGAGTCCGGTGCCTTCCTGTTACAGAATTTGAAGAACGCTTCACAACACATTACCGTCGTGGTGAATGTGAGAGGGCGAGGGATGCTCATAGGAATGCAGCTGGCCAGGCTGGATGCCAGCGAGGTCTCTTGCAAGTGTCTTGGTCTGGGTTTGATTGGCCGGGCTCTTGTCGGACATAACACGGTTGCGCTGGCTCCACCGTTGATTGTTACCAGGGCCAATGTCCTGACCGTCGTGGAAACGATCCTTCAAGCTCTGTCTAGTAGTCAGCAGTAACTTTAAGCACAAACCACCTTTTCATGATGACCAACGAGGATAACGGGACAATTTGTTTCTTCGCGGAGCTGATAAAGTTAGCAATTTGGGTAAGGTCCTCGGAGAAGAGGCTGAGATGAGGAGCTAAGGCAAATGAATAGCCTTGTCGAGTCTAAGCATACTCAGCCACGCTATTAGTACCAATCTGAGGGTATACGATACAGTGCTCCCCACGTTCTATATATTGGGTGAGCACATTGACTTTGTCTTGTTCGGACGATTCTGTTGAAGAAAAATGATCATGTCAAAAATTGGTAAACTCGCAGGTCTGATATCATGACATAGAATACAATGCTCATCAGCAAAAGATGCAGCCGAAACCCCAACCCCAGGCACTTCGCCACAACAAAGGAAGAGGAATTCGAACCACCCACTGACATCACCTAACGCCAAAGATGGAAAACACGAAGGCACCGAAGAAACACAGAATTTGTGAAAATCACCATCACCTAAAACCTCCGCCGAGTCGGCTCAGGACTGGGGCTGCGGCTAACACTGCGCGCATCCCGACCACGCTCCTTCAACCACTTCTTCGTGCTCAACCGTATCTCCCGATCCAGCTCCGCCGAGGGATTCTTGCGATGAATGAAGTTGCAGAACCCGCCTCGCACACACCCCTCGCCGCTATTCAGTCGACAACACGCTTCTCGGAAATCTGTCACGGGCGATAGTTCACAGTATATGGGTCGCGCGGCGTACCAGCGGGAGTTGAGTGTGTCGCATGCTGTCTGGGCGTCTTCTTCGTATTTGAATCGCGCGTACACGTTGCCGATCAAGTCTGGGTGTGTTAGTCGCGCGACTGGAGATGGAAAGGGACAGGGTTAGGACTTACGATCATTGTTGTTGTCGCAGATGACTAGCTCTTCGAGCTCGCCATACTGGCACAGCTCGCACCATACGTCTTCGTAGAAAGCGTCGAAGTGGTTTTGCAGCTGGCTGGGGTTCATCTTGCTCTTGGGGTCGTAGGCTGGGTTTTGATACATGTTGGGCATGAGAACGGTCTGGGAGTAGGAAGGCTTGACGTGCTTTCGGGAGCAGCGGTCGCCGTGTCGGCATGCGCCGATCTTGTAGTAGAAGGAGCAGTTGACCTTGTCCTGCTCGGTACCGAAGATGGAAGCGAGGTAGTTGGCCATGGTGGGTGATTGTCGGAGATTCTCGTGGACCAACTGGTGAGGGATACGGGTTGAGAGAGGGGGAGGTGATCCGCGCAAGTGAAGCGAGGGAGGCGACGGGTGAAGGATTGGCGAGGAGCGGTCGACTGCTTGGTGATATCGGATGCCTGAAGTTTCTGGAGAGCTCCAGTGGCGCGCTGACTAAAGCCGGGGAGCTGCCATCGGACACGGAATAACTACCATCCGATGTATAGTTGAGGCCCGGATTCACATTGTCATTTCTTGTTTGGTTGAGGCTTTCTCTATGATATATCTCTTTTTGTCTATTTAAGTCCAGTTTATACGCCCCGTCGGCCTCGCAATAAGCCCACTTAACGATCCAAAAGACGTCAGCTAGCTCATTAGTGCTTCGGAGAGCCGTTCGTTTGAACCGCGAGCCCACTAACATCAGCCGACATTTTCTTCGCCAGATCATTCCAGAAATCATCTTTTCAGTACTCGACGCAAGCGAAGTTCCCCACGGTCCATGCCCAGCAGCGATATAAACACCTCCATTCGCAGGAGCTTATACTTCATCTCCCAAAGAAGCATCACTAAGTCTTGCCAACGTGGGAACGCCAATACCTGGGACAAGACGGAAGCATGATCCCTCACGAACAACCTTCAGATCATCTGAGCTGACAACCTCCTTGGTAAACTGGACCAAGCCTGCCAGATCACCCATCAAGCAACTTGCAACATTTTTCAACTTTTTCATATCCGCCGGGTCAAAATGTTGATCAGTATCCTCGGCACGATCAGGAATTTTCATGGTTGCACTATTGAGACCTGCGATGTTGCTTTCGCCTCCTTGTCTTGGGAAGATCTCGGGGCTGTAGTCGCATGATCGAGGGTGTGTGGCGAAGAGTGCGAGACTGCGCCGTTACGGGCATTTGTCTCGTAATCCAGAGTATTCCTTGAGAACCTGAACACAAAGAATACCCTGCCAGGTGCGTGATGTTGAAAGATGCTCGGGTGTGTGGAAATATTTCTCGGAGGATATGCGGTGTCCAGGATCCGGAAATGAGAAACAGATTTGGGGATAGGAGAATTAAATCTTTCTTCGAAGCGAGGGAGATAATTTATACTTTCCGTTGGTTTCTTTGATCACAGCAGTAGCTCTCGCCGGATCGGAAGTCTAAATCCGCGAGAGGTAGCACCACCTATGAAGAGCCGACTCAATCACAAAGGATCCCTGCATGACATCAGCATAGATTCCAACATCGCTCTGCCTGGGTGGATGTTTACAGACGCGGGTCTTTGCCCGAGTTGGATGGTAATCACAGCCCGTGCGCTGTTTGTGGGATTTGTATGTACAGTATGGAACTTCCAATCATTGAGTATTGTATAGTAGAAGACACATTAGAAACATTGAACGCCAGTTTCTTTCATGATTCGGCTTTAACTATGCAAATAGATATGTTCTGGAGCTTGAACAACATGACGTCTGCAGCGCCGAGGCCCCGCGAGGTATTATTAAGCCCCGCACCTAACACCTCCGGAGCTTAAGCTCCAGTTCTTCCGTTCATACTGAGCCTTGCAATTAGCAACTGATCTCCGTGCATTGGAACTTGAAAAGGTATGTTCATGCTCTACTCAATGCCTCGGCCATTTGCTCTTCTTAGTAGGACTTCGCGTATAGCGCAGAGGCTTGATATCAACGGCCTCGAGCAAAGAACTGGCTCTCTTGAACCACGACCAAGCCCACCTTTGGATCACTGCAAACACACCAAATACCTTAAGATACCTGTCTGACCAACTCTGCAGCATCTAATATGGCAGCCAAGACCATCATCGTCACTGGTGCCTCTCGTGGTAAGAAGTCACCAGGCCTTCATCGTAATCCAAGCTCACAGTCATCCCAGGAATTGGCCTCGCAATCGCCAAGTATCTTCTCTCAGCACCGCAATCCCACAATGTCGTGGTGGTGGCCCGCAGCGTCGAGCCTCTCCAGAAGCTCAAGGAGCAGTACAGCAAACAAGTCGAGGTGGTGAACGGCGACCTGGCAGACTTCTCCCTCGCCCAGAAGGTAGTCGACACCGCTATCAAGACCTTCGGACAGCTCGACGGAATGGTCTTGAATCATGGCATCCTCGGCCAAGTCGGCAACATCGCCACAGCCGATCTGAAGGAGTGGCAGCAAGGATTTGATGTCAACTTTATCAGCTTGGTTGCGTTCGTACGTCGCCCAATTCAACATTCAGATCTCTACCAAAAAAAACCCCCCGGGCTAACAAGAATCAACAGACCAAGGCAGCTCTGCCGGCTCTCCGCCAGACCAAGGGAAAAATCATTTTCACATCATCCGGCGCCGCCGTGACTGGCTACCGCGCATGGGGCCTTTACGGAGCCACCAAAGCAGCGATGAACAGCTTCGCTTCGTGCCTGGGCAACGAGGAGCCCGAGGTTACCTCTGTGTCCATCCGGCCCGGCATGGTCGACACGGACATGCAGCGCGAGCTTCGCAACGTCCACGGCGCAAACATGGACTCGGAAACTCACTCCAAATTCACCAATGTGCACAAGGACGGCAAACTCCTGCAGCCCGAGCAGCCGGGGCATGTCATGGCAAAGCTGGTGCTAGAGGCGCCGAAGGAGCTGAGCGGCAAGTTTTTATCGTACGTTTCTCTAAATTTGTACCCTACGATTCGGATGCTAACAAGATATAGGTGGAACGATAAGGAGCTTGAAGTTTTCCAGTAGAAATTTTCCAATAGATTTAAATTTTTCATTGATATATACGAATGGAGACTGTACAGCAATCAGTATGAATGCCACAAAATGTCATGAGTGTAAATTTTCAATTGACAATTGTAGTCAGCCGAAAGATGAAAAGCATTACATATTATAAGCATTAGGTGCAGAACACCTTCATGTTTAGCATGGAATGTAGGGTGTTCATCATACAAAGAGGGTATTGTGGTTGTGAGCAAGGACTCCGTACCTAACGAATTTTTTGTGTCGGGGGTGTCAATTTTCGAGATCGTTGTAGAAAACAGTTCTAGAAATCTTCAGGAAGTTAGCAAATGCGTTCAACTTCGAGATCATATTCAATGCGAGCAGTGAAAATAAGTTCAGTTGGTCCGTTTGGCTAGGACAGGTATGGTCACCATGGTTTTGTATGATAGGGGCGACAACAAGGTTCATCATGTAGAGAGCAAGAAAAAAGCAAAAGGGATATGAGCTTACCATTAGTGACAATCCTCGGGTTGAATCAAAATCAAATCCATCCCGAGGAAAGTGGGAGTCGAAGACTTTGCAAGATGATGAAGAAAGAAGAAGTAACGAAAAAAATCTCGCGGATTAAAAGTAACGGAGGGCGGTGGGTTTTGCGGTTTTCTGCCGGCAGGGAAATTTACGCCGCAGTCCGCGACGGAGACCTGCTCTGCCTTGATGTGACCCACGCGAATCTTTGGAACATTCACTGGCTTTTTTCGCTTATTCTTACTGCTTAAGCTGCTATTCTTGCCGCTGTTACTATTTCGCTTGAAGTCATGTCAGACAGAGAGTTTAGTTGTGAGTTTTCCCCTCAAACTTGGCACGCCACGCGCATTTGCTGACATGTTTCCATTGAACTAGCGAACGACGACCTGTCGCTTCCTAAAGGTATGCCCAAATTATTTGCATTTTCTACACCATTTATTTGGGAAGCACCCCCCCCCAGCGATCTCGTAAATGACACAGACATTTCACGGAACCCCACAGGTGGACCCGCGCGTTTGAAGGCATTCACTGATCTTGTTTGAATAGCGACGGTCCAAAAAATCATTACCGAGATCCTCCCTCCCTCGTCAGGACAAACATTTTCCAAAGATGCGCGCGATCTCCTCATGGAGTGCTGCGTGGAGTTCATCACCTTGATTTCCTCCGAAGCCAACGACATCAGCGAGAAAGAAGCTAAGAAGACCATTGCCTGCGAGCACGTTGAGAAGGCACTACGCGACCTGGGCTTCGCCGATTATATCCCCGATGTCCTGGCCGTTGCCGAAGACCACAAAGAGCAGCTGAAGGTGGGTTCCATCGCGTCCCGGTGTAGAGAGAAGCCAGCTAACGTGGGTTTGAACTAGTCTCGGGAGAAGAAACAGAGCAAGATGGAGCAAAGTGGACTCTCGGAGGAGGAACTTCTTCGGCAACAGCAGGAGCTCTTCAGGTCTGCTACTGAGAAGTACAACCAGGGCCCTGAATAGCGGCCCGATGAGATCTCATGCTGGTCATAGAGAAAAAGAACGCCGGGCGTTTCGCGTGTTTCTCAGGGGTCCTGGATTGGAGTTTGGACGGTATTTCTTGATTTATGAGCTCAGCGATGGATGTCGATATATCTAATGAATGATAATGACGTGCCTGACATCCTATACATCGATTGATACAATTATAAGTTTATTTCTCTAAGGCTTTTACCTGCGGGAAGTCCTCGAAGATTCCAAGGTCATGTCAAGAAAATCTTTCCAAGTGTATTATACACTTCCAATGGCTGTATGGCCAGATGCCGTAGCTGAGGCGATCTGATTCCAGTCTTAAGGCAGCTTCACTCGCGGTGCCTCAGGCAGCTTCCAGCATTAGTATTGTCAGATGTTAAATCTTGGTCCCCATTGTAGCGGCCTTCGAAAGTCCATTTCTTGAGAAACGATTCACCAAAATTCACAACCATATGTCGAAACCAGAAGATGTGAATTTCACGATTTTCACTTGATTTTTTTCTCACGAATGTTTCCTGCAACCTCATTTGCTCCACATCGACTTCCAATCCAGTCCCGTGACCACTGCCAAGAATTTATTGGCACTAAACCAAAATGAGAAGGCGCCCGGTCACTCGAGGTCGCAAAGCCGCTGCGGCTCGCGAAGCTCCCATTTATCCTGATCGTGAATTGACCAACATGCCGCCGTTCAAGGATGAGCACGTCCTGGTATGTCAGACCTCACCATGGATCTTCACTGGGAGTTTTCGCTAACCTTTCCAGTTAATTGCGCCGGGCTCGCAAATGACCCTGGCGCAGCTGGGTCTCCCCGAAACATTCACGCCCGCGCGATTTCGCTTCCCCACGCGCATGTTCCCCGCTCAAAAGGAGGGAGAATACGAACCTTACCGGATTCGTGAACGGAGAAATGAAGTCAAGGTTGGCAATGGCAATGGCGCGCCCAAATCGACTCCAAAGGAGGATGTTGAGATGAAAGATGTGGAGTCTGCTGGTCAGGATGCCGCGCCCAAGCCTGAAGGCGAGGGTGCCGAAGGGACTGAGAAGACCGAGGAGAAGACTCAAGTTGTTGAGGAAATTCTCTACGAGGAGGATGTCACCACTGAAGAAGGAGCGGTCTATCCGATTCAGGATGGGCGCATCGTCGACTGGCCCTGCTTCTATGCTCTGTTGACTCACATTTATAATGCTCTGAGCCCACCTTTCCACACCCCTATTCTCATGATTGCCCAGCCTGTGTGGTCTGCGCGTGATCGCGAGGCTATCACTCAATTCGTCTTCGAGAAGTTCAAGGTGCCTGGCTTCAGCCTTATGGACTCTGCACTTGCTGCATGCTACGGCTATGGTGTACAGACAGCGACAGTCGTGGATGTCGGTAAGGGCAAGGTTGATGTGACTGCGGTTACGGATTTCGCAGTCAACGAGCACGGCCGAGGCATTGCACTGCAAGGGTGTGGCGGCGACGCCATGACCGATCGCCTTCTTGAAATGCTTGGTCCCAGGGGATTCACTAGGGAGATGTGCGAGCAGCTTAAGCGTAGCAACATCACTGAAATTGTGCCACCGGGCACTCCTCTGCCCGGCGCAGCTGTTACTGCGCGCCAGGGTGTCAACCCCGCCACTGCTGCCACTACCGGAGCGGACGGGAACGACTCTGCCCCGCGCGGGCCTGGTGAGGGTACTCAGACTGGTACTGAGACCAACGGAGAGGAGGACGAGGGCGTCCTTGACGTGGCAGCGATTGTCAGCGGCAATACTACCGAGTACCTTGCCAATATGGAGAAGGACAAGTCGGCCAAGAAGGGCGGTGCTGCTGACCCCAGGTCTAAACTCCCAAATAACAAGAAGGAGAAGGCCGCTTTCCAATTCGAGGAGTTTGTTCCAATGGAGGAGGAGAGCGCAGTTGGCGGCGCCAAGCGCTACATGCGTCACAACCGGGAGATCGAGGTTGGCGCTGAGCGTTTTCTTTTGACATCACCTAGCCAGCAGATCGGAGACCGTCTGTCCAGTGGCATTCTGGAGGACATCGCAACTCAAATTCACCACACCATCCTGGCTGTGCCGGATGCCACTAAGCGCAGTGAGCTTTGGGACTCCCTGATAATTGTCGGATGTGGCAGCAAAGTTCGAGGTATGTCCATCCCTATCTATTCGTCGAGCGTATAGCTAACTCTTCTACAGGCTTCACTCAGGCTCTCCTTGGCGTCATCACGCAAAAATTCATTCTCTCCCCATCTGCGACCATCTTCACGTCTGAAATTCCGTCCGCCTTCACCACTCCTCTCCCCACCGGCGGTACCAACACTCCCGCCACTATGGGCCAGCCCGGGCCGTTGTACCACCCGGCCGCTCACGGCGTGAACCCTCTCCTCGTGGCCGCTACCCACAATAACCCCGGCATGGTTGCACCAGGCACCCCAGGCATGGATCCCAATGGCACAACCCACTACCGCTCCAGTGGCCATTCTCAGACTCCGACATCCGCCAAGACCCTCCGGCTGCCCGAGTACTTCGCCGACTTCAAAGACCAGGGTAACAGCAACGCCCCTGGAGCCAGCGTGGGCCCATCCGGAGCCTCGCAGGGTGGCCACGGTACCGAGGAAGCCTGTTTCCTCGGCGCCCAGATGGCTGCCAAGGTCTTTTTTGTGCTCGACCAAGGCTTGACCAAGGGCTACATGAGCCGTGTCGAGTACAACGATAATGGACCGTCGGCCATCCACGAGTACATCCTATGAGAGCGGGATGATGGTTCTACGATTCAGCGCACGTATTCTACTTTTGAAAAGATTTCATTTGGGCGATGGGGTTGATTTTGTTTCTAATGCCTTTTTTTTTGTATGCCATGATGCCTAGAAAAGGGACTCTGGTGCAGGTGAGGAGTTTGGCTCGTATTCTTGCCTTGGATTTTAAATACAACTGATATTCAGTTCCATTCTATTTGCCTACAAGCGTAATCTTCGTCATGTACAGTAATATTCGAAAGCAGATTTACCTCCAATTTCTCTCTCTTTAATTCCCAAGGCCCCAACTGGGTTGCGCTAGTCCATATTAAGCAAACTTTCCGCCACCTTGCATCTGCCGATGTACCGTCAATGAGTGAGCGTATAGTACAATACGACACCATTTGCTTATCTTTCTCTAGTAGTCAGAAACTAACGCAGTTTTGCTTATAAAATATCAGTATTTGGGTACGGAAGTAGGTAGTGATAGGCAGAGGCATAGACAATTCGATTGGTATTGCTCCAAAATGTTATGACATACAGGGAGGCCTTGTTCATACAACTCTTTCCCAAACTAAGCCCTAAGAACCAGAGGCTGTATCTGAAAGCCGAGACTCAACTTCCGACCTCACAGGCTCCCTCAAGATCCAGCCTCCTAGAAAAAGCAAGGTCGGAATTGACGATACGCCAGCCAGCAATCCTAACGCCCAGCCCATAGTTCCCCAACTAGCCTGCTGACGAATAAAGCCAGCGAAGAACGGCCCGATAAGGTACCCAGTGGCAGCTCCCATGTTGGATAGACCAAAAGCCAGAGCCATAGCTCCACCGCGACCAAATATTCCAGGGGTTTGATCCTCATTTTGTTTCACGGCATAGAAAACCTCCGCATATAGAGGGGGAATTGCCACAGAAAAGCAGAGGCCGAGCAGAGCGAGCAGAGCACACAGCAGAATCTTGTGACGCATGGAATTCTCTGTGATAAGCCGTAGAAGAACCATTACGGGCACGGAAAATAAGAATGCCCCGGCGGTAATGTAGCGACAAGCACGCGGGAACTTATCGATGACCAATCCGGTTACTGGGCATAGCACATGTGGTACCATGAGTGGGATGAATATCAAACCCTGGCCACTTTGCTGCCATCCGAATATCCCTTGCACGAATAGTGGTAGGACACTGTCAAACGAGGCCAGAACTAGCGTAATAATGAAATTGCCCCAGAGGGACACGATAAGACGGGGTGAGCTTAAGAGAAAAGCGACGCGCCCTAGCGCATTTCGTGAAGAAGGATCTGTTTGGGGGCCTCCATTATGATAGGAATCACTAGAAGACAGCAGACTTGATGGGTTCTCTCCTGCTCTTTTTTCCGTCGCTTCCTGCTCAGTTGTGAGCGGCCTTGTCTCTGGCACAAGCCACTTGATCGCATGTTTTCTCTCGATTAGCATCAACCGAAGGAAGATATCAAGCCCGATAAATCCAAAGGCAAGACCAAAGACTGCATAGTATCCGCCATATTGATAAAGAACACCACCGAGAAGAGGCCCAGCCACTGTTCCGAAGCTAACAGCCATTGACACATAGCCAACAGCTTGACCAAATCCGTCTTTACCAACGGTATCAACCATGAGCGCCATTCCAACCGCCCAAACCACTGCGGCCGCAGCACCCTGAAATATCCGACCAGCAATCCAAAGACCGATATTTGTGCCGGCACATAGCAAGGCCGTCGCTACGCCCAGCGCAACCAGGCCAAGTAGATAAAGACATCGACGAGATTCTGATCGATCGGCAATATACCCGAAAATAGGTGAGAAGGCCAACAGAGCAGCCGCGTTTAAAGCCAGAAGAATCGAAGCCCAGGCTTGGACACTTCCCTTAGAAAGCCCTACTCTAATTTGGAGCGCAGTGGGCGTGACTGGCACGATCAGGCCATACATGAAGACATCCGTCGCAGCAGCGAACGACACCACAACTATAATAAAGCACCGCGAAGACCGTAGCACCACAAGCTTTGGTTGTGTAGACTCTTGATCCTCGTATCGAGATCCAGGCCATTTCCAAGATCCCATCGCAGTGATGGGTGTTATGAATTGAGAAAGGTACAAGGTGCGGGTGAGATCGACGCAAACATCCCTTGCTTGTAAAGAGGCATGCAATGAACAAAGAAAACGTCTTTCGGAGAACTGAAGGCTTGAACAAAGTAATTAAGAGTGTAAGTGCACTGCGTGTCTTTGGAGGATTGCTTAAACTTGGGGCATGTAACGCTATCATGAAAGCTTTTCCACCGTGACTAATGTAAGCCAACAAGTAAGGTAACTATGAGGACGAATCACCGCGAGTCACTAAGAGTCATATTGAATGACTATGTATTTTACCCAATCGGGAGCCCGCTTGCTTGGCATCTCTTGCTCACAGCCACTGCGGAATATGTCATTCTGGGAATCGTACTGTATTATATATAACGTAATTTACGCCGACTTATGAAGGGTACATTGATAGATGCAAGATGGGCGGGATTGTATCCTAATATGGACTAGTGTATCTCATGTGGGGCCTTGGGAAATAAAGAGAGAGAAATTGGAGGTAAATCTGATTTCGGATATCACTGTAGCGAATGTGTACTAATACCCACGCCTGTGATAACATGGCTGAATAATATATATTTTGGTCACGTGCTTTGTGGGTCCTTATCGTCCCCGTTGCCGCATCTTTCGCCGTGATCTCGACTCACCTTCACTTCACCTTCCTTACGACTTTCTACACCACCACAATCCCTAACAACCTTATATTATCGCACAAAATGCCTCGCGCCGAAGCAGGCACCACAAAGGCCATCGGAAACAGGATCAAATCCAAAGGCCTCGGCCGATTGCGATGGTACTGTCAAGCATGCGAGCGGCAAATGCGAGACGAGAACGGTAAGTCCAGTCCAGCCCTGCAAACTTTCGCACTTACTCATCCCATGCAGGCTTCAAATGCCACGTTGCTAGCGAAAGCCACGTACGCCAAATGCTCATCATCGGCGAGGACGCCCGCAAACACATCCAGGATTTCAGCAAGGACTTCCAGAAGAACTTCGTCGAACTGCTGCGGACCACGCACGGCGAGAAGAAGGTACACATGAATCACTTCTATCAGCAAGTTATCGCGGATAAAGAACATGTAAGTTGTCTCCTCCCCGGGCGCACGGCGCACGGCGCAAACTAACGATTTCACAGATTCACATGAACGCGACCCAATGGAAGAACTTATCACAGTTCGCTGCGCATCTTGGAAGAGAAGGAATTTGTCGAGTCGAGGAGACGGAGAAGGGATTGTTCGTCTCATGGATCGATAACAGTCCGGAAACGATGCGCAAGCGCGAAGCGGTCATGAAGAAAGAACGTCAGGATAAGGGTGACGAGGAGCGGGAACAACGCGCGATCAAAGAGCAGATTCAGCGTGCGCAGGCCATGGCCAAGGTACAAGAAGAGGAGAATCCCGAAAATAAAATGCTGCAGCGCGAAGAAGGCGAGAAGGTCACATTGAACTTTGGGTTTGCAGCGAAGCCGAAGACAGATACAAAACCCGCTTCACCGTCGGCTGAGTCCGAGACAAAAGAAAAGGAATCACCCGAAAGGATAGATGCACCAGCACCAGCCGAGCCCGCCCTGGCAGCACCTAAGATCTCAATGTCTTTCGGCGCCCAGAAACCGAAGAACGTGTTCGCATCAGCGGCTAAGAAGAACCCTCTTGCTGGAAAGAGGGGGCCTGTCATGGCTCCTCAGAAGAAGATGACGGAGCAGGAGAGGATCATGAAGGCTGAGATGGAGGCTAATGAGCGGAAGCGGTCGAGGCCGGATTCCGGGTTTCATAATAAGCGGCCGAAGATCTCGTTGAAGTGAACTGCACTGTTATGTGTATGATAGCATGCTCTTCTTTTGTCATTTTATACCCCTATGCCACCAGGCTGTTAGAATATGGAAGTTTGTTCATGTAATATGCTTGCTCTTGATCGATATTCAGTAGACTGCTAAGTTATTGAAAATTTTAAGGAACCGTAGTTAGTCCTTGGGCCAGCGATTGTAGTTGGTAAACAAATTCTCTGGCCTTTGCTAATATAGACTTTTTCAATTACATTTTACTCTTGTCATAGTTATATTGCTCATACCACCTTAGTACTCCGAGCTTCGGGGTTGGAACACGGGACATATTACTGGCGCGTTATTTGGTTAATCAATCAATTCATGGATCCAGTGACCTGACCTCTCGGTTCTGATACATACCTATGTGAATGGCTGGGTCTTTCTGAAGTTATTGAGAGTATTCGGAGCCATCTGAGCATTATATATTCATAGCAACCAACCTCTCACTAAGTAAACCACAACAAAAATTTGAAGCCAAAACAAGGTTCAAAATACATCATAAAGCGTACCACCGGGCCCTCATGATTCTGCTCTCAAATTCAACGCAAAAACCCTCTAGTTTAACATAAATCAACGAACCTACACTCTCATTCTACACATTTTACCGCCCACAACCAAGAATGGCCCTAACAACAGCAACGGCCCCACAGCTCTCAATAGACAAATCTTCTTAGAGAGCTAAAAATATCTCAAGCAATACATGAACAGCCCGGGTGGTCTAGTGGTATGATTCGCGCTTAGGGTTCGACCTAAGCACTCCTGCGCGAGGTCCCGCGTTCGATCCGCGGCTCGGGCCTGTTATCTTTTTGCTTTTTGGCCATATTGCCTCCCTCATGCATGAGGCATTCATTTTATTGGCAAATTTCTTTTTAAGTGCGACTGATGGATGGCGCGAGTGTAAGGTGTGTAGGAGGGTTGGGGAGTTTCCCTAGGGGTGGCGGTCATGCCTTCGTTTCATTCCTGAGCCCGATTCTAATTTATTTGAGTTTGTTCCCCGTCACGCAAGGAAAAGACTATCGGGATTCGGGTAGAAGCTCGAATCCCATTCCCGGTCATATTGTCAGTGAGTAAATACCATCTCAGGAGTCCGGGTATACGTAAAAATCCCCGGTATTATCTCATGCCACCTTAACCTGTCACCTGTAACCATGGGTATTGCGTCGAATGCTCTCTATTTTGCTGTTCATCCGAATCAGATTGGAGTGCTAGTTCAATGGTAAGTCTACATCCGCATCTCTTTGCTGACGTATGCTTATCATTCCTCCAGGAAACTACGCAATGGCCCTATACACAAGAGGGACGAAACACAAGAGTCGGCAACAGCCAAAATCTGCTTCGACTTCTTGCATCAGACAGGTCGTAGCTTCAGTCCCGTCATCAAAGAGCTACACCCAGAGCTACTCTTGCCCGTATGCGTGTTCTACCTGACACTGCGTGGCCTCGATACGATCGAAGACGACACCTCCATTCCCCTCGATGCAAAGGAGCCGCTCCTTCGAAACTTCAAAAACCACCTAGACCAGGATGGCTGGACATTCACCGGCAATCGCCAGGAAGAAAAGGATCGTGAGCTATTGGTACAATTTGACAGTGTTATTGTTGAATACAGGAAATTGAAACAACCCTACCAAGCGGTGATTAAGAATACCACAGACAAAATGGGCAATGGTATGGCCGATTTTGCGAGGAAAGCGGCTTTCGGGGACGTCAGCGTGAGTACCGTGGAAGAGTACGATCTTTATTGCTGGCATGTAGCCGGGATAGTTGGCGAGGGCCTGACCTACCTCTTCGTCGAGGCCGAGTTGGCCGATGCAACCCTGATCAATCATTCGCTGTATAGATCAATGGGTCTTCTCTTGCAAAAGAACAACATTACCCGCGATATCCGTGAAGATTTTGACGACGGTCGCCGGTTCTGGCCCAGAGAGATTTGGTCCAAGCATGTCGATAACTTCGAAGACTTGTTCGACTCTAAATATACCGAGAATGCCTTGAACTGCAGCTCCGAGATGGTCTTGAATGCCCTGGGACATGCGTGCGATTGTTTGTTGTATCTTGCGGGCTTGCGCGAGCAGAGTGTGTTCAATTTCTGTGCGATTCCCCAGACCATGGCTTTGGCTACACTGGAGTTGTGTTTCCGGAACCGGGCCATGTTTAAAGGGAATGTCAAGATCACGAAGGGAGATGCGTTGCAGTTGATGCTTGAGTCAAGTCAGGACCTCGAGAGTGTGGCGAAGGTCTTTTGTCATTATGTTCGTCGAATTCAACAAAAAAATGACACCAAAGACCCGAATTTCTTGAAGATTAGTATTGCATGTGAAGAGGTTGGTGCTTCATAATTGATGATGGGGTGTTGACCGTTGCTAATTTGATTAGATCGAGAAGTTTGCCGAGACTCTGATGCCAAAGAGTGTTGGACTTGCTAAAGGGAAAGGGCATCAGATTGGGTCTACTACAGGACAAGTGGTCGCCACTTTGGTCGTTGCCTCGGTCTTTGTACTGGGATTTTCCTGGTTCATAGCTCATAGAAGACCAATTTAATCTTGCTTGAGCTTCTACCAGGCAAACACTGGAAGATAGAAGTGGGCGAGGATTTGGCAGGCTGGGCACGATTTTCGCTGGTTCGTGGCTGTTTGGCTCGTCGATACTGTGGGTTGTATACTTCTACGGACAGAGACGGAGAAAAGAGCGAGACAGCAAGGCCTAAAAAGTGTAGAGAGTCATTCATGTCACGTTTCAGTAAAGATGTCAAGCTAGATCAATCCTGAATTCATTGACACTCTGCTGCGGGCACGGGAAGCCCGTTGTGCCAGACCACATTTCGTTTCTGTTTCCGCATCTCCTCAACAGCCCTTTGCTTTCGCAAGTCCCGAGCTTGCTGATCTGTCAAAAGGACGAAGTCGTAGGTAAGCAAGGGAGTATTCATCTCGACATCATACTTGGATGCCATTGCCGGGTCTGTCACCTTGGACAAGTCGACGATCAAAGACTCTTTAACTCCAAATACTGGGTCTGAACTCTCGTATGGATCACCGCGAGGATATAGAGCCCTTCCAAACTGTTAGTCTTTTCTTGATTCGCAGAGAGAATGCACTCACGTTATCAATAGGTCATATCCAGGCTTATCAAGCATGAAATGTACATGTCCAGGACGATTCGGATGGCGCCCAAGTGCCTGAAGCATCTTACCCACAGGACCGTCCATTGGGATAGGGTAAGGAACTGGCACAATGGCTTTGAAAAAGAAATTGCCCTCTTCATCAGAACGCAACACCCCTCGTCCATCGGGTCCCGTCCTATTCGGATCCTGCACATCGTAGAAGCCTTTGGAGTCCCCTTCCCAGACATCAATCTTGACATCTGAGATATAGTTTCCATCTGTATCTCTAATCGTACAAACAACGAGTAATTGCGTCGCATCGGGATCGTTATGTAGAACGGCTCCGTTGTCTTTCTCCTTTGCGTCGTGCGTGTGAAAAGGCCCCAGAACAGTTCCCTCAGTCGCAGGCTCGTGTCGCGGATGATTAATCGAGTCAACGAGCAGGCTCACTCCCAGTGTATCGGAAAGAAGAATCATTTCGTGCCGTAGATCGTTGCTGATCTGGCCGATTTCAGTCAGGAATTGAATACCCGCTTCCCACTCTTCAGTGGAAAGTCTCGTCTCGTGACAGAATTCGTGAAGATGGGTGACGATGCGTTCAAGAAGATAGCGGAGACGTGGATCGCGACATTGTGAGTTGACAATATGTACGTTTTCGGTGATGTTTTCCGTCGTCAGGTCTTTCATTGGGGGGATAGCTGTTGATGGGGGCTCGCAGCGATTCATCTTGAGAAAATGTGAATGGACTAGAGATAGAATGCAGAGAAGTCGAGGGAAAAACAATATTATGACTTAATATTGGGAAAGATAACGACCCCACAAGATGTACGTCAAGCTGAGATCGCCCCATGTGGGATTCACGGGGCGGTTTTCAACCCCACATTCCAAGGTTGTGGTGAAGCATAGAAAGGAAAAGTCAACAAAATTCCAAAAAGTGACTTGTTTAATTTATTTTTAGCCCAGATTGACCAGAATTACTTGTAAAGCAAATTTGTTTAAATTGAAACCAAGAGTTACAGCGTTGAATAGATTCAGACGACGTTGATCAAGATGCCTTGGTGGGCCCGCGATTGCCAATGTGAGCTTCCTGGTAGGATCGCTTTTCTCTTCATAATACTAGGTTAAATTTCAATCTTGTAAAGCAATAAAAGTGAAAAAAATAGTTTATTAAAGCTACTGTGAGAATTTGAGAAGATATCAAGTGGAAAATAGCGGGAGATACCGCATTCGCTAGTCCAATCGCAACATAAGATTGCATTTCCTTGCTTCGCGTTGTGCTGATCAGATATAGAGGGTGGGTTTCTCATGGCTTTGATACTGGCAAGGATGAACAGTCCGCGAAGTCTAAAGTTCTCAGGGGGGTGGGGTTAAAAAATGTCCCAGGAAAATTTGCACTAAAAATATGCTATGTGGGGAGGGATGCTTGCCACACACCAAAAAAAAAGAAAAAAGAAACTCTCCCTCGGGGAATCGAACCCCGGTCTCCCGCGCTTATCGGTGTTAATGACAAGCGGAAATCATGACCACTAGACCAAGGAAGATGAGATGGCTGAGTTACTGCTCGGCCACTTGGGTGGTTGATAAAGTAACACGGGCGGTTTGTGCTTCTTGATGCCACCGGAAGGTTCTTAAAATTAAAATGATTGAAAAATGAGATAAATGGTCATGGAGATAATGAATACTCCGGTCTAATAAAATTCTGCATCAGGAGAGACCCAACAGGATGTTCGAAATGAGATTCGTCAAAATAGAGAGTCGAATTTATCAACTAGTCAACGTTAGCGTGCATAGTAGTGGCGCGGGCCGCATGATGTCCAAGCACCTGAACAACAGCATGTTCAATCATGCAAGCCTGGGGATTTCCGAAGATTACATGATCGTTCAAAGATGCATAAACGCAGGCAGAGTATATCACATTGCTAAAGGTTGAACTTGTTTCAAAAATAGTAGCTGTTCTTGTGCAAGGAAGCATTGAGACCTTGGAAGCCTTTGAAGGAGAGTATAGTCAGTCAAATTTGCGGGCTCTTGATGATCCATTTCGATCAAAATTTGAACCCTACAGCGTACTTTAGCCTTGAGGAGGCTCTAGGATATAACTCAATATCTAACTCCAATTTTCGAACAAATTGAACATAGAGATTTATATGACTTGCCATCAATATGAGGCTCAAGAAACTAATATCGAATCTGTCTTGCACACTGATCGTACAAAGTAGCCTCTCTTAATCTCCTTTATTTCTTCATCTCCTCCATCGGTAAACCTATTCAAGTAGTCTGACTATCGTTCTACCTCCGAATCCTCCGAGGTTCAATCTCAGTTAGGCCGCCACGACCGATACCTCCGAATATTGAGAAACAACCCCCTGAAGCGGACCTGCCGATGTTCGACGAAGCCCGAAATCTAAAAAGGCAACGACAGTTCGGTGAATAATCTCAAATGCCCTGAACCCATTTAAGGTTCCAAGCATAGCTTGAGCGGCAGGAAACTTCTGCACAGGCAGTCCTAGGAGCTTCACTAGAAGAGGCAAATCGGAGAATGCGTAATGCTGAGACTGGGATAATTCCAACTCTAACTTCCACCCCTGCAGATTCGACCAAAACTCCGCCCAAGATGAATCCGTCGCCTGAGTTTTGTTTTCATGTCCGAACAGGAGGAATGGTCCCCGAACTCCCTTTTGAAGGACTGGCCCGAACATTGACCCGTCCAGATTTGCTCCAGTAACGATCCGGCGGTCCAGATGCATAGCGGCGGCGGTGGCTGCACCCCCGAGCGAGTGACCGTACATCGCAACTCGCCGGGTATCCAGACCTCCAGGCCGCCCTCCAGGGAGTAGCGCTGCTGCTCCCGTCTTTGTGCTAAGCTGATTCAGCACAAACATAATATCCCGCGCTCGGGTGTCGACATCTAGCGGAATCTGCTCGTCGCTGATGTTTGCGGCAGTCACGATGGTTCCATCCGGAAACTCCAAGAATTCGGTATCAAATGGATGATCGACAGACACCACAATATATCCAGCGCTGGCCACAGATTGTGCAATTGCACTGTAGAACAGCCGCGTCGTGCCAAGGGCAGGTGAGAAAACCACTACTGGAAATTGGTTGTGATGCTCTTTTGGAGGCTCTGGGCACGTTTGGAGATATATGGACTGAAATGATCCATTGGGTAGCCCATATGTGCTGTATAGGTTGGAGTAGTATTGGGCCGTGGCGGCAGGCAAGTAATCTATCTCCTTGAGATCAACTCTGCAGTCTGTGGGGGCAAATATCGAAGTCATAACAGCACGCTTTCCGTGTTTAGGATCAAACGGATCGAGTCTGGTGTTGTCAATCATTTTTGCTGTGTTGTAAAACACATCGTATGGACCGGTTGGGGCGGGAACCACCACTGCAGTGACAAACATGGCCACCAGGGGTAGCAGGCAAATAATATGAAGTATCATAATACAATAAAATTGAAACAAATTTCTCAAAATCTTGTAAAGGTGGATGTTGTAAGATTCCAAGTTCAAAAGTGCGAGAAACAGACTTTAATATACATCCCGGTGGAGTGATAGAGCATCTACAAGCAAAACCTCCATGAGAACTTCCAAGAACGAGATCCTCTCCGAATAAATGACTTTCCCCAAAAGGAAATCATCGCGCGTCGGCTTACAAGATGTTGTCCGTCACGATCAACCAGGTGGATCCTGTCTCGCCCGATTACTTCCTAATTAAGTTTAGCGCTACATATATTGCAGCCTGCCGGATCAGGACTGGATCGAGCATATCCATTTTCATCGTAGCGTAATCATACGCTCGCTTTGGGTGTTTCCTGAAGAGTTTCTCATTATGTCCACATTAACAAAGTTGCAGAGGAGAACGGTCGGCCCTTTGGACAAGCGGAGGCGGGTGACGCGCTGCCTCGGCTGCGCGAAACGACGCATCAAGGTTTGGCGAAACTCCGTTTTCTCGAGCTTCGTGAAGCTAAATTTTGGAAGTGCGAAGGGGGGGCCCCATGTGCTCACTGCACTCGACAGAACACGATGTGTGTTCCTCAAAAGCAATCGGAACGCGGTGTGTCCATTTTTGTCAACCAAACCCGACAGGGTGATCTTGGCGGATGCCACAAAACATCCGATCAGAAGAAAATGGCTATTACCAATAAGCGCAATTCGGGGAATGACCAGATTCATTCAATAGGGAGAGATAGGGGTACCCGCCTTCTTGATTATTTTGTCTCTTTCATTCAGCAGAACTTGTTCACTATGAGCTTCTCATCAATAGTTCCGGAACTACTGCCTCTAATTTCGACATCTCCGCTCCTGTACCATGCAGTGATAGCGGTTGGTGGCTTGGATGCGAACCGACATAGTGCAGGACGTGCATTACAGGGAGAGAAGCCCCCTTATGTGGATGCCATGACTTCTTACCGTACGTCAATGAGTATTTTGCGTTCTTGTCTGGGAGAAATAAATGTGGTGCAGAGAGAGGACGTGCTTTGGGCCACGTTCTTCTTGGGACTCTTCGAGGTATGATATTTGTCTGAAGCAATATCTTCTCACATGCATTAGATCCAAGTTTAGCTAATATGGATCCACTTAGTTGCTCTCAGACGATTCCGGTGAAGGCTGGGTCAAGCATATGCTCCATGGAACATCAAAGATGCTTCAGCTTACCGGACCAAGCAGTTGCATGTCATCTCCTCGGAGGATATTCTACGACCTGTTTCGTGTCCTTGAAGCCAGCCGAGCATTGCTCTATAATGAAGAAACAATCCTCTCCCAGGAATGCTGGCTCCGACTCCAAAAGACCTTGTCGAGCGAAGAAACTCGATGGGACCCCATGGAAGAGATCATTACCCTTATGATTCAGACGTCAGCTTTCAGCTTACGGTGAGTTAACTCTGACAAACGAGCGACTTGTTCTTCTTAATAATCTAAGCAACAGAGCTCATGATATAATTGAGAATATCTCTGAACCAGAACGGTTCACGAACCTATCGGTCGCTCTCCTCGCGGCTGAGGGACTCATGGTCCAAGAAAATATCTACAACTGGCACGCAAAGACGTTGCTGCAGCTGTTCCAGGACGACACTAATGAGTATTTGAACTTAGCGTTGCTGTACTACCATGCACTGCTCATCTTTCTCTCTGGCAACTATGACTATTTTCCCTACTGGGACAAACTTCAAGCACCGGTACTATCCCCAAGCGAGGTTTCTGATCATCTGGTTGCGATCTTGGACCTCTCGGCTGATGTGTTACTCCATTCCAAAATTCCGGGAGTGATGCTATTTTTCCCAGTGACCGTTGCAGGATCGCGAGCCCGATCCGTTAATCAAAAGTCCAAAGTCCTGAATTTGCTCGACCAGGTGTTCTGTAAAGGATTTGTGGTTGCAAACCGTGTACGAGATGGTTTGCTTATACGGTGGGCCGAGAGAGATCAAAAAGCGAGTATCCAGCCATATGAGATAAGAAATACTTGAAACGCCTAGCTCCCATCTCTGAAATATACCTGTATAGAAATTTGAAGAAGTTTGTATTTGAAACAACTCTAAAGTGTGTCAAACTATCTAGCGTCTAGACCTGATATAGACTAATGAGTATTGGCGTTGGGGCTGGAAAATGTATTAAAGAGTGTGGGTGGTTGTACCACTTTCGGGACGTACTGTACAGGCAAGCATAAGACATGGCGAGTTTAATCGAGAAGACGTGCCAGTAATTCAGGGTTGTGCAGGATATTTAGGTGAAGAATAGAAGGTCTTCTGGATGGGGGTGAAGAACAGGGCAACTACGGCAATAGACCCAACAAAAATATATTCAAAATAAGACAAAAACATACAACAGCAGGGATTCGCTGGTGGTCACCCACCCAACTACTAACCTGCCGGCGTGTGGCTTAAGTACGGCTGAGCGGACGGGAAGCCCTGTTCTCCACACCCTATGGTCGTATGTACAAATTCAAGCCTCAAAATAACTTACATCGTTAGAAGTTCTAATAGGATCGGAGATGTACTCTTTCTTGAAGCGGGCAAGCATTAAATATGTGCAGGCCCAAGGAATGTATACGGCTCTGTTACATGTGTTGCTGATATGCACTCCGATTAATGCTATTATGCATTAATTGTCAGCGACCGAGACAAATGTTGGAATTGCTGGATCCGGCAAGCTTTCAATCTTGGGAGCCAATGATCAAGTTAGCCATGCCAGGACAATTAGCTGTGGACGGAGAATTTCTCAATTATGAGCTTCTTACATTGGCTTCGTCTTACCTGCTAAAAATCTTAAACAGGAGTACCGGACAACTGGGTATGCTTGGAAGTGATATCGAGGACACTGCTAAGGTTTTAGCTCCAGTGAAAGATATCCCATCCTCTCCTGGCTTCTATGAGGGCACTTAAGCTAGTCAATCTACTAGAACGGAGCTTGCTGCGCCAAAATTCGATGAACATGCCCTAAGGCCGAGACATGGCCGCAACTGTGGCATTTCTGATCAAGCATCTCCAACAAATGCTGACTAGAACCTACAGTTGGGACGCTATATTGGGCACACCGAAGCATCAGAGGCAGTTTAGTACGCAATATGATAGACATGAGCAAGGAGGGATTTTCTTGAAAATTTTGGAGTCAACTTGACGAAAGGAAACTGGAGAAGGATGAGGAAGAGGAGGAGGCCGGAGGTCTTCTTCAAATATTGAATCGTACCTTCCAGTGCTGCAACAAATTAATGTTGGCCACTGACTTGTACTATATTTTTTCCACTTCAAGATGCCCAAACCGAGCTACTTCGAGGACATAAGGGCGTGCCTGACTATATCCAAGGCTGAAGTAGTCCAACTCACCAAACCAGCCGAACCAAAGAATGCAACCACTAGTCACGTTTGTTTGGACGCGTCCAAGTGTCTAGCTCCATGACAAAACGCCAACGCGTCCTCATCTGGCTTCTCCTTATCCAACCCGGGGCAATAAAGCCAGATTCATTAACTCGCGGACATGAAAAGAAAGTGCTAACAATGTACATGAGAGTACATAACAAATTACTTGGATGCAAAAATCTTACAGCACATAACTAATGAAAAATTTGAAGGTCTTTGTCCAATTGGGATTTCGTATATATAAAATGCACTCTAAGTCAAGATCTAGTTTTCTGGGTATATGACAATCCTTCAAGCGGAGGCAGTGAACCAAAATGGCTTATGAGGCTGTTGTCTCCACCAGCTACTGTAGGACCTAGGTAGGTAATGAAATTTAGGTGGTTGGTCAGGGGTACAGGTAAGCAACAACCCCCCGCTATCAGCTAAAACTGAGGAGCCCTTCCCCGGAGGGTTGGGGCTGAAAATGAAATTATCCCACACCCGAGTGAATGAGAATCTATGTGGAGCCAAAACACAGTACTTTATGTTACGGGGCATTCTAGGCCTGTAATTCTTCCCGACAGGCAGTTGAGGATCGTTTATCTTCACTATTTCTTGTGAGATGATTATCTCTCGGCAATACAAATTGTAATAATTTCAAACCGTCCGTCTTATCTTATCTAGTTGTCCCGCGCGCATATCGTTTCCTTTCTCGGCGACTGAAAGTCGATTGATTCCCAAGGGGTGCTAAACTACATGTTCGGAGTCTCATCATTCTCGACTCTCGTTGGCAAAAGTCAGTCAAGGTGCTACTATATTCTCTTATCCGACCGGAGGTTATCTATCGTCAGAGCATAGCTTTTACCCACCTCTGTCTGCCACCATGGAGGCCCAAGTGTTAGCCGACTGGGAGAGTTGCGACAAAACTGATACTCTCTTCGTGGTCATCTGTAGTGTCATTTGTTGGGGGATTATTCCTGCTGTTGGCCTGGGTTATTCGGGATACTCAACGCGACACAATTCCCTGGCATCCTTCTTTCCCGCATTACTGGCGGTCATCTGTGTCTCCCTTCAGTGGTACATCCTTGGCTACTCGCTGGCTTACGGCGAGGGCAACGGGTTCATTGGTGATTTGAAATATGCCTTTCACCAAGGTGTTCTTGCGCAGCCGGTGGGCACCATTCCAGCCATTTTGTTCAGTGAATTTCAACTTATCTTTGCCGCCACCGTTGCTGCAATTGCGGTTGGAGGCGCCTGCGAACGAGGCAGACTGCTCCCCCTGATCCCATTTCTTTTCGTGAGTGCAATTTCTGACTCCAGGGCTCTGGAGTAGGCAACCATATATCTATCTTCTTCATTAACAGTCACTGTGGACAGCTCTGGACTACTTTCGTATACTGCCCACTTGCACACATGGTATGGTCCGAATCCGGATTTCTGTACCAAATGGGAGTCCTCGATTTTGCCGGTGGCACCCCCGTGCACATCTGTAGTGGTGCCACTGCGACAGCTATCTCAGTTTACCTCTCACACCCTCTGTTCCGTTCGCGAAATTCCAATATCCGGACGCCATCACATCTGAAACTTCACAAGCCGCACAATACCATTTCCCAACTATTGTCCCTGGTCACTATCTGGGGTTCCTGGCTCGCCTTTGACGCGGGCACTACGTTGAGTTTCAATTTCAAATCGGTCCATGCTCTTTGTGTTACCAATCTCTGCGCAGCTGCCGGAGCCTTGACATGGAATCTGATCACGTACTATGAAAGCAGCAAGTTCTCCCTTGACTCTACGTTCCTCGGGGCGATCTCGGGGTTAGTTATGATAACCCCTGCGGCTGGATTTATCAGCGTGACAACATCCTTTTTCTTCGGCGCTGCTGGAGCATTGGTCTGTCGTCAAGCACTACGGATCAAGTTCACTCCTGTTGCCCACCGTCTCAAGTGGGTGGATAACGGTGATAGCTTTGCCACACACTGCGTCGGAGGCTTTGTAGGGACTATCGCTACCGGTCTCTTTGCCAGTCGACAGGTGGCTGCTTTTGATGGAACGACCGAAATCATCGGCGGGGTATTTATTGACGGTAACATTCGCCAGATCTTTATCCAAATTTTTGAAGCTATCGTCGGCTTTGCTTGGACTTTTGGAGTTTCTTATCTCATTTTTGCCGGTCTGGACTGTATCCCTGGTCTGGAAGTTCTGGCTATAGATGAGTAAGTTATTTCGCCTCTCACTAAGTCTATCCCACTTTTGTCGGAGTCAATATCATATTAACATGTTTCTATAGCCAGGTTCTCTCTGGATTAGATACTGTACAAGTGGAAGAATCACTCCACAGTGCGCAGTGGAAGGACGAAGAGAACTATTCAGCTCTAGAATCCTCGGGTAGTGTTTATTTGGTATAGATCTAAGGATCAGCGTTCATTGCCAAGGGCTTATAGCATGTGCTCTTAGCCGATGTCTAGTTTTTATAAATACTTCAAGTTCATCTTCATTCGTATTTTCAGACAAAAAGACGCCCAATGATCAGTACTCAAGAACACTACTATTAAGAAAAATAACGCACATGCTTATCCGACCAATGCAATGCCTTTACGACGGTGGGAATAGCCAATAGTGCTTATTCATCCCGCGCTACCCCGCACTCCGATAAGAGTGCTAATGATTGTTGGAAATTAATGGGGATGCCCATCGTTTCCTATCAACATACTGCGTAGCTTCTTCAATTCTGCCTGGATACAGGCTCAAGAGGCCTCAAAGGTGCCAGCTCCATGCTATCATACCGCTCGAAGTAGTATGAGGCCATCTTTCATCCGAAGCCGGGGAGGATGTATCAAATGCAGGGCACGAAAGGTTGTAATATATCCCTTGGTCCTGAAAGAATGCAAGCTAAATAAGACGTTATCAGCAAAAATGCGACGAAACTAAGCCCGCCTGTCAAAATTGCACGAAGAAGAACATCGTTTGCCCCGGTTATCGGATCTCCGTGCGATGGTCCCAGAAACACCAGAAACATAGTCAGCTGAAAAAAGCGGAGTCACTAGCCGGGTCAAAATCTCCATTTATTCCTTGCTCCATTCGCTCGGACCAAACCGGCACAACTTCGGATGAGCATTGCGAGAAGGGTGAAATCGATAGTCCTTCGAGACAACAGCAGGATGCTGCTGACGCTTTTCCACATGAGAGCTTCGATGGTCCAATTATGGACTCCCTCGCTCACTCCTCTCTCAGCGTGCAGGAAATAGCGACCGACGAATTTCCAGATTTTGAGAATGACATTCGTTTTCGGGCAACCCAAATGCACCTTCCACCCGAAAGTCATACAGATCTTGCACGAGAGTGCATCTTGCCAACATCTATCGAATACGGTGGATCATCCCGTGAAAATCCAAGTAATGACTTGGAATTTCAACATGCTGTCGATGAAAATACCGGTTTTGGATTGATAAAAGTTCCCGAGAAGGTCGGGAGTGTTGGCTTGTTGCATCAGTCGACTGAGTGGCCCTCTCTTGTTTCTCGTTACTTCCACATGATTGAAGACACACCATTGTTTCCATCCCTGGAGAATGAGACAACCACATTGGTTCAACATTACTTCCGGGATACGTGCGCAACCTGGTCATCTTTTGACTCGGAGAAGAATCCTTTCAGGACCGCCATCGAGGGTCTATGGCAAAAGTCTCCTCTAATCTATTACGCCATCCAAAGTAATGCAGCTGTCCATCTCTCTAATCAATTATCCAGTATGCAAGCCACGGCCTTCACCATGCGAGAGAAAGCACATGTTGCTTTCCTTCAGGAGCTGCAGAATGCCTCGAATTCGCAGTCAACCGGCGACCAACTCCTCCTCGCGACGTTACTTTTAGGGGTGTCCGCCTGCTGGCATGACAGCGGTGACCTTGGTTTATCCTACCTGCAGATTGCCAGGTCGCTTGTCCGTGCAAGAGTGATGCGTCAAAGCTCTATTAATCACCACCCACTTAATCGTAACGTCAGGTTTTTTGTTGAAGCCTTAATATACTGGGAAATGGTCATCGCGTTTGTTTCTGGTGAAGGCTTCAGATCTTCTCTGGCGTGGACGCCAGATCCAAGTACTTTCCCTTGGGCCGGGCCTGAAACTGTCACCGTGATCCCACATCCGTGGACTGGTGTTGCCCCTCGAGTAATGCTACTGTTCGCTGAGGTCGGGCATCTTGTACAGAACTACGCGAAATCGGATGATCAGGCGAGGGAGGATTTAAATCTGGTTGCATCAGTCATAAAGCTGGAGGAAGACCTCCTGTCAGCTTCTATCCCCACTGAGGATCAAATTGCAGACGTATATGATGATTTGACCAGCAAAAACGACTTCGTGGTTTTTGCCGAGGCCACTCGATGCGCAGCACTACTGCAGGTATATCGTGTATTCCCGGATGTTCTACGACGGAGACTGGGTGCGGGCACCCTAAACATCAAATCTTATCTCGGCATTATTGAACCAAACAACGGCAGCAACATGATCGGTTCATGGCTTGTTGGCCTTGCGATGCATGTATTAAATCTTCTTGCCTCCATTCCCACTTACTCGGGCGTTCGATGTGTTCAGCTACTCCCGCTCGCTACGGCAGCTTTTGAACTGCGCACTGCCCCTGGGACTTCCTATAGCGATGTGGATATAGCCAGGTTTCGTGACTTTGTAATGAAGAGACTACAACTGCTAGCGGGTAGATTACCGTTGAAGCCTATCTCACGCACCATGCAAGTGTTACAAGAAGTATGGCGAAGGAATGATCGAGGAGATGAAGCTTTTTGGCTCAATGTCATGATTGAGAAAAGTTGGAAGGTCTTTCTGGGTTGACGAATAATGAGAATTCAATGGATCTAGATTGAGTACATGCCGGGTCATACCTTATGCTCGAGTAATGCTTAAGAAAGGGTCCTAGTAGCAATTCTTAGTTTCAGAATTTAGACGACACGATCGATCTTATCACTCTTCACAAAGTCTGAAAATTGCTCTACTCTCGAACAATCGACTAGCGGTCCGATGTGCATAGGCCAACGCGTTAGCCTTATCAGCACCAGATCACGATCGCATAATCGAGGTTGGTACCTTCGTTAGTTTCCTTCTGCATGAAAGTAGCACAGCTGTAAATCTCACACCGCCGACGCAAGGGCTTGTAAAAAAGCTTTGGGCCTCAAGTCTGAAAGTCGGTCAGCTCTTACTAGTCGTCGGTCATTGGAAGATTACTATTTCTCTACTGGGTAGATACGAGGATGGCAAATTATGACGTGTCTTATTTTTCAGCAGATGGCACCGTGCGGGTCCCTGACGTGAGGCTTTCGCAAGATAAATTGGAAGAAATGCCTTCCCAAAGTCTTACATCGACCCCTACACTACAGTATTTTCTGAGCTTAAAATATATCTCTTCACTTCTATTCTGACCCTGTACACAATGGAGATCCGGAAAAAGTCGGCAAGCAGCAACCGTCCCGACGAGTGGATGATTGAACAGGGCATGGCGGCACATAAACTGCCCATTCTCGATCAGTCTGCTGGGAAGGAGACCATCAAAGTGTTCCCCCCGAACCCTACAAGATCACCCAGGATAAAAAGGCGATTCGAGCGGTTGGCGATCGCAGCAAACTCTTCGCCCGTGAACGAGAAGGCTGGGTGGGGTATGTTTGCCCCTTTGCTAGACGATGTACATTGAAGGTGGTGAAGCTGATCGGACCTTGAACTTGCTCATTGTAGATATGTCGAATGGGAAGATTACCCTGACAAAAAAGACAAGGCCCACAAGATCTTGACTTCACAGACCTTTCCACCTTGCCCCGATTTTCAATGGGGGCCTATCCCGGGAACTAATCCCGTTCTCCCTGGCGATGATTTCAAGGCCTGGCACACCGCCATCGGGGGAGAGTTAGCTTCCGCTGCGGATGATTCCTGGAGAACAGTGTTAAAGGAAAAACATCCAGATATGCTGCACCTTTTGCAATTCCCTTATAACGGAGAGCCTCCTAAGCGACTGGTGACCTCAAAGGCTATCACGCCAAACTCGCTTCATTTCGTGCGCAACCACGGTGGTATACCACTGATTGACCCGGATGAATTCGAACTTAAGTTGGACGGAATGGTCAAGTACCCGAAGAAATACACCATGGACGACCTAATGGATGAGTCCAAATTTCCACGAATGGAGAAGACCATCACTGTGCAGTGTTCGGGAACTCGTCGTATTGAACAAATCTCGATGTACGCTGGCCAAGGCGACGAAGTTCCGCAAGCTCCTTGGGCTGAGGGGGCTATCGGCACGGCCCGGTATAAGGGAATCAGCCTGAAAAAGGTGATCAAAGACTGTGGTGGCCTAATAAAAAATGCTAAGCACCTTGAACTATATGGTGCTGAGACCTATGTCAAGGATCTTCACGTGAGCAACTACGTTGTCAGCGTTCCATGGTCCAAGGTGAAGGCGAACGAAGTCATTCTCGCCTGGGAGATGAATGGCGAGCCACTCCCAAAGATTCATGGTTATCCGTTGCGAGTGATTGTAATGGGCTATATTGGGGCTCGGAGCGTCAAATGGCTGTATCGTATCAAAGCCATCAAAAATTCGTCACTCGCGCCTGTCCAGGCCAGGGAATATCTGTACTTCAATCAGCAGGTAGGTAAGTACAACCAGCGCCCAATAGACGGTATTCAAATCCAGGAAATGCCGGTCAGCTCAGCAATAATGTCTCCCTGGACCAATCAAGTGGTTATGCATGATGGGAAGATCCATTGCAAGGGTTGGGCCTACTCTGGTGGCGGCCGGTGGCCTGAACGTGTCGAACTATCAGCGGACGGGGGCTTCAGTTGGTATGCAGTACCGGAAGAGCAGCTATCCAAGAAAGGAAAATGGTCCTGGCGAACATGGGAGTTCGATTTGCCCTGCGACGTCGAAGGATGGATCGAGATCGTTTGCAGGTGCTGGGATAATTCTCTCAACACACAGCCGTTGAACGTGCGAGCGGCGTGGAACTGGGGTCTTCATGTTACATCTTCGGCCCATCGCATCAAGGTGTATAGTGTCAACAAGACTCGAAAGCTCACTCAACAGAAGCTGGCGCAGTTTGAGCAGAATGAGGTCGATTTGGCTCCTCTCACCCGCTATGACCCTGTTCCAGGCTTGACCGATGAAGAGTTGAGCAAGTACAATGAGGCCCACCCTCGCGATGCCGATGATTGATTCTGTCAAAGCTCTTCGTTATTTGATAGTGCATTACCTTACCTATTATGTGGAAACCCACTTGAAAATCGTCTGATAAAAATTTGCTTCGCTGGAGTTTAATACATGGTTTCTTTCCAAAATATTCTTAGATGAGAAAACTTTTCCTATTGGTAGAGAAAGTCATTGCTAGCTAATGATTTTGGTTTCACTGGCCATCTTGATATATGCTTTCTTGTAAGAGGACAACTCTTCTCTTACTTTGCCATCTTCTTTTGCGCGGATTATATGTACGTGGTACGCAAACACAATGCCTGGTTCAGTTTGCTATGAGTCGTCCGCTGTTTGTGTATCACACATTTTACCTGGCTCCCGCCATTATTGGGACTATTCAGTTGCATCGCTCGCGGAGGCGGAAGCCTCGGTATACACGGTTTCAGTGGATCGCATAGACACGATGAAGAAGGTATGATGAAGCGGGCCCATATGACGAGGTAAACGGATTTGCGGCCAAGAAAGCCGGAGCCCAGGTACTTCTGTACCTCGAGCACTGCCAAATTTAACTTTAAACACTTGTCACTAAGCTCGTGGCCGAACGTCTACACCTAGTCGTCCGCATTCACGAAGTCGCGACTGCGAGATAGATATACAAACGTTTCGGTTTTGGCTGACGCTACTTCGAGGAAAGCGGCCGAAAGTTTTGTCCCAACAGATACATCTGCGTCTCTGAGGTGCTCATGATTTCGTTCTACAATGCTCCCCTTCAACGGCAAGTCAAGATCAGCCGGTAACCCATTACCCTCGGATGCTAGGATACTCATTGCCCGAAGAGGGTTCTCAAGCCTTGTCCCTGGCGAGATGGCACCTTCCTTGCGATAAGTGAAGCCTGGGGACAAGAACCAGAAACGCATGAGAAAGAACTGGAAAATTCGCGTGGTCGTGTAAACGGGGGACTCAAGATGCGAATTTTTGCTGGGATATGTCCTAATGAAATTTTCTATTGCCTAGAATACCCGCTGTGAATAGAAAGTTTCCACGGCAATAGGTTATTCCGTTAGTATAGCTTAGCAGAGGTGTTACGTGCAAATTACTTTCATAAAGCCATCTGGCTAAAGTAACTCACATGGCAATCGCACGACCAAAGGATGATTATAAGCAGGTTCTCACTTATTTGCCATGCAATAAGCCTTTGAGCATTCCTACATGCCGCATGTCTATAATTATTATGATCGGTATCATGTCTCATCTGCATCACACGTATTGGAGGCCCAATGCCGATGAGACGGGCAGCTGCCGGGTATTTACCTTCCGCAAGTGGATAGCTCATCTGCAGCGGTGGTAAACAAGGACAAATTCAAATTGGGCTGAAACTTCATGCATGCTCAACTTTGGATGTGTAATCTGCCAAGTGTCTAGGCGTTTGGCTAAGTTGGCAGGCTGACGTCCCGCAGATCTTTGTCGATCATGCTCCGATATTTCAAGATTATGTACTGTTGATTATGACGTAGCACGGGACTAGCAACGGTCGGAGCTTTAGTGCCGAGACCTTCTACGCACACCTTCGGTGATTTACATTTGCAATATGCGACGATCTGAATCCCGATCTGCTCGGACAAATTACTTTCCGGCAACCGAGTCAGGTTTTCATATATTCAGGAGTCAATGGTAGCCGCAGTTGTGCATAGGACAGACCATTCTACAGGGCATAGAGTCGAGGCTATCAGGGTGTGCATGGAAATCCTTGCGATGATCTCCATAAGCAGCTTTATTGGAAGTTTGGTGGCTGCAAGAGGACAGGGGTAAGTCTCTCATTTTGGAGGCACGCTATATTAGTGAAAGAGCTGGAGCCTGACTATTCAGGCCCATTTCGAACGAAGGCTCGGTCTCTTTCGAATATTGCATATTTTACGTTTCTGTGCTCAATTTCTCTCGCTTGCATATTTCTCTTGTGTTTGTTCAAATTCCTTGTACCTGTGATACCAATACGCCCCAAGTGCTGGCCAATTAAGTCACAAATGTGGAACTATAAGAGACAAGCTTCGGATATCCGTGAATCTACCTTAAGCAAATAGGAGGATCCAATTAGCTATGATGAAAAGATGTGAGAGATGCAAAGGTATTAAGACATAAGTCAAACTCGAGTATGTGGATTAGAGTACGCGGGTATTGTGTCTCGGGCGGCCTTCTGACGCAGATTAAACCCCAATATCAAAAGAATTGACGAGTCGTCAAAGGCCTGTACCTTCACGGAGTTAGTATTTTACCGAGCGTTCCGTGGCTTTGGGGGGGACCTCCATTCCAAACGCCCTCTAAAACCGACGAATTGCCAAGTACAGCATCTTTACTGTCGATCATTTCCCTCGGTCATTCACCAACTCCCGAATGGTTCTGTGCAAGGTTATGCGCACACCCTGTCGGACTTCGGGCAGCGAGGCTCCGACCGAGTAATTTTACAGTGCATGCAACTAAATGGCTCAGGCGACCCCCACATTGCGTGGTTTTGTATTTGATGATATAAATACTTTGTCGACCTAGTAGCTCAGGAGAACAGGAGCAAAACCTCAGCACTATCGAAAAATTCATGACCATGGAGTCTGTCAGCCATATGCCTACAATTTTAGGTTGCTTTCTCGGAATAATATGTCTCGTAAGAGTCCACCTTGTCATATGTTTCTGCGCCAGGTATTTTTCAGGGCTGACTTCAATGTAGCACTTCATCTATAGCCGGCTTTCCAACCCGCTTTCGCGGATTCCTGGCCCTTCGATTGCTAAATGGACCGATCTTGTCTACCTTTACTATTGGTTCGCCGGCAAAGTCCCCCACTATGTCCATGATCTGCATGAGAAATACGGTAAGCATCTTGATGATCCGGCAATATATAGAAGTGAAAGTCGCGTCGAATACAACGCTAACAGGTGGCCCTAAGGTCCAATTGTTCGAACCGGTCTCAACAAAGTCGATGTTTGCGACATCTATGCGGTGAAAGAGATCCACAAAACTAACTCGCGTTTCCTTAAGTCCGCATGGTATCGCACACTCTTACCCAACGGCCTGGAAAACGTGTTCTCGACCACCGACCCGCATTTTCATTCTACTCGCCGTCGTCTGCTAGCATCGCCCATTTCGGACTCGTCGCTTCACCAGCATGAAGGCCTGATTGAAGGCAGGGTACACCTGGCTATTTCAAGAATGGCTGAAGAGGTACAGTCTCGAGGGGTTGTCGATGTATTCAAGTGGTGGCTCTTCATGGCAACCGACATCATCGGTGAACTGAGCTTTGGGGAGTCGTTCCGCATGCTTGAGATTGGCGAAGTAATCTATCCAGCGAATTGTGAACGCCCAAAATCAATGCTAATAATACGTCGCAGAAAACTCAATATTCTTTGGATCTGGAGCGGATCTCAACCCTCCAACCGATTCGAACAACATTCCCGACCCTTGTCAATCTTGGAAAATATCTCCCCTTGCCTGTCTTCAAGCGCACTATAGCCTGTGGAAAGCGAATGGTCATGTACTCAAGCCAATCCGTCGACCGTTATAAGAAGATGATCGATGAAAACCCCTCAAATCCGAAGAAGACTCTGTTCACTAAGCTTTTCGACACCGAGAAAAGCGGCGTGTCTCTGGATGACATAAAGAAAGAAGCGCAGGGGTACATTGTCGCGGGAAGCGATACGACAGCGGTTACTTTGACCTATCTCACTTACGCCGTTTGTGGAAATAGCCAAATTCGAGACAAGTTGGTTGCCGAAGTGGCAGCATTGTCTGAGCCAATTCATGACAACGACCTTCGGAATTTGCCGTATCTTAACATGGTTATCAGCGAGACACTTCGTTTGCACACGGCTGTGCCTTTTGGGCTGCCTCGGGCTGTGCCATCGGAAGGCGCCAAATTTAATGGATACTTCCTCCCGAGTGGAGCGACCGTTTCTACCCAGTCCTACAGTCTTCATCGTGACCCCACGGTCTTTCCTGACCCTTATACGTAAGACGGTGAACCCCTATATACCAACGAGACATTCTGATAACAATTCAGTTTCAACCCTGAGAGATGGGAGAATCCGACCAAGGAGATGAAGGATATTTCCATGCCATTCGGTGGTGGATCACGAAGTAAGTCATATAGATGGCTTTGCAAGACAAATCGGCTGACTCTCTCAACAGTCTGCATCGGATTGCATCTGGCCCGTATGGAGCTTCGCTTGGGGACAGCCTTATTTTTCAGAGAATTCCCAAATGCTCAAAGATCCGACAAAGAAGGAATGGGCCCTAAGGACATGGAAATGCAGTCTTTCCTATTGATGGGACCACGGGGACACCGCTGTTTAATCGAGACGTGATCCATGCGGTGAAGCACGAGTCAAGGTATCCGTAAATATGTGGAGTTTGAGGCGATCGTCGTTGATGGGGAATCATGATCGGAATGAACATCATGCAAACTCTTGCTACAAGATTGGGGATCTACCCAGCTGATGGACCTCGAATACATGTAATTTAGAGTGGCAGCGAATGCAAACTCTTGCTACAAGATTGGGGACCTACCCAGCTGATGGACCTCGAATACATGTAATTTAGAGTGGCAGCGAATGACTATTTCTCTAAGGTATTTGATTTCCATTGCCCCTTTATAGGATTGTGAATAGAGAAATGGCAGCACTGGTCTAAATTATTGCCCCACGTGAACCAGACGCTGATCTCTCGTCTGCTCAACCAGTCACGACATCAGTTCAAATGCATAGTGAAGATTGAAACCCGGATGCAGCACCCGTCGCCGCACTACTGAATAAAACCAAGTCGTTTTAGGGATCTTAAAAGTCAATAAATATGGAATTCCCTGGTCGATAGGGAGTTCCTCCTAACCCCCCCCCCCCTACCAATGTGCGTAGCGAGTGTGGAGAAAAGGTCTAAAGCTTCTTTCGCCCGAGACAATAGTTCGGGGAAACCCCACGCTTTGACCTTGCCAGTTACCTTCCCAAAAGATTCTATCATTGTAACTAGTCAATCACCAAGTTTGGTAACGTTTTTACGGTTTCCAGTCTAAAACCTTCGCTATTCTCAAAACGCGGTCACAGATTCAGTGTCTTAGCTCCATTTCCCCGCCTCCACATCTCGAGCCCCAAAGTTGTGCCTTGCCATCGAACCGTCGATCGCACCTGCCTTCTCCACATTCAGTTCTCAAAAAGCCCGTTTAATGGACAATTCCATCACTCTCGACATTTTGCTCTCGGGAGCATGTAGATCTCTAGCAGCCTCTCCTAGAATTTTATTGCTCCTTCTGTCCGATGTCTGCACTATTTAGTAGCTCTCCCCTCATTGGCTTTTACCCCGGATTCATTTTACCCAAAGCCATTGCCAGCTTATCTGGGGAATCCTTGGAAAGTACCTTTGTCTTCACCTCTTCGCAACCGGCCCATCATATGTCGTCCTCCAACTCTGACCCCAAGGCCGAAGTCGACCCTTCCAACCTGGAAGCTGGCATCGAGCATCAAGATACTTTAAACCAAGAGCCAATTCAGAACCGACACTCACTGCGGTCCGTTCAGTCTGTCGACTATGGTCGCTTTGGTCCTCTTGCGCGTGTCAGGACTTCGGGGACTCTCTACCCTCCCTTCGCTGGAGAGTTTCAACCCGGTTCCTTCCGTCCTGGTCCTGTTGAGCAGCGCAAGATCGGTAACCCTGCTCCATTGGGTTTATGTGGCTTCGCCCTGACGACATTCGTTCTGGGTTGTATCAACATGAAGGCTCGCGGTATCACGGAGCCTTATATGGTGGTTGGCCCAGCGTTTGCCTATGGTGGTCTTGTGCAGGTGCTCTCCGGAATGTGGTGAGTGAAAACCATCGAGTCCGAAACAGGTAAAGGAGTGTTAACGACATGAATAGGGAGATGGCCGTTGGAAATACGTTTGGTGCGACCGCTTTGACCTCGTACGGCGGATTCTGGATCTCTTTGGCAATAACTTTCACCCCGGGTGGGTTCGAGATCGCATCAGAGCTTACCAAGGCTGACAATGGGTCCATGGGGATGTTTTATGATTCACTCGGTCTTTTTCTCATGGTAGACTTCAACCGCCTCCTCTCAACTTTCTTTCCCCAACAAGCTGACTCGTAGTTCCATAGGGATGGTTCATTTTCACCTTCCTAATGCTTCTGTGCACCGTGAAGTCAACTGTGGTCTTCTTTTCGCTCTTCCTTTCAGTAGATATCGCCTTTCTCCTCCTAGCATTAGGATACTTGATTCGTGACAGCGTGGGAGACCCGAGTCAGAAGATTCTCACGGCCGGTGGCTTCTTCTCTCTTCTTGCCGCGTTCCTCGCCTGGTGGGCTGCTTTTGCCGGTGTCGCGGACACTAGCAACAGCTTCTTCATCGTCCCTGTCTGGCACTTCCCGTGGTCTGAGAAAGGCAAGAAGTCACGCCGCAGTAAGGAGTAAGCGAGACTCATATCGTGTTGGGTGGCTTTGTGAGCGAAAACTGAGATGTCTATGAACTGGTTCTTGTTTTGATCTGGTATTCATGGCTAAAGCCTGCATGTTCTTGATTATTAATTAACGAGGAATATCTATAGTACGCCATCAGTACCCTGGCTCAATTCATTAAAGTGAATAACTCGTTATTGGAAATATTATTGGTTCCAGCTTACGGGAATTACTTTTCCAAGCGCTGCTTGTCTACCCAAAATTTACAGATCACACATACAATCTTGAAACCTTCCCACAACCAAAAGCCCAAATTCAGCATTTACTTCCGTCACTGCAAGACTGGTCGCACTTGTAGGTGCCAATCCAGTTGTCATCACCATACACATCTAAACCCATAAGCCAACCATTCAGCACCTGGTGCAGATAATCTAAATTCTGTGGAACGCCATTTGACTGGCCCTCCGATGAGCAAGGATAATCTTCCGTAAGACCCTTGTTATCATTCAAGCCACTGTTGGCCGTGAACCACCCATTGTAAGAGCCAAACGCCTCGATCGCATTTCCGCCAGTGGAATCTATCTGCGACTTCAGGTACTTCGTACCAGCATCCACATTATCCTGGATTGAATCCGTGCACTCTCCGTTGGGATAGTTGTCGCATGAGACTTGCATCAGTCCAGGAGTCGGCCCACCTGCGTCTGCGTTGCATGACGATTCTTGCATAGCGATCACGGCTAGGATAACGGGATCAACGCTGTACTTGGATGCGGCGCTTTGGAAGTATTGGTCGTATTGGGAGCAGGAGGAACCAATGCCGTTGTAGAAATCATCGAGGGAGATGTGATAGAGGTCATCCAGAGCCATGTAGGGTGGGTTCCATCCATCGGAGGTGATGCCGGTGTTTAGCCAGTCTTCGGATCTGTATTAAAGTTAGGAAGCCTCTAGTATGGTTAAGATCAGAAAAACAATTACCCGTTAGGGCCGGTATTAGGCGTCACATCCTCGGTCGCGCCCTGAGCTTTGGGGTTTGTACCGACCCCCGGGTCCGTGGACTGGGCATTTGCGTTGGCAGCTGCCACCAGCGTAGCAACAAGGGCAGATTTCTTGATAAATTTCATTGGGGTTGAAGAAATCAATTTTTGACCAGCTAGGGATTGGAGTGAAATGCTAAGAGATACTCTTCAAGCAGACATGCTGCCATATTTATAGCAGTAGGGACTTGTGATTATTCTAAAAGCAGTCAAGCCCGCATCTACCTATTTCTCCTACAGTGTAACCTCAGGGGATCAGCAAATACTCACTTGAGAATACGAGCAACGAATTTCTTCAAGGAGCAAACAGACAGTGTTGAGCGTGTACAGGATGCCATGAAGTCGAACCAGTTTCTCTATTAGGAAAACGGGCTATCTGAAAAGGTGAACAGGGGCTGATCAACCGCGCAGTCCTGGAAATCTGGGCCCAATCCTGTGAAATATTCCATTGGTCAAGGCCTGGGGGCTGCGCTATTTTCCACAAATGTCATTGGTGAGGCCACATAGCGGGTCCGTGGGGGTCTTGCCGATCTTTACTTCTAATGACCACCTGTTGAAACAGCGCGATGGAAGCCAAGATCAAGAATAACGCAAAACGGGAATTCCCAAATGTAAAGAGTTAAAGATAGATTGTGTCTTGGACACTTTTACCTAAAGTCTTGGGGCAATTTCCTAATTCACATTTCTCCCGCATGATTCTCTTCAGACATAAACTATGGAGTGTGGGCTTTGCTACATTCAATTAATGAGCAAGTCGTCCGTTGAAGTTGTCCCAACCATTCCGGTCTAGTGATGATTCGGGTGGCGCCGTGTGAATACTGAGAAGTATTAAGTACTCCACTCAGAAGCCACTCCACTAAGAGCTATATGTAGAGTCACGGCTGGCCCTAGCTCGCCTTTAATATTGGGTATGACGCTGTACATCTCGTTGCGTCTTCTTTGTGAAGAGATAACGATGACCCAAATTTCCATTCAGAATGATGGCAGTAAGTTTGAGCACCGAGCGCGATAGCTATAGGCATTTGACTTTTGATTTACCTAGTGCCAACCTCTAGTCCCTATATACACCTTCTTTAAGTGGTACATGGAGTCCAAAGAATCTCAAAAATTGTGGACTTCTTTTTTAGCCTTCCATACTGTGGTTAAGGTCTGCTTTCCTCAACAGAGTAGCAATCGAGCCAGGATACAGATGATCTAGGTTGATCATGGTGGACAACACACAGCTCGATCTGGAAGGAAGTGGTACGGAGCGCGATCAGAGCTCTATCTTATAGAGCACTTACCCCATGGTGGTATTGGCTCTTTTTGAACCGTGATAGGAGTCTCCCGCACTGACTGATTTTTGGGGCGGGGCAGAACAGGAAATGTCGAAAGGCGAAAGGCTGCGTGTCGTGATCTAAGCACTGTCGTCACGACGTACACACAACTTTTCTTCATCATTCTCAGATCCTTTGTGGGGAAGGGGGAGTAAGACACGTAAATTCAATTCGGTCTTCATGTCAGCGTTTACAACTCAAAGTTCCCGGAGCTTGGGTGGCGGGAAGGTTCCAACAAGCCCGACCGACCGTCGGAAAATGTGGATGATATGCTATCAGCCCTGACGATCCCGCTTCGCAATTCTGAGCGGCGTCCAAGCGTATGGATCCTAGCGATCAGAGGCTCGACACAAGCCAAGTGGGTCGCCGAATGGACCCGTAATAATCTTCAGTCGTCCAGCGAGAATTCTCTGTGCGTTCCTAAATTTTGGTAATCAGCTGCCACGAGGCGTCTCCGCTTCACAGCTGGCTTCCACAAAGCTTCGGGGAATTCTCTGCCTGCCAAGTTTCCCCTACGCCAAGTCTCTAGTTAAACTATGAGACCTTGGATTACCACGTTCATGTCTCACCCTAAACAAAACCTTGTGCTACACACAGCAACAATTCCTTTCCGACCTGCATTTCATAAATGACCTCGAATAACCCTACAGGAATCATGCTTCATGGGTAAATCAGCCATTCGTCAGGGCTAAAAGTAATTACGAATCCCAGGTGAGTCAGGGGTTCAAGCTTTTCTCTAGCACTAGCGGCAGCAAGTAAACAAATGGGATCTCTGATTCTCCACCATAGAGGGGCCGCGGAGGCGAATAAACAAAGGACAAGGTTCGATAGCAAATTCTTAGTGATTCTTTGGGGCAAAGGACCACTTTTGATGTCCCGCATCAAATCATCGCCCCTCCTCCTGGCGTTCTGTATTTTCGATGCAAAACGTGGGGCTTCCGTTGATAGTGGATGCTTAGGGGGTTGAGCCACTCGCTTTATAGAGAACATTCCTGGTTTCATAAAACCCCTGTTGTCTTCAGATCAGAGCTTTTTGATGACCTCCACCAACCCCTGATTCACACCCCCATAGCCATCATGTCGAGCTTGTTGCTGTCATGGATGCTGGCTCCTCGGGCATCACCCGAGGACCAAACGCTCCAGCGTCGTGCATACGACTCTTCCTCGTCCGTTGCAGCTAACTCCCCAAATTCAGGAGCAGGTTCGTGGATTATCGATCCCTTGCCTGGGCTGCAACGAGGTGGTCTTATTGCGGTCGCGACTTTGGCAATTGTCTCGCTGGTGGCCACGTTCTCTTTGCTTTCCTTTTTTACCTATCGTTTCATTTTTTGGAAGAAGTACTACAAACGTTACATTGGATACAACCAATATGTCGTTCTCATGTACAACTTGGCCCTTGCCGATTTTATTCAAGGATTGGGATTCATTGTTAGTCTGCGGTGGATCAGTCAGAACTCTCTTCACGCCACCGACGCCGGATGTTTCTTGCAGGGAATCTGGCTTCAGATTGGTGACCCTATGAGTGGGATGTTCGTGCTTGCTATCGCTCTGCATACTTTCATGCATGTCAGTCTGGGCCGTCAGCTCAGTCACAAGGTCTTCGTGTCTCTCGTGGTTGGCCTTTGGGCTTTCGGAGTTATCCTCGTCATCATCCCTATTGCCATCTACGGCCGATATGTCTGGGTGCCTTCCGTCGCATGGGTAAGTTTTTAATTTATCTTTACTCGCTTTTTCTACGCTATCAAAACCACTTGCTGACATCCTCGTTCTAACAGTGCTGGATGAGCACCCAACACCCTACCCTCCGTCTCTGGACACATTATTTCTGGATCTTTGCCGCTCAGTTTTTGAACCTTGTTCTTTACGCCATTATGTTCGTCCAGCTTCGACGCAAGATGTCCCAATCGAAAATTCTGGGAGCCAGTTACACCGAGAGTCTTCGCCGCATGAACCGAGTCGTCTCTTACATGGTGTTGTACCCTATTGTGTACATCGCTTTGACACTCCCACTGTCTGCCGGCCGTATGGCATCCGTCAGTGGACACGGCCCCAGTGTGGCCTACTTTTGTGTTGCAGGTGCCCTGATGACTCTGTCCGGGTTCTGTGATGTGCTGCAATACACCCTGACGAGGAAGAGTATCGTATTGGAGGCAGAGACCCGATCCAAGAAACGCGACGACGGCTACTACGATCTCTCGACTGGACAGAAGAAGTCCAAGAACGGTAACCTGTATTCAAGCGAAGAAAAAGGCCCGGTCTCTACCGTCTGCGCTGCTATGCCAGGCACCGATTCCACCGACCACATTATTCCCAGGGACATTGAAATGTCGGCCCAACCTGCCCACGTATATCAACACACGACCATCACAGTCACGCACGAACCAGCTTACGAGGCGCGATTGTAAGTCTGTCCCTAATGAAAAGCCGACCATACCCTACTTATTCTGGCTGTCCTTCTTTAATACGCTCTTTCGAATTTCTTTTCTCTTGTACATATTACGGAACAAATACCACAACCCATCTTTTATATCACTTTCACATTGATTTAAATCACCATGAGGCTCTTTCACATTGTTATTAGAAATTGACCAGGGATCGGTAATTCGGTTTACTTCCAAGGATCGATGTGGTGTCGCTTAAGTATCTCAATGACTGTGAGCCATGTTTCAAAAAATCTTTCGGAGAGAGGAAATAACCTTTTCATATTTGTCAAGCGCAAGAAACACATCTTCGTACTTCCTGATTTGATATGGCTCTCTTCGAAGAAGCACCTGTTTATGCTTATTGCTCCAGCCCTTGACACTCCGCAGTGTCTGCGCATTGTGGACAGCTCCTCCTAGCATCGGATCCAATATCACGCTGCATTCCTCGTTCGCAGGACTAACAAGAAGTGGGTCATGGATATCCCCTTCCAATTTATATTCCTTCCTCAAAGCCAATACTTCCTCTTCAACTCTCGTGTTCGTTGGGGATGGGTCGTATGGTGATTTGTGTCGCGCTACCTCGTCATCTGTGCCCGACTGACATGTTTCTGATCGTACGGGGTTGAGCAACTGTCTCTCAAGTAGAGCTTGCTCTTTTATCTGGTCGGCCCATGTCTGTACATAGCGTGCTGTGCGCAGATAATGCGGTTGGGTTGCGAAAGTGGTTTTTGCTGCTAGTAAGCAGCGATTCATTGACATGGAGCTTCTCATATTGATTGATATTTCTTTTGGAGTGGCAGTTATTGGGATAGAAAGAGGTTGAAAGTTGCCACGGCGTTTCCAGGGGCCTGTAGTCATTTTGTCCTTAAGAGACATGAATAAACTTCTTGAGTAACAACATGACATCACGATGTCGACGTTTACCCCGCGCACCATGCATATTTGATAAAGTCCGATGGTTAATTTTCGTGGGGCTGTTCTGAAGCTATGGTTTGGAGGTGATAAGGAGACAGCTACGGGCGCGTCTGGTGAAAGCGACCGTTCACGAAACCACTTAGAAAAACAAAAATTTTAATGTTTATTATATTAGAATTCATTTTGCAACGACTAATCTTTGGGAGTATTCAAGACATCTCCTCGTCCTTGTAAACGAGTTTTCCATCAATGTTTGCAATATGTGTAGCCAGATTGAGATCATTTGAGATGAAGTGTCCAGATGAGTCCCTGAGCTCGGAATGGAGGATAGGTGTATGCTCCGGACCCTCCGTAGAAAGGCTTATGTTTCGTGCGCCCGTGCTGAAGCCTGAGCTATTCCAATCGAAGTGTCCTAATGTCGAATGCGATGAGTCTTGTGGTTCAAGGTATCAGTTGCAGAGTATCTTGTAGCCACTAACCATCTTTGTTCCCGATGTGCTTATCGAGGAGAATATCGTCCTCAACTCCAGCACCCTCTTCATTGTTGCAAATTGCTATAAGATAAGTTGAACCTGGCGAGTGGTCCAGTTTCAGGTGAGCGTCGCAGGCACTTTTGTTAAACATTTTGAGCTGATGGGTGTAAAAAGTAGTGTTCAAAGGTTGGCTATGGGCAGATTTGTGAGGTGAACAAAAAGGTTAAGTCTTAAACAGCCGTGATAATCTTGACACAATGGTGGCTCGCGTGGCGATATGGCGAGACCTCCCATGTTTTGAGTTAAATATGACGTGTTTTTTTCCGAATATTGGTGGCAGATGACCCTAACTCACCTGGGATCTATTTGCCACTGTAGTGGTCGGCGGAGACCACTTGAGCAGTGGTACTCATAGAAATGGTAAGACCCACATTTCTACATACTCTGAGAAATAACTACTTGAATCCTTGAATTACGTAAACGGCCCAGGTGCCAAAACGAAGGCTTCAGTTGTTGCGGTCACAAGTACTAGGCTATATAGTGTTGTCACAAATCAGGTCGAACGCTTGAATGCTTAAATTTTGCACTACTCAACATTTACCCAGGCATTTTATGGTACATACGACCATAGGGTGTGGAGAACAGGGCTTCCCGTCCGCTCAGCCGTACTTAAGCCACACGCCGGCAGGTTAGTAGTTGGGTGGGTGACCACCAGCGAATCCCTGCTGTTGTATGTTTTTGCTTTTTCTTTGTTTCTTTATTTTTGGCTGGCAAAGGCAATCTATCTTCTCAATGTAATTCAGTTCTAGTATGAGCCCCCCTCGGCTAGAACGAAACAGATTTCATCGACTGTTGCTGATGTGCTAAGCTTCTCATCACCTTTGGGATTCTGAGTATTGTATAGACACATTGACATTCTACTTTCCCTTGACAGGCACGAGTACTCTGCCAGACCTTTGGAGACTGCAGATTAAGTCAAAGCAGAAATCCATGCTAGTCTACGTGTTTGTTCTCGGATTCTTTCTGACGGTGACATGGATCATTTGTATCACTCACTGGTAAGGGCCCTTAAACCTTCACCGACTGCAAACATATTGTGATTCGGTCTTGCATGGAGGTCAGCCTGGGCAAAAGTCTACGTGACGTTGGGTTTTACAATAACCTCAGCGGCAGCCAGTTGAAATAAGACTATAGTTATTAACATATTAATTGTTTTGTCATCGAGATTAGATTTGCAGGACAGTTTTCCCATTGTCCTTTATCTATCTAATAGAGAGCAGTCAGGGGCTGTAGGTATTGTTGCGACAGTCATTGTATTACCTCTTTGTCCTATTTCCTTTTCTATTTGTTACTCTCTCTCTCTCTCTATCTCTCTCTCTTCGTCTCGCCTTGTGTTGCTAGATAGAAATATTATCATCTTTGTTCTCTATTCCTTACATTGATCACCTCCAGTGAAGTGTTTATCGTACACGGAGCAGACCAAGTTACACGAGAGGGCTTGGTTTTTTACTCGGTAAGGGGACCAAAGAGGATAAAACCAAGAGCTGCAGATCATTATCAGCCTCGCCAAAAGCATAGGATTAGATTATTTAATAAATGGTTTCTGTCAATGGATAATAAAAGGGAGGAAGAGCCGTTTCTAGATAGAGGGGAATATTTTCGAACAAGTAAGGAGGAAGTGTTTGTCTTCTTCCCATGGGAATAAAGGCGGTCGCATCTAAGGAACTCCTAAAAGAAAGAAATAATAATCTCACAAATAGATGATCTAATTTGATCTGCGCTATCGATAAATTGCTATGACGGGACGAAGTCCCAGCAGTTATGCCACTATATGGGCCAGACTAGGCCGGCGGCAGTAGATACTTTTTTTAGAGTAGAAAATAAATTTTAAGCAAAAGGATTGATGAAAGCGACCGAAAACGAGAACGACGGATTCACTATGACTAAGTGACCTGTGATGCCATGACCCTTGGACGGTACCACGGGTTGGGGGTCAGGGAGCTGCTCAGCGGCGCTTCCCGTCCACTGGAGTGCTTCACGTCGCGCATCTTCCGATCATTACTGCCCACGAAGCTGACAGTGTAAATGAGTCGTGACAAATACTATCTCGCACTGGGGTAGGCAACACGCGAATATTCTCTGATTGTAATTGAATGAATCTCATTGATAGTTCGAAATCAAAATCTCATTCGTAAAAGGGCCCAGGGTCCCTGGGGCGAAATTGCAAGGCTGGATGCATAGCAATACGAGATTTTTCAATGACATATTGCTGTTCTTGACAGGAATCCTCGCTTTCTTCCAAGGAAAGTTCTTTCTCAGTGACAGAAACCTCGTAGAGCATAGGGAGGAGAGCTTGAATGTGCCCTGAACATGCTAGAACATCACTCTCCGCCCCACAGTTGCATTTGTTAATGTCCGCCTTGGGGTCTTGAAGTTCATCATCTTCATAGCCGTCTTCCACGGTAAATTCTGGTGTGAGACTCGAAAGCATGTTGGAATGGCCAACCAAGATGCGAAGATCACAGTCCTGCTTAGAAAGAACCCGTTCGAGCTTTCTCGCGCATTTGCGATACAATTCATCTTGATCAGCGGCCATGTCATAGGCAAGGAATCATTTGTCCTTTGAAACTGTATCTGCTTAGAAAACCCGTCCACTTTTTTCATCTGAGTTGGTTACCTTGTGCTTTTGTGGTAGGCGATACGCTTATCCGCCCAGAGAACGGACGGACTATGCTTTCGCGGTGTTAGGCTATATGATTTTCAGAGCTCACGAAGTTCTTGGGTGTGAATCCATAGATCAGAACAGTGGTGTTTAAGAATTATATAGCTTTATCTACTTTCACATCACCCCACATATTGAGACTCAGCAAACGACTATGTTCCTGTCACAGAGGGCGATCAACCTCGGTAGGGAGGCGGGCTAGACTCCTCTAGATGTGGCCCGGGTCACATAGCCACCCAAGAATCAACCACATTTCGATCAAGTTCAGCAATACGCGGTTCCACCATGAGATACAAACTCGGCTGGTACGGCTGGTATCAGGTGGCGCCTTCAGTTTAAGGTAGTTCGGCATCTACTGGAAAGATGCCCCCTTCTCTGAGTCAAATTTTCGCTCGTTGTTCCAGCCTCTGTAGATATTTGGGTCAAAGTATCTTCTGCGTGCCGAACTCCCTTGAAATCAAAAAAAGAAAAATCTCTCTCTCTGACAGCTATGAATATATGCTCTTGTGATGAATATGACGCTATTCTATTATGGTCTGCTATTAATGACCTGGTCAGCTAAATATTTCCTTTGTCGTATGGGGACGGCTCTTCGTATTCTAAAAATTTTAAAGTATGGCCACGAGAATGAATGATGCCCAGGTAGCAGAATTTGCCACTTTAGCTTGGGCATCGACTTAAGTCATCGCAACCATCTACTTGAACCAATGATCTTTGTCAATGTGCATTATTCATCAAAAGAGGATGTAGATAAAACAAGTGAGCTAACAAATATGTAATACATGATGGGCAATTTCGAGGTTCCAAATCTCAAGCCTTTTACAAAGCGTGTCGCCAATCTGTAGCCCCCGATAGATGATTCACAAGCGCCAAAGCTTGCTCATGTAACGCCAACCTTTGAAATTACTGCACAGTCTGTTCATGGAAGTGCTTGCCCCGAAAGTGCCACGGAAGTCTTGTGCTGTCAGCGAACCCAAGTTTCAGCCAAGTAATACATTGCTCTCTTGGTCGCGCTTCTTTCAAAAGCCCTGCAATGAGTGTCAGATTTTCTCTCTACATATTGTAGTGGTGGAACCCATGACATAATAAATACAGTTGCGGCCTGAGGTGTCACGAATAGGTCAATACGAATACCGCGGTGGATCGGAGGTACAATTATCCTTCATGTTTATTACTTATGTAATCTAGAATCCCCTAACTAACGTGGTTCACAAGCGAGTGACGCACCCCAAAACATCCTTGAAGCTCAACAACCAAAATTACACTGTAATTTTGGTAGAAGTTGTCAAATCAGGATTAAATAAATCGGGACTTTTATACCAGACTTTCAATGCTCTAATTAAGTAGTATAATATATATTGCGAAGAATGAACTTATGGTTATTGAGATAAATTGTTGCATTTACTATGGTGTTTTGGGGTGCGTCACTCGCTTGTGAACCACGTTATAAATTGGCAGAATCAGGGGTAATACAAAAACAGAGCTTTTTACATCGTTGATTGGTTGCATACAAAACATTCAGACACGAAACTCGAAGTTCGTTTTCAGGAAGTGGAACATTCTACATGTACGTACATGGGCATATTTCGTTGCTGTAGCCTGCATATCGCTTTGCGAGAGGTCGGGGTAAATGAATCACATGCACACACTTCTGTATTGTTATATAACAAATAAATTACAAATTGTACCAGCGGTATGTACAGTGGTGTAACATAAGTATTTGACCTCGAGTACTTCGGCCTAGGACCCACTTTTTAATACTGCCAGGCAGAAACCTTCGAAATTCAAACCATTTCAATAGCTAGTACGCCACCCTTCATATTTAATAACATCAGCCACTCTATGAGGCATAGTCTCTGATAGATGCTTGAAGATCTCAATATCTAGGCTTTCCCAAGCTTCCTGCGTAGCTTCTAGTAATAGATCTAGCGTAGATTCGCTATTCGGTAGGTGCATAAGCTTATGATAACGCTTTAAAATTTTAGCTTTTAGTAACGCCCATAGATTCTCAATCGGATTTAAATCAGGCGAAGAAGGAGGCCATTCCATAATCTCGCATTCAAGCTTATTAAGAGCGCCCTGCACGATATATGCAGTATATACCGGCGCGTTATCTTGTTAAAAAATTGTATTATAATTAAGGCTATTAAGTAACGTAGGTAAGTAACGTAGGTAAGACACGCCGGTAGAGCTCTTTAATCATACACAAAGAAACACCACTACGTCGAGACTTAGGATCTCCGAATAGTGGAATTAGGCTAGACCGAGGCGATAAACTGCAAAAAGCAGCGTAAAATATCTACTTAATTTACTTCCCTCGCGCCGGAACTATTTAAACCTAAGAGCCCTCTTTTAAATACTGAAAAAGCTAATCTTTCGGACAAATAATAGTCCATTCTCGACGCTAGCCGATTCCACGTTTAACTGTATATTTATCAGACCAATAGACGCAGGCCTAATCTATAGACGTAAAGTGCTACTATCTTAGGGCCCAATTCAGACGTTTCTCGGCATGAAGAGGCGTTAATAAAGGCCGTTGTATCTTTCTCCACTTCCGGAGGCCTATTTCGTGGGTTAGACGCCAAATTGACATACAGTAGACCTTAAAATCGATCTCTGTAAGTAGATTTTCGATTAATACTGATAGCTTTTCTTGTATAGTCTCGTATATATAGTCACGATCGTCTTCAATAAGCTTCTTTAGGGCACCAGAGTGGGGAAGGCTCTACTTCTTTTAACGCTTTGCCTCTTAGGTAAGAGTATATTGAATAGTTGAGCGTGGAATGTCGGGATAGCGTATCTTCTTAATTATTATTGCGCCCTAGCCATTTGTAGCATATGGTTCGCAGACCTTAGCCCTAGTAAGGCAGTCAAGCTCAGGGCCTCTTTTTTTTACGTACAGGAGGCATAATAAAGGCAGTTTTGAAAGAAAAAGGGCTGTTAAAACGCATTGAAATCTAGCGTATATGGCTACGCGTTGAAACGCGGCACACTCACAAATTAGGCGGTATAGAAAGCGGTCAGTCTAAAAATGGATCACGAAGTACCCGAGGTCAAAAACTTATGTTACACCACTGTATGTCTACAGCGATGACATCTATGACGTCAACGACTTGGGGTGTGGTTTAACTCTTGCAAACGATGAATGCGAACTCTATAAGCCTCTTGAACATCATTCTCGGTGAGCGCTTCACTCTCTTTTGTCATTCAACGCCCGGCGTTCCAATCCAAGATGGACACTTTATCAAAATTCACTATCTCGTTGACAGTTGTCACATTTTTCACATTTACTTCACGGATGTTAGCAAGGAAGTTCTTACTCCAAAGTTTGGGGAAAGATGATTGGATTTTATCAGCTTCCATGTGTCTCTTAATAGCCAACACAATTTTGGTCATTCTCACAGGTAAAGTTAAAATTGCATTTGAGATGTGGCATGGTCTAATGACTACGACAAAGAAAATGATATTGCAAAAGAGCACTCGGAGAACGCTGATTACGGAACAAACGAACGTCTTTTGAAGGTACCTAATACCCTTTGACAGTATTCCTAGAGAATGTATTACGAGGCTAAGAAAAATATAGATTGAAACAGCCATCCGCGTTTCCTACACATGGGCAACCACTTTTGTGAAGCTTTCATTGCTAAGTCTTTACCTGAGGATTTTTCCAAACCTCAGAACCGTCGTCTACTTCTTCAGTGGATTTGTGATTGTGCTAGCGCTTGTTTTCACCTCCACAGACATCTTCCAATGTCACCCAGTATCAGCAGCATGGAATCCGAGACAACGTGAATCTGCTAGTTGCTTCTCGCCTTTGCCATACTGGGTTACTACCGCGGCTTTCTTTTCTATTTCCGACCTTTTTATATTTGTTCTTCCATTGAAAACTATATTGGGTAGGTTGTAAAACAAAGAATTGAAGAAATTTTCGGCTTATTCTTGTGATATCCCAGCTCTTCACGCGCCCGTCAAAACCCGATTGAATGTGATGACGTTTTTCTGTCTCGGATTACCGTAAGACACTCAAAAGGATTTCGCAGTTTAGTATATCACTAACATAGCTAGGGCATGCTTTGCAGGTCAGTGTCGCTTGGTTTTCATCATCCTACTATTTGCTGGGCATAATGACGATCAGACCACTCGATTTGTCTCCGCTTTCTCGACTAGCGAAATATGCTTGGCTATCTTAGCTTGCAGCTTTCCATCGATAAATTCTATCTGGAAATACTTGCATGAAAAATTACGAAGTTCAGCTTCACCTTCAAGTAGTGGAGGGTCCTCGGAAAGAAAAATAACTAATAACTAAAGATGAAAGGTGAAATAGATGACGAAAATGAATTTATAACGGGGTAAATTGTTAAGGCCTACTTTTGCTTATTTCTGGCCTATGAGTCCATCAAAAATTCGATCCAGCTAGACTGTCCCGATCTTTTAGCCACTTTTTGCCGTTTAAAGCAATTAGCAACGTGCCATTATGTTGATTGGAATCAATTGAATATCCGCTGATTCAACCCGCACTGCCATTCGTTACGTACGACTCCTGCGAACTGGTGAGCTGGTCTTATATCAGTTATGCTTAGAATTTGAAAACAGTTTACCCCTCAGACACAGGCTTTTTTTCCTAGCGCCCCACTCAGACCGCGCCAAACCAAATCTGGCCAGTAAAAGTCCCCACATTCTTTTCCCGATGTATTTTTGGCAGATCACCAGAATTACCGTAATTACGGGTTCCGGCATGAAGCAGACCATACTTGCCGAAAGGCCCGGTGGCTATACACCAAATTCGAAAACAGATTACCGCCTAGATACTGACCGTCTGTTTCTCGGGCCGTACCCGCAACACTTTCAACAACGGATCCCTTGGTTCCGGCATCGATGAACAACGCAGCGAAATGCGATACGTAATGTGAATTGCAGAATTCAGGTTGTGCAAATCCGTTGCCATCCAGTATTGTCAGCCAGCACGGAAAGCGCATTATCAAATATCTGATCGTCAAGTGGTCAAATGAGGCCCAGATGTAACGAAAGAAGAAGCCGAGACCCAAAAGATAGCTTATGAATTTGTAGATAGCCGCATAGTTCGTGTTCCACGAGCATATGCTTTCTTTTCTGATGAACGAGGCTAGGGTTATATTGTGATGGAGTTTATAGAGGGGAAGATCATTGACCCATTAGAGGACGTTACGGCCGTCGAGAAGGTTGTGGGCGTGCTTGATCACTTCGCAACATTAGGATACGCTATCCCTCGGTCTCTCTGTAGGGGTTTTTGTCGTGGCCTTCTGTTCCCCGACACTGAAGATCTTAGTTTTGACAGTTTTGACGAGATGGAGAGGTGGTTCAATAGCCGACTTTTCGAGCACAACCCGAAACTAAGTTTACAGAACTGCAAGATGGTGCTTTGCTACTTGGATATAGCACCTCGAAATATCTTGTGGCAGGAAGATGGCTCGCTCTGCCTTATTGATTGGGCATCTGCAGGCTACTATCCAAGGTTGTTCGAGTTCTGTGCGGAGTGGATTGATGAAGGAAAAGATGGCGCCTTCAATTCCCTTCTTTTGAGCTCGATGAATTCCCTCTCGGGTGAAGAGATAGCACCTAAGCTCGTCCTTCGGAGCTAAAAAGAACGATCGATTCCACAATCGCCTTGGCCGTCATTTACGAGCCGTGTTCACTTTATGTACTAAGTTTTCTAAATTTGCATAGCATCGGAGCTTCTGTGGAAGTATACCTGCATCTTTTATCTTTCTTCTTCTTATATTAAATAAGAAGATTAATTCATCCTATGTAGTATTGGTAAATATCCTAACAGGTATTAAATTATTCCTAAGATATTAGATAAATATCATTAGTTAGCTACTAGAAAATATTACTATAGTAATTATAATCTTTTATATTTAAGATATCTTACTTAACTATAACTAGGAGAGATTATAACGTCTCTCGCTCCTATCTCAACGTAAAACTAATTAAGTTATAGTAAGCTATCTTCTAGGAAGGTAGCTTCTTTCTTATTATAATACAGTCTTCCGCGAATAGCTTAAGAAGTTACGATATAGGGTTAGGTTTATTCTTAGAAAACTTAATATCCTTTACTTCGTTATAAGACAATCTCTATCTACTATATGTAAGTGATTTCGTTTATCAGAAGAAAAGAAAGTAAAAGAGAGAAATACTACTTACAATACCTAGTTTAAAGCTATATTATCATATTTATTATATATAGTGGGTGTAAGATTCTAGTAGTAGATAATATTCTCTTCTTATTCCCGCTCCTCTTAGTACTCGCGAGTGAACCTACGTAATGCGGTACGTATAATACGCTTCTTAAGGGCTTTCTAGATCGCTTATTCAGTAAATATTTTGTAGGCTTGAATAAAGCGAAGAAAGCGCCTTTAGACCGGAATTTATCCTTTTCTGAGAGTGGGTGGGCCTCTCTCACCCTAGGGTAAGAGTTCTCACCCCGTTCTCACCCCTCTCACGCCAGTCTCCAGGCAACTCACCCATATCACCCACACTCACCCTAGGGTAGCGCGCATCGCTGGTTTAAAAGCTAAGGGCTCTTTGAAAATTAGCCATGCAGAATATGTGGCTTAAGTACGGCTGAGCGGACGGGAAGCCCTGTTCTCCACACCCTATGGTCGTATGTGTTGAAATGGCGTTTTAAGAGAAATATGAAGTAATTTTGTCCTGATTGAGAATTCGTAGATCTTGTATTTTAAGCATATAAAAGTGGCATCGCGTCTTGATTGGATCTCGCGTTGAGGCCCCCGGCCCTTCAAGGGTTTGTTTTAACCCGGTTGCAGCTCTCGATATTGAAAGGCAAGGCGCTTTTTCACACGTCATCCTTAATTAATTTTACGACTCCGAGGCTAGGCACTATTTGTGAATAGAGAACAATCTGTGTTATCACTTGGCTCGAATGAAGGACTTTGCCAAGACATATTCCTTTGTGCCGTGCTTACGCCTAAGATAAGGGCATACTGTACATACTCTCGGGCATTGTGAGAACGCCGGGAACGATGCGGCGGATCGGCTCGCTAAGGAAGCTGCACAACCGGGCAAATCCCATCCTCTCCGGCCACTGCTGTCGAGGGAGGACGCATTTATCCGCAATAAGATTCATGCTCAATGGGCCCGAGAGTGGAAGTCGAGCACGAAAGGCTTGCACCTACGGAAGATTGACGACACCCTACCGGCGCGATACACTAGAAAACTATATGGGAACTTACCCAGGAACCGCGCGTACTTGCTGACACAGCTACGCACAGGCCACAGCTGGCTATCTAGCTACCGAAAGAAGATTGGTTATAGTGATAATGATCGGTGCGAGTGCGGCGCGCAGGAGACAGTCGCCCACGTCTTGATGGAATGCCCGAGGCTAAGAGAGCCGCGAATAGAATTGAGAAGATAGGTTGAGGACGCGCTCAACAGCGTATCGAGTCTGCTGGGAGGCTCAAATGAAGGTGAGAAAGGTAAACCAAAAACCGTCTCGCGAGTCAAGACAGTACGAGCTGTACTGGACTTCGCAGAGGCGTCACAGAGGTCCCGCAGTAGTGCGTCATAATGACAGCCTAACAACGGGAACGGCAATGGGCCACGATAGGCCGTGACGAGGCTATAAGTTCATGTCAGGAAGTGGATCACTCTATCTGTACGCACATGGATATATATAGTTGTCGTATCCTGCATATCGTTCGTTAGGGGACAGGGTAAATGATTTCACACGCACACACACACACACACACACACACACACACACTCCTGTACTCTCGTGAATCCAGTGAGAATTCAATTCGTCAGAGCCTTAGAAAATGAATGTGCCTTGGAACCCTAAAATCCGACCTTGAGCCCCAATGCCTTAGGATAAACATGGTCGCATCTCAACAAGAGTACCGCGCAAGGAAAAATACAGGACACTCTACCCCGAAGCCAATCTTACATGTGGTAATTGAAAAAGCAAAAAGAAAAAAGCAGGTTCACCTAGCAAGACCAAATAAAGATAAACAAATATACTATTGCCGAGCCGGAGCCAAAAAGAAAGTGGGACTGCCGCGGCAACAGCGTGACGTCATACAACTAGATCACAGCACCTGACTTAACAATAAAGCAGTACAGCTTTCCATACATGCATCCAGGATGCCCTTCTAACCAAAACGGCACTGCAAGCGACTGATGCATGTTTTTTGAGCTGGTAGCAGTCCCCTTTGCACCCCAATTCTTTTCTTCTCTTCCCGAGGGAGCACAGGATTTGAGTTTTTCGAGATACCGGAGCATGCCGTCACAGCATGGCCTTCTCTGGCAGCTTGCGGGCCAGTCGACTGAGATAAAAACGCTTCACTTCCGCACTACACATGCTGATACGCGTGGCTGGTTGAATCCACTTAGGACTTATATACGTCATTATGGCACTGGGCATGAAGTGGTCAAGGTTGAAACGACCTGGCGAGAGAGATGGTCCACGTGCAGCGATTGTTTCCGGATCCAAGCCTGGCAGCAGCTCTAGAACAATGCCCAGTACAACACAGCAAGGTCCTCTACATCATCCGACTGAAGCTAGGAAAAATAGACTTACCAAGTCTGTACCATGAACTCACTAGAAAAGTAATCAGATGATCAAACCTAAAGTTCCTGGTAATCCGAGTCCGCAATTGGTTCACCAGCACGATGAGAACAGAGTGATAAAATTCGCTAGGGGAGGGAATGACGATCGTAAGTCTCTTGCCGAGGTCTGTTTTACTTGTGCTGGTTCAAAATTGAGATATCTGTGAAGATCCTTTCAAAGTAACCGGAGAGTTAATTGTCCCGAAACCCTGCCCCACTATATATCCCAAGATCTTGCCCCTGATCAACCACCGGCCATCAACCTTAACTACAACCAGCCCTTGTGTCTCAATATAGCGTCCTCATCTGTTCGAAAATATGGCGAGCTTTGTTGCAGCGAATATAAATCCACTAAATTATTTTGGTGGGGTCAGTTTCGTACCAGACAAGAATATTCCCGATTTGTCGGGAAAGGTCATTCTAGTAACAGGAGGTAGGTCAAACTCTTACCCCGCGAGATCGTATACATATCATAGACCTGGTGATCTAACAGAAACATAGGAAACGCGGGTCTGGGCAAGGAGTCGATCCTCCGACTCGCAAAACACAAACCGGAAAAAATCTTCCTGGGCGCCCGGTCGGAGTCTAAAGCGACCGAGGCCATCGCCTCAATTAAGTCATTTGTTGAGAACGTTGAGATCAGCTGGATCCCATTGGACTTGACATCCACCAAGTCGATTCAAAATGCAGCCGAGCATTTCAAAGCCCAGTCTCAACGGCTGGACATCCTACTCTTGAATGCGGGTGTGATGGCCCTGCCTCCCGGTGAAACGGAACTAGGTCACGAAATCCAACTCGGCACCAACCACACCGGGCATTTCCTTTTGACGAAATTGTTATTGCCTACGTTACTCCGTACCGCGGAAGAACCTGACTCCGATGTCCGTGTTGTGTCTCTCTCTTCGGTGGGGCATAATCTTGCTCCGGCCTTTGAGAAAATACTGGACCAGGAGAAGCTTAAGAAGGTGAATACCAATACTAGGTATGGAGCTTCGAAAGCTGCGAATATTCTGTTCGCTGCCGAGCTCGCTAGACGCCATCCGTCTATCACGTCGGTGTCTGTCCACCCTGGTATTATTTTGACGGATCTGTACAACTCGATGAGTGGAAGTTCAGCTTTCCATGCATTGGGATCCAAAGCGATTGGTATGATTGGGACTTCAGTCCCCGACGGAGCACGCAATCAGCTGTGGGCTGCTGTTGGCGCGAATAAGGAAGATCTCGTTAATGGTGCGTATTATGTGCCTGTTGGCAATTTGAAACAGCACAATTGCTATGCACAAAGCAAGGATATGGGGAAGCGTCTATGGGAATGGACGGAAGGGGAACTCGCGAAAATTTCTCTTTGATTGTCTTACAATGACGTCTTTCCGATGGTGCACCCGATGTATTATATGTGTTTTGTTTGAATAGAACGATATATGTGATAACTAAAAGACCCGGCCCTGAGAAATCTCCGTATGGGAACATGATATTCGTATCATCTAGCAGGTAAAAGAGGCGGCAATGTCGGAACAGCTGTTTATCGTGGTCTGATGTTTAGGTGTCTCCTTCACATGTCAGCAGCATGTAAGCATTCAAATGCTAAGCCCATGAAAAAGTCCTCAAATTGGATTATGATGCGCAAAAGGTGAGCAGCTGTATAGAATTACGAATGAACGATTGATTTTAGACCAGCAAAGGATCGAAAGTAGATGGGCGAGCAGGAGGAAGATCAGAAAAACCCCGAAAAATCACGCCACGGGTTTAAAACCAGGCTGAGCGCTGATCTAGTACAACATTGTGATGCTTGTGTGACGATGTAAAGTGGCTGATAGTCGGTAAAATTATGTTTTGTGCGACATAAAAGGTAGCCAGAAAACGCAACTGACAGAGGATTTCTCTAAAAGTGCTGTTATTCATTAACGGGAGTCTACAGTGGGGAGAATTAGATAGATGAACTATTGTAATATACATTACTCTTATTTATAAATTACATCCAATACGATTGGCGAGACGGACAATCAAGCGGAGGAGACGACGCTCTATGCCGGCGAACATTAGACTAACCTCTATGGAAGTCGACTGTAGATTGATCAACTCACAAACTCTTTCACCATCTTGATGTCCCCTTTTAATTCATAGTCCTCAGCACTGCCCTGCGAATTTTTCGGCTGCATGACCCCTGAGACTTGTCCTCCTGTTATGTGTACGTCGTTTTGTTCGTAGATCTCAATATCCGGATTCTGGTATGTGCTGCGATCTTGTAGGGGTAGTTCAACATCGCTCCAGCTGGCAACATGGGAGCGCTTGGTAGGCCTTGCCGAAGCGTTGCGATTATAGGAGTTTGGATTGAAGTTGGAGGAACCGTAGTTATAGGAACCCATGCTCTTACTCGAGATCAAGGTTTTGAAAGGCGGCAGGCAGCCAACGATAACCGCTTTTCTAGTTATTAACTTTTTACTCATATTCGAGGGTAGGGGTTTCACTCACATATTGATGATTCGGCAATACTCCACACAGCCAAGGCTGCTTGGTCAGAGTATGCTTTGCCGGAAATTTCAACCGCTCGAACAATTGCCGCGGCGATAATAATGAATCCGAGTGAAAAGACAATCACTAAGCCGACCTTCTGCTTTGAATTGATCCTCGCATTCCAAAGGATGCGGAGCGGGAGTGACATGACTGCGGGTTTACGTTAGCTCTGCTCTATCTTGCTGGACTATTCGGTCATACTTAACAGATCCGTGATGATATCCACCGCAGTACTATAACAAATAGAGATAACGGATCCCTCCTGGTCAATCGGTTTCACGCATTTCCCTGTGGAATGTAAGCAAAGTCCAAATCGAGATTATCGCCACAGTAGAGCTGAATCCATACCGAACTTGAAATAGTTGGACGCTGGATGACACGTAAACACTGACGCAAGCCAGCATCCGATATAAGCCACAATTGCAAAGATTGTAATAGCCCACCATGCTCGGCGGTAATGAGGCAGACCGTCGGAGATAATCCAGAACAGAGCAAGGAATGATCCCTTGATAGCCCAAAGAACAGACCAGAAAACACCAATGATAGCAAATTCGTAATAGGTGTAGAGAGTACCGTGGTACATAATATCTGGTCCCGTTAGGTCGAGGGCCATGTAATAGAGATGCGGTGCCTGCAAGGTCTGCAACACAGCATTTGCAATGAGGAAGGCCAAAGCCAAGAGTACAAAGTAATCATCTGTTAATAAGCGCTTCATCTGTGTTAAGCGAATTGTGATCCGGATTCCAGTGAATAGAATGCCCAGAGCAGCTCCCGTCCATGTCACTGCAATGAGGCCATCGGCGGATAGTGTGGTGGCGACACCTTGGGGTGCTGAGGCACCCATGGTGACCATGTTGCAGTTGCAGTTGCAGTTGCAGTTTCAGGCAGATGTAGAGACAAGACCGACGGCACATTTGTGGCAATCAGAAGAGAGGCGACCGGAGAATGTACAGGGCTGAGATGCCTCTTAACAAGATGGATCACATCGGAATTTTTTCCAAAAATATAAAGTTATGGGATCCTTGCTTTGAAATGCACAAGGAATAGACTATTGGCGATGGGCATGAGGGGTATCTGCAATAGCTGGGCTGAATTTGCGACCGGAGTTGTGTTTAATGCCCAACAAGCTAAGAAAGTACATCGGATTCGATCAAAACAAGCCCCGCATTAGCTGTATGGATTAGGCCAGCGGGTGAGCCCAAAAATGTGGAGTGCGTTTCACCTTTGGAATGGACTCATGGCTATCTGGAGATGTAGATACCGAGATCATGCCAGGCTATTGCCTTATTGAGAGCTTCGGATATGACTACACTCAAGCACGGGCATTGACGTGCAGCTAAGATTGACTCCGTCACGAGTCTCAGGATTCGACCAGTAACGACAGGTCGAACTTCCCACCTTTTTGGAATAGAGCCAAATCGACACTGATTCAAGGGGTAAACGGTATGCTGTGACTGATTGGTCAACGACCACATTCGGGAGCATCCCGACCGCACTTTGCGATGTATCACAATGGATCATCACATTCACTCCAGAGCTGACCACTCTTGCGCACTTAGCATAAGCAATGACTCGGGATTTTGATATCGACCGGCCGGAGGGTTATGACGATTCGGAACGCATGGGCGGCTCGAAGAAATTCCCAGTGGGGGCCCATTGCATAACTCAATTCATGCCGAGATCTTTGATACTGTAGACGTCTGGTTGAGCTAAGGCCTAAGTGTGGCTTGGCTAGGTTCGATGGCGGGGCTGTGGCGATTATCCTGACTCGCTCAACCACCTTCCTCACCGTGGCCACCTGCATATGCTCTCGGTTGCCTGAAATGTGCGCTGTTTGGTTCAGCCCAAGGAATTCAAGGTTTCAAAAAGCCACTAAACTCAGAGGTAAAGCTCTCTGTTGACTGATTCCACAAGGACGTGCGCTAATCCCTAGATTGTCCAAAAGACGGTACTCCCCGACTCGCTCCAAACCATATGGCGCAGGCCGAGAAGCGATGTTACCTTCTCCGCAAGGGGCTCGCTTACCTGGGAGATACACACGATCAACTAACGTGGCGTCCTTCTCTATCACTCGCTCTCATTCATGACTTCTCATAATTCTACCCGAAAACGAGCTTTATGCGAACCAAGTCGGATGCTCGATGCGCCCGTCACGCCGCAGGGTGAAGTCGTTTAAATGATGCGAAGTGTCTCATTGCCCAGATCACTTCTGAAAATCTCCTTGTGCGCATATCTGGGCTTGAAATGGTGTCAAGACTGTTGACCACATTGGCTCTCGCGAGCCTTGCACTCGCTGGTTTGCAGGATTCCTGCAAATGTGTACGTTTCACCCTGCTTCCCGGAATGGCGGGATCGGAGAATAACAAACCCTTCTCGATAGACACCAGGAGACTCATGTTGGCCTTCTACGAGCTCTTGGAACTCCCTGAACACAACAGTCGCAGGGAAGCTCATCCGCAACCTCCCAATCGCCATTCCGTGCTACCCCGGCCCCTACCATAACAAGGATCAATGTGCCCATGTCTATTCGCAACGGTATAATTCCACATTCCAGGAACTGTCTCCTGTGGGGTACTGCTACCCGACCGATGAGCCCTGTCCACCAGTTGATCTGCGCAAGGAAACCCCTGGAAAGTGCACCCTCGGGCCCGCTCCGGTGTATACGATCAATGCTACCGAGCCGGCGGAACTTGCCGCGGGTATGGCCTTTGCCCAGAGGCATAACATCCGGTTGGTTGTAAGAAATACTGGGCATGATATCTTGGGAAAGTATGTGGCATTTTTCATTTTTTATTCATTTGCACATGTCTTGGAATGTTCTGACAGTCTTTGCGTTCTTAGATCCGAGGGTTATGGCGCACTTCAAATCTGGATCAAGTATATCCAGAAGGGTATCACTATACAACACAAATACAGCCCTTCCGATAAATGCTCTGAGAGTGACTGGACCGGCGCGGCGCTCACGATCGGGGGTGGCTATGTCTGGGCAGAGGTGTATGAGTTTGTCTTCAAGCGCGGCATTACGGTTGTCGGCGGTGGCGACCCGGTATGTCTAAGAATGATTACAACCCAGAAAAATGAAGACTAATGTTATCTTCTAAGACCGTGGGCTGCATTGGTGGTTACATACAAGGAGGCGGTCATTCACCTGCAAGCCACGATTACGGCCTTGCCGCAGACCAAATACTCGAAGCCCAAGTTGTTCTTGCAGATGGCTCAATTGTGACTGCCAACCCGTGCCAGAACTCAGACCTATATTTTGCGATCCGTGGGGGTGGAGGTGGGAGCTACGGCGTCGTGACCTCCATGACTGTCAAGGGATATCCTTCCAAGCCCGTCGTGGCTCAATCGCTCACCATCATGCCTCTCACAAACGATACAGAGATACTGCTAGATGCGATCACACAAATTTGGGAAGACTATCCACGCCTCATGGATGCAGGCTTCTCAGGATATGGAACATGGTCCATCAACAGCCCCGCGGTACTCTTCGCGAAGCAGACCGTTGGCTATGTACACGCTATTGCAGCTATGGACAAGTCAATCAAGGATGCCAAAAACACTTTCAGACCTCTCCACCAGAAACTGGAGAAATACAATGGGACTTCGCTCTGTGTCTCAGTGTCCTGGTTTGAGTTCCCCACATATGCGGCTTACTACCGTGCCATGTCTGGCGTCCACCAGCCCGTCGGCTCGCCGAACTCTGCTTTAACATCGCGCATGTTCAGTAAAGCCGCTCTCACAGACAGCCACTCCGATCTCCGCAATATGATCGGTGTCATTGCAGGACGGCCGAAAGAAAACACTATTAATAGTGTGGAACTTGTTGGCGGAGACAAAGTTATCGCTGACAAGGATGATAAATACTCGGGTGCCAACCCTGCCTGGAGATCTACTTACATTGTCAACGTGGTTGGCCGAGGCTGGGCGGAGGGAAGTGATATAGGTACTGCCCAAAGAGTCAAAGATGATATCACTTATCACAAAGGTGGGGCGATGAGACGCCAGACGCCAGATGGGGGCAGCTACATGAACGAGGTAAGTCGGTCTATATCTGTATTCAAGAGATGATCTGGCTAACATTCTTTGAAGGCTGATAAAAATGACCCCCTATGGGCCTCTGACTTTTATGGCTCCCACTACCACCGCCTTGCTGCGATAAAGAAGAGATATGACCCGAATGATCTCTTTTGGTGCCATACATGTGTAGGGAGTCCGTCTTGGCATCAGCAGTATTTGGATGGCAAGGACTACGGGCCTCTTTGCCGGACTGGACAATGACTCACTCAAAGAGATCACGGGAATGACGTGACCTGTGTAAACACGTATCTGTACATCATTGATTTTGTCTGGCCTGACACCAATTGTTAAGTCAAAGGATTTGCGATCTTCATGTAAAGTGTTACTGGATTGAAAGAAATTATGATTCTGTACATATTCGATTCTTAGGTACCTGTTCTATATTGGCGACTCTAAATGATGGATGCGTAGCCCGTTGTGAGTTTAATGCTTCAAGGGGCTAATATTGGAGTGATGATGGCTTTCGCCGGACATGATTATCCGTCACCGCGGAGAATGGAGACAAGGCGATTGTGAAGCTGTTGCTTGAGACTGGGCAGGTGGACCCTAATTCAAAGGATCGCAGAGGTCGGACACCATTATCTGAAGCCCTAAAAAAGGCCTTGCTGCGGTACTGAGAGCGTTACTCCCTGTAAGAGCTAAATCTGAGAGCATTCTGTATTGAGAGATTGGGAATGGAGGCGAAAAGAGGTGAGGAGGGAAGAAAACAGAGAGCCCTAGGTGCTTACTACATAGGAAATGCAAACAGAAATAATACCTCCGAACAGTCCCGTACAATAATTATCACGACACTTTACATGATTTACAAATAGGCTCATACTTTGAGAGGCTAGGTATGGTGCTACTCTATGGCGACTTGAATTTCATCGCACTCGGACTTCCTCACTGGAGAGCCCTGCCTATGGATGACAGCAAGCCATCACGAGTAGGTCCCCTCGATAATCTGAGGTTTTGAGTTTGACAAAGGGTAGTTGTATCTAAATGATCCTTCATGGTGGTCCATAAATCCAGATGATCTCGATTACGATGGTTACGATGAGTGGCAAGGAGAAAAGAGTTATGGACAAAAGTTGCCAGAAATTTCAGTCTCACCAGCTGGAAACCCGTGTTAGTCTCACAAGATCATGCTGTTCTTGTGATTGAATCAAATGATGTCTTCTTCATGATTTGCTTTTGATGATTGCTAGAGATAAAGCAAATACTCAAAGATGGGGGCATCGGCGCGCTAATGAGGAAACTTCTCGGCTACGGCTAGAAATTAAATCCAGGTAGATTTAAAAATTGATACCATATCATGATATGGGAATCTTGACATATCTGAGGTATAAGATTTAGCCTAAGAAGTGGCCATTTGTCTTGGCGAGCTGTTCATCGTAGTAGGGCTGAAATGCCAGCCATCCCTTGTCAGGTCCACCGACGTTCGCTTTCGAATATTCCGCCTCTTCGTTGCTGATACTTATCTTCTTATGACCGGATCCTGTTGAAGCCGCATCGGCTAGAAGCTGTGCTTGGCAGGTCTTGTCCAGGCTTATAAACTACTACTGTTAGCGAATGACCCGGTTCATTGAATCTGGGGCAATGCCATTCACTTACCCAAAAAGCGGCTTCATCGACAGACTGACCCACAGTCAAAAGCCCATGGTTTTGCAATATAACCGCTTTGCATTTACCGAGGCTCTTGGCAATACGTTCGCCCTCCGCCTTGTCTACTACAACGCCACCAAATTTATCGTAAACGGCGTGATCCTCGTAGAAACGTAGAGAGTCCTGTGTCAACATTTCAAGCTTGCGACCAAAGCAGGAGAACGCTTTTCCATAGACACTATGGGCATGACAGGCAGCGTGAACATCTGGCCGTGCTTTGTGAATAGCTGAGTGGATAGTGAATGCGGCGGTATTTATTGGCTGATCGCCTTCGACTATGGCACCTTCTTCGTCCACGAGTATAAGATCTGAGACCCTAATCTGAGAGAAATGCATAGATAACGGGTTGAGCCCTTGTTCGGTTTTGTGTCAGATACTTCCACTGACAAAATTCTGGAGAGAGACTTACAAAAATGGTCTGTGAGAATGGGATCGCGGACAGAAATGTGACCAGCGACACCTTCATCAAACCCTCGGTCCGCAAAGATTCGAAAGGCCGCGGCGAGATGTTGTTTGCGGTAAATGCGTTCCTCCAAAAGCGATTCAAATTTTGGATAGGTACGTATCTTCAAAGCTCTCCCATCTTTTGTCCTACCCAGAGACTGTACCTGTTCAGGCGATGGGCGCGAATGTACATTGGCTCCTGTTCCCGGGTCAAGAATGCTTGCCCCAACAGGATTTCGGGTCGCTGATCGAGACATTTGGCCATATGGGCTTTTTTTCAGAGTCGCTTGGATTCAGTTATCGGAATAAAAGTTCAAAGGGTAAACCAAAACAGTCTGGCATGGTAAATTTACGGCTACTTATTTGTGGCGGGGAAGCCTCGGCATTAGCCCCGCAAAACCTAACCTCTCGGAAATGATCGAAGTATCCAGTCGGAAATTTATCCGGGCTTGTAAACAACGAAGAAGACCAAGTGCCCAGGTGCTATTTCGCGGCAAGTGATGAAGAAACGGTCGCAGCCTGGCCCCGCCCGTGGGACAAGATCTCAACGAAGTTCAACTAAGCTTCAGCACTAATTTGGAAGGTTTCACAATGATGAGTTTCAAAATTTAACTCTTGGCCGGTTCTAAGACCTTAATCCAAGAAAATAGAGGAAATTCAAACGCAAAACCACCGAAATCACGTTGGAGTTCATTCAGCAATATTAAATTGTTACACAGGGCTTGTTGTCCGCTTCAATCTGTTTTAAGAGGGACTAGTGAGTTGTTGCTACTTTCTTTATTCGTACCTCGTCTCGTGATTCGGCAAAAAAATTGCCGACGGTGAGAGTAGGGAAGATCGCTAGGATAATAAGATATATAATACCAGAAGCGAGGATTTTTATACCGAATCACAAGCACTTAGCTGCTCGTCGTGATCCCATAAATCGATTTTTAGATATTGTCTGCCTATTGAATTGAATGTGTGACAAAAAGAACCTTGTTTAACACAGAAGGTTACAGTTACATTCGGATTGCTGTGCCTGCATTTTGTGCATTTATTATCAATTTTGGGGAGAACATGTCTTACTGTGCTTCACAAAAGCTATCACACGTTGGAAGAGGCATGTGGTCTTGGCACTCTTCAACGCAGCATGCAGAGTGGATTAGAGCAAGTACTGCCAATATTTATGTCATATTACGCCGCCTGGCGGATTACCCGATGGAGTACAAGATCCAGAAAAAAATAGTACAACCAACGGTCATTGTCCTGAAAGTGAGACAACCACCAATATTAAGCTCACTCGAGGGAAAGGGCAGATTCTTGTAAATTTTATGCCTCCTATATGTATGTCAAGCAGCCGGTTGAATATAACTATTTTTCCAGCGTATATCGCGTCAGAAACCGGTCCAACAAACTCGAAAAGCCATCCCTCAAACATGAAGATCAAAGCGACATCTGATTTGATCTATTTTTCTAGCTTCCTGTCCACTCTTTTGGTTGCTACCAAGCCTCCTGTTCTTCTCAACGGACCTCGAATTCCCGACCTTCCTCCTAAAATTTCGGACTTAGCAGGCTTGCTCGAAGCTTCTGAGGAATCAAAGAGTCAAATCCAAGTTAGTGTTGATTGCGCTCTGGAGTCTTTCACCATAGGGGCATTTTGTAGTGGGTACATCTCTCTACACGACACAGAGGGAGAAACTAACAATGACCGCCCTTAGCGAGCCCTGTCAATTGTTCTATTGGACCTCGGTCATTCCACTTTGTCTGTCCTCGGTCCTAAGCCAGCTCCTAAGGGAGTACATGAAGCTCCTCAGCGTATTCACTAGGTGAACCATGTTTTTCATTCATTCAGACCCAATTAGCACATTATCTCTAGTCGTCAGTTTTACTTCCGTTGGACAGGCTGTCTTCTTGATTCCCAAGGAGTACGTCCTATTTAATCCGTAGACAAGCTGGCATGACTCAGAACCCGATGATTTTCTTGATTAAAACTACTTTCTTGCTTGGACCATCGGAAACAAGGGACCAGAAGGTACAATAACTCTATATCTGATTAAACCTTTTTGGATTGCGTAAATTATCAAAGTAAACAAGGGATATGCGCGAACTGTGTCATTCAAAATATTGAGATCCTACTATTCTACAGCTTCACTGTCCTATCCTCTGCCGTTGCTACCCGATAGGCTTCAGTAGTTTCCAAGGCTGTCCTAGTCGAAAGACACAGACATTTGTAATATCTAATCAGTTGCCTCAGCTAAGCATGTTTCTTCACGAGAGTACAAATTTTCTTACGTAAATTTTTCAATTATGCCTAGCCGTAGCACTTGGCACTGCTGCCAGAAGACTGGAACACTTTTCCTTTCTTTGCTTCGGGTTATACAATGTTACTTTTACATGGAACTGTTACCCAAGTTCCAAATTAGGGGAATTTCAGTACATGTGAAGAGGAACTTGCCACGGATATAAAGATGCCAGTCTCTCCCAGTGCTGTATTCTTTCGCTACTCATAGCCAAGCACCGCTGAAGTCTCACTCAAGCATCTCCCAGAAAATAGCATTACTTTCAAACTTTTCAATTAAACATCAACATGAAGTTTCAACTTATCCTCGGTGCTCTGGCTCTCGCCATCACAACCTCCGCTGCCCCCACTGCCACCACCGTCGACAGCGTTAAGCTTAGTAATGTCCAGGTCAAGAACCTCTTTGACGTCCTCAAGGTTCATTCCAAGCTTGCGGCCGACCAGAGCATCAGCTGCACCGTTGCTTACACTCTGGCTTTGAGTTAGTCAGCTCTTTCTAGACGATCAGTTTTCTTTGAAAACGCTTGCTAATGATACCAGCCACGGCTGGACCGCCCTACACCATTGATCTGACCAGCCTTGACCTGTCCAACTGCACCTATAGTGGTCCCTAGAGGCTTGTATGGTTAGAACCACCGAAGTCTGACATGTTCCTGGATCTTGAAAATCACTGGGCTAAGCTTCTGTGTGGTTCTATTCTGGCAGCCGCTGGGTGCTGCAACATATGACGATCTGTTCGACAGGTGTCTTTAGCAGAATCAAAGAAAACCGTTATCGAAACTTGACTTTCAACGTAGCTTGTAGAGTTTTCGACGCAATGGTAAATATGGTCATTTATAAACGGCAAGTGAGGTTCGAGAGGTGCAATTACTTCTTTCGGTTAGTGTGTACCCTTGTTTCACATTAGTCAATCTTGAAACGCCCCCAAGCCCTTCCTCATAACCCAATACTGTACTTTCTGAAAGTTTTCTACTGATTTAAATGAATACATACTGTAGCACTCGGAAATAAGCAAGCTAGCTACAAATAGGAGTGGCGTCGCCCCTGGCGCTACCACGCTAATTTAATACTGTGCATTTACCCACTTATAGCAAGCGCAAAGAGCCGGGCTTGAAACCCGGACCTAGTTTCTACTGCGAACTCTCCCCTAAGGAAACTGTCCAGCGAGCCTCATTTTGTTTTCTACCCGGTCACTCCGACCGCGCAATCGTTATAAATGGCATCTCTTCTTCTCATTATATCGTGTTAAATTGTTACCAAGCTTTCATTCGTTTTTCTATTGAGTCTGGATACTCAAAAACCACATTCCTTCAAACATTCACTACGCTAGGCGCTGGGTCTTCGCCTATTTTTATTCATTCAGCTCAAGTATTATTTCAACCGTGCGACCGAGATGCATTTCAATGTTATAGCGGCCCATTTGGCTGGCTTGCTCGCGATAGTATCCGCAAAAGACTCGCGAACCTTCGCCGTGAACCACTTCTATGGTCAAGGCCCACTCACTGAGGGCCGGATGGATCCTATCATTAGCCCCGGTACTGCATCGAGCCACGTCCATGCTATCCAAGGAGGAAGCAACTTCAACCTGACCATGGAGAATGACGCCCTGCTCGACTCGTCCTGCACCTCTTCTTTGGTTGAGGCAGACAAAAGCAACTACTGGACTCCCTCTCTTTACTTCCAGGACCCAACGAATGGAAGTTTCATCTCGGTCCCCATGTTCTATATGAATGTCTACTACTTGTCAGTTTCCTGGCCATTATCTTTGAGCACCAATTGACATGAATAGCTTTGAACCAACCGATGATGAAATTAAGCCTTTCCCCGTCGGTCTTCGCATGGTCAGCGGGAACAACAGTTTCCGAACACCACCACCTGGCGGCGCTGCTAATGTCCTAGATACAAACGCTGGCACCATACAACCCGTTCAATGGACTTGTCCTCGCTCTTCGTACGACACGCCTTCGTACCCCACAACCTCTGATGGCCTGCACGGTGTCGGTATTCAAGACCCGAACAACAAAGGTGCTGGAGCCGGCTTCCCGGATATGAACTGCGACGGCTATGCATCCCCTTTGCGAGCTGATATTCATTTCCCTTCATGTTACAACCCCAAGGCTGGCCTTGACGCCTACGAGACCAACACGGTGTTCCCAAGTAGTAAGGGAACTACTGGGGGTAAGGCAAATTGTCCCGAGGGCTGGACTCACCTCCCGCATATTTTCTACGAGGTATACTGGAACACTCCTTTGTTTGCAGAAATGTGGGAACAGGGGCAGGGGTCGCAGCCGTTCATTTTGGCCAGCGGGGATCGTACTGGCTATTCTCTTCATGGAGACTTTGTGAGTAATCTATAATGGCCGATCACGAATTCCGTGACTGACACAAGTATTCAGATTGCTGGTTGGGATGTGGATGTCTTGCAGAAGATTATTGAAAACTGCGATGCTGGTGACTCGGGAATGGACAAGTGCGCTGACGCTGGCACGATCAACAATTCTGCCGACAGCTGTAACATCGCCAACCTTATTCCCGAAAAGATCTCTGGTGTTTTGGATAAGCTGCCAGGTAACAATCCTCCAACTGGATGGGGTCAAGGAGAGACTACATCACCTGATGCGTCACAGTCAGCAAGTTCACAGACAACAACCAGCGTGGCTTCTACATCGAATGTCGAGACCGAGACTGAGTCCACCACAACATCCAAAGCCCCTGCGACCGAAACAGGCATTGCTAGCTGGTCTTATCTCGGATGCTATTCTGACAACACATCTACCCGAGCACTGACTGGTGTTCAATTCGCCAACCTGGGAATTGGAAAGGTCACCTCAACTGGCTGCATGGAGTACTGCGATAACGCAGGCTTCAGCTTGGCAGGCACTGAATACGCTGGACAATGTTTTTGTGGTAACAAGATGAATGGTAACTCTAAGATTACGGCGGACAAGTGCAATATGAAGTGCGAGGGTGATGCCTCTCAGGTTTGCGGTGGTAGCTCGGCATTAAGTGTGTACGAGAAGGCCGCGAAGGCTGAATCGAAGAGAGCGAATGCACACTTTCGTCGTCATATGCATGGAAAGCATACTTGAGCGATTTCTTCGTGGGCGAACCTCTGGTACATGAAACTACACTTTAGAACTATCTAGTGTTGTATATAGTACGTCGGAATTTGAATTCTGTTGTCCTGATCGATTCTTCTAGTGGGTGGCCGGCATTTTCAAAGACCTGAATCACAACCATCCGCCTGGCCATAGTTTTAACATAGTATATTTTCTAATTTTACATTTCAATTACGAGATCTTACGGTCCAGTTCCTTTCCGTGTATCTTTCATACAAATTCATCTGAAGTAGTGCTGGGTTGTACGCTTCATGGGCCTACTGGATAATCTTGCTGGATAGTTTTGTAGTAGCGTAGCGTAGCATATATTTACTGGAAATGATAACCAAGTACATACGACCATAGGGTGTGGAGAACAGGGCTTCCCGTCCGCTCAGCCGTACTTAAGCCACACGCCGGCAGGTTAGTAGTTGGGTGGGTGACCACCAGCGAATCCCTGCTGTTGTATGTTTTTGTTTTTGTCTCCATTACACAATATCAATTTGTCTCAATTTAATATTTCTCGTAGAATATGAAAATCTATCACAGTGTCTATGCAGGTGTCATTTTTTCTGTAGTTGTGCAATATTTCTACTAGGTATTTTCAACGGAATGGACCAGGAACAATTTCTGTGCAGTGTTGAGCCAATAAAAAGAACGTTTACAATAATTGCTATTCCCTCTCAAGATTCATAATCCAAAACCAAAAATAACTACCACTTATATGTAATCAATCGCGTGGGGAGACCGCCGTCCACTCAACAAATTCAGAATGCGCCGGGTCAAAGCATGACTTGTCATAAGCACCTTGTGCATATATCGCGAAATGAGCTCTGGTATTAGGTGATTCTTTTCCTGATCTGCGGGTTGTCAATGCTGTGCTGGAGATCTCACCTAGCTTGACGAGGCCGGCGGATTGTTCCCCCTCTTGCACCACGAAGAAAAGTTCATATTGTGCAGGGTGTGCGCGGATGACAATTTCAATAGAGTGACGCTTGAGTGGTAGTTGATGTGTGATTTCCTGGATCAATTAAGACAAGTGCAATTCAATCATGAGTGGGGAGAGGACATACCTTAAACTGATCTTCAGTCTCATCGTAATAACGTGCTACCATCTCCAGTCCAGACTGTCAAATGGCTTTCGACGTACAATTGAAGCGTGAGCAGATATAGGACCACCAAATAGCCGCTCCTGCTTCATGACTAGCCTCTGTTGGAGCAAACTCCAATTAGACCTTCCAGTAACCCGAGAATCCAGTTTGCTTCTGCAAAAGCATAGATGAGCATTCGGAACCGTCAATCCGATACGCATTTCCGTAGAGACCCAGAAACCCATGCCATTCTGTCAGAGAATAATCAATTTCCAGTGGCGTTCGCAGATGATACCAGCCAAGCCGGAGCGTTGAACCGTCAAAATCTTCTCTCCAAACCTGTTGCTGTGAGAGAAGCTGCATACCCTCTGCCTGCACTTGGAGGCTGATGGGCTGCGGATGTGTGGACTATTGAATTCTCTTGATGATTGAGACGGGAAATCTCGCAGCCAAGCCTCGTTGGATGGCAGTGCCACTTGCCGAACATTGATCCTAGAAGCTCTCATGTCAAGCGCAATGATCGAAACATCCACACATAAACCGCAGCAATATGTCTCTATTTCAAATGGGTGTACACGGTAAAACAAATAGCTTACAAGAACAGCATATGATACCGCGACTGGAAGTTATAATTACGTTCCTAAAACAAGCTACGGATAGTCTTAATTGGGATGGGGAACCCAGAGCTAATGAGGATAGATCGCTTGCGTGGATGAAGGCACTACGATACTAGAATGAATGAGTGTTACCTGGAATTGAACAACTAGCCCTGTGATCCATGGGATTACGGAATTTTCTAGAAACACAGATCCAATAGTAGTGACTTTGTGTGTTTGAAAATATATGAATTCCAGCCGGCTGCGTCAACGTCAAGGCGGTAATTGTGTGCTAGAATTATGCGACGGGGACCCATCCTCGCACAAATCGATGACCTTGTTAAAGTGGGTGAGAGTACTACAACAGTTGACAGTAGGGAAGATAATTTTAGATGGGATCGTGCAAAAGAGGCTCATTTGAATACGCGATTAAGCACGAAGGATTGAGCGGCCATGCATCGGTTGCGGAGATGGCTCCACATCCACGGCGAAAGCCGACCAAACCAGCAGTTCAGATCATGATCTCGGAAAGGGGTCTGAATTTTTGTTGTTAGCTTCCTCTTTTATCGGACTATTGACGCCCGTGGGGTCGAAGGGTGGGTTTCCCGGTGGGTTCGGGCGTTAAGGTCAAAATAGCCGGCGAGAAAGCCCGGGTATTTAGGGCGATGCACCACGTTGACATATTCACTTCAACCCTTTCAGCCATTTCCAATCTCCAAGTGACCATGTCAATTACCCGTTTCGCCCTCGCGGTGGGTTTCCTGCTCGGCCATGTCTCCGCGAAACCATCAGGTGTTAGCTCTTTGGCGGCCAGCAGCCAGGCTCATACACCCATAGTGAGCTGTCGGACAAAGCTGGCGATGACCTCTGTGGCATTAGTGCCAACAACAACCATCACTCGCCAGGTTCATGACCCGACTCCATTGGTGATCTTGTCTACAACCCGCGACACCGTCACGGTTACTCCAGTGGTGACCGTGACCGGAATCGACTACGAGACTTCCACAGTTACTTCCATCGCAGACACCATCACTGATACCTTCTCAACCACTTCGACTGAGTTTGATACGGCGACAGTGACGATCACTCCTGATCCAAGCACCACAACTGTCTTCGCAACTGTATCGACTACCAGTACGTCGACCACGACTATCAGCGCTTCGGCCGGCTTTACTCCTCTCGCTGGCACAATGCCCACCCCGACGGCGGTTAAGCGATCTTTACCTGAAGAGGAGGATGAGTGCTCTCCTGGGTTGGATGATTATAAGTACCCGGAAGAAGTGATCTGTCACGAGAAGATCATCCTGAAGACGACAACAGTCTCAACCGTCACTGGATCCCCTGTTACCTTGACCGCCACGGCATCGACAACAACTGTGACGATCACCACCACCATCACCACTAGCTCGGTGATTGTTCCGACGGATGTATCTACCACATTGAGCTACAGCACCACTTCCACCATTACTGAGACATCTTCAGCTCTTGCGGAAACGAGCACCGTCACAGCCACGAGTACCGTGACTGGCGCACTTGCCATTGCCACAACCCTCGGGGCGTGTGCAGCCAACAATATTGCCGGACTTCCTCTTTCTTCGGATTTTGGCTCGTTTGCGGGCCAATACATCTTCGAGATTGAGTTCACTCGCATCGCTGGACAACGTCTTACTGTCGGTGACACTACTTCTGCGTACGACTGCTGTGTTAGCTGTCAGGAGGACTCCAATTGTGCCATGTCCTACTACATAGGGAGTGGAGCAAGCACGCATTACTGCTACCTGATGGAAACAACGATTTGCTCATTTTCTTACAATTATGCCGTTGCGTATGTTGGGAACAGCGTGACTACCATGCAAATGTCCAACGGAAACTGTGGACATGGCAATGGTATGCAAGGGTAAAATTAAACTTCAGAGATTATATTAATCAAGTTGTATTTTGAGAGAAAAACGCAATATCTCTGTCTTTGTGGTAATCTATGAAGCTCGTAACCCACGAAGAGTTCGTGGGCCAGGCTCGCGCCCTTGAGAGCAAAGTAATGACTTGATAAGACTAAGTCACGGGGTTTTGGCCTCGCTCCCCGCCCGCTAATTGTAGAACATGTGATCTTATCCCAGATGAAGCTACCCTCATACAAGAAAGATTTTCTGTGCTTAGCTGATGGGGGCTATCGTCAATTGGCCTCGTAATATCCTAGCGCTAACGAATCATTCATAAATCGCCAGAACCCTCGCTAAGGTAAGCCCTGTTAGTATCTGGTAACACGCCATTGATTCCAAATCTTACATGTGGCTGAATGAAGGATCGGTCATCCCGATCGACCAGGGGTCAAGTCACGCCAGTGGTGCAGCCGATGCTCGGAGGCAACATGTGAAAAATATACTCGAAGTATCATTTGTTAAGGGTAAAAACCATAGTAGATTCTACGTTGCACTCTATTTGCCAATATGTATCGGGCGGAGCCCCAACTACTACATGAGCCCAAGTCTCATCCGGGTTTTCTCTAGAAAATTATTTCTCCGGCAGTGATAACTTTTTCGTTTTCGCCCTAATGCAGGTACTTCCGTCTGTAATCGCAGACCCACATGGCTCGTCCATCATCTGCCCTACTAACCAGCTTTTGATTAGCTTCGGCTATTGTCGCCGCTGAAAGGCACATTGCATAAAAATAGAACCTCATCGGATCTAGATCATTCAAAAGGGCCAATGGAAAACCTAAAACAGTTGGACAAAAACAAAAACATACAACAGCAGGGATTCGCTGGTGGTCACCCACCCAACTACTAACCTGCCGGCGTGTGGCTTAAGTACGGCTGAGCGGACGGGAAGCCCTGTTCTCCACACCCTATGGTCGTATGTACTTGATTGTCATTTCCAATTTAATATGTCCAACTAATCTCAGGGATGCTTTCCAACTTGTAAAACGGAGGTATTTATATTATAGGTTGAGCGTATCGTGCTGGCTTAGTATTGTCATTTTCATGAATGTAATTCAGTTATGAATGGCCGTGGAGTAAATACTGGCTGTGCTAGCTATATAGATACATATGGTTGATCTCTTGGGGGAGCTATCTCAAGATCGGGCTGAACGAACTGAGCGTATTTCTGTGTGGGCAATAGCTTTGTGAGGCTATCTGCCGCCATTTGGTACCTAGTGAATGTTGAGGTTGCTCGCTTACATCTCTTGGCGAAGCCAGTGATGATGAATCTCCATCTGTCTTAACTTTGTACGAAGCTGTGCATCTTTTTTGATGATCAGTTTTATCGTCTGGGCATTGACGCACTGCAGGTCGATAGTGTGCTGAAGATCGAAAAACACTGATGCAAATAGTCCCTTCCACCAGTATACTGTCTTCGCACCCTCCAGAGCAGCAAATGTTTTTGATTAAAGGGTTTTTAAGATAGGACTGGATCCAAATTGTTGTTGCGTACGTTTTGTGCTTGGAAGACAGCATTCACACGCAGCGTATATATTTCCAACGCGCATTAGTTTCATTAGAAATCTCGAATAGTCGTTCAATTAGTAGATTTTGTAAATAATGGACCTGTGAGTTGCCTATTCGAGGTAGTTTTGCTTTGGGTTTAGCTTCAAATACGGCAGTTGCCTCAAAACTAGGGTGTACATATCGCCATGTACTCAAAGACTTTTGCTTCTACGACTTATGTGATATACGTAATTCTCAGTTCTATTTTTCTATGTCATTGACCATTTGCCTCCTTACTAAAATTCCTACTGGGTTTCCTTCATTGGGCCAAAAGGGTGTGGCGTCAGCATTTAGGGGTGTGGCTGTAGAATTCTAGACAGATCTTCAATGCGGCGTCTTCAGGAGATAATAAAAAGGGAGCGTTATCTAGTCAACATGCACAGCCAACGTTGATTATGTTGATCATTCTACAACTCCATTTTCGCGACCCCATTAGTAGGGCTGCCTTCTTGCCTTGACCGGTCAATGCCCAGCACGACGCCCTCATTTTCACTCCGGAGCTTACGGGCCCGCACAAACAGATTAAGAATGGTGGCTAATCCAGCAAAGGCAACATACTAATAGTAGCCAGGACGTTCAATTAGCATAGATGCCCCAACAGGATTATAAGATGTTGAGGAGGCCTACCATGACCCACACCGTCCTCAACGCCTCAAAGTACGTCTTCCTAACCAATAATTGTTGATCTGCATTTAGTCCAATGGTGCTAATCTCCTCCACACTCGAAGCAGCATTATCGCCATTGAATATGCTGGCTAGAAATGAACTCGAACCGAGCCGATTTGCCAACTCCCCGTTCTTCGCATTCATCTCATTCTGAAATACCACGCCACCGACGACAACTGAGATAGCGGTGGAAAGCGACCGGGCAAACCCCATTGTCGCAGTCACGGCAGCCGTATGGCGAACACTTGTAGCAGCTTGAGCCGCCAGGATAGGGGCTTCGATGTTCATGCCCACGCCGATCCCGACCAGAATCTGGAAGATGATTATTTTGGTTATGTCGGATTCAAATTTGAGACTGATTAGCAGTCCCGAGCCAAGGACCAAAAGGCCCTGCGCAATATACATCACAGGTAGATATTTTCCAGTTCGCTGCATGAACATCCCCGCTGCGGCTGCGGCCAGGGCATATGAGACGATTAGCGGAAGGAGGTACAGTCCTGACATCAAGGCTGACGCGGCCAGGACAGACTGCGCGTACAGGGGTATGTAATACGCCTGCCCGATGAAGACGTATGAGTTGCACGCGAAGACAACGTACGGCACTATCTTGGTCGGCGAGGTAAATAGCCAAAGAGGGATAATAGGATTCTTGGCAATCTTCCACTCGTTGACCACAAACAGCGCCATCGCTGCTGCTCCGAAAATCAATAGACAGATCACTGTTGCGGAAGACCAGGAGTAGACGACGTCGCCAAACTCGAGGGCCAGGAGGACCATCAGAGCGCCCCCTACAATCAGAACGCTTCCTGTCCAGTCGATGACTCTTAGACCGGCGGCGATTGGCGTTCGGGGGCTTTGGACTCTCAAGAAGAATAGTAAGACGAGAAAGGAGACGGCCCCGACCGGTACTGTACATTGAGTTAGCTTAGGGCCATCACATGAAGTGGAATGCCTCACGATTAATCCAAAAACACCATCTCCAGCTAAATAACGATCAGCCTTGTTGTTCTTCAGAATGGAGCGGCACCTGCCTCAGCCTCTCTGTAAAAACACCGCCCAACACCGGTCCTATGGCACTTCCAACCGCCCAAACCAGTGAGGTGATGGCGAGATATAGCCCTCGATCCCGCAGCGAGAACATATCACTGACAATAATATTGACCATTATCCCCATACCCGAGCCTCCCAGTCCCTGAATTGCGCGACCCACGATCAAAGCGTTCATTTTCGGTGCAAGTGCGCAGACAAGACTTCCGACCAAAAAAACGGCTACCGCGATCAGCATGATCGGCTTCCGGCCCCAGATGTCGGAGACGGACCCCCACACCGGAGTGATCGCTGCGTAGGCTAGAGTATAGGCGCCCCCCACCCAAGTATAACCGGCGGCAGATTTGAGCGAGCCGACTATGGCGGGGATTGCGGGAGTTACGATCGTTAAATCGAGGGCAGAGAGGAACACAGACAGACAGAGCGACATCATGGTCCAGGCGATGTTGGCGTTGGTCAGATGAGGAGACTCTGTGGCCTGCTCGCCGGACCTAGAAGGCGCGCGCGCGGGAGCGGCATTGGCATTGGCATTGGCATTGTCAACGGTGGTGTTAGAGACATTGGCGCGGGGGCAATGGGGCACGATTGTTCGCGATATTTTGTGTATTAATTGATGAAGAAACTCTAGCAAGTCCAAGAGCCTTGGACATGGTAAAGATAAATGCGCCCAAGAGCGAACGATTGTTTCGGGGGAAAATGAACGTGTAAGGCCCCAGGGGAAAGCGGAGGGAGGGCGGCCGTTAAGTAATGGCCCCAGACCCCGGTCACTATTCACCTGACCTGGCTTTGTTTACCTCTGGCCCCCTCAGGACACAGAGAAATTCGAGAGAAATTGAGATGCACCTCAATTTCATCTAAAAAAGTCGAGCACTATCAGACTTGCTGGAATAGCCATCGCACGCTACGTTATGCGTACAGTTAAGATGCCTCTTCGCCGTCTAGTCCTACCCGCCGAGTTATTCTTACATTCAAACCAAATTGCGCTGTTAGTCCATAGTTAGCCCACCGAAAAGGCACAACCGGATCGACCAGGGCAAAATCGAACCATCGGAAGAGCTGCAAGATTCTCAACAATTGGAACACGAGCGGTCGCGGAACTTGGGAGATGGCGCCTACCTCGAAGATCGTGTTTCCCAGCTCTAGATACGCCTGTCATTTCTCCAAGAATTCCCATTTGGCTCCAGTGGCAAATAATAAACCGTAAAATGCATCCATCTCCCTCCTCCTTTCCATCGGTGCGTCAATCCACCACTGCGGATCATAAACATCTGCATTTTCTCCCAAGATGCTTCGGTTATTCATAATCGCCAGCGCCGAACAAGCGACCTTGGTGTTTGCGGGGACCTTGACGCCGCAGATTGTATCGTGATGCGGGCACACCTTCCCCATGAGACCCATACTAGGTGGGAAAATCCTGAGCCCTTCCTTGGTGCATGCCTGGAGGAATGGCAGGGCTTCTGCCTCGGCATCGTGAATGATAGCATCAACAAAAAACACGACAAATTCACGCTCTGCATCATATTCTCTAACGCAGCAAGATTCGTAATCACTCAAAGACGCATTTTTCGTGTCTAGAGCGGCCATATATACCCTCATTATGTTTTGCCTAACGGTATACTATACTTCGGGTTACAATTTGAATAGGCTACTGAAGCAAGTGTAGTATAGAAGGGAAAGGTTACGGCAGTGCGTATGTACAGGAGCTTTTAATACGCGGTCTCGCCTTTTTTACGTAATATACAGGATCTATTCTGAGAAATCGCGGATTGGTGAACATTTCGAATGTAGCTTGCCATGTTGCGAGTCACTATTTGGGAATGAAGTGAATAGAGTAACTTAGAGAGTTTTCACCAATTCTCAATATGACTACATGTTGAGCAACATTCTTACAATTTAGAGTTGTACCCAGATAGGGAGCTGAAAATTCAATCCTAGGGCCATTAGAGCTTGTTCGTGTAGGACATGGTCTTCTCCGTCCCAAGTGCCTGATCCCATGATGCAGAATTCAGGGCATGTTCTTCCCGACTCCGGATAATCAAATTTTCCACGTGCTGACACACATCCTGATATATGAGAGTGACATCAAAGCGCCCACCAGTTTCCTCGGGAGCGACCGAAAGGAACGCGTCCTTCTGCCTCGGCTAGCTCTAGGCCTTCGCCAGCGAGAACTCTCATAAAAGTCCAGGCCCTTCGAACCCCTCAGTGGAACGGGGCACGAAGACTCATTCCCAAGCCCCGCGCCAAGGCCGATCAAAGCAGTTGAAGGAATTCGAAAGAGACTTAAAGTGGGTTTAAATCGATTCGAAATAATGGGACTTTCGTAAGGTTAAAGGGTCACTCCTCCAGTCGACTGTCTGGTGGAGTTCCGATTTTGGTACCCACAGCCTTTAGTCTAGACCGTCGGTTGCCTCTGGCCCAGATGGTGACTTCATGACCAGAAGCCAAGAACAATTGCCAAGATGCGTTATTTGTTGACGATTATTGGCACCTGTCATTACATTATTGATATTCACATCATCCAAAAGAGATGGGAGTTTGGTTATTGATGATGATTGAATATCCAAACTCAATACAACGCCACTGGACTCGTGGTGCGTCAGTGAGCGCCAAAGCGTTCAGGAACTCCATGTTGTTCCGCGGTTCAGTTAAATTAGCTTCCAAATTTGGTTCGCCTTTTGATATATATGATTGGTTGGTAAGGCGTAATTGCCCTGCCAAGACTCCACAAAGTATTTTGATTGGTCAAAATCACTGATTTTGACCAATCGTGATGCTTTATAGCTTGCCCTGATCCCCACTCAAGCACAATCCAAGGAAACAAACGTGGCCTGAAACTGAGTGTGAAAATAATTCTTCATTCAGGAGAACTTTGTGTCTTTGAATGCCCTTAAGCAACAACGTATTTTTTCCGGTTATTTTTAGGGAAAGCAAGTGCGTAATGTGATTCACTTGAACCCACGAGGGCCTAGAATCGTCAGTCCCTTTTAGCGGCTAAGTCTAGTCTTCGGCGGATCGCCAGTCTCCATTGCCGACGAAGCCACCCCACTGTATGTCCACTGAATCCGATCCACCTACCCATTTAGCCCGAGTCCGTTGAAAAGTTTAACACCTGTTTCCACATCTAACGGGGCTTGGCCGAGCATGCGAACTTCTGTTGCATACACAGCTATTGCATTCAAAACACCCAGCTCATTGATCAACGGCTTTTCAAGGCTAAGACAAAGACCAGTCAAAATCGAGGTCCCGATTACCTCAAAGATGAGAATAGAATGCGGAGACTATGTACAAAGATGTCCTTTGGCTATACAATCTAGACCTTACCCTGGGTATCCTCGCGGCCCCTTAGCATCCACTCCGAAGGGTTCCCCGGTCAGGCCCTAGGTCCACTCCCACGCTGATGGTACGCGAATCGTGAACCCTCCTACATGCTACTCGTCTGCACTTGACACTGGGTCACAGTCTAACGTCTCCACCAACAATGGACTTGCGGAGTGTGTCTTCTCCGATCTAATCGCCAATAGTCGTACTCTATTTCCAGTGGATTCCACCAGGCCACACACGTCAACCCAATCGACAGTCCTTCTGGAACCCACGCTCGATGACTCCTTCCTTACCAGGCCGGCGCTTGCTCGTACCCTAATTCGCCGCCCTTGACGTATACCCTGCCCCTCATTACATCCAGCCCGACACTTCCATGGATGTCTCCCCCCAGGTACCAGGCACAATGGCTTGCGACTGGGTTCCAGACTTCACGCTCAAATGGCAGTGGCGGGACTGTAAGATTTTGCTCTTATGCAGCTATTTAAATCTGCCTCATCCCCCTCCTCCTTGTCCTCCTGTTGAACCACTCACTCTCTCTTCAAAGAACTACACTCCTTTATAGTTCGGAAGTCATTACTTCACTCATTCCTTTTGACACATTCTTTTATACTTGACTTTATTGTCTTTACACGGTCTTCACCAACTCAATCTCTCAAAATGCAGTTTACCAAGTCCGTCCTGCTCCTCGCAGGCCTCGCTACCAGCACCTTCGCTGCCGCTCCCCGCCCCCAGGGCTTCGAGCGCCGCCAGGCCGCCGCCACCACCTCGGCTGCTTCTTCTGCTTCCTCTTCTTCATCCGACTCCGCCTGGACCAGCCTCCCCGCCTCCGGCGCTGAATCCACTGCCGGCTTCGGCGCTGTCACCGGCTCCTCCGGCAGCGACGTGACATACTCCGGTAACGTCGGCAACCCCTACGGCTCCAACATCATTCAGGTCTCCGCCTCCGACGCCAACCAGTACAAGTACGTCGCCCAGTTCCAGGGTTCCAACACCGACGACTGGACCGTCGCTATCTGGAACAAGTACAGCGCCGACGGCACCATGAACGGCTGGTACGGCAACGCCTGCCAGACTTTCACTCTGTCTGCTGGGTCTACTGTCTACATTGCCTTTGATGATGACTCCCAGGGTGGCTGGGCCGCTGCTGAGGGCTCCACTATTCCCACTGATTCTGACGGTGGCTACGCCTCTACCTGGGGTGAGTTCGACTTCGGCTCCACTACCAACAACGGCTGGTCTGGTTTCGATGTCTCCGACATCCAGGCTGCCAACGCTGGCTTCTCTGTCCAGGGTATGGAGATCTGCGATGCTATTGGTGGAACTTGCTCTTCTATCACTACCGACGCTGGCTCTGTTAACAACGCCTACACCCCCGCTGAGACTGACTTGGGCGGTATCGGTGGCAACCTGTCCTCCGGTGACGGTGTTCGCCTGGCTGTTACCATTGACTACAGCGGCTAAATGTATCTTTGTCGATGTGTGAATGAAATATAGAATTGCTTTTTTGTTCGGTGTGAGGGGATTCGGCCTATACCCATACGTTCCGGTTACGGTTACTTTTACTTTCTATGTTGATATAGAAACCTAGGCTGGTCCTTTATGTGATTTACATTCTTTTACAAATTTCAATTTCTGACTGGTTCGAATTACTCTTGACTCATAATCTCCCCATTGAGTAGAACTATTTTATTGTGCAGTGGCGTCGGTGACCGCATAATTGCATACGTAGGGGTGCCCACCAGAGATTACCTCTTTCGGATTAGCGCGGCGAACTCGTCACTGCGGGATCATCAAGGCGACTTTTTGTCACCAGCACATATTTCAGTTCGATTCTAGATCAAATATATTTTTTTTTCAGGATCGTGGCGCTTCAGTGGGCGCTTCCTCGTGTCTTGGGTTAAGATTGAAACATGGCCAAGGGCCATGTCTAATACCCATATGCCCTTCGCAACCGCAGAGGGATGGTCTTCAAACTCTAGAAATGAAAATTCGCATCAGCATGTCTCAATAATCTTGCATAGTCTTCAAATTTTGTTTTTTGAATTCACTTTGAACAAATATCTCTGGCAACGTCACTTCTATGTCACCTCAATAGATGTATGTACATCGTATCGCACCCATGAGTTGACAATTTCAGGTAAAGAGACAACATGCTTCAATCCCCAGGCGCTTCTCATTCAAAACTATACACATTTCGTTAAACAGAGATATGCACAATTATATCACCAGCCTTCATGAACTGCTCAGACGATCAGACCGTCTCCTTCTCCTTCTCCACCTTCCCCTCCCCCTCCACAGGCGGCAACTTATACCCCCGGAACTTTCTCACCGGAACACCCTCATGGAACAGCCTATCAATATCTTCAAGAGACTTACCCTGGCAATCCGGTACGCACAAGTAGACGAATATACACGCACAAACGGCAATACTTCCAAAGACAAATCCAACCTTCGATTGAAGATCTGCATACCCATCATCAATCAGATAAGGGATGGAAAATGTGACCGCAAAATTAGTCGCGATATTCACTAGAGCCGACACACGCTGTGATTGATCACGGAGTGATAGCGCAGGTAACTCCGTGACAACCACGTACGTCAGGGGTCCCCAGCCTAATCCGAAGCCAACAGCGAAGACCGCGATCATGGACGCGATTCCTGCACTTTCTTGTTTCGTAATTGGACTTGCTGTCCCAAGGCCACCCATAGTGAATAGAGCGGCAATTTGAACCATAGAGCCGGCGATAAAGAGTTTTCTCCGACCGATCTTGTCGTTGAAGAAATTCGACCAGAGACAAACTACCGTGCCGACGCAGCTGGTTATGATGGTGAAGTTGTATGTATTGATCGTGTTCAATGACTTGACAAATATAGCCCCGTATTGGCTTGCGAATGATTGTCCGGTGGCTTGTTGGAAGAAGCTGATGGCTACGACGACTGCTGTGCGTTTGAGATTCACTCCTTGGAAGAGTTCTCTGAATTTACCCTTTTCAGGCTCAAGCGCGAGACCAACTCGTAGGGATTTTAGTTCGGTTGCGATTGCTTCGTCGGTCATTGTTCCACGGCGGAGGCGTTTTAGGGAATTTTCAGCGTCTTCGATGCGTTCTTGAAGGAGGAGCCAGCGGGGTGACTAGGCCATAGGTTAGCCAATTCAAGTGTTTACTCGGAGGCTGACTTACTTCTGGCACAAACCAGATTAGAGATGCTATGACAAATGGAGTCACGTAGAACAGTCCGAATGGAATCCTCCAAGATTTGTTGCCCTCCAGTGTACTCGTCCCACGGCAAATACTGTTAATTATGAGGCCTCCCAGCTATCATTCATCAGTAAGAGTAATTCTCTCTGTAAGGGTCATCACTGACATTGATGCTAAGCTGGTATGTACCAACAATGAATCCACGGACAGGAGCAGGCACAATTTCTGACTGGTAAACAGGCACCACCGATAATTCCATGCCAATATACACATCTAGACAGATTAGACCTCGGGCAATTTCGGCGAATGTCTGTCTTACAGTTCAAAATACGAGCAGCCAGAATCTGAGACTTGCTGTGTGAAGTCACAGTAATCGTTGCCGTGACAAGAGCAAAGCAGCTCATGGAGAACATGCACATACGGCGTCCGTAACGCTGGCTGGCCAAACTGCCAATAATCAAGCCTGCCATACTATCAGTGCCAATCACCACCAGTGCCCACAGGTAGGGATGGGAGTATATAAGTCAACGCATACCAACAGCAAAACCGATATAATTCAAACTATCCAAGAGGGACAAGAAATAGGCTGGAATTGCATATTTGCCCGTTTCTGGGTCGTAGTCCCCGAATTGTTCAGTAAACGCAGTCATAGACTGAGTTGTTGAGAAGGCCTGGTTGTCAAACCCATAATTAATCTGCGACAGAGCGATCAACGAGCACGACAGCGCAAGTGTCCGGTTAAAATGCTTCGTGATGGATGCCATGATCAATGCCGAGACAGTGATCAATGCCTGTCTCGGGTCTCATTGTTCCTGACCAGGGCAAGTGCCTACTTTTGAACTACATCTTTCGCTATGAATCTGAAGGCTAAGTTGACATTCCCTCAGGCGGAGACCAAATGGCGTATGCCCGATTGCCGCTATCACCCGGTTGTCGGGACCGAAAGCCGCACGAATGTGGTCAAAATGCGGGGGAAAGTCAAAAGGGGCTTCGACGCTGATTCTTTTGTGGGGAAACTAGTACATGCACGGGGCCAATGATGAATGTCGTAGATTCGCCATAAATTAGATCCATGTTCTCATCGGTCGCGGTCTTTTCTTTTTCTTTTCCCTGCGATGCCCTTACCTTGTATCATGACTGTGAATGATTGCAAAGCCATGGCTGATGAGGTGAAGAAGCAGACCTGTGTACAGTGTAGAAAACGAAAGGTGAGACTCTCACATTATTCGACGGCTTGATCTTAAGCTTATCCTGCTAGGTCCGCTGCGATGGTGAGCTTGGTGGTTGCTCGAATTGCCAGAGGCTGCAATTTTCCTGTCTGTTCCTATCGCATTCCCCAGATGATGCAACGCCTAGCCCGAGTTTGCTTCAAAGCTCAAGCTCCCGGATTAAGTATACGATCGGTGGCATAGAAAGACGCCGCGGCTCTAGAGCATGCCGTCCCTGTCGAGCCTCCAAGTCGCGCTGTGGTGGTGGCTGGCCGAAATGTCGCCATTGTGAGCAGCGCGGGTTGGATTGCCAATATCCTCCCAGCAGGCGCAGGAAAAACGTGAATAACTGTACTTTCACCTCCACCCACAGCTTTTCCTATTCTCAGGAACCTGAGACAGTCAGAATGCCCGATTACATCCAAAATGCCGAAGACGCTCTCAGTAAACCTATTGCAAACATGGAGCTAGCAGATAAAACATTTCTCGAATCCCACGTCACCGCATTCTTCGAGTACTTCAACTCAATACCGCAGTACAATTTCATCCACAAGCCAACCTTCCTTCGAAGCTTCCATCATAACAATCTCGACCCGCTCTTCCTCCGCTGTGTCTGCGGAATCGCCTCTCGTTTTGTCCAGCCAAACACAGAAGACTACACATCTGACTGGCTTCGGGAAGTAGAAGCACAAATCTGGCCCCGGATAAGCGAAATGAAAGTTCAGAATCTCCAGATTCTTCTTTTGCTCATCTGCTGGTATTCTCTCTCCCGAAAAATCTCCAGTATGTGGACTGCTTCGGCGATGGCTGCACGGATGGCGTACGGCATTCGCTTGAACCATGAGGCGGATGGCAAAATGCCTTTTGTTTCTAAAGAAGTTCGCCGAAGACTCATGTGGTCGATATTTATGTTGGATAGGCTGTATGCAGGTGGTTTTCCCGAGTTGACGCTCTGTGCTACTGAAACCATACATATCAATTTGCCGTGTGAGGAGAGGAATTTCGATCTCGATATCCCTCTTTCAACCCCTGTCTTGAAACCAACGATTACAACCCCAGAATTGGAATCCGGAATTGGGATCATGGGATATATCACCCGGCTGATAGATATTCGACACGCCATCCTGGAGTCAGTCTTGAACTCAGTTCCCAAAAGATTACATGCTAACAGATTCTAGATGCACGAAACTAATAATCGCATCCAAAACAAACCCATATACCGCCCGCGAAAGCATCCGGGGCCTCGATTCTAGATTGCGTATATTTTCTGAGTCTCTGCCAGCCCATCTAAAAGAATCACACCGTAACCTCCTCTGCCGCGCTTACACATCCGATCTAACAGGGTACATCAACCTCCACACTCTATGGCGCCAATGTCACTGCGATCTCTACCGAATGATGATCCCCGGGATCCGTGAGTCCGTTACGGAAGACATACAGCGCCAAGTCCCAATCGACTATGCTGAAAACTGTCGACGGCTATGTTTGCATCATGCTCTGGCTATGTGCAAGCTGTGGTCCGATACTCTGAGTGAAGCGCATGTTTTCTGGTTATCGGATCAGTCGATTGGAATTTATGCATATCAGTGCGCGAATATTCTTGTTAATTTGTGGGATTTGGATTGTGACGCTGGTCTTAAAGCCGAGTTGACGATCATTTCTTCTTTTTTGGATCGGTTGGCCGTGTTGTATCCGGTTGTGGCTGAGATTGTAGGTATTTGGAATGCTTTCTTTTTTATAAATTTCACTAATTTGTACATAGCAATCCGAGATCAACGGCTTCATCACCAGCCTTGACGTCGTGACGGATTTTTACCAAGCGCACAGCGACGGGATGCTATCACAAACATTGACCGCTGCATGGCGATCGACACTTCGTCAGCAGGGGATTCAGGAAGGTCAAACAGCTTCCAAGTTTTCATTGTTAGAGTTTCTGCATAATCAAAACAAAGTGGAGGATGCAAATGCCGACGAGGATTACTCTGTCCCAAATATCGATGCACCGCCTGAGCCGTCAACTTTAAATGGTACCGATATGGGATTGGGCATCAGTGCGACGTCCGATAAACCATATTTGCTCGATGAGCTTTGGTCTTCGGCGCAACTGGAGATGGATTTTGACTCGTATGGAACGCGCGTTGATCCATTCTGTCGCATTTTCGACGACTGGTCACTTGCAGTCGAATAGACCGTACACTTCATCCATATTTTTCAAGCTTAGTCACAAAGCCCAGCGTCACCTTTAGATGGCAATCTGGACCAACCAAGATACTTATGCAAGATACCAGGAGGCTCTCAAAGAATGGACAAGCTCTCTTATCATCTTTTGGAAAGGTGGCTGTTAAGATTCAACGACATTGATAGGCTAAGCCTCACCGGATATTGATTAGCTTAATATCTTACGGATTTTGGAGGCAAAAGGTTTGTCTCCTGGCAGTTGCCGAGAACTTGAATGACGTCGGTCCGGAAGTGGGAGTCCCCCGACTTTTCGCTCTCCACAACCAGGAATTGGTTATTTCTAATATAAAGTTAATAATATATGGCTAGTTCTAAGTTTAGGCTGCGAAATAAAGAATCTCATCCCTATCATACTGAATTCGAAAAACTAAGTTCGTCTCGTTGAGACTTTCATTCTTATCATAAGCTGTAGACAAAATCATTACCGACCGTCATATCCGCTAGTAATCTGTCTGGACAAAAATCATTCCCTTCACCACCGCTCTACTTCTGGCGCTTGCTCATCAGAATCCAGAAGTCTAACGGCTTGATGCTGAACGCGCCATTGGCATGCAATTCGTAGTCCTTATCCGCGAACTCAAAGGTGTTTTCCTTGATGATGTTCGCGAGGGTGAAGAACGACCATTGCCACGCCCAAAGTTTTCCAATGCACTCGCGCTTGCCGTTACCGAAGCCCTTCTTAGCGGCGGTGGGGAGCTTATCCCATTTGTCGCCTATTACGCGCTCGGGGCGGAATTCTTCAGAGTCTTCGCCGAAGACGGACTTGTCGCGATTGACGGCGCTGAGGACGGCGATCATGGGCTGGTTGTGTGGAATTTGGTACTCGCCACCAGCGAGCAAAATGGGTGCCTTGCTGTCGGAGGGGATTGGCTCGATATTGAAGCCTGGGGCTGTGGCGGAGAGACGGATGGTTTCGCGGAGGCAGGCTTCCACGTAGTGAAGTTGCTTCAGGTGAACGAGGTCGATGGGACCGTCTCCGACGACGGAGTCAATCTCCTCGCAGGCCTTCTTGTGTGCTTCAGGGTTCTTGATCAGGTAGTAGATGGCGTAAGAGAGCAGATTGGCGGCAGTGGCGGCGCCGATGAAGATGTTGATGACCTCGTCGAGCATTTGGGAGTCATTAAGCTTCTCGCCGCTCTCGGGGTCAACACCGTTGATGATCGCATCCAGCATGTCCTTGCGGGATTGTTCGGGGTTGTTCTTGCGGCTGTTGACGATGTCCTTGGCGTACGAGCGCATAGTCTTGGTGAGGCTGGAGAAGCGGCTCTGGTACAGCCAGTTGAGAACTTTGGGACGAGTAGGGCGCTTCAGCGCCTCCATTGTAGCACCTTCCCAGCCCTGTACCATACCCCAACCCTTGGTGGCTTCCTCGCCCTTCTCCAGAACGTGGACACGTTGATTGAAGAAACACTTCATACAGGACGCCAACAGAATAAGATCCAAGTCGTCAGACGCCTTAACTTTTTGCTTGGGATTGGCGCTCCATTTCTTAGTCAAGTCGGGAATCACTTCGGCCATGTCGTTGAACGCGACATCGGTTGCTTCCTGGGTGACGTGCGGGTACATAATACGATGGGCGATGCCCCAGCTCTTCTCGCCCTCGTACGCGGTGAACAGACTGTCGTGAACTGAATACCTGATCTCGACCACGGGGCCCGTCACACACTTTCGGAATCGGGTCTGGTCGCAAATCTCTTCTAGAAGGGCGACGCTGCCAACAAACACGATCTGGTGACCCAGCACATTGATCTTAAAAATTGGGCCTATTATCGATCATGAGTTGCAAATTCTGAGTACTGTCTAGTAGAAGCGCACTAACCATATTGAGCGGCCAGCTTGTTCAACGAGGTCCAGGTGTTATTGGGGTCGACATCGAACACATTACCCAGAATGGGAATACCAGGCGGCGAGGGGATCTCAGTAGGCATGGCGAAGAGGGATATCACGGTGCTGAACAAAGAAAAAGCAGACAGGGAAGAAAAAATTAGAGAGCTGCCAGGCGCATGGGAAGCGGGGGTGGTGAGCAGCTAAAAAGACCTCTCAGCTTTTGGCCAATCTTCAGCTGGGCCATTCCGATCGACAGATCTCATCGATCCCTTTCATTGGACCTAGGAGGAACATGGCGCCTTTCCAGTCTCCATCGTTCGACACAGCTTCGGTCTAGCTGAAGAGATCGGCACGATCGCGATGTAATAGCGCAGATTGGCGGTTGCCGATCGAGTATTGATAGGTGGATATCTGGAGCCCATCTGCAGCCAGCTGGGGCCATCTGGAGAACCTGCCGCGCTACGGGCTGTAGTGCGACCACTGGAGACAATGGGGTTCAGCATAATGGTCAGCCCCCTCCTGCAGATTTTTAGGCTCGGGTTGCTCCATCAGTCTTCGCGCGTCTTGACCGCTCCTGTGTTTCCCGGTTTTATTAGCCCCCTGCCTTTGCTTTCTGCTTTCCGGTTTGTGCGAACTGTTGCTGAATATCGCACGGAAGGTGATTGGCAGAGTGGATGATAACAAAACAAAATCACGGGTGGTCTGAGGGGCTGTCACGAAGCTCGGTCAGTGGGTCCGTAGCTGAGGGCATTGACATCATCTTGATGTGGTCCCAGCCCCCCTCCCCCCCCGGGTGGATTGATCATTGTGCATTCCAGGACAGGGATTGATCGTGGTATAGTTGCTGCAGGGATCTCAAAGTCATGAGCCCATACCCATATCCGCCGATCCCCATCGACTGTGTGGATAGTTTGAAATCACCGAGCTCTATCCACTCGCCCAGAGAATTGGTTCTCGTGTCTAGTTAGCTGACCCCATTCAAAAAGCCTCTGAGGAAATCCTTGTGTTGACAGCTTCCTGTCGGTGGAATCCAGGGACGAACTCGGACGAGTGGGGCCCGCCTGATGAAGCCGCCGCCAAAGCGCTGCAGGCCACTGTGAGCCTTGGCAGTGAACGACTGCTTCGAACGCATCATCGATCGCTAGCGCCCTGTACCTTTGTATTTGAGACTGAAGTCAATGAAAAGATCATGTGGGTTGTAAGCATTGGACCTTACGTGCCGATGTACGACACACACGCGGGCGGGCGGGAGATCCACTTTCGGCCAGAACATCTGCTGCCTCAGATCTCGCAGGTGTATAGTGGCAGTCGTCAGGATCCTCTGCAAGGCGTGATCAACCCACGGAGGTTTCTCCCGGCGGCATATCTGGAGTCGCTGCGTCGTTTCTTCCCGGCAGCCATCGGGGCTCGAGTTTTCATCGCGGGTTATCTCGTTGTTTTATTTCGTAGTCAGAGGGACATCGAAGCGTCGTGGCTGGAAGGCTGTGTGCCGTCATTCGGACTGTTGCGGCTGGGTTATGCTGTCGCTGTCCATTATCCCGCGGAGACACTGCCGGAAAGTGAGAGTGCAGTCACTAAATCGCCCGAACAAACGGATCCCGCGGCGTCTTTGGGTCTCAAGTTGGAGTTCACTGATGGATCGCAGGGCATTTGTGTCCCAACACACGCCTTTGTCGACGTGAATAAACCCCAAGATAACCCGAACCGTAAACGCGCGAGTCTGCTCGAAAAGACCAAAGCGATGTTCTCGATCGCGACCGTGATGAAAGTTAAAGAAAGTCTCAAGGTGGGAGCAGCCGTCAACTCGTCTCTTGGAAAGAGCATGTGGTTGGGGCAACCAAAAGAGGTAAGTGTTGTGGATGTTGACGCGCTTCTCGGGCTAAAACCATCAGAAAATCGGTCATATCACGTCCACATTTGACCAACACATCGCACGTTCGTCAGCCTTTCCTGAGACCATCGGTCATGACATCTCGATCGTCACTGGAGGCCATCTTCCAAAGATCTCCACCCCGCCGCGCGCACCAGAAATAACCAGCTGGGGAGATTATGGCGACGCTCTAGAGGGCCAATTCGCCTTTGCCATGGCACTCGGCGTGCGAACCGAGAAGTCAAAGGAAGTCGAAAGAGACGCACTTGGTAAGATACAAAAAGCCGTTGTCGAGGGCGCAGAGTATCTCTGGGATAGAAAGACGCGGACACAGTCTGCTGCTCTTCTCTGGCGTACCCTGCTCGACGGAGCCGGCATGGAAGTACTACCAGGTTCAGTTTTGTGTCTAGGTCAGCGCACGGATCCTTGTTGTCGTGCCGTACTTTTTAAGAATTTTGAGACACCCATGTGCCCCCAGCACTTTGAAAGTGATTCAACTTCTGGCCTTGGAGACGCTGCCTGGTCCAGCATTAAGGGTGGCTTCCTTCTGCCTACGAAGATCAGGGGTGCTGAGATTATTTGTGAGAGCGAAAAGTGGTCAACAGTTCCAGACAATCAAATCTTAGATGTTGATTGATCGAGTTTGGCTTCCTCTGCCCCTACGACTTCATTTAGCCTTAGAGGCAGCCTTCTCTTGACAGCCTTCGGTGATTAGATTTGTATACAGTGGTAAACCCCAGTGACACGTACACACATGAGAGAAACTGCAAAACAATCTCAACCCATCTGAAACCCAGCCATAAGCATGTCCTCCAGGATACCTTCGCCCGTGCCAGTTTAATTTCATATGTGGCTACTAAAGCCCGACAGATCCCATTTCTCTCAGACTTTGTTGCTAATTCCCCGTTAAAAGCCTAGTTGCACATATCTCTTAAGATCATCTTGTCTTTATCTTTTAGAGACCAAATTGCTGATCTTGGGTTTACGTATTTTCCAGTGATGGAGTATTTAGAAATACATCTTCTTGAAAATTCTACTAGACCGTATCGGTGCTTACTGCAGGCCACATACTCGCCAGAGGTTGGAATCTGAATCAACGTAGTCTGCGATGCAATCCTGGACAGGTACAGAGAGCTCTGCTTAGCGGATACCATAACCCGGATGTTCTTATCTAGATCCAGCTAGTTCTACACGACTTTGGTATACCTCGATTCCCAGAAGATCACTGGCGAGTACACCGCACAGTAAAAACCGAATGCATTAGATAATGGACTTATTCAACCATGAGGAACACGTGGATCAATCTGGGAGTAATCTCAATATCATATCTTCTTTCCAATGTCGGCGATAGCATTCTTGGCAGCACCTGGACAATCGCTTCGACCTGCCAAGTCAATGGCGACTACTATTTAGTGACTTTAAAAATTTGAGTACTAGCTGGGTATTCCAGTCTATCACGGCAAACTTCTTCTACAATGGGAGCTCATCGGCTGTGCCATTACGAGACATTCGCAAATTGATATGCGAACGATCGAATCCTCTTGTACAGAAGTGTCTTTGCGAGGTTATATTCAAACGTTGAATTGATCTCGACTCAAGCTATATTGGAATCGCCGGCCACTATTTTTACCTAATCAAGTAATAGTGTAACTAAATACTAGTTTACCAGATGTTGAGCCGTATATGATTTCATTTAAATGGAAAAGAAGTACATACGACCATAGGGTGTGGAAAACAGGGCTTCCCGTCCGCTCAGCCGTACTTAAGCCACACGCCGGCAGGTTAGTAGTTGGGTGGGTGACCACCAGCGAATCCCTGCTGTTGTATGTTTTTGTCTTTTTGAATATGAGTTTGTTGGTCTCGTATTGTAGTTGCTCTGAAGAATTATACCATAAGTTCATAGTGGACAAAATAGGAGGGAATAACGCGTGCGAAAATAGGAATGGGAGATATACTGTTGTGGCCTTTATTACGTCCGCCACGGACCCGAAAGCCTAGGACTATATAACGGTTTGCGACTATACTTGAAACTTATTCACTGACAGTCATCTTAGGTGGAAAAGGTTTGCAGATATAGACAATAAGCTTTTCTAGAATACGTTTCAGTACGTCCCAGAAATCGTCTTATTCACGAGTGGTCTTATACAATTTTTTTCGAGGCTACAATACTAAGCAAACGTGGAAATATGTTAGTCTATTTAGAAAATGGAATACCTTACCAGTATACAATGATGTATCGAAGATACGAAGCGTTTAACTATATTATTTCTACGTTAGGGGGAGGATGATATTTAGGATTTCGGAGTAGGATTGAAGGCTGTCGTTATTAGAACATATATTGGAAAGTAGCAAAGTTTCGAGATAGAGATAGCTGTAAAACAGAGATAAGGGCCTTTTGTTTTCTACGGTATTTGGGGGTAAAATGGCTAGACAAAAAGATTCAAAAAATGACGAATGCGATATTGTCTAGACAGAGAAATGGCTAAGAATGATTCTCACTCACTTCTCACTCACTTCGTACCCAGTCTATTGAGCTGTTACCTTCGGAATTTTCGTGCTCTATATAAATAGTTGATTTATGACATAAAATACATACGACCATAGGGTGTGGAGAACAGGGCTTCCCGTCCGCTCAGCCGTACTTAAGCCACACGCCGGCAGGTTAGTAGTTGGGTGGGTGACCACCAGCGAATCCCTGCTGTTGTATGTTTTTGTTTTATTTTTGCTTTTTGAAACAGCTTTTTGGCGGCTGATCTCTAGAGTGTTCTCCGTATATTCAACTTTCAAAATTTCTATAGAGACAAAACGTTCTATTGAGTTCCCGATATCTAGAGATCTTTTACACAAACCGTGTCATTTATTTCGAACAAGATCAACCAAAGCTTCATCGCGTTTCTTCTCGACCTCTTCCAAGTTGACGCGTGATACCCAGTCATTCACTCTCCCTTTGACGTTGCCAATTTCCTCCGGGGAATCAAGCTTAAATTGGTGCTGGTGCATGTCATCCAACCATGATTTGAATGCCGGTCCCAGATGATCTATGAAATGGTTGAAGTCTCCGCCTCCGCCGAGAGCGTTGGTCATGATGGGTCCAGTCAATGCCCAGCGAAGCCCAAGACCGGATGTCATGGTTTTGTCTAGTCAAGTCAGAAGGACGCACGAGGTCAATGGAACAGATGATACACACCAAGGTCTTCAGCTGAGATGACTCCTCTAGAGATAAGGCTGTAGGCTTCAGCACATAAAGCGGCTTGGAGTCGGTTGGCGATGAAGCCAGGAGCCTCTTGCTTCACAACTACCGGGTCTTTGCCTAGACTTCGGTAAAACTGGCACGCAGCAGTCACGTACTCATCACCCGTTCCAGGATGAGGAACTACCTCCACCAAAGGCACCAAGTGTGGAGGGTTAAAAGGATGACCAATCAGAATACGGGCAGGCTTGTTTGTGCACTCAGTGACAAATTCTGATGAAGGGAGACCGGAGGACGAAGATGCGATCAGAACATGCTCGGGGGTTTTTGCGTCTAGATGAGCAAAAAGGCGGCGTTTGAAGTCCAGTCTCTCCGGTCCATTCTTATATTGAATCAGCAAGTTTTTAGCAGTGGCTCAGAATGTTAAACATACTTCTTGGATGAGATCTACATCCCCAAGATAAGCGTCGATGTCCTTGACGAATCTGAGATTCTTGAAGCAGTCATTGATCGTCACTTGAGCATTTGGTATCTTTGCGCAATTTTTTTGCAGATAGTCACGGAGTTTGGCCTCGGCTTCGGGTGCTGGATCCGTTACTATAACCTTCAAACCCTTGGCGAGAAAAAGCGCGGTCCAACTGGCGCCAATCACTCCAGTACCGATCACACCGACAGTCTTGATGAGAGAAAGAGGCATGATGTTGGATCATGAATGGGAACTGGCATGTTTGAGCTGGCTAGAAAAGTGCAATAAATAGTCCGCAAGTCCACTTCACTTGTCTGATTTTGACGGAAACAACTCGGAAGAGCAACCGAACTACCTAAAGAGGAAATACACTCCAACCCTCACAAGATATTATCCACAATATTACGCAGCGACTTTCCATGGTCGGCTTAATGGAATTGCACCTGTCATAGAACCTGCTAAGAATCATGTTCCATTACGCAAACCCTTGGAAGGTTGTGGGAAAATGACGGGTCGGAACCAATGGGCGGAAAAGCAAGTTACCATTTTGGACGATTCCGACGCATCCCGATGCATTCCGTGTCGACTTGCCGTCTTCCGAAACCCCACGCCACAGACCCGCAACATGAAGATGACCTGATCTTCGTTAGTTCTTTTATCTCAAAGGACGGCCTTCTCAAGACCTTTTCTTCTCTCCATCGTTTGCTTTCAGGACCTGTACATCCAGAGCAATACTCCCTGATTTCAACATGGCTCAAACACACGAAACGATACCGAGCGGAGATGTCTATGGTCCAGGAACTTTCATGGATAAGACATTCATCCCAGCGCCTCAGGATGCTGCTCGTATATTTGAGTACCTCGCAAAAAGTACTCCTGGCTTCACCAAAGACAGAAGTATTTGGCAAACTGCGAATTTTGAAGGAAGCTCACTTCCAACAATTCCTGGCCCCTTCAAGGCTCCCCTTGTTGCAGCTGCTCTGCACGCCATGTGTGGAGTAGTAGCCCACGAGATTGTCGAAGACCGTGATGGCACCCCAGCGAGTACTCAGAAGGTTTCTGTTAACACCGACCATGCTGCTATCTGGCTCGCAACAATCTATTCGGCTTCAGTGAATGGCAAGAGCATACCCGAACTTGCCAAGTCGCACCAATTGTCGGGCTTGTTCCAGCCGGATTTCCAGCAGGGCTGGATGTCTACGCCGATTAGCCAACGGACCACTGCTTTGTACAAAACAAAGACCCCGGGCGTTTGGTATCAGCTTCACGGCTCTCTTGATTCCAGCCCTGTCTTGCGATCAATGGGAATGGACCCTGGCTATCCCGCCAAAGACTTGGACGATGCTTATGATTACATAAGCCGACATGTAGAGCAATGGACCGCAGACGAGCTGGAAATGCATAACATCAAGAACGGGTTCTGTGGCAGCATATGTTTCACGCCTCAGGGGTGGTCAGAGACACTCATGGGAAAGAGACTTGCTGATCACCCGCTAGTCGGCTACTCTCGACAGTCGCATGCAATTCCGACTCCTCCGATTCCATTGCCTAAAAGTTCAAACGATAAGCGGCCCTTAGCCGGCATCAAAGTGGTAGAACTGGTTCGAATCATTGCTGGACCTGTCATCGGATGCACTCTCGCTGCGCTTGGTGCTGATGTTATCCGTGTGAATTGCAGCCGACTGGTGGATCTTAACGTAAGTCGCATGCGCCTGTATTACTTGTGTTGGAGTATCCTTTTACTAATTGTTATTATATAGGCTTTGCAGCTTACTCTGAATACAGGGAAACGCACGATCGACATTGATTTGGCCAAGGAGGAAGATAAGTCCCGCTTGCGCGAACTAGTTTCGGGCGCCGATGTTTTCGTGCAAGGCTTCCGCCCTAATGCGATCGCAAGAAAAGGCTTCGGAGTCAACGAGATCCTCGAGATGGCCGGCAGCCGCGGAAGGGGCATAGTGTACGTCGAGGAGAATTGTTACGGTCCCGACGGGCCGTATCATGAAAGACCTGGCTGGCAGCAGATCGGAGATGCTGCTTCAGGTTCGTCCTACGTGATGGGCCGATCCTTGGGCTTCAAGGACGGCACGAGCATTCTTCCGCCTCTTCCAATCTCCGATATGACGACTGGTCTTGTAGCTGCTTTGGGAACTCTAATGGCACTCCGTGATCGGGCTCGACATGGTGGCTCGTACCGTGTGACAAGCTCTTTGGTGAAGGCCGACGCGATCGCACTGGAACCGGAGATCGGTCTTTACTCTCCTGAGACTGTCGATCAGAGTAAACAGTTGTTTAAATGGGGTCATATCGGCCCTTCGCAGTTCGTGCTGGAAATACTTGATGTCGTTATGGATGGATGGAAAAGCGTATTCCCTCAATACTTTGGATCTGGACCTCAATCATTCATGACCAGTTTCCAAGACGGACCATGGGGTCCCACTGAGAATCTGAAGCCTGTGATTCAGTTAGGCGATTCAAGTTTGACGCCTCGCTGGTTGACAGCCGCAGTTCCCCACTGCTACTACCCACAAAACATCGAATGGCTCTGATTTGCCTCAAGACTGTTTACGCCAAGTGAGGCTTGGGTAAGGGTGAGAATGTGGTTCTTCGCAAAGTACACTTTCCAACTTTAGGATGATTCTTGTGCTCTTGTATTATCTAGTTCTCCGGGCAGTTCCTCTTTGAAATAGTGACAACCTTTGTTTGTGTAATTTTTCCGTTTCTCTCTCGGTTCAAATATCCTTTTAGCTCGATCTTCAATCTGGGTATCTTCGCCTTCGTAGGCTTTCGGTGCCACGTGTTCTGCGAATACAACATTAAGTGTCCTGTTCAAATCTCACAGTTGGGGAAGGCTCATCGTCTAGCTGTGCAAAGAACATAGGCCAATCGTTCCAATCAAAGGCGTAGTTCTCAACCCAAGCCAGATTTTGTGGTTCTTCTCCTTCCATATATTCCCTTTGTTCAATTGTGCCCTCGCGGTTCAAGATCTCCTCTAAAGGTTCTCCTAGAACCTGCTCCGTTCCAAGGCCGTGTATATCCATTTTTTCCTCGATCAATTTGATGACAGACCTGCATCTCGAGGCCAATGGAGTATGCTTTTCATAGTCTTTGAGGATCCCCCGCGCTTGTTCTAACATTTCCTTCAAATGAGCCGCAGAGAAGGTCTCCACTATTCGCGGGGACATCTGAGCTGCTAACAGCATAGTCACAGCCATGTATACATCTAATTAAAAAAACATTAGCCTTTTCACTAGACCATTTTGAGAGAATGGCCTACATGAGACAGTGTACCAATACGATGGTAAAAGATACGCTTGCTTCTGCTCCGGCAAATTTCGGACAATAAACTCAATCATATCCCTCGCAGCCTTGGTGCACTGGACTTGGCATTGAAAAATCACATGTTGCATGATTTGGTCATCTGAGTACAGACCAAATGCTGGAGTGCTGCCCGCTCCTTGGTGATGCAGCTGTAGAAGGAAAGGCCTATAAAGGAGCAGTCGGACGGATAAATATCTTTTGAAAGTAATTAGTCTATAATTCGCACCCTCAGATTTCACATAACGTACCGGGCACGTAAGACATTTGCTTCACGTGTGATATGTTTCGTCGGTGTTGGGTCTTCAAGATCTGATGGCATTTGAAAAAAAGGGTGGAGACTTTGAGCCCAATTGCATAACTCAGACTCAATTTTCAACAGACTCGCATATTTATCAAAGGACAGCGAGGAGCCTAGCCTCTCGCCAGCGATATTTCTGCTTGCTGCACGATCGATATCGGAATCAACAAAATAATAAAATGTTTCCAACACCTCTCCTATGATGTAGTGGAGACGACAGAAGGATACGTAGAAATTCAACTTGGAAGGAAGACTTCTGCGTCCAGCGCCGCTGGAGACCTCCACTGAGTTGAGCGCCAAATAATTCAATCCTTTCTTCGCTACCGATTGGGGAATCTTGAGATCGAAGCCAAATGTCATGGAAGCAATTCTTCGCGTATTAGTATACGTGGATCAGAAACATCAACGATCTATATCATACCTGTCCATGATAACGCATCCATTCCAAACCTGACGCGCAATGCCTCGCTCACGTGAGTCATTGATAGACTCAATGGTTTCAGGCATGTGCAACCCCAGTTCCTGCGCTATATGAATTGCTGTGCTAATGTTTCGTAGACATTTCTGTGGCATTTTCTCGTGCTGAAGATACACTGCAGTGAGCAGCAGGATCTGAATGATTTCGAAGTTGTAAATGTCCATTAATTCGTAAGACATCAATTCTTGAGCTCTATCAAAGAACTCAACGGAGGATTGATACCGAGACAGAGGTGGCTGTGCCTGGGATGCGACACAAGATGTGGCAAACATGAGATTAAGAATGCAATGCAAAGCCCTCTCGTTTATCGAGAGCTGTCCGTCTTTGATCCACAGCGTCTCATATGCGCTTTCGATAGAAGACCGATCAAGCCATGGATAAGCACTATCCACATAGTCCCAATAGATATTCAGTAAATGGTCAGCCACCTTTCTTGTGGGTATCACAAATTGCACATCTGAATAGTCTCTTTGAGATGCCTGTCTCTGAAGCTTGGGCAGCTTGTTATGAGGCAGGGTTTGACTCGTTTGTTGCCTCTTATTCGCAAAGGCGCTTCTTGGGCCTGTCACGGTTCCAACTTCATGTAGGATATGCGCACCACTGGAAGCACCAAATAAGCTGCCGGTTGGTATTATGCCGCTATATAAGCTGGCGTTTTCGTCGTCGTCGTTTTGAGAACGATCGTTGCGGTGAACGCTTCTCTGCCCACACTGTTCTGTACTGTGATCTATCGCAATCCTCCCTTGAGCAGCATCTGGACTTTTTCTCGCATCTGTATCAGCTGTTTTATTCTATAGCAGCTTAATCCATGTGATGTGCTCGACTTTGGTACTTACTGGCCATTCGATGAAGGAGAGTCATGGTCAGTCCCGCGATATTCACATAGTTGCGAACCCTGTTTTCTCTTCGAGCAAGGACCGCATACTGATACCGCAATGATGAGCATATATACTTAATAAAGCCCCGTTAAGCTTCCCTTGATTTGCTTACCTGGTCGAACACCGTCGCATTTTGTTTTTCGGGCTTTACAAACGTTACAAGCGATGCTTATCTTGGAACGTTTTGGCTTCGGTACTCTAGACCCCTGTGGGGCTGGGTTCCCCGACTGGAATGAGAACATCATCCTGGTAGGCTTGGAGGAAAGACCACAAATGGCTTTCCGAGACTTCCTCCCACCTGGGTTCCGGGATATCCCCTGATTACATCATCTTCCGTTCCGTTCCCTGCACCCCGAGAACACGGAATCCCGGATTGGGACATTTCCGAAAATTGTCAAACATTCGATTGTAGCAGTGAGGACGGAACCGATTTTGTCATAATAGCGGTGAACTTGGTCGGCTTGACGATGCCATGGCAGGCAGATCTCCGTCTTTGTGCTCACACTATCTACTTTTCAAAATTCGCAATATCCGCAATCCGGAAAGTACTAAAGGCATGACCTGTATTCCTCTGACATACTTCTCGACGATGCCAGAGTCCATGCAAGTCATTTCCAATAATTCGTCTGGAAGTAATACTCCCTTCTCTTCATGATATGACTCGTCAAGCTACCCAGCGTCCCCATGCTGTGACTTCCACTGGCCGACTCTATTTCCTCGACATTGGCCTTCCAACCTACCCTGAGCATAATGGTCGTATTCTTACTTGCAAACCGGATGGCTCTGACATTCGAGAGTTGATTACCGAGATAAGAACATTGCCTGATGGAATCAACGTTGATGTGGATCACCAGCACATATATTGGACGAATATGGTAGTACCCTCTGCCAAAGACGGGTTCATTCAACGCTGTGATCTGTCCGGAGAGTATGTTGTTACCATCATCCCGGCCAGACGCATACTCCAAAGCAACTGGCTGTTGCACGAAAGTCAAGAAAACTATACTGGTCCGACCGAGAAGGCATTCTGTGATTCTCGGCCAGGGAGATAAAATCAATTCATTCGAAGTGGTGGTTTTTTTCTCGTCCGTTATCAATCTTAGCGTAATCATCTCGGGCTCGACATCAATGCTTGGATATCTTGGAACAGTGGCGTTGTTCTCCGACGAAAATATTAGAACGTTGTAAAAGCTGACAGTGATTGTGTTTGTGCCGTCACCAACGTCGACCGAGGTTGTATACGGTGGGAACGAGATTGTTGTGATCTCTAGAAGGGTCCCGAAAGGAAGCACCGTTAGACATGGCGGGTGACAGAATATATGCGGATCATTATAAACGTCGTCATCCGCATATGAAGTCTCGCCGTTACCATCGTCATTACCACCACCACCATCATCATCCTCACTACCACCGCCCATGAGCGGCCAGCAGCGATTACGCCAGAGTATGAGTCTCCCATTTTCAGAATTGACGGCCAAGTAATTGGCACACCGATCGCCAGTCATCTGCCTTTATCGATGTTAGAACAAATATGTGCGATCAGCAAAACATGTTCGTGAACGTATAGAAGACGTGCCTCGGTGATCCTGATGGTCTGGCCAGGAGTTGCGACCTCGTCCGCAAAGCTGAGTGGTGTATTCCATCTGATAGATCCATCTTTCCGAAAGCCTAGATCGTGCCAAGATCGTGCCTGGCCAGTAGTGCCTCCTATCACAATATAGTCGAGACGGCCATCGCCATTTTTATCAGCAAACTGAACTTGTCACGCCAGAACACCAACTCCTTCAGCAACCAGGGTGGCCAGACCATACTCTGGTGTATCAGTGCTCTTAATATGCCACTCTCGTGAGGCACCTTGGTCGTTTACATAGAGGTAGTCGGCCAGCCCATCACCGTCCAAGTTGGATAGAAGTTAATCTTGAGGAAGCCTTGAAGGAGGAGAGGAACTTGCTCAGCAAAATGTACGTTATTTGCTTTGAATTGCCAGTCAAAATCACCCTCAATTGATTTATTGGGGTCTTCGGCAATTTCTTCTCAATACTTCCACCCCAGCCTCTGTCACTGCCAATTTCTTGTACCGCTCAGTTCTTCCGCTTGTTTCATCAAGAACAGCATAATCCGCACGTTTGCTTGATGTGAGCATATCCATGTGGACATTCTCGCGCTTGTGGTCTCCCTTAGCAATTTGACCTAGGTCCTTCCACTGGTTCTTCCCTTTTCCATTTCACAAGCCCCTTGGCTTCCCACCTTGGCCTTTCCCCTTCGCCAAAATTCATATAATCAGCTCTGGCTTCGCCTGTGAAGTCGCCCAAGAACACTTTAACTCCTTTAGATACGGAGGCGCCAGTAGCAGCGATACTCACTCTGTACTAATCAGGGATGACTTCGGCACTGGTATTCAACCATCCTGTTACTTCCCCGGTGCTCACGTTAACCAGACAGAAATCAGCCTTGCGTCAACTGTATCGCATGTTTAGTGCTTGCGGATTCAAACGAGGACCTGGAATTTGCCAAATCCACCGTCAATATGTATCATTTGCAGTGTATCATTTATGGCTCCCACACCTCCAGAAATTCGACCAAGAGAATGCTAAAGCCATAGCCTGTCATCGTTCTTCAATCGGTTCATCCAAGCAAAAACGTCTCTAGCGTCGGGATCTATATAATTATAATCATCTCCATTGTCACCATTCAGACTATGCGATATAGACTGTCTCAAAAACTGCGAATGGGTCCTAGAATCAAAATCCAACCAACATACTAACGTAGGTTTTAGGTTCTATACCTAGAACCTAACCTTGTTTTCCTATTATCGGTCGCTTAGTAATAGTATATTGATCTCGAGCATTTCATATAAAATCTTTTTAGGAATATCGTAGCTCTATTGAATTAGTGTTTGATTTCTCATCCATCAGAGGCAATTGATCTCTTCTCATGTCCGTTGAAGCTAGAGGGAGCTCCACTTAAAAACTTAAATCTCAAGATTAACTTCAAATCACGCTAGGTTCCGGATAAACAGGGAAGACCAACGTCCGTATTAGGTTAGGTTGGGGTACTCACTTTTTTCCCAATCGGGAACAGACTTTTATTGCTTGTCTATCCTATAACGATCGCCGTATTTTGTGCTCGCACCTCACTAGTTTCTCCGACCTAGCCGGTAATAAGAGTCTAGTTCATTCTATAAGCTTGAGTAATATCGGAGCTCGGCCTTCATATTAATAATATCCAATTCGGCTTGCAAGTAATAATCTTTCCTGAATTGATACGATAGAGTCGGAAATCTGTGCGAGTGGAGTAAGTCGGCATGTTTCGGCTTGCAACAAGTTATTTCTTATGGAATAAAAATACGTCAGTTAATCTGTATGATGTAAGACAAGAACTCCGCGTTTGTCAGTTGAGTATATTCCGTTCCCTTGGTAGTTCGGCAGTCCGTCAATCTAAGTGGTTAAGGGGGTGAGGCTATCAGGAAATTGTTTGGAATTAAATATTTAAGAACTGCTCTCCTTCTGTCTCTCTCTTTCAACCTATATTTCTCAATCGTCTTCAATCACTCGTGATGTCTCACCTACAAGCGTCAAATCTCTTCTCCGTTAAAGACCGGGTTGTCGTGATCACCGGAGGCGGCAGTGGTAAGTATTACCCGCCCTTGACCGCATATTCGACTTTGCGATAGAAGAATTAAAGCTCATGAACTCAATACAGGCCTCGGTCGCATCATGACAAAAGCTCTTGACGCTAATGAAGTCTCCAAAATCTTCATACTGGGCCGACGCGAAGATGCCCTTCAAGAAACGATCTCACAAAGCATCAACGGCACCGTAATTCCAATTATATGCGACATCACCTCTAAAAAATCCCTCGAGGAAGCCTACAAGGCAGTCGCAGCCCAGACCACCCACATCGACCTCCTGATCGCAAATAGCGGTATTATGGGCCCCTCTATGAAACCTCCGCAGCCCGCGGCGGACGGCTCCCTCCCACCTCTGTCCCAAATCCGCGACAAGCTGTTCAGCGTTCCAATGGATGAATTCAACAAAGTGCTGAATGTAAATGTGACGGGATCTTATTATACAATTCTCGCATTCCTGCCCCTGCTTGAAGCAGCCAACAAACGACGACCTGCCCCGCGAGCTGGCGTTGTGGGAGCACCAACTGCACAGGTCATTATCACTAGCTCAGTTGCTGGCTATGCACGGAATGTCTCATTTAGTTTTGCCTTTAACGCGTCTAAGTCTGCGACTACCCAGTTGGTGAAAATTCTTTCTACTTCGTTTGCTTATTACAGCATTCGGGTCAACGGTCTTTCGCCTGGTCTTTATTATTCTGATATGGCAACCCATGTTTTCCAGGATGCTAGTATTCCTGGTCAAGCTATTGAGGATGGTTCATTCCCGCGTGAGATGATCCCTGCTACTAGAGGTGGCAGTGAAGGGGATATGGGTGGTTTGATTGTTTGGCTGGCTAGTAACTCCGGTGGTTATATCAATGGTAATATCTTAGTTACTGATGGAGGCCGGATTTCTATTGTGCCGGCTTCTTATTAGAGGGTTGGATATTTGGTGATTCTGTACAAATTTCTTTACAAACCGTGCGTTCTTATGAATAGAAATGGATTTATAAATTTCAAGATTGGATGCATTGATTTCTCGAAAAATAGATAAGAAGGCATCAGCATAGAATAATTGATGGCTATCTAAGTAAATATCGTAGCATAGCATATAAAGGATGTAATGCATCATTCATTCCTGACCTTCGAGGTTATCAAGTATTGTCGAGTGATACTGAAGGTGTTTCATGCCTCGCTCCTAGGTACCGCTGGAACTACGGACACTAGACAGACACAGAATGGCATTATCAACTCACATATATCGGCGAAAGACACCTGGCTTTCTGCGTTGCGAATATAATGCTCTGAATAATGGTATGATGCACAGCCGCGGCCAGTTCCAGGCATTTCTCCTTGAGTATCTTTATGAAAAAGTAATCTCCCAGCTTGCATACTATGTCATCAAATGAGCCAGTTGAATTGGTTGATTAAGCGATTTTTAAGATCCAAACAACTAATTGAAGCCAATTTTGTCTAGTTCAGTCCATAGAAAAAGCAACTTCCACCCTAGACAAGCACATTCTACTTCTGAGCCTCGCTACCAAAATGCTAGTGCCAATTCTTTCTTCACCTCAGATCAATATAACAACTGGTATCTTGTCAAGGTATGGCTTGGTACTTTTGGGCGATCCTATCACGAGCGCGGGGATTGTTGGCTTTTAAGTGGAGCACAGCAACTTTAGGGGGAAAACAGGGAGTTTGATCTTATAAAATGGTATTCTCAGTCGTGATTGGGCTTCACAAGGCGTATCGAGTTGAGCTGCCTTCTATTGCCCCTAATAGTACCACTTATATATAGCTGAGGTTTGTTTCGGTCACCTGAGAGATTTTCCACTGAATTTATCAGTTATCACCGTTCAGCGCTGAGAAATCAGTCTCCTGGCAATATTCACGGAACGAAGTCATTTTCAGACCAAGCTATAGAAAGGTCAATTGTGTCCCAAAGTGGCAACAAGATCGAACAGGACATGATTCACCTTCTCTGGTCTCACAACTGCAGGATCTTTACCCTCGTACCCAAACTCATGCGCAAATAGTACATTGTGAGCAAATTCGTGACCAAGACCCCCAGGAAGTAACTCGCAAAACTTATCGTAGGAAAGCTCGTCATAGCCACCATACTTCAAACCTTGGGTTTCGCAAAAGATTCGGAGATAATCTGACCATGACACGTATTCTCCAACAGCAAACAAGTTGACATTAGGCTCAGACTCAGCAACTGCCTTGACGCAGGGACCGAAATCCTTGCGGACGTGTCCGAACGAAATGCCCTTGTTGCCAGGGCCAATTCCTGCCATTCGCCAGGTGCCATCAGCTACCTATACAACAGAGTCAATATCTCTTAATATACCAGGAACAACAAGTCAAAAAAAAATTTCAAGGGACAATTCAATTATTCATACCTTCTTTGGGGTTGTAGGAAGTCCCCACTCCCAAGGGAGCTGAAAATAGATAGGCGCCTGAACCTGCGAAAATTTTCCGGTCAGAGCTGGAAGGCTCTGTGCATAGATAGCAGCATCTGCTTTAGAGTCCATGTGGTAAAGTTCGGCGAACTTGTCGCCACTGGAGTTCTTCGCGTGGGCCATTGAACTGAAGATGTATCGGAACAGGCTAGGAACCGCGGCTGCAGCATCAGCAATATTCTTGCCCTGCTGGAGCTCGACATCGTGGCAATATTCCACGAGTGATTGGCTGGGTCTTTTTTTCTTGTGGCTTTCTGGATCTTTGAAGATGGTCCAGAAGTCGGTGACACCGAAAATAAGGTCGGCTCCCATAAAGGCTTGCTTCAAGGACGCCACATTATCAAGGTCGCCTTTGACAATTTCAACACCTTTCATCTCCCATTTCTTTGCGCTCTCAGATGCAGGATTACGTGTCACACCGCGAATCTTCCATCCCGGACTCGAAAGGTAAGCGTCGGCGACGGAGCTTCCCTTCAATTTTTGTATCAGTAAACCATGAAAAGATCTCGAAGAAACTGTATAATGATCGATTTTAACTTACTTGCACGCCGGTAATACCGAGAATAACAATAAGTCTTGACATTGTGGTGTAAATCTCTTCTGCCGTAGTAAGATAGCAACAACTTTGATGACGATGTTCTCTGAAGACTTCGAGCTTGTCAAGACCTATCTCTTTATATTTTTGACTACTGGCCGAAAAGCGCGTCATGAGACATACTAAGCTATAAACATGGATTCCTGATTGATAATCTGCCCATCGCTTGGTAATCATGGAAATCTCGGGCAATTATCTATGGAGAAATCTCGGGAATGTCGATACTGCAGCGTACAGTCATTTGATTTCTGATCTATCTGAGGCGTTTGATCCTTTTTTGCATTCGGAGAAGCCAGATGGAGACCCACGTAAGTTGAACTTTATTGCGCAATTGAACTTAAAACCACGCTAGGCTCTGGATCATAGGGGGACCGACATCCGTATGCGGTTAGGCTGGCCTGGTCACTGCTTTCCCAATCGGGAACATAGTCCTACATTGTTTGCATCCCTCTCTAGGATGATCATACTGTATGCCAACCTAACACGGGTTTTTCTTTGTCTGGTGGGCCGTAAGAGCCCGGTCCATTCCATGGATTTGGCAATCTCGGGCTTCGGCTTTTGAATTAATAATGTCGAATATCGCTTACGAGTAATGTAGCCGATCTAGAGGGCTTGAAAGCGTGCCTCTTATCTTTTAAAAAGCCATTCGCTACATCACAGCCATATCTATCGTCTCGTTTCCAAGCCTTACTTCCATCTACTTTATTTTTTGTCTTGCCCACCGAAGATCTAGCTCACGAGATGGCCCTTAACAAAGAACTGTCCACTACCTACGACCAGTTTCTTGAAACTGCCCCTAAGGAAATATCTTCCGTCATAGTGGATGCAGCCAGCAACTTCAAAAGCGTTTACGACCCTGCTAAGGCGATCCAGCCCGGGAGCCCCTTTCCACAATTTCAATTGAGCGATGCGATCGGCAACAAAGTTTCATTGAATGATCTCCTTGCTAAAGGGCCTATCCTGGTATCTTTTTACCGGGGTGAGTGGTGTCCTTTCTGTAACGTCGAGCTACGTGCGCTCCAAACCCATCTGGACGAGTTTCACCAGAAAGGCGTAACTTTGGTAGCTGTGTCTCCGGAGTTACCCAATCAATCTCTGTCTACGTCCGAGAAATTATCATTGAAGTTTCCTGTGCTTTCTGACGTTGGCAATCAGCTGGCGAAGAATCTCGGTCTGTTGTTCCCACAGCCCGAGTCTATGCGGGATGTTTTCGACAAGTTTGGCGTGGATTGGAACCAGCGGTACGGCAACGACAACCTGGAACTTCCGGTGCCTGCAACATTCCTCGTTGATAAAGAGGGAATTGTGCGCAATTCCTTTGTCAATCCTGAATACCAATACAGATTGGATCCTGAGACTGCCCTCCATTGGATTGACCAGCTTTGATATTGGATTTTACAGAAAGCTACCTTCACACTCACTTTGCGGTCCGCTTTGGTATGGAGATATACGCCAGGAATGGGCCTAGTTGATTGGGTTTCATTTTGCTTACTTGGCTTCAAGGGGATCTCGACACCAAGTCCCAAGCAGTCTGGTAGAGCGTTGAGTCATGACGCTTTTTTCAACCTGGAGAGAAAAAACCGTATGCGGTGGCTCGTGATCGATCTTTCTTAGTGTCGCTTCAGCTAGAATAAACACGTTCGTTGACTTGCACTTTTAGTGTGCTGCCCCTGTAGATCTGCTTGAACCGTAAATGTCCGTGCCAGACATGCCTGTGTCATATTATTTACTCCAGCACTCGATCTTTGGAAGCCTTGACATCCCATGTCGCTTAATACAAAAATAATAAACCGCAGGCGCGCTTCCTTACAATTCAACTGTGAGTTACCGGGGCCGCGGGCTCAGTCCATCCACTCTGTTGAGCTCGTGAGTCGATTCGGGTTACAGCTGGCTGGGTGCCCGCGCGATTACAAAGCGCCTACACATCATCTTGCTGACTAATATACGGTCAAAGTGGAACGTCAAGCGAGCCACACGACGTTGAGAAGACATTAGAACAAATCAGTTGATTCTATCACTGCAGACAACAATGGATAGTTTAGACTGGAAGAGTAGGGGTGCTGAGCCACTGACACGGGATGAGCAGATCATCCCCACCCGTCCCCCACATGCATCACGAATGTTGGCAAGAAAGTCAACGGATGTCCAACCCTCGGCAACTCAAGATCTCAAGTTCATAAACCTATCCCATCCAGATGACTTGAATCGACAAAAAGAGGTACGAACGGAGATCCGTCGTCATGTTATGAAGGATATAGGCCAACGACGGAGGCGCCCAAGACCCAAAGAATCCTTTTCGCGAACGGCCCGATCATCTTCCTCGGAGTCAATTGATTACGAAATCTCTCAGCTTCGTGGCGCAGATATAAACGGCGCCTCACCTAGCCAAAGCCTAGCCATTCTCGCTCATTTCCCTGTGGAGGCTGATACTCGCGCTCTCGAACTTATGCACTTTTGTAAGATCCAAGCGTTCGCGTTGGCTTCTGGCTCGTCTCATCTATCAATACTTACTCTGTATCAGTCGTAACAGCCCCTTATCAGCCACTCAGAAATATTTGGATTGAGGTAGCGCTATGCGACCCCGGGGCATTCCATGTGACACTCGGCAATGCTGCTGATTCTTTATATAAGATCAAGGGCAATAACAGTGTGAAAAGTCCGGAGGCTTTGAGTCACTATGAAGCTTCAACAAGGAAACTGAGACATCGTCTTAATAACTTCACGGAGAGTATTAGTGGAGGGGCCATTGCCAACATATTGGCCCACGTCTGTCTTACTGTATGTGCTACGTTCTCGACTGTGAGCTCTTGAATAACCTCCTTCCCCTAGATGAGGCATTATGATTGGGAAAGCTGGAGTATTCATATGGATGGGTTGAGTCTCATAGCGAAACTACGTGGCGGGTTCGCCGATCTTGGGGATCGCATGTCCCTTCTCATACTACTGTGAGTACTTCGAACCTTTGTATTTCCTGGACGACATTTCTGACTGCTACTCGCAAAGGTACGATATAGCTGGCGCCATGGTCTTTGATTCATCTCCGCGATTTGGTCTCCCCGCAGAGTTTGTTGGTATATCCAATAGATCTTCGAGAGGAATAACCCCTACGCTACAAGCGTTACTTATCGAACCTATGTCCCCCACTTTTTCCCCAGCGGGCCAAGCATTAAGAATGGTTTCCTCAATTGCGGATGTGATAAATACCAACAGTCACTCCGCATTTTTCTGGAAGAGGGATATCGATGCAATACGCTTGATCGGTCCCTGTATTCACTTTTTACTCTCAATGCCAAGACTACCGAGCAATTTTGAGGCCATGGCTGATCCCGAGGATCTTATCGCAAGGGAGATGGTTCGGCTTACATGTCTCACGCTTATGTCGAACTTGAAAGAACATTTCGCATTCCCTCCGAGTGAGCAAGTTTCACTACATGCTAGGCTTGCTGAGTTCGTGTCTCATAATGTAAAGACGCTTGGGAAGAAGTACTTTGAGCTAAAGATTTGGGCTCTCGTCACCATTGCTTTATTGCTATACCGCGATGGAGGAGAATTATACATACAGGAGATGAAAAGAGAAATGACTGCAATGGACAAACCGGCACCCTACGAACTTACTGAGATTGCAAGAGATATTGTCTGGATCGACATCTTGATGTCACCATTTTCAGAGGATCTCGCGGCAGATATGACTTTGGACGTCGGCCTTCAAAGAACCTCTTGAGTTGATCGACGTCAAATTCAACAACATTATCCCACGGTTTTCAGCAAATCAAAATTTTAAAATTGCAAATATAGCTCACTCTGAAACCCAATAAGACAAGCCAATGATCTAAGCTATTAATGGAACTGGGTTCTAATTTTCTCGACTGCTTGACCTTTTTGAGGAATAAATGTTAATACATATTACTATAACCCAACGGCTTTTATCACTAGCTAGCCCGGATAGCCTAGTATTGCAACAATTCGGTTTAGGTTGAGTGCATGCTTGACTGAACCGGCCACTTGATCCGGTGTATCATCTCGCCAGGCTCAGGTGTCTTCGAGGTTGTCTCATTGTTGCTCATGGCATCAATGTGGTATGAAATACTTGAAGTATTTATCATTGGCAAGAGGGTCTTCGCCACGGAGTCACCAATCAAGAAAGCTCGAGGGTGGCTGTGTGCAGATGCTAAGAAACAAATGTTTCACAGCCTGTAGCCGTATCCAACACTCGCCATAATTCAGTTAGTCGGTCTGTGCGGCGATCCCGCCGGCCCGCAGGATTCTCACCCGGTCTCACCCTATTCTCACCCTGTCTATTGCGCACTGACCCTAATCACTCAGGTCGCCCGACGCTAAAGCGGGATTTTTCTAATCTTATGGAGACGCTGACCTGTTGTACTTCAGTTCCGTTACTTGAATCTGAGAAGGATATTAGTTGGTACAAGCATCAAAGAAGTACATACGACCATAGGGTGTGGAGAACAGGGCTTCCCGTCCGCTCAGCCGTACTTAAGCCACACGCCGGCAGGTTAGTAGTTGGGTGGGTGACCACCAGCGAATCCCTGCTGTTGTATGTTTTTGTTCAACCTTTTTTTTATTCGTCCGGGAAACTCCCCTTGCCGCCCTGAACACCACTATTCTGGACGCGCTGTATTCTCTGTCAGTCACGTCTAGGGATCTGTTAATTTGAGTTGATCTACTATCCGTCCATTTTCCAGTGGAGACATAGTCGATGCTGCGATTGTGTTGGTCGACGGTGATTGCAACTAAAGTTGCCCTATCATAAAGTTGATATTGATAGGCGGACAATTCCCTGGAGCGAGCGAGCATTTTACTGCTCTTGGATTGTTGGCTTTCCAATTCCTACTGTTCTTCCAAGAAGAGTTCTTCACGAATAGCTTCGAGGATGAAAACTTTCTTGATACTCCAGTAGGCCACCCCTTTAACATAAGCGATCAGGCGTTCTAAATGATGCTATATGAATTTTCATGGTTTTGTGCAGGTCTCTGGGCACAGCAACCGCACTAGCGGCCACATTAGTGGCCAGTTTCACCGTTGCGGCCTCGACGATGGTGTTAGTTCTACTACGAAGGGGAACGTAACAAACCCTCGGCAGACACTCGGCAAGGCAAGGATAGGACGAGCCAAGCACCAGGCTGTTCTGGTTCAGATCCAGGGTGCTATAGGTTAGGTGCAGGGTATGCTGGGTACAGAGATAGAGACGGCGAACGAGCCGGAGGCCGTGGTGGAGGCAAATCTGGAAAACGATGTGTTCTCACGAGTATTTGAGTCGTGCCTGATGAATTCTAAATGCAAAGACTAATGAAATAGTCTTTGAATGAGTTGAGCTCTTATCCTAATCATCGAGCGCTAGCACACTAGTATAGTGTTCATAGATATGCTATGTAAATATCAAATACAATTAACCTAAAGATATGTTATAACAACTGAGGGAGAGGGGTGTATTTAGTCAAAAAGGGCGACACAGATAAATGTTTTGTATCAGTTTGTTTCCAGGCAAGATTAGCAAATATATTAACCGGTGACTTATGGTGCTTAGAGGTCAGAAATGGAAGGCACGCTTACGGGATGTTGACGCTTCCTTATAGCACACGAAGTTATTCTCTTCATAACACCCTGCTTGCAACTTTCAAGTACGTGTTTTCGTTGGGGCTTAGTTTTCGTCTCCGTCTTCTCTCAGACCAAGTTCGTTTTGTCTCTTCGTTTCCATCCTCCCCGAGGTTCTTCGTCTCCGTTCTCCCTATGGATTGTTTTGTTTTGTCTCTTCGCCTCTTGGTTTCCGCCCTCCCTGAGGTTTGGTTCGTCTCCTTCGAGGTTCGGTAAGTTTGCAACGTTCCCAAACTTGCGCCGCTGGGCAAGTAAAGTTGCTGACCAGAGCTTTTCAGCCCCGATACTCCTCAATTCTACATTTTCTACCTTCATCTCCTCATGCCCACCACATCCAAGATGAGTTTATCTGGTGACACTGAGAATATCTTTTCTGAATTCGAGGATCTCGAGCGCCAGGACCTGATCGGTCGTGTTCTGAACAACTTAGAACTGGCGGATAGGGATTCTGTGGGAGAAATCCCGCGGGGAACCTTATTCCTGCTTTGGTTTGCCGCAGATGTGCTTGAAGACCTAGCAAAGCCATCATCAGATGCTAGATTGATTCCTTTACAGCAAAAAGTGGTCACCAGCTTACCACTTGACATTACTTCATTTTGTAAGTACAGCAGCATGGATTCTTGACTCGAGCCTAACAACTTCAAAATAGTGGTCTTTTCAAAGAAGAACCCGTTTGCAAACACCCGTGGCACAAAGTGCAAGTCATCCCAGGCCAGTGCCACAACCTCCCCAACAAAGCGCGATCCAAAGATTGTTGAGAAGGTGGGCTTATCAGGGAGCTTAGTACGAGGGTAGCACTAATATTACTTCCTTCTAGAGCCTCGACAGAGACCGCGAACAATGCCTAGTCACAATGCGGTGTGCCCCAACACTTGAGTCAGCACACATTATCCCAAATAGATTCTGTGGAACGTTCGTGCGACCTTGCAGGAGCGAATTCTGGAATCACTTACGGACCTACTGGGGCCGTACCCAAACGGAGAAATGGGAGGCTGAGCTGCTACAGGGCTCATATACCATCAACACAGAGTTCACTGCGAACATGATGACCCTTAGCAAGCAGGTCCATGCATATTGGGGATGCCCAATGTGTGCCTTTCGACCGGTTTCGGTCAACGAGGCTCAAACTATGATGCATATTGCCTTGCATTGGTTACCAATGTTGCCACCCAGTGTCAAGCGAAGTGACTATGTTTCGTCTACCGAGAACCCATTTAGTGGGGGCACACAAGAGCTCACAACTCTCCCCACTGCCAGGATTGGTTTCTATAATTGGGAGCGAAAAGTGGAAATGCAATCAGGCGATATCTTCACTGTTACCACGGATGACCCACTGAATCGACCTCTCCCTTCATGGGTCCTGCTTCTCCTCATGTGGCACCTAACAAGGATCGCAGCAATGCAGGGAGCTGGGGAGGATTCAGATGATGATCTTCCATCGGATGAGGATGTGGATCCAATTCCCTCAGGGACCAAAACGACTGTAACGGGCAAGAGACAAGTTTCTCGCGGTCGGTCGCCAGCAGTTCCGCGAATCGGTAGTCGGGGTGGAGTACCTACGGCAAAGTGGAGTTCATCAGTCGGGTTCTATCCTGGATCTGTACCCTTTCGGCTGCAAGCGAAGTCGACCAACCCGCAAGGACGAAGCCCGTATACCGAATAGGGTGAACTGGCTTTTTCTTTTGGAATCTACCACTCCCATGATCCTAACAATTAATTCAACACCCCTATGTAGCCTTGTCGGGAGTCGTCATGAATACTACTCTATAGGCTACGTTCATGCTCGTATTCCTCCACCAACACCTCCACATACACCTCCACCTCCACCAATCCCTACTCCTACCCCTACGAGCGAAGTTGTAGATTATATATAGATTAATGAGGACGAAAGCAAAATGGCGCGAAGATAGTCCGGAAGATAGTCAGGAAGAACCTACAATTTTCGATATCAGTTTATCGGGGTAGATGCAGCCACTACAACAGAGGATAAAGCAAAGGATCAGAACGCAGTCTAATTCCAGAGAAGGACCGTTAGTGCCACTACTACGGATGTTCCCGTTCCCACTTCCGCTTCCACATCACCTCGCATTCCTCCAAGTCACGGGCATTGGCGGCAATCCTCTGAAGCACCCCTGCTTCCAAGGTGTCAAGTTCGATCCTGGACCGGTCAACCTCCCCTTTCTTGACAGCAAGACGTGCCCGTTCCTGCGCAAGGTCGCGGTACTCAGCATCGGCGGCCAATGCAGTTTCCATGCTAGCCATGCCGGCCGGGGGAGGCACCACCTTGGGTCGCGGGACCGGGCTTGTCAAGATCATATTTATCAATTAGTCTTCCTAGATATTTTTCTAGCCGTTTTTCTGGTCTTCTTTTTAAAACACGCTTTCTAAATATCTTCAAGATATACTTCTTGACTTCATTTTTCTAACGTTTTCCTAGTCCTCTTTCTAAACACACTTTCTGAATATATTTCTAGGCATACTTCTTCATTACTTTTGAGCGCGTCGAATAAGGGCTTTTCCTTGAAGACTTGAAAGCAATATGGACAAGCAGTTTAGGTCCATGTTTTCCTGGTGGCCGCTACATACACCCATACGTGTGTAATCTGAGATTGCAAAGGTCGAGCAACATGGAACAATGGTTTTCGGCGAAGGAAATTTGCTTTTCGGTTCTGTGTTTTTTTTTAGAATTAGACCGCATTCGCAAAACCACAGATAAATATGACGAGACACCAAGCTCCGACTGCATAGGAAGGAGTTTTCTATGCAAATTTTCAAAGAAAGCCTGGGATTCACTTTCCCTTTTCGTAGTTCCACCCTTGACGCATCATATTTCGCGCCCCATGTACCACCTCCCTCATCAAAGAAGAACAAATTTGAACCTCGGTTCATCCCATCTCCTTATCGCACCCTATCATAGCCCTGCATATACCGGCACCACATTGGCGCCTCGGGGGCACCGCCAAGTAGATCGGCCCGTCCAAAAAGTACTCGGCGCTCCCGAACTCGGCACAATTTTTGTTGGGCGTCGGCCACAACCACGCATCAGGAATAGCGCCCGAACGCCCTCCTTGATGGGCTTTGCGCCACGTTTTATTTGTTCGTCACTCTACAATCGATTATATATGACTCCACCGTGAAGCAAAATTAATTAACCTTATTGAAATTGGATACGAAGTGCCGCGGCACTGTCCTTGTCGAAGTTTTAGAAACAGAAGATCTCGTCGCTCATCTTGGAGACTGGACCGGGCTTTTGGAAGCCTAGCTCTGCCAGGATTTTCTTGGTTGCGTTTACCATGCCTGGTGGCCCACATAGGAAAATCTTGGTGTCGGGTGAGTGCGCTGGCAGGTGCTCGGAGAGGACTGTCTGGTCCACGTAGCCTGATCCATAGGTCCAGCCTTCTGGTGCGCTGTCGAGCATGTACCACAGTTTAAAGTTCTTGGGGTAGCGACGCGCGAAGGTCTCGAGTTCCTCGCGGAGCAGGATATCTGACTCTGAGCGGTTCGCATAGATCAGGCTGATCTCGGTTGTATCGGTGTCGTTTTCGCAGATTGCTCGGATCACTTGGTACATCGGGGTGATACCGGTGCCGCCGGCTACCATGCCGATCTTGCGACAAAGGCTTTTGGTGTAGCGCATCGCGCCCTTGGGGCCGCGGAATTCGACTTCATCACCGATAGAGAGGTTGGCTAGGTAGCGGCCGCTGAGAAGGCCGTCGGGGTAGCATTTGATGACAAGCTCGATGCGGCCACGGTCAAGGTTGTTGGAGGTGGGTGTATAGGATCTTGTTACGGTCGTACCGTCGATGTTGGCTCTGATGGCAACGTGCTGGCCGATCGGAAGACCCAGCACGCTATTGGCATTGGGCAAAGCGAAGACGAAGCGGAATGTGTTGGACGAGAGTTGATCCTTTTCAACCAGAGGGATGCGCTGGTAGTTTTGGGGCTCGAGGAAACCGCGAGTAAGATGCGGGTCGATGCGAACGACCTTCTTAGACTTCATGCGAGGAGGATAGCGCATGAAACCAGAGTCGATCTTGGTGAATCGACTGGCCTGCTTGGCGACCATCACACCAATCGTGCCAGCGACGGTGCTGGCTGCGAGGAAACCATTCACGAAGCCGCCGCGCGGCAAGCGCAGGCCCTTCATTTGACGAGGGAGGAGTTGAGAAATCGCACCCATGCCATTCAAGTGGTGGAGGTTTCCTCGGCTGCAGATATAGAGCACTGGAAGCATCGCAGCCATGGCACCGGCCACTATTCCAGTGGTTCGTAGTGAAGAAGATGACTTGGTTTCCTTCGGCGCATTCTGTGACACAACACGAACGGCCTTGGGACGAACAAACTGCTGAGCATCCTTGAGTACGCCCACAAGGTACGGCTGCATGATCTCGCGCGCATCTTCTGAGTGCCCGACATCCTCATACTCAGCAGTGGCATCTGTGCCGGCAGTTTCGATGAGGACATCAGCACCTCCAGGGTGATCATGCAGATACTCCGTAATATCAAAGACTGCTACTGTTAGCTTTTGACTCTTGCCATTCTTTCGCAGACACTAACCTTGTCCGTGAATTACAATCCACATATCAGTCTTTGATTTGTGCGCAGCCACATCCTTCATCGAATACTCAGGCAACTCGACATCGGCCTTCCATTGAGCCTTAAGCTCTTTCGTCTCAGGGATAGCCATTGTGTTTGAATAATAGAATAATACACTCTTTCAAATTGCGAAAGCAACGATTAAAAGAAATACAGAACCTATCAACTAACTCCACTGATAACAAGGCCGGCCAACAAACCCCCCCCCAAATGAAATCGGACAACTTCCATGCATAAAACGCATTGCCCCTTTCCAGTCTCAAGGCAATCCACGGAAACCGTGCATTATGCCTCGGAAATGAACCCGTACAGCCAAATTCCAAGACCAACGCCAACGGGGCCACACCACGGGACGGGCGCGTATCCTCAACGGCACAGTGAACCCGATGCCGACAAACCGCGATGCCGAGAAAAAGCTCCATTTCCATCCCATTTCAGTGCAAGCGTAGAAGACTGTCCCTGCCCACACCAGAAACAGCGGGTCTGATGTGCAGATCGTAACTGGGAATGGTAAGCGCGTGGTGGACCCATGATCGAAAAGCCTGAAACTGCCTCGGTAGGCTGTCAGGCCGCCACGGCCTGTCGCGAATCGAATCGACGTTAATGAAAATTCGAGTGATTTATGCGTGTTGTTCATGTCGATGAGATAAGACGTGGGTCGGAGGTGGTTTGGGTTGGATATTCGATGGCTCCAGGGGACTTGCGTGGTTTGTGCTATGCCGCTATAAGTAAACACCCTCCGTCACCTGGTCTTGGGGTCATTTTGGGTTGGCATTTCATATCGCAATGGCTGTTAAACAATTTTATTTGCTGGGAGAGCCTAGCTCGTCAGCTCGGAATGTCGAGGTGGATTCATCTCTTGACTCTGAAGGACTTCAGCATTTGATTGCTGGTCATTTTGCCATTGTTGAGCCTCATGGTGAGTACTTCAAGTCTTGAGCGCTACCGTATCGGTTTGGATACTAACACACTACAGGCATCACTTTCCAATCTGATGACGCGACACTATTCACCGTGTCAGAGGTTCTGGTCAACGAGAACCCCATCGCTATCACGATAGATGGCAAAGCAGTCCGAGAGATTCCCGGACCAAACGGTCTTCCTTTTGTAGGAAACTTTTTCGAGATCTACCCCGATCACTTGGGCAACCACCAGCGCCTGTTCGAACAGTATGGCCCTATCTTTCAGACCACCAACATGGGTCGCACGGTCTACCACACCAACGACCCTCTCTTGTCAACTATTGTGTTTGCCGAGTCCGATTTCTTCACAAAGAAGATCAACGAAGCCCACCCCTTGTATCCTATCAAGAACAAGGAAGCGGGGGTCTTCCTTGGTGATACAGATACTCCGGAATGGCGCACCGCTCACAAGTTCCTTCCCCCCGGCATTAGGGCCTAAGGCTGTGCGTCACTATGCTCCCACTATGCAGGCGACGGTTGAGGATGCGTTCAAGGTGTTCGATCAGCTCGATGAGCAGGAGGAGGCGTGGAATGTCTACCAGTACATGTTGAAGCTGGGCGCGCAGGCTGTGGGCAAACTGGTTCTGGGGATCGACTTTAAGCACTTCACAACGCCCGATGCTCCCCCTCACGAGCTGGTGTACCGCATTGCCGAATCATTAGAGCTGAACAAGAAGGTGACTGCTCGAGGAAACTGGTACGCCAAACTGCCGTTTGGTGATCCCCAACGTTTGCGCGATGCCAGATGGCGCATCATGGAGATGGTCGAAGAGTCGATTCAAAATGCGGCTCGCGGTGGAGTTGAGGATCTCCCTCTACAGGACGCAGCTTTGCAAGCATCCAACATGATCGACTACGCCATCCGCGCCACCGACAACAAGGGTGAGAAGCTGCCCAAGGAAAGTCTCATGTCCGCCCTGGTCGTGGCCACCGGCGCCGGTTTCACAACCACCAGCTCCCTTCTCTCCTGGCTCCTCTACTCTATGGTCACCTACGAGGGCATGCAAGAGCGTCTCCTCCAAGAACTCGTTGACCACGACATCGACGCCAACACCCAACTCACCGCTGACCTCACCGACAAACTCACCTTCATGGACCACTTCATCAAGGAGACCCAGCGCCGCCATAACCCCTCCTACCAGCCCGCCCGCACTGCAAAGGTCGACATGATCCTCCCTGGCGGATACAAACTGCCCCAAGACGCAATCGTCATCCCGGCCCTGCACCACGTGCACAACAACCCGGCCGTGTGGGAGAATCCCGCCCGCTTCGATCCCGATCGCTGGGACATGGAGCAGGTCAAGAATCGCCACAAGGGCGCGTATATCCCCTTCGCGGCCGGTCCGCGTATGTGTATCGGATTCAATTTCGCGCTGCAGGAGGTCAAGGTCTTCTTGCCCAAGTTGGTCTACCGATACAAGTTCACCAAGGAGAATGACGGGCCGATCGAGTACGATCCCATGTTCCAGCTCATCCGCCCGAATAACCTGTACGTGCGTGCCGAGCGACGTGTGAAGTGGCCCTTCAAGAGCGAGTCTGTTTGAACGGTGGTCTTCCGATGTAAAATGTATTTTTAAAAGTAATTTATAGAGAATGAGAATCCACTTTGATCGAAGAAACGAACAACCAAATCCGATCCAATCAATCACCCATGCTGCCTATTCGGACCCACTCCGAGCGGCTTCGTATTGACTGCTATCTTCTATCTTACGATTCTGCAACTCTTCTCCCTTTCTCTCCCATCATGGCCGAGTCGACTTCGCGCCCGGTGCGCGTCATCGCCCATTTGCTCGAGGAGGTGGGCCTCGTCACCATGTGGCACTCGTCGCTCGACGTCAAGCTTCTCTGCGCCCAGCGCTTCGTGCGTCTATTCGCCTACGGCGGCTCAACTCTTATCCTGGCTTCGTATCTATCTGCCCTTGGGATCGCTGATGATCGCATCGGCCTGTTTATGACGTTGACCTTGATTGGAGATGTCGTGATTAGCTTCTTCCTAACTCTATTCGCGGATAAAATGGGTCGGAAGGCTGTGTTGTCGCTGGGCTCGGTGTTGATGGCCGGTAGCGGTGTTGTGTTTGCGCTGACGGGGAACTATTGGATTCTTCTCGCTGCGGCAGTCTTTGGTGTTATTAGCCCGAGGTATGTGCTCTGCCAATTTTTTTTTTGGTTTTTTGAGTCAAGGAGATTTCAATTTCATCGCTGACTTCCCCGCAGTGGAAATGAGATTGGGCCCTTCCGTGCCGTTGAGGAGTCCACTTTGGCCCATCTCGTGGCGCATGAGAAACTTCCTGATGTCTTTGCGTGGTATTCACTGGTTGGGGCGGCGGGCACCGCGTTGGGTCAGTTGATTTGCGGTTGGATGCTTACCTCGCTGCAGTCTCTGCATGGATGGGAGTTTATCCCGTCGTGTCGGGTTATGTTCTTCGTCTATGCGGCTGTCGGTGTGGTCAAGCTGGTATTCACCCTAGTGCTGAGCCGCAAGGTTGAGTATGTGAAGGAGGAGCCTGCACCGCAGAATGATGAGACTCGTCCGCTGCTTGGAGACTCTGCCCCCGTTGAGGAGCTGCCTAAGAAGAAGGGACTGTTTGCGTCCATTGAGAAAGATCTCTGGTCGCTCGTCATTCGGCTTTTCATTTTGTTCGGTTTGGACGCTTTTGCCTCTGGATTGGCATCGATGTAAGTCAAGAAGTCATGACCTGTGGAGATTCATTGCTGACTCGACCAGGTCCTGGATGACATATTTCTTCCACCGCAAATTCAGCCTGCCCGAAGGCGAACTCGGCACTATCTTCTTCGTGACCAGCAGCATTGCTGCTGCTTCCATGCTGGTCGCATCGTCGATTGCCAAGCGTTTCGGCAATGTGAAGGTGATCATCGACATCAGCCCTACAGATAACTACTCACGGCTAACCCTTTTTAGACCATGGTCTTCACTCACCTGCCATCAGCCGTCTGCCTGGCGATGATCTCCATTCCAAACAGCCTGCCATTGGCGCTCACATTCCTCGTTCTGCGCGCTTGTTCCCAAAGCATGGATGTGGCCCCGCGATCGGCGTTCCTGGCAGCGGCTCTCCCGTCCGACAAGCGTACGGCTATTATGGGCGCCGTCAACGTCGTCAAGACCACCAGCCAGAGCATGGGCCCCCTGCTCACCGGTATCCTGGCTCGCAACGACATGTTTGGAGTTTCCTTCATCATTGCGGGTATTTTGAAGATTATCTATGACCTCGGCATGCTGGCCAGCTTTGCCGGTAAGGAAGCTGCAAAGCGCAAGCAGACTACGCAGAACGACGAGGCTCGCTAGATTTCATCTCGGCATGTACCCACGCAGCCTGGAATTGCGTTACCAGGCCCACAAACGCGTGCTTTTGCCTGTCTCAGTAGTCTCTGGCAGTTTTAGCCGACAGAACAAATCATAGAGATAAAAGGGGTCTCTTTCCCCCGGGAGTCCCAGAGTTAATTCAAGTGACAGCCTTGCAGTTACCTTCCAAGGCAAGGCTCCAGCGTAGTAGTACCGTCGAGGTGCATATGCGTCTAGGCAGACGGATTCGCCCGCATTCCGAATGGTCTACACATCCCCACTCGACCCAATCCCATTCTGTGATAGCTCGACAAACACGAGATTCCAGGCAGAAACACAATAAAATTCATCGGATCGGCGAGGCTATGCCGGTTAAGCTTTTTTGACGGTCGTCATGAAGAACACCGACCCTGCTCTCCTCTTCCTCGACTCGGATTTGACTGAGCTACGAAAGCCTGAGTCTTCGATGAATAAGTCACGTTTATGGAAGTGCTCGCATGCACATTGTGACGCAAGGCCTTATTCGAGGAGAGCGCTGCTTTGTAGGGCGCTTGTTCGGCCCCTCTATGCCCTCGTTTTCATCTTGTACGTTTTTCGTTTCGCGAGCAATTCAATTCTAACAGTCTCCAGCGGTCTCTTCAGTTTCTTTACTTTCGCTTGGAGTGGTCTTTTCCCCTTTTTCGCGGATGCTCGTGATTCTCATCTCTTCCCGATCCTCCAGTCGAACTGGCGAACTCACGGCGTTGATCCGGTTCCTTGTCATTCCCACAACGACTACTGGCGCCGTGTTCCGCTCTTTTCTGCCCTTGAGGTTGGCTGCATTAGTGTCGAAGCGGACGTCTGGTTGCACGATGATGATCTCCAAGTCGGACATACACGTCAAACTGTGCTGCCAGGGCAGACATTGCGCAGTCTCTACCTCGATCCGCTACTAGAGATGCTCCAGAAACATAACTTGATCATGAATGGCTCAACAATCCCAGCTGAACTCGTCGGCGTCTTCACTAGCGATCCTACACAAACTCTCGTCCTTCTCGTCGACTTCAAAGGGACTGGAGAACTCATCTGGCCTCATCTGATGGAACAGCTGCAACCCCTACGAGAAGGTGGATACTTGACCTACTTCAACGGCTCGGAAGTCCTCAACCGCCCTATCACAATCGTCGCATCGGGCGATGCTCCCCTCGAGCAAATCCTCAAAAGCACCACCCACCGCGACATCTTCTACGACGCTCCCCTAGACGTCCTCGCCCACCCCACTTTCTCAACCGTCACGGATCTCAAAATGGACGGGTCCATTTTTAATGACCATAATAGCTACTACGCCTCCGTCGACTTCCACCGGTCCATCGGTTCTCTTCCGCTCAGTCGTCTTTCGCAGGGTCAGCTCGCTAAGATTAAGAACCAAATACAAGTTGCGCATGAACGGGGGTTGAAAGTCAGGTACTGGGGAACGCCGAAGTGGCCGGTTGGATTGAGGAATTACGTTTGGCGGGCGCTAGTTCGTGAGGGGGTGGATGTGCTTAATGTGCATGATTTGCATGGCGCAACCAAGGTGGATTGGAGGCCAAGGACTTGGTGGAATTGATTTGCGTGAGCGCTTGAATCAAATTAGCACTTCTCTTTTGCATTTAATGATGAATGAAGTGACAACCTTTCTAAAACACGAAGTAGTGCTCATTGCCTTATTTTACTGCTACATCATCGCGCGACTAAAACATAAGTAGCATCGATTAGAAACACTAGATCTGTCATGTTCATCCACACAACCCAGGACGTCAATCAAGAGACCCCTCAAAGAACCATCTTGAAATCAGGGTTGCGGTCATCATTATATCCTGCATACTGGTCATATTTCCCATTCCTTTTGTCCCGATTAACCTTGGCGCAATAGAGCACATTAACCAGAATCCTAGAGATATCAATCAGTATGAGTATCAAAGGGAAAGATTACGGACTCACATAAACCACGCAAACACAAGCAACCCAAGAATAATAGTATGTCCCCGATGGAACTGCGGCCCATCATGAGATGGGTAATTGAAGGCTGGTACGTTTTGTAAATATCATGCGTATAACGGTGAAGAAACAGATAACATACTTGCGACAAACCCTCCGGCATTCGCAATGGCCAGCTGCAGCGCCGAAGTCGTTGCACGCTTATAATGGCCAGCTGAGTTGTTCGACATCCATACCAGGATGCAGGGTACGCTGGCATACTGGCCGGTAGCCATGAGGAATGTCATACCATATTGAACCCGCGGGGAGTCGATGTTGGCGATGGCTGCGTAGCCGACGATCGCGATGGGGAGGGTGAAGAGCATTACAACACCGCGAAGGTGGAGGCGATCTGAGATGAACGCCACGACAACTATGGATATTAGCAAGTGGTAAAGATTATCTGGATTTTGACGATGATTCTTACCGGTGATGACAGCTGCGACTGCGTATGGAATGACCGACCAAAGCTGCACTTCATTGGCGCTTTTGGCAAAGTCCAGGTTTTTGATGATCGTCGGTAGCTGGAGATCATGAGACAAGGTGTTTCAAGTAAGTAGAAGGGGTTGTCTTACGAAGAGACCAAATGAGTACAGTCCAGATAGGATCGCAAAGTACGCACTAGCAGAGAGCCAGACCTGGACGTCTAGGACACCTCGGCGGACTTCTGACCACTTAAATGACTCCGCCTCGGCAGTCAATGTCCTGTTTGTGTTAGTATCAGAAGGCTAGACGATCATGGCGCACTTACCCATCCGGCATTCTAGGATTATCCATCAGAATTCTCTCGCGCGCAAACTCTTTTTCTTCAGGTGTCAAGAATGATGACGACTCCAATGAGTTGGGAAGGAGGAAGAAACTCAGTGCACCGCAGGCGACAGTCTATGATACTGTTAGCTGAGGTTTGACAGTAGATGATGAGTTTGCTTACCAATAGGCCTTCGATAATGAAGATCCAGCGCCATCCTTCCAGTCCTCCGCGCGGGGCAATTGCTGCGAGACCACGGGCAAGAAGACCTAACATAGTAGTTAGTGATTGTCACGCAGACAGACACCTGGGATGATGTACGTACCACCAAAGGCACCGGACAAAGAAGCTGCGGTATAAAACAGACCAATTCGTAGAGCTAAGTCTCCACGTTTATAAAAAGTCGACAGGTATAGAACCTATCTATGGTTAGAGTGGGCATTTCGGTGGATTCGAAATCGAACATACCATTCCTGGCAGCAATCCACCTTCAGCAATACCAAGGATAGCCCGCACACCAACAAATCCGCCATAGTTCCTCACAAACCCCAGACACATGGTAATGATACCCCAGAGAACAGTCAAAAAGGGTAACCACAGCTTAGGCGACGCTTTCTTTAGTATAAGGTTGCTGGGCAACTCGCTGCAGATATAAAACAGATAGTAGACCATCAACCCGATATCGTACTGGTGGTCGTTGATGTTGATGTCCGTTTCCAAACCGATAATCTTGGCATTCCCGACGTTTGTACGATCGAGAAAGGAGCATAAAAAGAGCAATGCGAGGATAGGCAGAATTCTAGCTTCGTTAGCTCCCTGCTGGACGGCTGCAAAAGGGATACCGACCGTGTGTCTAACTTCAGCAGAATGCGACTCGTCAATTTCTGCTGCTGCAGCTGATCGCCAAACCGATTCAGCTCGCCGGTCTTGGCTTCTTCGACTTCCATAGCGCTTGGTTTCAGTTCCATGATTGACTGTGCACGTAGGGATGCAGGTGAGAACGCAGAGTCAGAGACCAGACGAAGAAAATAAAGAAACAAGGTCTCGGCAGACAGTTCTAAACCCGAGCTGACTCTGTCATTGCTTTCCCCGCAGTTCCCCGGATTTCAAAATGCTTGGGATTTGCTTGGTTTCTTACGGGATACGAGGTCGTATTTCGTATCATCGATGTCATGGTCACGCCGAGCGTTTCGGATCCCGGGATCTAAAAGTGAACGCCGACCTCGGGATCTCGGGGGCCTTCAAATGCCAACCTTCGGAGACTCTTCTCCTTCGCAACAACCACCATGTCGAGGCTCTCTAACAGTTTGAAAGCATTGATCAATGCTCCTGCCGCACGTCCGTCTACCGTGCCGGCTCCGGCGAATATCTCTGCGGTCTATAGCAAAATCGCGCAGACCGCTCGGGCCAAGAATGTCTCGCAGCCTTCATGGCTCGCGCTGTCGGTAAGTCGCCAGAACCGACACACGTCCAGAGACACAGTGGCTAATATATTTCTAGACAGCAGCAACAATGACCATGAACTCCCCTGAGTCCCTAGCCGCCTTATATCAGCTAGCCGCCAACACATCCCCCGTCGAAACCGCCGAACTCATGCGCGAAGTCGGCCTCAAATGCATTAGCTTCAACGGCATCCCCCGCACAATCAACTGCCTGGGCGCTTTCAAAGCCACCCTCCCTGACTCTGTCAGCACTCAGCTCTCTACCACCCCTACCCGCGCCCCGAGCCCCGAGAACATCACCTCGATTAGCGAGCGCGGCCGCGCCCTCTGGAATTCAATTTATCGACCCTTCGAGAATAAGCTGTATAACAAGCTCGCTGATTCACACCCGGATCTACCCGTTGTTATCCTGAACAGCCATTACGGCTCTCTCCTCTCCGATCCCGCCCGGAACACCGGTGCCGCGGCTGGCCGTGTGCTGACCTCCATGGTTGCTGTGGCTTGTCTGCGCGCGCAGACTGGCGTGGGTCCGCAGGTGACGTCGCATGTCTTTGGACTGCGCAAGGCCCTTGAGGATGGGTCGTGGGCTACGGATGTGGAAGGCGAAGAGGGTGCGCGCTGGCTGGCGAGTGATGAGGGCAATGAATGGATCTTGAATAGTGTTGATGCTATCGTTGAGGCAATTAGTCAGGGCACTGGCTCGACGTATGCGCCTGGTAAGGCGAAGTTGTAAATTTGCACAGGAAATTTGTATATACTGTCATGATAGAATGATTGCAATGCTATCTCGATTTGCGGTGACTAGAGTACAGCCTTTTTCAACTCGATTGTAACGTTCTATGTACAAGGGTTAAAATAGTTCTATGCGCTCTACTCCATGAGTTCCAGGTTCTCGGCGATTGTGAACTTGGCGTCTGTCTTGCTGCGCACGTCTTCCACTTCCACGCCTGTGGCGAGTTCCGTCAAGGTGAGCTCGCCGGTGGCTCGGTTGACCTGGAAGACACACTGTGAGGACTGTTAGCTGAGCTCTAACCTATGGGGAAGGGGGATTGACTGACCAGATCGGTGATGATTGTGCTCACGACATTAGCACCTGTCAGAGGAAGGCTGCACCTCTGCATGATCTTGGGCGATCCATCCTTGGCGACATGGCTGGTCGCCACCACAATTTTGGTCTTGTCGGGGTTGGAAATCAAGTCCATGGCACCGCCCATACCCTTGAAGACCTTTCCGGGGATCATGTAGTTAGCCAGGTCACCGTTGGCGCTCACTTGCAAGGCCTGTACAGTCGATTAGCAAAGCAACGAGGTTGAATTGAGATAAAACTTACGCCGAGAATCGACACATCCACATGGCCACCGCGGATCATACCGAATGACTCAGTGCTGTCGAATGTGGAGGCACCGGGCATCAAAGTCACGGTCTCCTTGCCGGCATTGATGATATCTGGGTCGACTTCATCCTCTGTGGGATACGGGCCCTAATCGAGTCAGCATGAACCATTTCAACACCACGGAGGCACCTAGTACCATTCCCAGAATTCCATTCTCAGACTGAACCCAAACCTTGACATCCTCGGGCAAGAAGGATGGTGCCAGTGTAGGGATACCTGCACATGGTCAGAAAATAAGAACTGAACCATCCACACGTTCTCAATACTTACCAACACCAAGGTTCACATAGTATCCCTGCTTCAACTCCTTCGCCGCTCGCCGACCAATGCGCTCTCTCTGGATCTGAGCCTCGCCCTTCGTCGCCTCACCTGCACCCTCACTCTCGCGCAGCTTCTTATTCTCAATGTGCTTTTCGTCCGTCGCGGGAACAATCCGGTCCACGAAGATACCAGGCAGATCCACATCATTGGGATCAATAGACCCAACAGGAACGATGTTCTCGGCTTCCACGATAGTCAGGGTAGCAGCCTTGGCCATGATCGGTCCGAATGCCTTAGTTGTGTATCTACTGATGTCAGCATTTTCCTTCTGTGATGAGGGCGACACAATCATACCGGAATACACAGTTTCCAGCCTCATCGGCCTTCCACGCCCGTAAGATCGCCACGTCTCCAGTCAAGGCAGTCTCCATCAGATACGGTTTGCCATTGAACTCGCGGGTCTCGCGCGGCTTGCCAGACTCCAAGACCTTGCCAGACTCATCCATCCGAATGGGAATCTTTCCCTCCTGGATGAATGTGTCTTTTCGCGAAAATCAGCATATCGCACATGGTTATCCATTGGATGTACTTACGAACTCCAGTCGGGGTAAAGAACGCCGGAATCCCCGCACCACCAGCCCTCAACCTCTCAGCCAGAGTGCCCTGGGGACAAAGCTCAATAGCAATATTCCCAGACAAATATTTCTTCTCCAAGGCCTTGTTATTGCCCAGATATGACAGAATCAACCGGTCCAACTGCCCATTATGCGACAGCGTCGACAATCCACCTTTCCCTGCAGAACCGGCATTATTCGAAACTGCTGTTAGGGAGTGCAATTGATCTTTCCCGCGTCGACCCATCGCATTGATCAATGTTTCTGGTCACTTATCAGCAAGGTCCCGGCTCCCTCCGAAGATCATGCAACTTACCCGCGACACCGCAGAGTCCGAACCCGGAACTCAAGATCGTCGAGCCACTCTTCACATCCTTAACAGCTTCATCCGCATCTCTGTATAGCTTGGATCCTCCACGCTCGGTCTTGGGTGCAAGGTTCTGGGCCGGCGCGGTGGAGTATGCGTGTAACTTGGGCCGGGTCGCAAGTGTCGGGCGAATGCCGGCGCGAATCCCAAGATAGATGCGCGGTCGGCATGAAGTCAGTGCCTTGCGTGAAAGTTGTGCAGTTGTGACTCGTAAGGCTGCCATTGTGTGCTTATGTGCTCTACGAGGAAAGAAAGATGAGATGCGGAGGATATTAATACTGAGCTGCGTGCCGGGGTGACGACACTTCGGGGCTACTTTTGAATGCCGAGTGGCGGGCCGGGCGCCGTGTTCCGAGTCAGGTACATCGGTTACCTGGGTCTTCTGATTCGACTCTTGATGAAGAGATGGGCTCTAGAAGGCTTATAAACATTTCAAATACATGGGTTGTAGGTTTTTTTCATGGATGTTTTAGGATATTTTTAGCATGAAATCGTCTGCAAACGCGTTGCCATTTACTGCGAAGCCCACTCTGGGATTGGGCTGGCTCTTGACTTGATCCTTCAATAGAATCCAATTTCGATGGATCTTTGGATTCTGGTTGAGACGGGGCTTGACCGTTCCTCTTGCGCTGATCCTTCAGACTCTGTGGTTGTTCCTGCGATTCGTCCTCTGTAGATGACTTGTATGTGGGTAACGTCTTGTTGGAGGTGTTGGCGTTGGTATCGGTCGAGGGAATTTTGTTCGAAAACTTCATAGCGTTGTCGTGCTGGCGCTGCTTTTCCAGTCCGCGTCGAGCGGCAGCTTCAATATTGCTCTCGCCGATCATAGTCGTGCCCGCTGGCCCTGGGGCTAGCATGGTGAGGTCGACCATGTTGATTCTATATGAGAATCGGTATTGTGAAACTGGAGGCAGGGTAGATTTTTGGTGAAAGAAAATGGATCATCTCATCACATTCTTATGTGCAGATCCTTGGTACTCTAACTATGTACATTGCAAGCGACAAGGGTGATGACGTTAATTGTCGCAAGGCTAAGCCTCTGAGCCTCGGGGAACAGTGGATCCCAACCATTCTCAGTAAATGGCTGGCTTGGCTGGCTTGGCTGTCATGGCTGGCTTGGTATTCCCAGAGTCACTCATGCAGTCCTCATATCAGAAACTAGAAACGGTCAACGCATTAAAAATTGAAATCGGTGTTGGCAAAATCAAGCCAATCCCAGCTGAGCATATCGTCAACAGGTACGTCTGGTATCGACGCTCCAAATGCACTTCCAGCACGGTTGACTGCATCGATAATCTGGTTATCAGACATGGAGGAGAACTGCATCGGCTCGGTCCAGATATCTCCTGGCGGTAGAGTCTGCGTTGTTGCCAACGACTGATCACCCAGGCTAGTGGGTGGTAAAACAGGATCCGGGATGTCGACGGGTCGTGCATCAGATCGAAGCTGTTTGTTAGGCATAGCTGGTCCTCGTCGGATCAACTCGCGCAGATATTTACCATACAACACCGATGCTCCTCCACGGTGACTCGGGGTGGCTCCTATTCGCTCCAGGACACCTGCGGTCTCTTCGATCAGAGTCCGCACACTGGGAGCTAGACTCGACCGACTGTCGCCTGGGATCACACTGAGACTGAGAGCTGAGCAAGCTGCGAAAGATATCATGATGACCGTATTATTTGGCATGGATTTCAGTCGTCCTTCTCCTTGGATGGCGGCTCGGAGAACGTTTAGGGCGGAGGATAGTCCTGCTGCTCTGAAGAAGCGCTTTACTTCAAGAGGTGCTGTGGGGTGGTTGATGACACCGCCGTAGGTGGATAGTTGAGTATGTGTCACTAAAATCTCGACGTACGGTGGGAGAGAGCGTGCTGTACTTTGTCAGTTGGTTGTAGATGTACAATGTTGGAAGTATGAAACCACCTCCGCCTTCACTGATTGCCAATTCCCACGTTGCGTACCAGCGCTCGTAGAAAGTCTCGATAGTCTTCTCGATGCTATCAAAGGGTTAGCGGTTTAATCCTGGGATATTTCGTTAGCTACATACGCTTGAGCAGCTTCAGATCCGGTATCGACGATTCGATAACTGTCGCAGCTCGCCTTGACCTTTCTAAAGAGATTATCCTGGGTTGTTAGCACACTATTTTATAATCCAAATTACCGGCACTTACTAGGTCCCTTCGCAGGACTGCCATCGAGTTCATCGGTCCGTCACGCCGATCTGCAATGTCTGCCCGATGCCACACATCGCAGTTCTCAATAAGTGATGTAGGAGGTACAGTATAACTTCGTCCTCGGGCAAGGCAAACACTGGAGCACTGTAAGAAGGGTATTCCGTCATAATATAGGCCAGACTCACCCTCTTTCAACAACAAATAACGCGATCCAAGTCCTCTCTCGTCTTCGCAGTAATCGGCGACCCCACTCCGAGTAAGGGTCAACGTCATCAAACCCATCCATATGCAGCGCTCTCTTCGCATCAATACAGTCTGCCCGAGCAAGACGATTTAATAGATCTTGATCGAAACTCGAAGACGGTGTGACAATCTTGTTCAGCGACAAGTCCAAGGCAACAGTGAGTGCCATGGCTATATACGAGCACGTATCATCATCGCCCAATCTGTCCCCTGGGGGCATCCATGGGACATTTACCATAAAGGCCAGTACTATTTCTACCGACCTATAGCGATTTGTCACCATTCGCTTCGCAAGCCACTTGCAGTGCCTAGAGAGTCTTTTCGACAATGCAGTGGCAGATGATAAGAACAGTGCCGCGGCTGCCATGATTGAGGTGAATAGAAATGCAGACTGCGCTCGCACAAAATCTGGCGTGTGTACAATGGGATCTAGGCCCCATCGTGTGTGTGCGAGATTCTGATAGAAGCTAGGAGCCATTAGTATAAGCGCGTCTCCTATTGGAAATAGTTGAAAAGACTTACAAGGAGAACAAAGATTCAGCCTCGTCAAATGTGACAAGTCCCAGATCAACAGGATCTAACTCAGACCCAACATCCAAGTGAGCTCTGGCAGGCACGAAGAACGACTTTGCACTCATTTCAAGCTCACTGCTCTCCTGTGGCAAGGGCGCTATAGATGGTAGCGAAGATTTTGGGACATGTCGTACTCCTATTGGTGACAGCTGAAGATCCGAGGCTCTGGCAAGCAGCTGCAGAGGATTCTCCGCATCATCGAGAGCAAGACTTTCCTCCGCACTCGTATCCCGAGACGGAGACGGCAGATTGCGCGATCGATCAGGGCTCTCAAAGACATCTTCATTCTGCAATTGCCCCTGAAAACGAGTGAGCAACTCCTGCAGCCCCGAGATGGCCTTCTGTGCATCATCTGGTCCCTCTGGATCAACCTTGGGCCGCTTAATAGCCTGCTCGATCTGATGGATTGCCTTTTCCAGACCCTTCCGCTTGCTACTCAAGTCAATTTACACATCCCCACTCTAACAGGATACACTTACTTCTTCACTCCCTTCTGTCTTCCAAGATGGTGGCTCGGCACGATGCAGTCGGCATCCGCCTGGCGACACTTCTCGCATCGCGCATGGCCCGCCGGTCGGTTACAGCGGATCTTACTGCGACGGCAGTTTAGACATGCGGGCTGTTTTGCAGAGGGCGCGTTCCCCTGTCCTTCCATCGGTGTGCTGTCCAAGTCCATACAGCGCTTCCCCGGATCGTCGCACGTGTGAAACTCGGTTATCGGCTTTCACCGGGGCTCAGTCCCTCGTCTGCATATTTGTGCTTCATAAAGCCATTTTCTGCACATTCCTTCACCAAGCCCTGCCGGGCTAGCTCAATCGGTAGAGCGTGAGACTCTTAATCTCAAGGTTGCGGGTTCGACCCCCGCGTTCGGCTATTCCTACAGAACAACCTGAGATATTTCTTTTTTGTATTTCTTTTGTCCCCTTCGGAAAACGGACCGAGGTTGCACAATCTCTTTTGGACACGTTGAATTCAATATTTTAATAATTGCAGTTGAATTCCCTTACAACTTAATTCAATCGTTCGGAACAAAGTGGTGGTTGGTCATTACTCGCTACGGACAGAAGGTCAAGGCTGAAGATCGGGTGGTGAGCCTCAATGGACATATGTTTTGCGCACACGCAAGAGCAGCCCTTTCAAATATACCATGAAGACAATGGAGAATATCACAGATATGCACAACGTATAAAATTAAAGATTAAAACTCCCAGGTATGAGGTATTCAAGTCATAAGAACCGTGTCTGGAGCAGATGTATATATAACCCCGGTATTATCAACAATCTAGCACCCTTTTCAAGTCGTCGCAGCAAGGATAAAATTCATCCATTCCATTCAATCAATGCGCCCGACCAATCTCTTCACCCTGACTAACTGGCCTATCCCGACTAATCGACCCATCATGACTAGTTGCGCCATCTCGACTCACAACCCCCCCACGGCTGACATTCTCCTCTTGACGACCTTCCTCCTGACCCGGCAAGGCACCAGCAGCCCCAGGAACCAACGGTGCCTGGGCCAGATGCTGCGCAGTATTGGATTCCTGTGCCATCTCAGGACCACGAGCACCAGCCGCCATCGGAGGCCCATGCATAGCCGTCTGAGACGGCGAAGGATTGAGCAAAGGCGGCCCAGCATCTTTACCAGGCCTCTTGCTCTGCTTAACGCGCATCGGCGCTGGTCCAAGAACATCAGGATACTTGAACCGGAAGCCCCAGATAATGAAAAGCTTAAACTTCGTCCACGCACTCATATCTCTCCACTTCTGCTGCAAGAATGCCGCATCTCCTGCATTACGCGAGCGGTATCCCTTGCGGAAACAGCATAGACAGAATAGTGATACGGGCAGAAGCATAAAGGCCCAGAAAAGAGGGAATCCTCGACGTGTCTGCCAGCCAGTCATGAGACGTTGGAAACGGACCCAGGCTTCGATGACGCCTAGGATGAAGAAAAGGCCGACCCAGCCGAGGATGCAGATCAGGATGATTGCGAGAGGGGAGATACCCATCCACGACGAGTCGTTATACCAGGCTTCGTCGCTGCCGTCATAGCCGCCATAGTAATAGCCGCAGTTGTCGCTGCCTGTGTACTGGCACTTTGAGCCCGAGTACAGGTCCGTGGGGCGGGATTCATCGCTAAGACAGGCGAGGCTGGTGCTCGGAATTTGAGTAGGTTCGACCCAGACGTAGACGTAGGTATATGTGGTTGGTGAGAAGGGGCTGGATGTCTTGTCCACGGAGAAAGAGGTGGATGTGGCTGTGCGCGGGAGCAGTGCCTCGATGCTGCTGGGAGGTGTCACCGTGGCAGAGGTAGTAGTGGTCCATTGTGTAGAGCAGCCCGTGGGCGCGGTATAGGTGAAGTTGACCACATAGATGGTGGTTTCATAAGCGCTGTAGGTATCGCCGTAGGCAAGGTCGTAGGCAGTCGTGCCGATGGTAGCGGTGTATAATTTGTTGACGACGGTCACGTCGCTAGCGTAGTATCCGGTCCCGACGTTGGTGTATGTAGATACAGCTTCGGGAAGCGAAGTGCCCGTGGGTCGAACTTCCTGGTTGACAGTGGTCACGTAAGGCGCGACGTTGGAGGAATAATAATAATCATAGAGATAGCTGGTGATGTGCTCTTCTTCCCAGTAATCAGTCACGATCCAGGGAGCGGCACGAACGAGTGAACAGTAGATAACGAGTGTCAGGAAGCACAAAAACGAGCGTGCGGCCGCCATGACGAGCCCGGAATTTTTCTCCAGTCAAGGGCAAGCCATGGCGGCGGCCACGGTTTTAATCCCAGGACCCTGAGACGCTAACACGTCGACAGAGCCTAACTCAAGACCCCCCTAGGGACTAGGAGACCCTGTTTTAGGGGCCGTAAAAGCCTCAAACAAGCCATTTCGGGGATGGTGGATATTAGGTGGCCGTTACGATTGGCTTGATGCAGGGCACAGATCCGGGTCCATCGCCGCGGTCTCGGACCCTCCAGTCTTTTCGGTCGCTTTTTGCCTCTGCGGCTAGGCTAGTGCTCGCTTACTGGGACCCCAAATACACAAGGTTTTCCAAGAGAAGAGTCCCAAATAAGACATTCCATGACCTCGGATTTCCAAGTCACTGATCTTGTAGTTTAAGAAGTGTCTCGTAATGATCTAGACGATTGACCGGTTCTGTGGCAACTGCCGGCGTTTCTAGCGGCCACGAGAGAAAATCACCTGGGCGATCTTCCACGACTGTAATAAGAATATTAATCCGCCTCACTTAGAGATGGACGTTGAAAGAACGTGAGAATGACGCCGAGAAAGATATCGAAGACATCTATTGTCCAACAGAGCTGCTACAATGTCCATTTCAAAGAAACAAACTCGCATCATTCTTCATCCTTCATCCTAGAAGTTCTAACGCATGTATCGCAGTCAGTTTCTGAACCTTAAACCTATTGACTGGATGGACGACCTATTTAGCATAGTAGTGTAAGTTCCTCCGAGCTATGCCCTCTTCTCTAGGGTAGATCGAATATCTTTGTTCAATTGCTCTTTGTCGAGACGGACTTGCTTTCGTTGAAGAAATCGCCGTAATCGTGGTCTACGGAGCATAGCAGCTACATCTATTGCGGGGGAAATACGATAAAGAACCTGAGCAGCTTCTTCTAGAGAGCCTCTTATGCTGCGTGCGATATCTCCGGGGGGATCTTGTCTTGATATTCTCCTGACAACGTCGTAGTATGCCTGAGACATTCCGACTCGCTGCCCAGGCGAGTGGCCAAATCTGCAACTTCCGTGTCTACATCAGCTCATGCACCCGCTTGGGAGAAAATCGGGGTGAAGACTGCATAAGCGAATGTGAGGATTCCGATGATGTTTCCGGTTGTAGAGAGGACTGTCGGCGCAGGAGAGTCCTACACAGCTACTGTTGCCTGGCATAGCTGGATAGAACGGTGGTTAAATGTGAGTGTGCCTGATGAAGAGAACAGAGGAATAGAAAGTGGCAGACGATGCGAGTAAGCACTAAGTAATTGTTGCCGATCTCGAATCCCAGCCTCATCCTGTTAGCGCGTGCGATAGGCTGTGGCTTTATTTCTCAGCTGCACCAGATCGTTTGCTACATCCTTCGTGGACGATAGTAGTCAGTCCAATGGGCCAAGTGTATTCAATCGTTGAATATAATATGAATATGAATAGGAATATACAGGTTTCATTCAACGCCAAGTCCTAAGACAGCAAAACCAGAAAATAATCAAGACCACTCCCAACGCAAAATGCCGTAACGTCGTAAACCAGACTGGAATCCTGCTCGAACTCCTATATCTAAACCCAGGTTGCACACGGCGATAGAGAACAAGAGACCAGCAAGATCACCAACTCAGTTCGCAGCCCGCAAAGCTCTCAATCTCGCCCCAAGCCCATCCTCAGCCTCCGCATCCGGCTTAACAGGCTCAGCCTGCTGCTGAATCTCCTCGGGAGCCTTGCCAGACTCCAACGCCATGCGCATATCAACGCCCGCGTCGTCTGCCAACTGCTCCATCATCCGATCAACTTCCGACTCTCCCTCCGCACCATACTCCTGCATCGAGATACCCTGCGCAACGTCCTCGATCGCACTGCTGGCTATCTTGAAATCCTCGGACCGGGCGAGAAAGTTGTTGGCGTGCGATACGAGGTGTTCTAAGTTAACGCTCTTTGAGGCGGCGTCTAGGCCACGCGACGCCAGTGCGAGGGTTCGTGATGTGTCGCGGGTGCTCTGCGCGGCTTTGAGTTCGTTGATGATCACGTCGGCGCGGGCGGCCTCGGATTTGAGGGTTACTTGGCGGCGTTTCTCGCGAACGGCCGAGGCGGCGTGGATTCGGGCGATTTGGAACTCGCGGTTCTTCATCGCCTTATCGGCTTTGGCCTTTTCGGACTTGAAGGTGGCTTCTGCACGGTTGGCTTCTTTCTTTAGACGGTTGGAGTGGAGCTGGTAGGAGTTAGTGGTTTGCGTGCGCGGAATCGGCGATGCGGGGTTGCGTCTTACCTTGACATTCGTGCGGGCTTCGAAAATGGGATCTCTGCGGACCATGGTGGCGGTTGAGTAGGCAATGCGGGTAAACCGTAGGGAAGTGCAGGGGAAGAGTCCGGGGAAGTTGGGAAGGTCGAGACTTGAGACTGAGAGGGGCAGTGAGAAGATGGCGCGTGGCAAACGTCACCGCATTCAGCGCATTCTTTAGCGTCGCTCTATTTTAACCCGGGTGGTTTGCAGGGTTTTATCGGAGATCAAAATTTGTTCATTTCTAGCGAGGCTCGCCTTGAGATACTTAGGCAACGATATTGCTGGATGGCTTACAGTTTGCTACAATGGCCGGACTGGGCGGCGGTCCTTATCGTCAATTTACAACGAAATACTACGAAACAAATATCCAGATAGAGATCAAGAAATGAGCCAGTCATTTCTTTGAATAGTTGAAAAAAAAAATACTAGTATACAGCAAACAGAGAAGAATCTCCCCTATAGTTGTTTGCCCGATAGCGGAGACGTAAGTGTCTCGCCCGGTGTAGAACTCCAGGAACCCCCAGTACTCCGTTGAACCTTTCCATAACTGCGTCGCCGGCCGGATTTGGACTTGGTGGTCCGATGCCGCCTTGACTGGTCGAGTCTATCGATAGCCCATGCCAATGTCAATAACGACTCCCAACTCAGTCGGCCCTCCGGGGCGTCGACCGACCGAGTCTGCGCGGAGAAACGCTCACTAACCGCTAGCTGCAATGCTCTGCCCGTCGCATCGCGAAGTGGACGCGCCAAGGCTGGGCTGCACGCTAGCAGTCGAGTGAGAAGTTTCATCCGGAAGACCGGTCGAGTCGGCACCTTCGAGGGCGACTGACTCGGGGTCGAAATCAACCAAAGAATCAAAGGGAAATGCTGATAGATCTCCTCCGTCGAGAGGGCCAAAGGCAAACCCGTCTTCAGGGAAAGAAGGATTTGACTCAGCGGGTGAATCACCGTGGAATAGGCGGCGGAAGTCATCGTCAGAAAGAGGAGCTGCAACGTCATTTGCAGCGTCAGATTCGACGCTCGAGAGGTCGAATAGAGGGAGGGCAGTTCCAGCTCCTTCGAGGCCGGCGACGGACACTGCAGGTCGCACAACACCGCTGCAGGATGTTGTGTCACGTCGGAGGCCTCAGCCAGAGTGGAAGGTTTGAGGGTCGGGGAGTAGTCGGTGGCGGAGGGTGTGGGGAAGGGGATACGTTCCATGGGGAGATCTTCGCCTTCCTGCTTGAACAGGGTGGGCGTGAGGGTGGGGGATTCGAGAACAGGGGAGCCCTGCTTGGGGGTGCTGCTGCGAGAGCCGCGCACCTCAGCGGAGAGCTGAGCCACTTGTTGAGAGAGGCGGTTGTTCTCCGCCTCCATCTGGGACAGACGCTGGATGAGGAACTGGTTTTGTTGTTCCATGCGGATCTTTTCGGTCTCTAGCTTCTCCATCTCGAGACGCTTGCGTTCGCGGGAAGTCTGAGCCGCAGCGCGATTCCGGAGAACGCGCTCGATCCGCCTTTGTTCCTTCTCGTCATCTGTCTTGGCACGTTTTCTGAAATGATCAGTGAAGGTCCTTTCTGGCATGAAGGGAGGGGCAGAATGTACCGTGGTGGGAGGTTGGTCTTAGGCACAGGGAGTTCCTGACCCCAGGACTTTCTCTTCTTCGCGGGCTTTTTCTCATCTTCCAGGATGTCCTCCGGCTCAGGCGAGTCCAATGATGTATCCGCGGGGGACACAGTCAAGTGGAGCTCGGGAGACGGGGATGCTGATAATGACTCCATCGGGTTGATTGTGTCTGTCATGGTGGATGGCCGGTGCCAGTCTTGAGGGGGAAATGACTTTCTATTGAAGCGTAGTCAAAGGCCACGCTGTCATCACGAACAGGCACCGGGCAATCCAAGCAATCCGGGGAAGGTGTGAGTCAGCGCGAGAAGGACACTTGTTCCTTGGGGTGAATGGGCTGCAAGCGGGCGAAGGCCACGGTTTAAGTAGAGGCCAGCGTGGTCTCACCCTAATTCATCCCTGGTCCGAGTGGGGGCCATCACCGGAGGTCTCGGGTACTTCTCCCACCATAGTGAACAACGTGTGGAAGCAAGTACCTTTTACTCGTCAGCCTAGCCCCCCCCTGCGCCCCTGGATTCCACGGTTCGCTCGGGGTTTCAGCTTGTGTCTCGTCTCACGTACACGTACGCAGTACACACACACACACACACAGAGAGAGTGATACTTATGAATCCTTCCTGGCCCCAGCTTCTTAAGGCCCCCAATCTGATGTTTGGCGTGATCCTGATCCTTATCCTCGTATACATAGTAGCGCTATACCCTCACACCTTACACCTCGCACCTCGCACCTCGCACTCTACAGCCCTACTGAATTCCCAAGGATACCCCCTTTCTTCCACTTCTCACCGAGTCTCCCTACTCCGTACTGTGTGTGTATCTGGAACGCAGTGGACCCCCCTGTTGCGCACGTCAAGTCCAAGTTCCAGCCCCGGAGATTCGGAGAATGCCCCCATCGCCACCCTGATCCTCCGGCCCCTGTTGGCCGCTTGGAATGCACCTCCTGAACCAGGCCCCCTATTTGCATGCACATTGGCGGAGTTCCCTCCCCCACCGAATGGCGTCGAACAATACGGAACGCGCGGAGGGGCTGGATCCGTCGTGGCTGAGCCCAACTCATCAAGAAAAGGAGTGACCCCTCCTACTCGATGAGTTCAATTATTCTTAGATGCTTTTTCTTTTTTATTAGAATCAATCATCCTGCAGGTTATGCCGACTCCACCTTCCACCTTCCAGGCACCAGGGGAAATCCCAATGACGCATACGCAACCCGCAGCACGCAGCACAGCACGCAGCACGACAGTCAGTCAGAGTACGGAGTACCTAGGTGTCTTAAGCATTGACCCCGTCGGAGTCCGTACAATCGTAGTATTCGTATGTCGCATCGCACTGGTCTACCTTGGCGCCAAAAGGCCCGTTCCTATAATTTAACCTTTGCCGAACGCCTGTCAACCCGTTTTGACATAAGGTGTCAAGTGCATGAGACTATGTATGCATTTCGCGTATGATATGCCAATGATCTACATTCCATGCATCCACACCTGCCAGGCTACAGCTAGGTAATGACTCCTCATATGCAGAAAACTCCCCTGATACATTAACGCCAATACATCTATTCTTCCCCTGACACGCACATCATCCGGTATCAACATATCCGCCTAGCCCAACTATTCCCCGAAAGGCCAAGGATCGCTATGCTTTGTGGTCCCTGACTATGTAAAGCGGGTTGACTTATATTATATCTTGACTACATACGTACCCGGGCCTGATGGAGGCTCCCACTCTGTATGGCCGGACCAGGGAGATAATCTAGAGTCGCTTTTCTGAAACACCCCCTAAAGACGTGTTACATACGCCCGGGAAGACAGGCTATGACCGCCCTTTTGGAAGGACCTACATCAAATAAAGGATTAGCCTGCGACATGTTTCTGCAGAATATCTCACGTTTAAACAATCCTTGAGAAATTTTTCCGATGATCCCTCCTCCAATTCGAGTTGGCTTGTCACATGCATATATGTGCATGAATGCATCTTCGGGGTATCCCCAGACATATCGCAGGGACACCTCACTAGATGCTTGTATTACCTGAGTATTATCTTAGGCAAGTTCGAACCGGTTCACGTAGAGTATTTCCTAATTACCCCCAGTCCAGCAGCCTATACAACTAGCACATCAAAGCCTATTGATTCTATTACCGCCTCGTCACAAGTATAACCTATGTCCGTTGCAGCCTGTAGCCAATCCCCACATAACGGGGAATGCGGGACTACACTTCAGATGAAGCCATACAAAGTCCCGATTAAGCAGTTTTCTTCATGCCCAGGAGATGCAGGAAAAATTGCTACTTCAAACGATCCAGAGGGGTTGTAAAGCTGTCTACAGCCTGCGCATGAATGATGCTGGGGCAATTGAGGATTCCAGAGATGTCAAACTCATGATGAAGAGGCTTCCGTGCTAGATACAGCGAACGAAGGTATTTGCGCGGATCGCCTTTTTCTCTCTCTTTGTCTCTTCAACAGGCAGGTTCATCCTCATTCTTAGCAGAGGCTGCCTCATGGTTGTCGTTGGTCTCCTCGGTTTTCGTGGCAGGTCTTCGACATAAAGGACGAACTGCTAGTGAAGGATTGGGGTGATTCTCGAGTGATTCTCGAATGATGCTCGAATGCATACCTCTCAGGTGCCATTGCATGCCGGACTGGTGTTTTTATTCTTGGTGCCCCGTTGACCGGGTTGACCAGCCTGGATTTGTGCATTCTCTGTCGTTTTCTGATCCTCAAGAGTGCGTCATTTTATTTGGAGGTGATAATTTTTTTGTTATAAATGATAAAAACCCATATCCCTTTCTCCCCTAGAAGAGTGCTTCAATTTCGCATATAATCAGTTTGAGCTTGCTACGGGAACTACTGGCTTTCTTTTTTTTGCTTCGTTCAAAGCCAGTGCCATTTTGCCTTTGGTCATAAGGCTCATTTAAAATATTTCTACGATTTGTATATACCTAGAGCTTTTTAAATGGTGGCAATTATGACAGGGCACTTTGAGGTCTTTCTCCCATAAGCAGGTACATGGTCAGGTGCCACTTCGTACCTTTGGCATCTAATAGCAAGTTACCTGTTGACGTTACGGGTCGATATACATTCGATGCACCCCCGAGCATAAATTCATTAAGAGACCCTGTGATCAAGAAGGACTACGAGAAGGTTTGCAAAATCGTTTAATGTTATGTTCGTTCGTGATCGTATTATGGCTATGACTTATCTAGGAATATTTGTCTTGAAGAACTATATTTTGGTCTTCTTGCGAACCTGTCTATTTAACGGCATTGGGAAAATAAAGAGGGAGAGACCAAGAAACGTATTACAGCTCGTTCCCCGCCATTTGCTCTCACTTTACGAGCGCGTAACTTCTCAACCAAAAAAGCCCCCAGTTTTCACCTTCGCCTTATCTTCCTTCCCTCGCCCAAGCCCCCAAGCCTTCTTAAAAGTCATGTCATTTCTCGTGCCATTTTATCAAAGAAGTTCACTGAAACATTCTTAACAATGTCTTCTGTCTCGAAGAGGACCTCCAGGGCCTTGGGTCGGACTTGACCTATTCGACAAGAACAGGCAAAGAAGCCTGACATAGCCATCAACGAGCTTACGGCAGCTGAACGCTATGCTATCTTGGTTACTGTGGTGACTACTGAGACTTGTGAGCAAGTACAGACGTCTACCACCTCTATGTGCTCATCACACCCGTGTCTAACCTATGTTGGCATAAAGTAGCCCGACTGGGAGCCTGATTGGGACAAGCTGGCTGATGTGCTCGTTTACACTCCGGGCTCGGCCAAGGCCAGCTACGCTAGCGGCAGAAAGAAGCTTGCCGCTAGCTGGAATGCCGCTAACACCGAAGGCACTTCTACAACTGAGGGGCAGCCACGGCAACCGCCATAACAAGGTTAGGCTTCAGGTTCCATCTAAAAACAAGAAGAATAAGGACCCGGATGGTAATACGGAGGATCAGAATTATGATGTCTTCCATAAGGTTCCCTGGCAAGTACATACACGCCTGTATTCACAGAGAAATATTCGCAGAGAAACAATATTGAAATGTAATTCGAATCCATGCTACCTGAACAGACCAGTCCTGATGTAAACGTACGTAACAGATGCGAAATTTGGTATTCAATTAAATAGAGGACTCATAGAGGACTAGAAGACGTTTCCCGACTGGTCAATACCATAGACCGGTGCGAATTGGGTCTTGTACTAACGTGGGCGGCATGTTGGACCAAAATAATGGTACTATCAACCTATATAAATGGGGCTATCGACTAGTGTAGGTTTTTGCTTGTCGCCAGGCGTACTGGAGCCCATGAATAGGTGATTTGTGTTTGTGAAAAGGTGGCAAAAGAGTAGGCGGCTATCGAGCTAGCGGTGCTGAATTTTGGCCGGGAAATTATTGTCATAGTGAAAAAGGGAGAGGGAGAATGATCTTTAGTCATGTTTTTTTGATTAATTTTTAACGCTTATACTTTGTGCCAATATACGATAACATCGGACTCCGTGTGGGTGCATTCTAAGCACGTAGTGAAAAATCGACCTTAGATCAAGCTCAACGCAGCCACAGTACGTCTTCGAATAAACGGCTAAACCGATATCTCTTGAGGAAAGCCTAAGAAACGCGTCCTAAAGCGGCGTCTTTTTAAATGTATCATAGCTATTTCTCGGTAAAGGTACGTTCATAAATCGGCAACCCTGTGGGGCCTCAAGCTCGGCCCCATATATGGAGACACCTTTGACATCGATTGACTACTAGCCATCTTAGGGAGCAGGGTATCGTCGAACTCTGACTCACACTTCGGAAAGATACCACGAAGTCGTAGTGTGAATCAAGAGAAGACCAGTGACTCTAGGACCCTAGGACCCCTAAAATTTGACTAGAGACGGGCCCACAGCGCCCTGATTGGGGTGGCGGAAGTCTCTTTGCCCTAAAATCTTTTGGCCCCCACGTTATTCCGCTACACCGCATCAATTATCGTCAAGGAAACGATGAAGAACTTGTAGGTCGCTAAGGGTTGCCAAGTCCCAAACTGGGGTCGATGTTCCACGCTCGAAAAGAAGGGCCCGACGTGCAGCCAATCGTTCACGTACCTGTCGCGTTTACCTCGGCTTGACTGGTTGCGCAAAGTTTGAAAGGATCTTATTTACGCGAGGCTAAACATGGTAGCATCAGGCTGCGGCTTAAAAAAACTAGGGCGATAGGGGGCCAGGGTTCTTTAAATGGAGTAGAGTCCCCTTCAGGAGACGATCTTCTTTTTTATCAATCAAGTCACTGCTGATCACTTCGCCTCCGCCTTGTGTCAATCTCACGGATCAGTCTCACAATGCATTACTCCGCTCTTTTGGTTCCTGTCCTCGCGGTCCTGGCTGCTGCCGAGAGCACAACAGTCATTGAATACTTTGCCGCCACCAAGACTGTCCCTGGACTGAGCGTCAGCGTCTCCTCCTATTCCAGCATTGTCGGCACCGTCCTTGGTACCAATTCGGCTGGAACCACCTACCGGGTCGGCTGTATGAGCGGCGCTCCCAAGTCCGACTGTAGTATCGACAAGCCGTTTACCATGTTCGCCGGTCCCGACACCCTCAGCTATTCCAAAACCTTGACAGCTGAAATTGGAGGCTACACGGGCCTCGTTGGCGAGGATGTTCAGTGCTCTTTCACTCACTCTACTGAGTCGGCTGTGTGTACCTTCAACATGGATGTTACGGTCTCTGTGGACGACACTACCACTTCCACCACGACTACCACTACCATCAGCTATCCTGAGAAGTCGGTCGTCTACGACAAGTTGACTGTGGTTGCAACCGCCACCGGTACTTCTGTAGCCTCTGGGACCGGCGCTAGCTCTACTGATGCGGCTGCTGGCCTCCACAACATTCGTGCTACCGCTGTTCCATTGGGTGCTGCGGCTGCGATTGCCGTGGCTGCGCTGTTCTAAGCGTATCTCTTCTGTCTTTTTTTTCTCTTTTTCTTTTTTGCAAATCTTGTTTATGGGAACATTCACGCATGAGCATATTGGACACGACATACATAATTTACACATTCACATAATACAGTTTTACGAGCTTGAACGCAATGCATTTACTTCTGATAGTGGCTGTGTTTATTTCAATTGTGGCCTAGGCGCGTGAAAAGAGGGATTTACTGGGAAAAAGTATTCACAAGGCTTTTGCTTTTGGTCCGTAGACCCTGTGGTAATCTATCGACTCCACTAGTTCCGATAACAGGGGAATAATATGCACAAATAACACAATAAACGCCATCCATCAAGTACGTGCTCATGACCAGGTCGTAGGTGGTATATGCAGGGGAGTTTTGAAGACAAAGGAAAGAAGACTGTGAGAGATCTTTACATATCCATGTCCATAGTGTCGTCGCCGGCATCGAGGGCATCCTGCCTCTCGGGATCAGGGACAACCACTCCCCGGCCACGACCGGCGAGCAGTTCACGTCTGACTTCAGGCCCAATATCCTTATGTCCGCGGACCAAGAGAAGATCGAGAAGTGCTTCACGCTGGTCTTCGGTGATGTCGTTACGATATCGCTGGGCAAATACCAACAGAGACTGGTGCCACAGAACTGGGAGCCGGTAGGCCTTGCTGCTACCGGCATTACCCATCGAGGTATCCTCGGAGGGGTCAGCGGCACGGAAGCGCAGGAAATGGAATACCAGAGCGTCAATGACCTTGTACGGCAGGGCATACTTCTTCTCCAGGAAGACTCGGATGAACATGTTGACGGCACCGGTCTCCTCGTGAGAACGGCTCGACATCTCAGCTGACAGGTCACACATGCGGAGCAGCGCCGCAGCAGAGTGCAACACGGGGATAGAAACACGAGCAATCACTGACGAGACAATGTGTGCCTCACGCAGGGTGCAGGTGCCGCTGGAGACAAGAGGGAAAAGCAGACCCTTGAAGAAACAGGCAGGCTTGTAGAGCGCCTTGCGCAATGAGTTGTAGGTGTGAACATTGAGCTTCTTAGTCTCGTGGATCTCCTCGCGAACGCGGTCCAACAGAACGGTCGCAATAAACTCTTGGGCCACGTGAGGCTTGGACGAGATAAAAATTCGGGTACCGGCATAGACGGCGTTGGCGGTCCATCGCTCGGGCTGGGTAATGTCGAGAAGAGTCGGCCAGTTGGGAACGGACGGAAGAATCTTGAAAGGCTTGGGAAGGGGACCGGACTTGTAGCGCGAGAGGATCATGCCAACCCTGTAGTTGCAAGTTAGCGAAGTCCTTTCAGTGCCAAATAGCTTTCACGTACTTCTCAAAAACCTCCACAGCCTTGGCCGGGATCTGAACGGCATCCTCCGCAACGCCACCGCCTTGAATGCGCGTGGGGTCAGCATGTTGGCCAGCCTGCTTGGCTTCATGCTCTGCGATCTTCTCCAAAATCAAATCTGCAAGGTTCGTAGTTTGACCCTGGGCGGAAGAATCTCGAGCACCGCCAAAAATGGGGTCCGACTCGTGGCCACCGGGAATAAACTTGTTGAACATGTCGAGGTCATTGGGATCAACCTCCTACGGTCATGTTAGATTTCTCCACAAGCAGCCTTATAGATCTGACGATTCCTTACCAATTCCTCAACTTCCTCGTCAACCCAGTCATCGTTCTCAAACTTCTCGTCATCCGACAGCGGCTCGTCCTCGAAACGGGTATCAAATTCGAAAGCAGCGTTCTGCTTGGGCTCCGCGGTACCCATGGCAAGCTTTTGTTCAGCGGCATCCTCGTCTGCTAATTCCTGACCCATCTGCAGAATGTTGCGCGACATCTTCGCATCAACATAGCGCTGTCCGCTCTCGCCATTTTCGTCTCCATCCGACTGGTGCTTGCCCTTCTTGCTGCTCTGTGTCCGGAGGTGCCCCACGGCACTGATATCCTCTGCAAGAGGATTGTGTCTGCGTGCCGCGGCAGCACGGGAGCTAGTGGCTTTGGGCATAGTGAGACTGTTCTCTACTCAGATAATCCGAAATCAAATAGAAAGGAAACCTGCTGGACTGCCTAGAGATGTGTACCACGAACCGGCATTCAGTTGTGTGTAAATTTTGGTGTCATGTGATCTAATCAGTTATTTTTTCTGCCAGGCGGAGAATGTTTATCTCCACCGCCATCCCGCAATTCACCGCCCTGATGCCGATGATTTTCTGCCGCGCGGCGCCTGGCTTTCTCAGGACCGCGTGCTTTCCCCAGGACAACGCAGTGCTCATTGTCTTCTCTGCAGCTGTGACTTTTATTCTTGAAGCTGTGATAACTTGGGTGTAAATTTCAGCTGCAAGCTCCAAGAAATTTCGCTTTATAGCTTGCGCTTGTGCCTCTTGAGAAAGCTCCGTGATTAAGCCGATTAATTGCGCGCGCACGAATTGAGGTTGGTAAGCTCCAGTCATCACTTCCTTGATATTAAATTGATCCAGCTACTTTTCGGGGGGAAGGCTCCAAATGGTCATTTGAGAGCTTCATTCGTTGGCTGACAGACAACTCGTAGGAGCTTCCGTCAATCCGATAACTCATATTCCGTAACGACCTTTCAAGACGCCCCTGCGTTCCACCTCTCTACTTCTTCCTGTCGGCTTACTGGTATCTGAAATACCACTATGGCATCTGGCCAAGCCCTCGGGTCCTCTGCACCATCTTCGAACATCAACTCCCCCATCATCCCCCCCGGCAATGGCCCTTTCCTGAACGGTGCATTATCAGATTTGAATTCGCGATCCTCTCCAGCACCGGCAAGTAACCTTTCCGCACAGGGGGACAATGCTCGCGCAAAGCGGAATAAGCGTGATAGTCGCAAGAAGCGCGAAGCCAAAGGCTTGGATACTGAAAATGCACCGCCTCCCAAGAAGCGTGCAGCCGCCGCAAGCACCGCCATTCCCAGCTCAGGCTTGTCTATGCTCCGCCCATTGCTACTCGCTGAACCCTTTCAAATGGATAAATTTCCTCCGCGGCCACGCCAAATGAATCAGGTCTGCAGGAAGACATCTAGCGTGCTGGGTCAAAGCTGGGACTTCTACGAAGTGGTTGATAAACTCACCAATAAGAATGGGTTCCGATATAGCTATGCTATTGCCGATCAGGGCTTCCCGCATATTAAGTATCGGCAAACTGATGTGAGACCCTATCATGCCCGTTTCAGCTTTGAGGACTCTCCTACGGCCATTTATTTCTCCGAGGATGCCAGGGCCATGACTACCAACGATGCGTGGCACACTGCCCGAGCAAACGTCTGCGCTCGAGAGGGCTCATACTATTACGAGGCACGAATAATCAGTGGTGTCTCTCCCCAAGGCGCTCCACAGAATGGGTCCAGCACTCCATCCCGTGGCCATGTCCGACTTGGATTCGCACGTCGCGAGGCAGATTCCGATGTCAACGTCGGTGTCGACTGCTACGGTTATGGAATCCGTGATGTTAATGGCGAAGTCGTCAATCGCATGCGGTGCGAGTTCTTTTTCCCAAAGGGCGAATCCATTAATGAAGGCGATGTAATTGGCATGTTTATTACCCTTCCGTCTTTAGCTATCCACACAAAAATAGTTCAGGGCACCTACGATCCCGCTATAGATGGTGATGGCTCAGATCCTGCATCCGGGGTTCCTACTGCTACCAACATCATCCGAGACCGCATTCCTTTCCACTCTAAGTCCGATGACTTTTGTTGGCAAGTGTCTAACGTTTTTTCCACCAAACACCTCCGCGACTACGCTTTCAATCTGAAAGAAACTCCCACATTCGGCCCTCCTTCGCCTTACAACAGCGAAGACCCGTCCTTACGCACACTGCCTGGATCTAGCATCACTATCTTCAAGAATGGTGTTAGGATGGGCACACCCTTCAAAGAGCTCTACGCTTTCCTTCCGCCGGCGAGTCGACTTGCTAATGGCACAAACAACCTCGGTATTGGAGAGCGTGAGAATGCCGACGATGGCATGATTGGTTACTATCCAGCTGTGAGCTGCTACGGCGGCGGTGCAGTCGAGTGCCGCTTTGAAGGCCCATGGTGGGTTGGCCCCCCTGACAGCACGGAGAATGGCGAGCCGATTCTACCAATCGGCGATCGATTCAACGATCAGATCGTCGAGGATGTGGTCGCAGATATTGTGGATGAGGTTGAGGCCATGTTCACATGGGGCGGTGTTGATGGTGACGTGATTGGCGGCGAGATGGATGGTGCTGTCGGAGGCTCTGAGGTGCTTAAAGGAGGCGTCGGTGCTGCCCTGGATTCCACAGTTTCAGGCCTCGGGGCCTCTGAATCTGCCGCCAACAGTAACCAGGCAACACCTGCTGCCACGGGGGACGCTGCTACAGGAAATCTAGCATTAGAGGATACTATGAGTATCGGGATAGCTGGTACTCCTCTTCCCGCAGCCGATGTCCCGGCTGTCGGGGCCGATGAAGATGTTGAGATGACTTGAAGATCCAAAAGGGCCAGGTTGCTCTGAGTAAAAAGGCAGAACGACATAGCTATAGGGTCTGGCAAAGCGTTCAAGGGGGTTCTCATTACTTTTCATTGATACCAACTTTTTAACAAATCCTGAACTATGCACTTGTTCTTTTCCATAAAAGGTACGGCCATAGAGTTGGGCGATCTTTTCTGAAAATCGGGTGACGATGAAGATGGATTGATGTACAGAATATGGTATCGTTGTAGTTTTACAAATATGGAACAGGTTGAGCCAGGAATGGCATGCTATAGGCTCTCAAAATCTTTTGCCCTCAAGCAATTCTCCAACCTTCATGACCAACTCGTCATCTCCGTACTGGCCCACGACTTGGATTCCAGCAACGTCACCAGCGCTCGAGTTATGTGAAGACTGAGAGGTTGTCACCGGGACAGAGATAGCTGGCAAGCCCGCGAGACTGGCGGGGACCGTAAAGACATCGTTGACATAGGCATCCAAAGGCGATGAACCACTAGAGGGCCCCGTCACGTCGAACAGTCGTGGCGGCGATGACGGCGCAGTGGGACATACAAGAATATCGATCTGTTCTGCACCGAGACGAGTGTCCTGAACTGCAGCCAATGGATGCTCAGCAGCGAATACGGCGTTGAAATCCTGCTGCACCAATCGCCGGACACGCTGTGCCTGGATGAAGTAGTTGTCCATAGCATCCGCGCTCAAGCTGAATGTGCCTAGCAGGATTCTTCGCTTCACCTCCTCGCCGAACCCGCTTCCGCGCGTGTTGGCATAGAGGTAGCTATCCGGCTGTCCGTCGCTGTCCGGTCCTTCCACACGAGTACCGTATCGCACACCATCGTACTTAGACAGGTTCGAGGATGCCTCGGCGGGGGCCAGGACATAGTATGCTGATAACGCATGCTTGGTGGCTGGTAGGGAAACAGGGTGAATGGTATGTCCTTGCTCCTGCAAATATGCCAGGGACAGTAGCCAGGCACGGCGAACTGACGGTGTGAGCTCGGAGATATTGTATTCTATCGGGACTCCGATTCGGAGAGGAGTTGAGGTCAATCGAGAGGCGAGTTGAGGGGCCTGGAGCTGGGACAGAATCCGTGACCTTGTGAAGGTAGAGAGACTGGTTGGGTCGCGCTCGTCGTGCTGATTGAGGATACGGAAAATATCCTGAACAATAGACGTCTTATTTCCTAGAATTCCAACCGTGTCCAGAGAGTTGGCGTATGCGACCACGCCCCATCGTGATACTAGCCCATAGGACGGCTTGAAGCCAACGGTCCCCGTGTATGCAGCAGGAAGTCGGACGGAGCCTCCTGTATCTGTTCCAAGTGCACTGTAGTATTCCAAATCCAGTCAATGGCCATTTCTAGGTCCCGTTATATGTGCGCGGTACTCACGCATAGCATTGACCTGCTGCGACGGCTACCGCGCTCCCGCCAGAGCTGCCACCCGCGGAGAGATCATGTCCGCTACCATCCCGTCGCGAGTTCTTCACAGGTCCAAATCGCGAATTGGTAGAATGTGACCCCATTCCAAACTCATCCAGGTTGGTCTTACCAGCTACGACCGCCCCAGCATTCTCTAATTGTTCGATCACTGTGGCATTGAATGGGCTAGTGAATTTGCTTAGGATGCCCGAGCCACACGTCGTTGGAAGGTCGCGCGTGCAGATATTATCTTTAATGGAGATCAAACAGCCATCGATAGGGGATTTGGGAGCTCCTGTTCCAGCAATCTTCTGTTAGTCGTGGGACACTAATTGAGATTTGGCAGCGCACCTTGCTCACGACGCTTGTCTGCTTGCTTAACACGGTCCAACCACTGCCCCGCACGGGGCAATGGTGTTATGAAAGTATTGAACCCATGTGCATGTTGGTTAGCGATGTATTTCTCTGCTTCGCGTAGAAGGGACATTTAGAATCGTGAGTCGTGAATAAGTGTCGAGCGCGGGTGGAAACCGATAAACCGATATCTAGGTGGCCCGTGCTCCTACGTGGCAGTGATCTATGAGAACCTGCTTCTATGTTCATCGAAGCAATTGCAGTACTATCATAGGTTTTAGGTGTGGATTTATTCTACAAGGCTTCCAAGGTCTCTTGGTCTGGTGTTCATTGCAAGTTAAAAGGTGAGGCTGATCGTTTCCACGATTATATTCAGTCAACCGTAGCCCTGGTAATCTGATAAGCATACTTAACTCCCTTCTTATCTAGCGCTGAGACGTTAGTTGTCTATTCTCAATTTCAGACGAGCCGATAATAACTTCAGTTGTCTGTATATGAGCACCCGTGGGTCGATATCGGCTCTCAATGTCTTCAGAGCTTCCAAGATTTTAGCTAAGATGGAACCCTGACCCTGTCCAAGATTTTGAAAAGAGTGTCAAAGTAAGCAGATGTGTATATGGTCCTAAAGGATCTTTGGTGTTCAAGCGAAAAAGCCCGTTGTATATGATCCAAAATGGACCTCGGGAGCCGAAGCCGAGCTACCTAGCAAGCCGCGAAGTCGAGATTACAATCAAGAGAAAGGGATAATGACTAAAGGATCAGTTTTTGAAAGGGTCCTGAAAAGATGGAAACATTAAAACAAAGTCTTATACCGTGGGGTATACTTCCAAGCGGGAAGGGAAATAGCCTTGCAGCTTCCTTCGGGCCGAGCTCAATCGCCAGATGGACGTCATCCTCCCATTCCCTCCCACCATTTTTCTTCCACCAACTATCCAACCTATACTCAAAATGTTGTCGCGTGGTATCCTCAGAGCTGCAGCCAACGGTGCTCGTGCCTCCGGTGCCGCTCGAGCTGCGACTTTCCCGATCGCCGGCAAAGCTCAATGCGCCAGCTCCACAATTTCCGTCAATGGCCGAAGGTGCATCTCCATGTACGGCTACACTCAGGCTAAGGCATTGATCTACTCGAAATACGGCGAGCCAAAGGATGTTCTCAAGTATGATTAGCTCCCGTGAAGCTCATCAGTCCATGAACTGACCACTCTTCAGCCTTCACAAGCATTCGATCTCCGCTCCGCATGGTACCCAGGTCAACCTCCGTCTTCTCGCTGCGCCTATGAACCCAGCCGATGTCAACCAGATCCAGGGTGTATACCCTAGCAAGCCTCCGTTTGAGACTGCGCTGGGAACCGTTGAGCCGTCGGCCATAGGTGGTAATGAGGGAGCGTTCGAGGTTATTTCAACGGGCGCGGGCGTTAAGAACCTGTCCAAGGGCGATTGGGTCATCATGAAGCGCACTGGCCAGGGAACTTGGAGGACACATGCTCAGATGGACGAGTCACAGCTTATCCACATCGAGAACAAGGAGGGCTTGACTCCCATCCAGATCGGTACTGTCAGTGTCAACCCGGTTACCGCGTACCGGATGATTCGTGACTTCTGTGAGTGGGACTGGATGCGCGCTGGCGAGGAATGGATGATCCAGAATGGTGCCAACAGTGGCGTCGGACGCGCTGCTATCCAGTTGGGCCGTGAGTGGGGTATCAAGACTCTCAATGTTGTCCGCCAGCGGAAGACGCCTGAGGAGACGGAGGCCCTCAAGCAGGAACTCAAGGATCTGGGTGCTAACGTCGTCGTGACGGAGGAAGAGATGTTGAACGGTGGCTTCCGGGATATGGTCAAAGAGGTTACTCGTCAGGGCCGGGAGCCCATTCGTCTGGCTTTGAACTGTGTCGGTGGAAAGAATGCCACAGCTCTGGCGAAGACTCTGGCTCCGGACTCGCACATGGTGACTTACGGAGCCATGTCGAAGCAGCCGGTTGCGCTCCCCTCTGGCATTTTGATCTTCAAGAACCTCGTGTTTGACGGATTCTGGGTCTCCAAATGGGGTGACAAGAACCCCCAGCTCAAGGAGAACACCATCAACGATGTGCTCCAGCTTACTCGTACAGGTCGCTTCAAGGATATTCCTGTCGACAACGTCGAGTGGAACTGGAAGTCCGAGGGCCCCCAACTGGCCGAGAACGTGCAAGGCACTCTGGGTGGCTACCGCAGTGGAAAGGGTGTTTTCACCTTCACCGGCGGCGACGAGTAAAAGAACTCGATGTACCATATGTTCAGGTAGTTTATCTACATAGGCGTTCTATGCCTACTGTGTTGCCAGTGGCTTGCATATCCGATCCGAAAAAGAAACGAAGTGTAGTGAACTGATAATCTCTCATGTTACATCTCGAGGTCATTAAGACTATACACATTAGTGGATTACTCGCACTTCCAGTGCTTCTTCACCCACGCTAAAAGCAAATCCGTCAGTGTCGTCGACGGCATGTACACCTCACTATCCTTGAAGAAATCAACATCAAGGCTAGCAAATTTGGCAGCCATCGCCAAGTGCGGCTGGATGAACTCAATGTAAATGAGATCGACCGTCTCCGGAACCCCCGACTTGTCGGCTGACAGCAACGCTTGGATACAGTTGGGAACTTCATAGAAGGAAATGGGCGAATGAACGGTGTCATCTCCATCGGTGCCTGCATCATCCTTGGTCGTATATCCCGGCAGAATCTTCTCATCTAGTCTGTCGACTGAGAGAGGAGCTTGATGTGAGCCAGCTATGTTATAGACTGGCTGCGTTTCCAAATCTTCTTCAACAACCTCAGTAGTGAAGTATGCCGCCCGGGCAAGGTTTTCAGGACATGGCAAAGGGGAGAGCTTTGAGCCTGACTCGAGCGTCTCTAGGACCTTAGGCTGCTTGTTAAGGACCTCCATAATCAGTTGTACCTTTTCATAAGGAACGTCCTTAACGTAGCGGAAACTGTTGGTAAATGGTGATATGGTCCATATGGTATCTTGCGTGAATTCGCCCTTGAAGATATCGAATCGCATGGCACCCGTATTCAATATGGCCACTGAAGGGACCTCACCCCGAGATTCATCTTTAAGAGAATCGGGCAGCACCCTGGTCTGCAGCCACGTGAAAACACTATTTGGGTTTGGGTATGGGACTCGGGATGTCCAGAGGGTTCGCGGGACACAGCCATGAACATGATCCAGTCGAAGAGCACTTCGGGATTCAGTAATGAGCTGAGAAACGTTGAGGCCATTTTCAGTCGGGAAGGACTCTTCATCCAGGCCAGTATGATGGTAAAAAGAGTAAAGATTGTTATCGATGTATCGTCGCTTGAAAACGGGGCTTGATGCTGCACTTGACTGATCACCGGTAGAAAGACCGTCGATCGAGGTGAAACCGATTGTCTCCATGAACCGGCCACTGGCAAGAGCGAAGGCCTTGGAGTCGTATTTCGCATAGTCGCGAATATGCTCGTGTCCGCCAAAAAACTGGATCGGAGTGTCCCAGCGGATTCTTCGAATCTCTTCAAAGATGGCCCAATATTCAGGTGAATGCGCCGGGACGTGGCCAGCGACTAAAAAAAGATCGACCTCTTTATCCCGAATGGCCTCCTGGAACCAGTCCTCTTTGATGGTCTTCTCCACTGGCTGAACCACAGTATTATTATAATTGCCAGTAAAATCAAACAAGAAGCCGAACGCTACGATGCGGATGCCCTGTTTCTTAGTGGTGAACTTCTTGAATCGCGGGGCGAGCGGAACTAGTTCGTTAGTTTCGGGATGACTGATATCGATATTGGAGGCAAGGTATTTGCCCCGGAAATTAGGAACAGTGCTCAGAAATTCGGCCTCCGACGTGTTCTGTTTGTAAAGTTCATGGTTTCCCGATGTGATCACATCGATGTGTTGATGACGGAGGATCTCCGAGAGAAAGATGCCTTTGGGCTCGGACGAGTCATAGAGACCGTTGCCCTCGACGCGATCTCCGGTATCAATGACCAGCAAATCTTGGCCCTGCGCCTCGGCCTTTTCCCGCATGCGCGTCGCGAACGAAACATAGTCCCCCCAGTCCGCCGAGTAGGAAGGTCTGCGACGCGCATCAGTCTATTTTAGAGCTAACAGCAGAGAAATCCCAGAACATACTCCTCTAAATGGCCGGCTAGCCAGCCATGGGTATCGGTAGTATGAAGGAAATTCAGTTGTCCGAACTCGAGAGCTCGTAGGGGAGCGGAGATGGGAGCGGGCGCGGAGGGCTGAGCGGCGAGCGCCGACGGGAAAGAGACGATCCAGGGCAACACCGCCAGGAACAGGGTGGATAGCCCCCTGGGAGAGCAAGTCATTGAGAGAACTGTCCCTCTGTTTGGTGATAGAAACTAGAATCTGGTGAGAATCTGGTGAGAGAAAGAGAGAAGCCAAGATAGAAGCAAGGATATAGCTATAGAACGAGTAACTTGGGGAAGCTCTTACGGTTACGGAAGGAGCTGCCGGTGAGATGCTGACTCAGCGCCCAACATCTTCGGATTTGCATCTCAAAGATTCAAGCGCGATCTTCCCGTTTCCCCAACCTTGAACTTTTGGTCTTCAATCGCATCTGCGGTTTTATTGAACCTTGCGGACCTTTCAATTGTTGCTTCCTTTCCTTCTCTCCCTTCGACTTCCATCTTCATTCTCCGCCATGGCCGCTCCCCGTCTTTTCCGCCCAGCGCTCGCTTCGCGCCTGGCTTCCACCCCTCTTCGCTCTGCCTTCACCAAGTCGTGCGCTCCTTCATTCATTCGCGCTCGTGGATATGCTTCGGAATCCGGCACTAAGGAGGTCACGGTCCGTGACGCTCTGAACGAGGCTCTGGCCGAGGAGCTGGAGCTCAACCAGAAGACTTTCATTCTGGGTGAGGAGGTCGCACAGTACAACGGAGCGTAAGGAAATCTTCTTCATTCTCCGAGATGGAAGAATGGTATTGTCTGGTCAAAGACCCTTATCGCTGACCTGGATCTCTTTCCCGCAGTTACAAGGTGACACGAGGACTCTTGGACCGCTTCGGCCCCAAGCGGGTTATCGATACCCCCATTACTGAAGCCGGTTTCACTGGTATCGCCGTTGGCGCTGCTCTGGCTGGTCTGCACCCCATTGTGAGTGATTCCGAAGCCTAAAATCGAGAAAGAGAAGACCCGGGAACTAATTTGTTGACTCCCGTTCTAGTGCGAGTTCATGACCTTCAACTTCGCTATGCAGGCCATCGATCAGATTATCAACTCCGCCGCTAAGACTCACTACATGTCCGGTGGTATCCAGCCCTGCAACGTCACTTTCCGTGGCCCCAACGGCTTTGCCGCCGGTGTCGCCGCTCAGCACTCCCAGGATTACTCTGCCTGGTACGGCAGCATTCCCGGTCTCAAGGTCGTCTCCCCCTGGAGCTCCGAGGATGCCAAGGGTCTCCTGAAGGCTGCTATTCGTGACCCCAACCCCGTCGTGGTTCTCGAGAACGAGTAAGTGGTGACTCGGATAACTTTTTTTTTTTTTTTGGGGGGGGGAGATCGATACGGGAAACTAACACGGCAATCTTAGGCTTATGTACGGCCAGGCTTTCCCCATGAGCGAGGCCGCCCAGAAAAACGACTTCGTCCTGCCCATTGGTAAGGCCAAGATCGAGCGCTCCGGCAAGGACCTCACCATCGTCTCTGTCTCCCGCTGTGTCGGCCAGTCCCTCACCGCCGCCGCCGAGCTCAAGCAGAAGTACGGTGTTGACGCCGAGGTTCTCAACCTGCGTTCCATCAAGCCCCTTGATGTCGAGGCCATCATCGCCTCCGTCAAGAAGACCGGCCGCCTGATGGTCGTCGAGTCCGGCTACCCCATGTTCGGTGTTGCCTCCGAGATCATGGCTCTTGCCATGGAGTACGGATTCGACTACCTGACCGCCCCTGCCGTCCGTGTCACCGGTGCTGAGGTCCCCACTCCCTACGCTCACGGTCTGGAGAACATGGCCTTCCCCCAGGATGACACCATCGTGAAGCAGGCCGCTAAGCTCCTGCGTTTGTAAGTGGAGCGCATGAGCGCGTAATAAAACCATGTGCCTAGTACCATTTCATCTGTCTCATTTTATATTGTTTGTTCCCCCATCATGTCGTTATTTATTCTCGCCTAGGCAGATCTTGGAAAGCTGTGTACGATTACCTTCTCCGGGTCTGTGCCTCGTTCTTCACCCAGCGTAAATGCTTTGTTTGTGTCTTAGATTGATAGACATTGGAAGTTGCAAGTTTCTTTCCATTCAGATCATTGTAGATTTGTCAAAAGATTTAAGATTTAAATGGGTATTGCCGAAACGCCATGCCCTGATCCAACGCCAAAGATGCATATGGAGTATACGCACGAGTTGGTTATGTAGAAGCCTGGGTTCCTCCAAGACCGGCACACCCCGCAAAACAGCCCGTTGGCCGACGAGGGTCGTAGAATCCGCCGCCGTCTCGATCCCGCGCATACTCCTCGTCCGTATCACTTTCAGCATCCTCTCGCACTTGCTCAGGCACAGGCTTCGAGGACACGCTCGGCTGTTCTTTGACAGCAGTGTGGCCCTCTTCCTCATCGTCGTCACCCAAGACGTTCTTCTTGACCGGGGCTGCGGGACCACCTTTGACAGCTGCAAAAGAACTCTTAAAGCCACCTTTCTTGAAACCCCCTCCACTCTTCGCACCAGTAGCTCCTCCACTTGGGACTGGGCCACTGACAGGTGCATCAATGACCTTTAACCCGGCCTCCGCATCGGCCTTGCGCTCAGCGCGACGGGCCTTCTCCGCGGCATTTGGGTCGCGGGAGAGCTGTTTGAGGTCCTGGAGACGTTTACGATGTTGGTGATCATATGAAGAGATATGTGCCTCGTACTCCGGGTGTCGCGAGTATGATTTACTGCAGAGCGTGCATGTGAAGGCACTGAGCGCGGACCGCGCCGACTCGGTCTGTTCCTGTCAGTGGACGTGCCTTTGGAGGGGGAAGGATGGCTGATTATGGATCGTACTTTGGGAGCAGGATTAGTGAAGCCTCTCTAGTCACATATTAGCATGCGATCAAACAGTGAAGTGTCCAGGGGAGATACCGGCGCCATTGCTGTGAAGTGGTGGGAGAAGCAGAGTTAGGCCTATCAGAAGCGTCCCGTTGGGCGGACTCAGCAAGGCCGTCGTCCCCAACTTTTCCTTGTTTTCTCCCCAGCTTTCTTTTTGCTTGAGCAACTTGTACGAGTGATGATTTCCTAATACACGATTTTCTTCTCCACTTCTTCTATTGTCACGAAGGCTCAGCCCACAATGGACGTCAAACCGCAAGACCTCGACGCCAAGTCGGTCATCTCTATGCAAGAGCTAGATCCCTCGCCTGTGGACGACTCAACCCCCGATCTTGAGACCCTCGAAAGCGGCCAATATTTGTCTAAGCCTGAGGAAGACAAGCCGAAGCGCACCTGCGGATTCCCAGCACCGAAACTAGGCCTCCGAGCCCACCGGTGGGATGCATTGTGTATGTTGCGCCCAATCCCGCGCAAACCTTAATATTCCTATTTTCTGATCAAAACTTGCAGTGTCTGGTTTTCAGAAATACTCGACCTACCCACCGACGGCCTTTTCCGTGCTGCACTTCGCTAATACCGCACTTTTCCCACTTGTGACCCGCTCCGTGCCCGCAAGCGAGCCCTATCTCCTGCTCACGCGACCAGTCTACCAGGCTCCAGGTCTGGAGCATCTCGTTCTCACAATTCCCGTCCTCACGCATATCATCTCTGGAATCGCCCTGCGCAACATTCGTGCATCGCGACGAGCTCGATTATATGGTGCGGAGACTCGCGCTCAGCGATCTTTGCTCTCCTCCTGGCCTCGGTTCTCTCTTCAAGCTCGCACAGGGTATTTTGTTGCGCCATTGATCGGTCTTCATGTTCTGGTAAACCGTGCTACACCGTTGATAGTGGATGGCGGGAGTTCCGGTGTGGGGTTGGGCTTTGTTGCCCATGGTATTGCGCGCAGTCCCGTGTTCTGGAATATTTTCTACCTGCTATTTGTCACTGCCAGCGTGTGGCACTTTGTCGGTGGATGGGCTACTTGGATGGGCTGGAGAGTGACGACGGTCCGCAAAGAGCGTACCAGCAAGGGATCGCTGGAAGGCTACCTGGGCTATCCCGAGAACCAAAACCGTGCGAAGAAACAGCGCAAGATGTGGTGGATGGTGAATGGAATTGCCGCAGCAGGTGCTGCTCTCTGGCTGGCTGGTGCCCTCGGTATCGTTGGACGTGCAGGTGAAGGTTCGGGTTGGGAAGCGCAAGGGTGGAACGAGATGTATAGCCAAGTGCCTATCATTGGTGATTGGTTATGAGGGGATAACGGAGGTTGGTATGAACACACATTGTACTCTAGCATGTAATTACGACTAATCATTAATTGTATATTTCGACTACCAAATGTAATGCCTTAAGATGCTTCCTGCATGGGACTAGATTTAACACCAATAAGAGCTCACACCATACGCGTTTGAGGTAATTATACTCAATATTAAAAAATTCTAAAAAGAACTTGTTGATTGCTCGAGAATTCCCATAAACATTGAACTATCTATTGGTTGGGTTCTCCTCTCCATCCACACGCATTGAGGTTCATAGTTCCATAGTGGGCGGTGACTTGGTCCGTGCGAGGAATCTTTTTTCCTCCGACGCCGCGCGCATTTTCCCTCTCCACGCACCTCGTCCATGACCTCGCGACTCTCGATTTTCACCTTGGCTCGACGATGCGCATTTGATCTTTCCATTACCAGCGCACAGTTTCTCCGAATAAACACCTCTACCCGGTCATTTCAGCGGCCATTCTGCCAATCGAGAACAATGGATAGCTCCACCGATCCCTCCAAGTTGGTGCAATTCCAAGGCACAGACTACCAGGTTATTAAGGAGGGCCGCGCGCATATTCTCAACCCTCCTGCACAGGAAGCCGCTTCTAAGGCAACGAGGAGGGATCTCAAGGAGGAGGACGAGTCGCAATCTGTTTTCTACAACCCGATCCAGCAGTTCAATCGTGACCTGAGTGTCCTGGCCATTCGGGCCTACGGAGAGTCTCTGCTGGAGTCAAAGAAGCAGAAGCACAAGAAGCGCACACAAGGGAAGAAGAGGAAGCGTGAGGTGGACTCCGAGGACCAAGCGTCCAAGTCTGCGACGGATGGTGCCAATGAAGTGAAGCCGGAGGGCGAGCAGACTGGAAACGGAAAGCAAGAGGCACAGCCTGACTCGGAACCTTCTTATACAATTCTGGATGCTCTTTCCGCGACGGGCCTGCGCGCACTTCGCTATGCTTCGGAGCTTCCGGTGTCTAGAGTCGTGGCTAATGACTTGTCCGCCTCTGCCATCAAGTCAATGAAGACGAACATTGAATATAATGAGCTGCAAGATCGAATCCAGCCCAACCTCGGTGATGCCCGCACATACATGTACAGCTTGGGCGCACTTCAGAAATTCGATGTGATCGACTTGGATCCCTACGGCACTGCGTCCCCTTTCATCGATGCCGCCATCCAGGGTGTTAGGGACGGCGGCCTGCTCTGTGTCACTTGCACTGATGCTGGCGTTTGGGCTTCAACTGGATATCCGGAAAAGGCATTCTCTCTGTACGGAGGTGTCTCGATCAAGGGCTCGCACTCGCACGAGGGTGGACTACGATTGATTCTGAACTCTCTTGCCATGTCGGCTGCTAAGTACGGACTTGCAATTGAGCCCCTGCTTTCTCTGTCAATTGACTTCTACGCGCGTGTGTTTGTCCGTGTGTACCGCTCCCCCGCGCTGGTCAAGTTCACTGCCGGCAACACAATGCTTGTATACAACTGCGATTCTGGATGTGGCGCTTGGAGCACACAACCCATCGCCGCCACCAAGCAAAGGCTTGACAAGAAGGGTAACCCCTTCTATCACTATGGTCTGGCCCAGGGTCCCTCAGCTGGCACGCACTGCGAGCACTGCGGCTTCAAGACTCACATCGCGGGTCCTATGTGGGGAGGCCCGTTACATAACCCTCATTATATCCAGAAGATCCTGGCTATTCTTCCTACTCTCGATCCCAAGACATACCAGACAATTCCTCGAATTGAGGGCATGCTGACCACCGCTTTGGAAGAGGATCTGGATCTCACTCCTGCCGTGCCGAAAGCCGGCCAGCAACCGACCTCCGAAGCCGAGACAGCTGAGACCAAATCCCAAGACCCTGAGTGTCCCGCCATCATTCCCCGAATGAATCCTGCTGCCTTGGAAAAGTATCCTTTCTACTTCAATCTCGGCTTTCTTTCTAAAGTGCTCCACTGCACAACCATTCCTATGGATGAGTTCCGTGGTGCCGTCCGCTCTTGTGGCTACCGCACTACTCGGAGTCATGCCAAACCGAACTCAATCCGTACCGATGCTCCTTGGAGCGTGATCTGGGAGATCATGCGTGAATGGGTTCGCCAGCACTCTCCCATCAAGGAAAGCTCCATCAAGCCTGGCACTCCCGGCGCCGCAATCATGGCGAAGAGCCGTAACAACCTGCGCAAGGTGCACGAAGGCGACCAGTGGCTGGCACAGCTTAAGAGGGATCTTCTCAATGCTGTTGAGTCCGGGAAAGACGTCAGTGACCTGATCACCAAGGTCGAAGCCTCGTTGTACCGGTCTGGACTACAACGGGCGTTGAGGCCTGCGGCAGGCTCTTCAGAAGAGGAGCTCCCTGATGCCGACGCCGAGCCCAAGCCCGCAGATATCATGAAGCCACCCACTTCTACGCGACCTTTTGAGCGGCCGCACCCCAGTACTCTGGATATTAAGTTTGACGCAGCTCTGGGCCGCGAGGCGTCAGATGCACACACGAAGAAACGGTTGGTGCGGTATCAACTTAACCCGCGTGCCAACTGGGGCCCGCTCAATCGCGCTGCCGTGGCATCGAAGTGATAATGTGATGTATGTTCAGTTGTTGTAAATATCAAGAAAGTTCTTCGTCCATAGTTATTCAAACAAAAGCTATTTTCTACCTGGATCTCAGCAACACACCTGCTTAAATTATCGATCTTCTGGAGCTCCACGATCTTGCAGAGACTTTTCATTGGAATAGAACTGGTTCTATTGCCTGAACCGTTTCAGCTATGAGGCAGTCACGTTCATATTTCGTATTTGGGACGCAAATGTGACGGGCAATGCGAACGAATTTGCGTACTTCGACCCAACGGAACGTGCAAGGACCACCTTACCTGGCTAGATACATGGCCGGCGTGGGCTCCGGGAAACTCATAGCTCCGATTCTACAAAAGAACAAATAATTGTGCGAGATTATGGCATATCATTACTCCCATTATAACACCAAACGAACCAGGAGACGAAGCTGGCCCGACTCTAATAAGAAACAAACAAACAAACGTAAATCACAATCATCACGTCTCAAAAAGGAAATGAGCCGAGAGAAAAGCTTCAATGGCGATTCCCACCAGTATCTATGTAAACAACTCAAGATTCAAGAATGCACGGCTATCTCAAAGCTGCGAGACCGCGACGGCCACAGCCTGCGAGTCGCTGTGGCTGATGCTGACATTGACCGACTTGACACCGACCTGCTTGGCGGCGGCGGCGGCGGCACCATGAAGCTAAAGGAAGATCACCCGTTAGCGTTGCTGATCACCCGGAATTGTAAAGAGATCGTCGTTACTTACAGTCACAACCGGAGCGCCGTTGGCATCGCTTCCGATCTCAATTTCTTTCAGGGCAGCGCCGGCTCCCTTGCTGCTAACACCCAGGGACTTGAACACGGCCTCCTTGGCACTCCATCGACCGGCGAACGAAGACTGAGGAGAGGCGGCCTTGCGGCAGTACTCCTGCTCACCAGCAGTAAAGTTGCGTTCAATGAAATTCTCGTTGGAGATGTTGATCGCGTCAATGTTCTCAACGTCGACACCGATCTTAGAATTCTCGGCGGCATTGGCCTTAGTCAAAGACTCAACCATTTGACGGGTGCCCTCGGCGCTATCAGCCTTTGGGGGTGCGGAAGAGTACTTCAGCTCAGAGGTCTTCTTGTCGACGCTAACACGGTAGTCAGGGTTCAGGAAGATCTTGCTCTGCTGGTCATCCTCGTAAGGAGCCTTGCTCTTAGCAACGAAGATGCTGTTGTTTATCAGGCCGTTGTGGAAGTAGCGGTAAGCCTTCTTCTGGCGAGCCTCAACCTTCGTCTTGTAGGCATCGTATTGGGCCTGGTCCAGAGTGGCGAACAGGTACTTGGGGTGGATGCCAATGGCCTGAGCACCCTTCTGACCGAATCCGAAGGAAGTAACGGAGAACGCCTTGATACCATCGGTTTGGATGCTGCGGCTGGGGTAAACGATGTAATCGAACTTCTCCATAACTTTGTCGACATTGTCGGCGTTGCGGTTACCGGGGACGAGGCCACTCTCCAGGACCTGCAGACAGCCGTTGAACATCCATGCACCCGCAGCACCCTTGGGGTGACCGGTGAGGTACTTCTGGAAGATACCCATGACGGCGTTTCCCTTCTTGCGACCCAGGTGCTTGAGCTGCTGGCAGATAACGTCGGACTCGTTCTTGTCGTTGGCAACAGTTGAGGTGCCGTGGAAGGAAGCGACATCAATGTCGTCGACAGTGAGACCCCAGGTAGCCATGGCACCGCGCAGGGGAGCGATGCGCGAGTCCTGCTTCCAGAAGTTGTTGCCCAAGCTGAACTGCGCATCCTTCTCCTGGCGAACGGCCTCACGCTCAATGTGCTGAGCCCGCTCGTGCATGTACTCAGAGGCATTGAAGCTCTCATCGCTCTGGGCCTGCATGGCATCAACCTCCTCCTGCAGATAAAGGAGTTCGGACTCCTGCCATTCCTTGATCTGCTTCTTGCGCAGGTCAAGCTGGCGGCGACGGTACTTGATGTCCAATAGAGGCGAGGGGAACTTGCCGGGGTTCTCACGGGCAGTGGTGAGGACACCCTGGCCAGGAGCAGGGACGGAGCGGCCGATCTTGTCAGTAGCGGTAGTCGTCAGGGCGATGATACCATGAATGGGCACACCCATGTCAAGGGCGAGCTGCGCACTCATGATGAGCTGCATACCGCAACCCTGAGACTCCATGAAGCCTGCACGGGTAGTGGTAGTAGGACGAGACATCTCCTGCGGAGTGCGACCGTGGGCGAACTCATCCTCGGCGTTGCTGGTAGCTTTCATGTTGGCGAACTCATACGATCCCTCCTCCTGGAAGTCATCGAAACCACCGACGAAGCAGACGCGGGCCTTGCCCTCAACAATAGTCTCATAACCGATGTCAACAGACTCGACGGCAGTGGCACAGGCACCGACGGGGGTCTTGATGGGACCGGTAG